CAGGACATGTTACCCTCCATTGATCTGTCATATTCCTCTAGGCCTTGTCCCCTCACTCACTGGCTTGTAGTAAATGAATGGACTGTGTCAAATGCAGAAGCTACACAGGGAGTAGTGAATGTTCAGCTGGCATACCACTTGTTTTTAAAGGAGGCACTTAAAATTCAGTATCCTCTTATATAGGAACCTTATTTACATATGCTGAGGGCCTCTTAGACACAGTTCTTCAGCGCTGCGCGACAGAGAAGCGATAGGGAAGAAGTAGATAAAGGCAAAGACGGGGTGACAGTGAAGAAGGAGTGTGAGATAGGGGATTACCCTGCAGCATTCTGGATGAAGAAGAGAAAAAAAAAGGAGGAAACAACCTGATTTAGTAATGATGCATCTCCTGTGCTTGTCTCTGTGGCCCCCTTCTCCATCTGCTGTTTCACCCTGAGGTGGTGGGCAAAGGACAGGAGAACACACACACACACACACACACACACGTACAGCTGCATCGCATTACTGCCTTTTCAAGCAACACCTTTTGACTTCCACTTTGCCCTGTCTAAGACTTGTCTTTCATCCCTCACTTGCCTTTTAATATTCTTCATTTTCTCCGTCAAGATCAGAGGCTTTCTATTTTTTCCTCTTTCTCCTGTCACAGGAGCAACCTTGTAGAAGCAGCTCTTCTATTGAATTGGAAATGATATCTCTTTTTTATGCCATCATTAAACTCACAGTATGAACTGAACATCCACATCCATCTCCGTTTCATTACATGCTACTCTCATGATTTATTTTCTGTTTTACATCTCCCTTGTATCTTGTTTCTTTATGCGCCTCAATGTTTGTTTATCAATTTCAGTGGCACATTTTTATTCATTGGCCTCATTTCCGTGCTTTTAGTTTGACTCTTGAGGTGATAAGAGGTAATGTTTAACCAGGGATAGGTGGGCTTTTATCTCAAGTGCACACTTTGAGTGCAGACATCTGTTTTGGCACAAATAAAACTTTAAGTTTTAGGAGATGTGATGGGAAGAGAGCGGAGTACAAATTCAGCATTAAAGAAAAGGAGGCGGTTGCTCTGAGAGAAAAATGAAAAACAGCGGCCAAATGCGGGGATAAGGTAACCCTTTTTCTTTTCAGATAGTCAGCAAAGAGAATGTCAAAACCTGGTGACATTTGGGATTCCATATAAGGGTGATTGACACCAAGTTTTACCTGTGTGTGTGTGTGTGTGTGTGTGTGTGTGTGTAGGTGTGTGTAGGTGTGTGTGGAGACTGGACTATGCAGACAGACTGCGTATTTGTGTGTGTGTGGGTGTGTAGGTGTGTGTGTGTGGACATGATTGACATGGTAAATTGGAAAGGTCAACCGGTGCTAGTGTTTGGTACAGACAGGCAGACAGCAGAAGGATGTAACCTTCCAAGAGTCCACATTGAAGGAGGGAAGGAAGAATCTGAGCAAATGACAGGATTTGGCGGAAATAAGGGAAAGAGGAGTGAAGGGTTGCGTGAAAATCAAAATTTAGAATGTAAACCTTCTCACCGCTGCTTATATGGCGTATATAAATGATAGCTCTCCTCAGTTCTGCTCAGATTTGTAAAGTGAGAAGCGCAACTGGGTATATGAAGAGGAAGCATACAGAATGTGAAATTTTAGCATCTGGGTCCGTCAGGGATGACTCCGAGGTCTGAGGTCAACACTTCAACCAGCTTATTATTTTACTGTGTGTGTGTGTGTGTGTGTGTAGATGGGTCCACGTGTCCCATCGTGTTTTCTTCTGTAAATGTGTCACTATTGGAAATTGGAATGTTGCATTTGTATAGCCACAGATATGAATTTCAAATAGGTGCGCGCCTGTGCGTGTGTGTGTGCATTAGCGCATGCATGTATGTGTGTGTGTGTGTGTGTTTTGGAGCCGGAAAAAGGAACAGAGCGAAGGGAGAGTTGAGATTGACAGGGTAAATTGGAATGGTAAGGGTTTTGGAGGTTGAAGTCTGGGTTTAAAACAGCCAAGAGAGGGAAAGAAAAGACCCAAATGTGTTGCTAAAAAAGTATTCTTTTGCTCGGGGAAATGTGACAGCGGATGTGGACGTGGGTGGATGGGGGGAGAACGAAGCCAGGCTGAACAGGAGAGCGGATTGTCACCCAGGGCGAGGGGCATCTCGCTTGTATGTACATGGAGGGGTGGGGTTGTTTGTGCGCTGTGGCCGGCGAGGTACAGGGGTGAGTCACGGAGGGTTTCGGGGTGTTGCGGCAAATAGGTGACCCACAGCTGGGGACTGAAGGGTCAACACCTGCACAGGTCGGCTGGGAACGTAACGCAGTGAGACATGACGCACACAACAGCAGCAGCAGCAACACACACGACTGCTGTCTTGAATAGCAGACACAACACACAAATACTGTACTTATTCCCTGTTGTGCAGCAGCGCGCACACACAAAATGGCAGGCACACGCAGAGGACATGGTGACCTGCTTGTTTGTGGGTCCTTCAGGCAGCTGAATACACAACAGTGAATTTATGAATACAAATCATCCTCAAGGCTGCGACACACAACAATATTTCCACCTCAAACTACATTTAAAACACACAGAACTGATATGATGCTTTTAGTTAAAGACAGAACACACCCGGGCTGCGGCGGTTGTCTCCGCACGCATCAATGAAAACACTGATTAGACAATAAACGATCCGAGCCGTTTCAAAGGACTCTGGAAACAATGAGGGATGGGAAAGTTAGTTGAAAATGTGTTTTGTGGATCCAACTCTGTGAATGTCAGATGCTTTGTTGTGTTGTGAACACCCTCACTCTCTTGCTGGCGCTCTCCCTTTGTCGTCCCCTGATGTCCCCCTTCGTTTCTCTGTCCCTGTTTGAAACTGAAGATGACTCAGAATGACACATCATTTGAATACAGATGCAGGATTGTGTGCCCCCCAGACCAAACCCTCCATGTTCATGTTTGTGTGTCTGTTTGTGTTTGTATGTGTGTGTGTGTGTGTGATGACCCCCTTTTGGACTCGCCAAAATAATAGACTTACCAATACTGCTGCTTGACAACACACACTGTGCTCTGTGCCGGTGTGGACATTTGGTTTTCTTCTCTTTTTGGTACTATTAGCAACTCATCACCAATATCGAAAGAAATATAACATCTATAGTCAACTTCTAGTCTATATTACACTCTAAACTAAATCAGTTGCAGTCTGAAACAGCCCTGTAATAAATCCTGCTTTTGTGAAAAGGTTCAGCTTTTGTTGAAATTATTTTAGAGGATGTAGATTCTGTTTTTCTTTCAAAAATAACAATATGAATAGTCTAGACTTATCAATGAACTTCAGAAACAGAAAAGAATACATTAAATCACTACTACCTTTATTTTATTTATTTACAACAGCACCCGTTCTCCGGGTACACCTGCCTGCAGTTTTTTGAGGTGTTTGGCAGGTACGTTGTTCCAGCGTCTTGGAGAACTTGCCGCAGTACTTCTGTGAATTTAGTCTGTCTCACTTGCTTCTGTCTCTTCGTGTAAACCAGTGCAGTCAGTCATTTGGGAGGCTGTCTGTCATGCTGTTGAGCTGTATTGCATTATACTGAGAGGTGTTTCTAAAGTCAATAAGAAAAAAAAAGAGGAGTGACGTCCCAAAAAATACGGCACAAGAAAGGTCTAAAAAAAAAAAGCCTTTATGATAATCAATCAAGTTTTTTTTTTTTTTTAACTTTTAGCACCTTCTTTGCGTCACATTGCTGTCAAAACCAACAAGTGCTTAATTTTTTGTTTTATCTGAGGCACTCCTAATAATCTGTCCACCCATTATGTATCACTAAGTGTGGACTAAATATTCAAAATACCTCTCAGTATAATGTCATCCGTGGCTGCTTGCCAACCATTCAAAGACTTGTGTCGGTATAAATACAGCCGAAATGTGGTAAAACTGTGATTTACTTTCTGTAACAAGATTCACAATCCGATCAGATGCTCAACGCCAACTTTGACAGTTTTCAACGCTCATCGTTATGCACACATTTCATTCGGTGCCAACAAGTTTCCAGGCTCAATACCTCTCCCTAGTCTTGCACAGATGAATTTTTATTTCCAATAGAAATGATCAGAACTGTTTGTTCTCCTCAACTTTTTCCCCTCAGTGTGTTTTATAGCGCCTTTGTTTTTTCCTTATCAGCCGGCTTGCTCGCTCTTCATCTCTTCTATGTGTGTGTGTGTGTGTGCGTGCCTGTCGCATAGGCTGAGCGAACTTTGCGCTGATGCTGATGTGATACGTCAGAATCTAAATTAAGGCCCTGACGCACATTTTTCACCGCACATACACACTCGCGGATCGAAACACGTACACACAAACACACTCCCGGTATTCAAGAGTTGAGTGAGTGGCTGAGTGGCTGAATAGAAGCGTGAAGGGGTAGTGTATTGATAGATGAATAGTGAATGTAGATTTTCTGCCAGTGGAATGTCAATGCCATCGTTTTCTCGCAGCCTACAGTCTTGCTACCTCCAGACTTATGACAAATACGAGGAGAAAGGCAGAGAGGGGGGGGAAAAGATAGAGGGAGGAGAAGAAAAGAGTGAATGAGAGAGACAAAATTTAGTAGCTGGCAGTTGATGGATGGGCTGCAAACAGCTTGTCTTCCTCTGGACTCCATGATAACATACCGTTCTCTCTTCCTCTCTGTCTCTTCTTCCCCGTCATCCATTTCTCTGTCTCTCGCTTTCTGTTTGTATTTGTTTTTTCCTCCTTCTCGAGAAAGGAGCCTCCTTATCCAGTTTGCTTCGGAAAAAACCCAGCGATGCCTTAGAGCTGCTGAATTTGTGAAAGCCTGCGTTTTCTTTTTTGCTTCTCTTTATGTGTATTTGCTAAATGTGTCTTTTTTTTGCAGCACCCTGAGGAAATATTTGAAATCTAAATTATATCTCTCCCGTTTTCCCCTTTCTCCTACTCCCTATCTCCCCTTTTCTCCCACTTCTTTTCATCTCATTCTCTCTGGCTGACGGACAGTTGGCAAGAAAAACCGCGGGTCAACAGGTAAAGAACCCATTTACATTTGCATTATCCTCCCTGCTCTTTCTCTCTGACTCCTCCGTTCTCTCTGTCTATCTAAACAGAAACAAATGTTGCCGCGACCCTTTGCTCAGACCCGAGAGCGGCCCGGCTAAATGCTTTGCTGAAGGTCACATCGGCAGTGGTGATGGCTACATAGTGTAAAAGATGTTCCGCCCGTGAAGTTTTTACTGTTTCTGGCTCGTGGCTAGAAAACCTGGAGTTGGTCACTTTTAACCTTGAGGTCAACCCTTTTACACCATCTGTTGATTGGTGCCAGGCAAAAATATTCTGAAGGCTCAAAGTTTGCATCTAACATTATGCATATCTGTCACGATCCATTGCCATCTGACATTTGGTTCAGCTCGAGCTATATTAATCGACCGTTGTGGGTGCTTTTTCATTATGCTAACGTATTCTTCCTCCACCACCATGGAGGATCTTCCAATTACTTAAGCACCCTCTAGGAGACGAGCTTATTCTGGGCGAACTTTGGGTGAGAAAACACGGGTGTATTTTCAGCGGAAGTCTTTAATGATGTGGTGTGATGGAGAAACCTTGGTGATGCAGCTGCGCAGTAAATCACAAGTAACTGCCATCACTTAAAACTAATGCTATGGAATGAAGGATTTCTCATTTAGCAGATTCGTCTCCTCTATCTTCTCGTGTCTTTTTTTTGCACCTCGCCCTTACATCCTCACACAAAGGAGCTAAGACACATGACAGGGGGAGGTGAGGAGACATGTTAGCTTAATGAAAAGTACCCAAAGTTTAAACTGTCTGTGCAGTGAAAGCAGAAAAAAAAACAGCAGCAGCTTCAGTTCAGTGTCCCCAGGATGCGATCAGTATGGAGTGTAGCACATTTTGGGTTAAGACTAAGTGTAAATACAAGTGAAACACAAAATGACACTGAGCTGGATTAATTAAAACTGAAGCACTGACTGAAACTGAAGCATATGTTCCATCAGACAGACGACTGAAAAATTCATCTAAATACACTGAGAACAGCTTTGTTCCTTCGTCCCAATGCAGTGAAACAAATATTTATTTCAATATTTTTATAAATCCTCTGTCCCTACTTTACCTCTAGTTTCAGGCTAAATGTGTGCCAAAAAATTTTTCTTGAATATTTTTAAAAATCTAAATGCATTTCCCCTCCTCTGTAAAACAGAAAAATAATTTTGATAAAACTTGCAGAGCACTTAGCAATTAAATGTGATTTGAAATGATTAGCAGAAAGTGACATTTTTGATTTCTGAATGCGGTCGAGATCAGATTTATTCTTGTAACTGGTGTCCTCCTGCTGGTCTAAGCTGAGGGAGGTGTGTGCAGAGGCTCCATATTTCATCCTTGCATCACTGTGTTCATTAGGCCCTATCCACATTTTAAATGTGCACTCACATCAAAAGGATTTGATCACCTCCATCCACATATTCAGCTTCTGTCAGAATCACACAGTGCAGGAATAAATATTTAGAATCTTGACCTAAATAGTAAAGTAATAAAGTAAATATTCTGGTTTGGTCCCTCTGACAGATATATCATCTTATATGATTAAAAAAAAGTTCTGATACACAAATCAGCTTTCAATTTTTGGGCTTTTTGGACCAATATTTGATTTTTTTTTTAGATATTGGATCATTTAAACATTAATTAAAATGAAACAATATGAGAAGTTTAGATGGTAAAATCAGTTTGTAGGAGTTGTTAACTACTCAGACACATCTGAAATGTGTCCCTGACTGAATTGCTTTTTGTAGGAAGCCACAAAGGTTGGAAAACACTGCTTAACGATGTGTTGGATTTTAAAAACTCGTTATAATATCCATCGTATCGAATCTTCATTTTAAGAGTAAAACTGTCAGATACATGTTGTGGAGCAGAAAACACAATGTTTTCCTCTCAATAGATGGCATCATGAGGAAAGAACATTATGGGGAAACATTGAAGCAACATTTAAGACATCAACCAGGAACCACTGAGCGCAAATGTGTCTTCCAAATGGACAATGACCCTAATCATACTGCCAGATTAGTTACAAAGAGGCTTCAGGAGAACAAAGTCAATGTTTGGGAGTGGCCATCTCAAAGCCCTGATCTCAGTCCTGTACAAAATTTGTGGGCGGAGCTGAAAAGACGTGTGGAGCAAGACGACTCAGTTCCACCAGTTCTGTCAGGAGGAATGGGCCAGAATTCATCAAACTATTGTGAGAAGCCTGTGGAAGGAAACCCAAAACCTTTGACCCAAGTCATAGAGTTTAAAGGCAATGCTGCTATATACTAAGGAAATGTAACTTCTGACTTTGAAGAAAGTCATAAAAGATTCGCTCATTATTCTAACATTTAGCAAATAGAAGTCATTTGGTAATCCTAACTGGTCTAAAACAGGAAAAGTTTAGTCTGATTAATGTCAGGCAGTGAGGGAAGAAAGTTAGTTGTGGCTTCAAAGTTGTTTAGGCCCTCATCACTCCTCTACAAGGACTGAAAGTTCAGCACTATGCGGAGTAGAGAGTGGCAACAGTGACTTACTATCTAGGAAGAAACTCTGGCTTACATTAGACACTACAGGCAGATGCTGGAGTGAAGGTGAAACGCTGTATGAACAGCAGCAGCGATGGCAGTGGCAGCAGATGACAGCGTAACTTTTGAGCCGAGCACCGGTTGCTCAGTGCACTGCCGCAATGAAACGAGTGCATACAGCAGAACGTGTATGGTGCCTGTAACTCCGAGCTTTGCGTCATTTGGGCAACATTTCGTCTGCTACATCAAACGCGAGTGGCAGCATCACTTTAGTGTGTCTGTTATTTGAGCTTCGCTAAAACACACTCTGGTGTCTGTCCTTCAGCGCAAAGCAAAAGACGCAAAGCAAGACATAGTGTTAAATGCTACAGTTTGTGCTCATGTACACATGCTTGGATAATTACATTTGTGCAATAATTACATACTGCCTCTCTGTCCTGTTAGAGTTGTAACCACATGCAGGAGTGTCAGTGTGTTTCTCAGTAGCGGATACACCCATGAACCACTGTCAAATGGTGACGGTTGTCAGAGTTAACTGGGGGAAATATTTTATCTTACTTTTCTCCTACTGTACCAAAAAACTTTGCAGGCGTGAAGCAATCGCACATGCCCTTATTTCAGTATAGCAATGATGAAATGTTACCTCATTATGTCGTTTCGAGTTTCGTCAAGCAGCTAAAACAGCACAGCTAATATAATACTCAAAATTAATCAAATAATCATCGACTGGTCCCGAGAGCTTTAACTCCTGCTCTGCCTCGCCATTACCGCGACATGTTTCCTGTCTCTTTCTTCCTCCTGTATATCTCCTCTCCCTGTCTTTCCATCTCTTCCTTCCATCACTTGTATGGAGCGGTGACAAAGATAGATAGAGGGTTTGGCAGCTGAAGGAAGAGATGAATATTTAAAATCGGGCATCTTTCTCTGTCCTCTCACTGCCTTCCCATTGTCTGTGTGTGTCTCCCCTTGGGGCTTGGATCTTCAACTCTTGGTGTGGTGTGGCGCCGTGTGCGACTCGAGTGTGTGTTTGTGTGGCGCGTCTTGGCTTGTGGCTTTATATTGGCATTCTAAGGCAAGTGTAGTCACTCGATGACACTTAGCTGTCAGCATGCAGCATTAATGAGCGCAGTGACACGCACAAACACTCTCCCCACTCTTACACACACATGCAGTATTCTCGAGAGAGAGATCGGCAAATAATCACCTTTTCCTCTCCCATTTATTTTCCTATACTGTACAAAAACACCTCCTTAGAATATTTACAAAACCGCTTCTTCTTCTTTTTTTATTTAACCTGTGATTTCCAGTGTCCCTCGTCTCTCTTTCCCCTTTTTTTTCAGAAAGTCATTCTTCCTTTCTCTCTCAAACTTTTTGTCTCTCTGTTGTATATGTGGTCTCAGTGTGATATGTGTTAGTTGGCTGTGAACCCTGCAGACACATATCTGACAACTCTATTAATACACAGTCTGCGAACACCAGCCTCCTCCTGTGTGCATTTTGTGTGCATGCATGCAAAGGGAGATGTGTGTGTCGTGGGCTCAGCCTTCAGCCAATCCCTCTGCTCTCGAGGTCTCTGCAGAGATGTGTCTGAAAAGCTTAAAACACACAGATCTCCAGTCATAGAAAGATCATACACACACACACACTCCGGCTGACTCACTGACACTAATAGGAGAACAAGCTGTAATCTGTGAGAATCCATTCAAAAGAGGGATTACATTCTAATCTGTGGATGGAGTACAGTAGCCTTTCATCTCTCTCTCTCTCTCCGTCTATCTCTTTCGCTCTCTGTTTATCAATCCATCTCTTTCCTGCCCTAAAGCTGCACCAATCCCTTTACCAGCCCTGTTTTTTTTTTTATTTTTTTTTATCATTCCCATCCTTGATGTAATATGGGATTTTTCCTCCTCCGTCTGAATGACACACACACACACTAACACAGCTGTGTCACCTCAGCAGCACTTTACTGTCAATCAGCCATGATTGCGCTGACGAGAGCATTGTAACGTGGCAATGCGTCACTGCCTCTTTGGTGCTAAATTATACCCACCACCATGTGCACTCGCAGGAAGCTCACAGGATTTATGATTTTTTATTTTTTTTGCTCCCCCCCCGCCCTATCATCACTTTTGATTTATTTTTTAACTGCTTTAACTGCTCTACTTTTTTATCATGCCTCGTTCTCTAATGAACCTTTTAAGCCCCGAGTTGTTGTTCTGATGCCGCTCCGCTATACTATAACCCTTCCTGCAAAATCTTTCTGCCTTCTTTCCCTCCATCACTCCCACTTTCCCTTTCTCCGCCACATGGTGTTTCTCATTTGCTAAATGAGGAATCCAATAGAGTTAGATTAAACTTCTGGACTCTCTTTGTAGAATCTTTACAGGGAGCCTTTTAGCCGCCACAGCTTGCGTACACACACATAATAACACTGCCACTTTGAATGTTTCTCCTTGTTTAAGTTGAAGAAGATTAATTTAATAATCCCAGTTTAAACAACTAAAAGGAGAAGATAAGAGGATGATAGGGAATAAGAGAGGGAAGATAGGCAGTGGGTAATGAGAGATCCAGACGAGATGAAATGATAGAGATTTCCCCAGAGAAAGACTATGTTAGACACGCTGACAGAGAGAAAAGAAGAGCGCAGATCACACAACCGTATGGCATTTTGCTTTCCCCTCTATTTCTACCATCACGTCTGTCACTCCAGGAAGAAGAAGACCATCTGCACAGTCCCCTCTTGCTTTTCCCCATCTGCATATACACTCTATCTCCCTCCTCGGAGCCCTTTTTCTCTTTCCTCAGAGTTCTCACTTGTCATACCAGTGCTCCTGCTGTCCGCGATTTGTCGGCCTGCTCCCCTCACATGGTCCTGGTTAAAATACTGCGTCCACATCCCCCCTCTGCTCATTATCGCCGGCTATTACGGCTGCTCTGATGGTTACCAGTCCCTGCCTGACCTCTGCTTCCCAGTCTGGACGGCTAATGGACACTCTCCTCACCCTCTCTCCTCACTACTACCTGTGCATGTCCACCGTCCCTCTGTCTCTTCGTTCTTCCACCCACTACCCCATCGTCACGTCCCCGAGTCCAGACCTCCTAACACATTGTACCAGGTGTATGCTCTCTGCACGATGAAATTAAAACTAAACCGCCACGTGTGTGTGTTTGTGTGTGTGTGTGTGTGTTATGGAGTAACATGAAAAATCTGAGTGTGATAGAGACCTCTACTATTACTTCCCATCTTTCTTTCTGTGTGTCACCTCACTTATCTTCCCCATTAATGACTCAACCTCTACCCTGAGTTGGAGCTGGAGTCGGAGTCAAGACAGTCGAACGTGTGTGTGTGTGTGTGTGTGTGTGTGTGTGTGTGTTATCGCCTGTCTGTCTTCCTGTACCCACACGTCTTATTACACATCCATGTGACAGTGGGATATGACTTTTCAGCACTTTCTCTCCGATTAAAAAAGAGAAAAGAGAGAGAATGTGAAGGAGGAATAAAGAGCAGAGAGTCAATTACCACCTTTTCCTCCTTCCCTTCAAAGGGGAGATCAAAGCAGCTTCTCGCTTCCCCTTGCTTTCCCTCCACACCCTCCTCCCTTCCACACCAACCCCTATCAGAACGAGCTTGTTAATTTGTACTCACTACTCCTCCCTTATTGGAAATCTACATATTCATCGGTTGTAGAGTCTATACATGGGAACTCCAGTGCTGTTCATACAATTGCACTCACGCTGCAATAACAATAATGTATAGGCTTCACACAGCCGCGAAGCTCTTTTTCATTGGCCTATTCTACAGTTTTTATACTATTTTTCTGAGCAAATGTTATACTTTTCAAACTGATAACAGTTCTAGTGTGTCCTGTTTCTTTTTTCTGAGAGGCCATCCAAGCCATAAATCATACTCTCTCTCACACACACACACACACACACACACACAATCACAATCTTGCCCATACACCGCCATACTCTCCCACTCACCTTTTAAACCATAAATCATTCTTCACATACTGTACGCTATCATTGTAACTCACACACACCGCCATGCTATCTCCAATACATCATTATACTGTGTACGGTAGGATGTATCGGACAGAAAGAATTATATTGTTTATCAAAAAGACCTATGGTGTTTGTTTGTGTGTAAGATTGAAAATATATTTGCGATTATAGATAACAGCAGTGTAGAAGTAGCAGAAAGAACCAAAGAGTTTTTCCTCAAACTCTTGTTCATTTCAGTCTCTTCTCAATCATACACTTTTACTGTCTCTCATACGCTCGATGTTATTGTTGTTCCATATTGCCATTCTTTCATACTTATAATTCGCTTCACTAAGAATGTTTGTGTACGTAAAGCTGAGCAGGCACTGCACATTCATTTCGTAAGTTAAATATGATTCAATCTATCTCTCTGCTTAGCCAAAAGATATGGGAACGCTCCAGTCTATCCTAGCTGACTTGGGACGAAAGGCGAGTTACACCTCGGACAGTTCGCCAGGTCTAATGGATAAAGAGACAGACAACACTGCACGCTCACAGTCACACCTACAGCCAATCTAGAATCACCAAATAAAGTAGCATGCATGTCTTTGGACTGCAGGAGGGAACTGGAGCACCCACGCAGATACAGGGAGAACATGCCATTCCAATTCTTTTATTCAAACAAGATGCTCGCTTGTTTGTACCAAAAATCAGGAGGAAAAACACATTTTAACTTGTTAATAGCCGGAAAAATCCAGACAGCACAGTCTGGCTGTTATCACTTTGCTAATTACATGTGAAACACTACTCCATTATAATCAAAGCAAGCTCACCGTTTGTAATAGATGTTGTATGAAATCTGATTGCGGAACTGCTCAAACTGCAAGACGGTCGACAAAGCACCCTATTGCCTCACAGCCAGACTGCTAAAAATTTCAGTTGCTGCATCGGTTGTTAATGACCAATTTAAGGTAAAGATGAAGGTAAATGCACCCTTCATCCCCCTACTGTTAGATAAAATTAAACAGTTGACACTGTGATGACCCGTGCCGTATTGTTGCGTGCGTTAGAAGAAGTGTCATGTTGAGCGCAGGACATTATGATTGTGCATGTGTAAAAGAGTACAGCAGTGTGTGGGAGACTATCAGAATCCCTGTTTGAGATTATGCTGCTGCGTGAGAGGGCAAGATTTATGAGCTAAACTGCCTCTCATATTTTCTCTCCGTGTCGCAGATCCTGAGTCGGAGCAAGTGGCTCCTGCAATAGTGATCGGACCTAAAGACACAACAGTGGTGACGGGGAGCGAGGCTACACTGGAGTGCATCGCTAATGCCAGGTAAATTTCTTTTATGTACATGCAGAAGCACTCACTCACACTCACACAAGGGTGAACAATTCCTTTCTTGCTAGACAGCACTGTTTTCTTCCAGGGCAATTAGAGGACACCACATAAACTCGTTGCTCAGCAAGTCTTTGCCCGTAGTATTAGACACACTGGCACACACACAGCACACACACACACACACTTACTCAGTTGTGTTTACACCACTTTAGAGGACATTGCATTGACTTAAGTTCATTTCCTGGAGGTTTACCCTAACCATAGCCACAACCACTACTTTCCTCACTCCAACCCTAACCTTAAACCAAGTCTTCATATTTTAATTGAATTTGATTTTCCTCATGGGGACTTACTTTTTTTAAGATTTACACTGATCAGACACAACATTTATAACCACAGACAGGGAATGTGAATAACTTTGATCAGCAACGGAAGGCTCTGCTGGGAAATCTTGAGTTCTGGCAGATGCAGATGTTACTTTGACCGTGCAACCCCCTAAACAATGTTCCAGAACCACCACCAGCATTCCCCTCCACCAAAACCCAAAGGATACGCTGCCAACAAGTCTCACTACCAGAAACCTCAGAATGCATTTAGAGTCCTGTGTCCATGGCCCGACGGGTCAAAGCTGTTTCGGTTGTATGCGAGGGACCTACACAATATTAGGAAGGTGGTTTTAAAGTTGTGGTTGATCAGTGTATGTATTACAGTGAGTAATGCAAGTACACACACACACACACACACACACACACACACTAGTACCAAGTTAACTTAAACAGAAATTAAATCAAAGTCCCATCAAATGTCAACAGACCAGCTAACACACCCAAAAATCACACTGGCCCTTGCCAAGTACTATATGCACACACCTACACACACACACACACACACACACACACACACATATATATATATATAAAAGTGAAAGGGGTGCAGTCTAGTCTGACTGACTTTTTCAGAGCAACAGCAAACTCTCCTTTGGTTCAATAGCTGCCAGAACCTCTGTAATGATTTTATGCTCATTCCTTAGACACACTGTCCAACCTCCCTCCATGTCTCATATGGACAAGAAAAAGCAATTAAACCCTGGTTTATATGTGCTTTATGTCAAACAATGCAGTTTTTTTGCCTTCATTGTGTTTATTTATTAGCTCTAAATATCAGTTGTAAGCACCTTTGCACTCCTTTGCGTTCATTTGACGGCATCAAAATGTGTCAATTTCGTGTCTGAGTAAGTGCCCTGGTCACTTTCCATTAAAACTAGGTAATCTTGCTTGGTTGGTTGTAGTAACATTTCCATATTACCTTTAACACAGCACAAGTCTGAACTGCATGTCATCACATTAATGGATAGACATGCACGAGTGAGGTACCTGGAGTTGCGTGAAGCAATTTAGGAAAGACTTTTCCCCTGTTTTAGCACCAATGTTGGTCCATAAACACAGAGAGCAAAAGACATAGTTTGCTTGCCTTTCTCTTTTACTTAGCCCTACAATTTCACAATAATTACAAACTGGGAGGAAAAAAAAAAAACATCTGAGATGAAAACAGTCTTTACCAGCTCCGATTGGTGAGACTCAGTAATAACGAATGTAACCTGGATTCATGTTGACAGGAATTTAAGTCTAGTTTGTTGCTTCCAGCTGTTTATAGGAGTCTTTCCTCCGAGTTTTTTTTACATACGTGAATGAGTACAATATGTATAACTTCTGCCGTACTTGTCCTCTGTTTACATTCCGATTTTTATATTCTGATGTGAGAGGAGGAAAAACATTTCAGAGGGAACAGGAAAGGGAATGTTCTGATTTCACTTTTTGTTATATGTGCTCAGAGCCACATTTTTGCAAGAATCCAACACTGATTAACAAAAAAAAAAAGAAAAAAGAAAAGAACACTGAGTCTGCTTTGATCTGGTTAAAACACCACTAGCCAGGATTTTAAGTCTGAGCAGTCTGGACTCAACAGGTGAAACTCTGAGTCTCTACTTACTCAACATCTTGTATTCATTTTCGCAAGCTCTGCCTGTGCACGTTTTTTTTTGTTTCATTACTGTGCTCTGTGAGAAACCCTGTAAGTTTTCTCAGCTGCACTTGACCTGCACTTGACCACTGGGTGCTCAAGGTATGAAAAAGCAAGTGACTATTATGCATAATTGGAATATACCTGCAGTAAGTGTGGAAAAACCCTCTCCACCATACAAACAATTAGAGATGTAGACTTATTTTTAATTTAACGCCAAGTACTTTGGTATTTTAACCTCCTTTAGACCTGATGTTGAATCAGCTCTAAGTCTCCTGCTTTTATACTGCGAGAAACAAATACCTTCTATTGGGACTTAGTGTTTCTGCAATAAGAGGAGCATCCGCTAAAATACTCACTCCAGAATGATAATTCTGTACCTGGGAAACAACTGAAAGAGAGAAACTATACCAAGGTTTTCAGAAATGTGAGTTTAATCAGTAGAATCAAATGCAGTGCTGAAATCTAAAAGCATCTGCTCGCCACATCCATTAATCATCAATGAGTTATATGCACCAGTGCAGTCCTGGTGGAGTGCTGAAATAATCAGAATCCTGAATGAAAACAAGTGATGCCAGTGGTGTCTGATATTAAGGACTTTAAAATCTGCTTTTCAGTCGGTATTGTGGACAAGTTCCTCAGAGGAAGCGAATGTTAAAGGTTTGACACTTTGACCAAGCAGTAAGTTTAGTGACTTATTTTATTTTATGTCAGGCGTAGGATTGGTTACAGTTGGGCTGCATATGAAATGGACTCGAGCCTTGACGCTGAAGAACTTCTAATGCATAGTTTCACTGAGACACGTCCAAAAGAACCTATTATATAGCAGAAAAAGTAGGCCGGGAATTTAAATTTTAAACTATTTCCATATGTCCACATCACCCTGTTTATCGGAACATGGCTGACCTACTGGCTAATCTTTACCTCTTCCACATGTCTTAAAACTGTAGTCCTTTAGTGCAGCCTGAACTCCGACCCTCTGATAAGTGACCGTGAGCCTTGACTGTCGAGTCACCGCTCCGACTGTAATAGTGAACGTAATAGAGAGCAGCATCGTCTTTATTGTTGTTTGAATGCAGCCATGTTCAAATAAGTTTTGTAATGTTATTTTTAATTCTTAATATTTATCTTTTCACCACTACAGTTTGATTACTGTTCATAGCTTTCTGTTTGCAGACAAATCCCCCAACTTAACAATAACTTCTAGCAGTCCTTGACAAAAAACATCTGGAGGACAGTTCCAGCTGCTGATTACATAATTAGCTCATGTCCTAGTAAGTCAGCTGCAAACTTTAATGCAGGAATTCAAATTTTGCATGAAAATGCACCAAAAATAGCAGAGCTGCCCTACAATGAATAGACACAGTGCTGTGGTAATGGTGTCTTACACAAATACGCGCACATACTCACAAAAGAATGGTGTTTTGATGTTGTTTATCCAAAACAAAATTTCATTTTACACGAAAACCCATTTCCTTTCCCCACATTTAGAGTAACTGACTAAACCTCCTTCATGCTGAGTAGAGCTGACTGCTCTGATATACAGACTGTCATCATTCATTTCCTGCCTCATTGACAAATAAACTGATGGATTTAATATGTTATAATTGCCTTCTGGCCCCCCTTTTTCCTTTTTTTTCTCCAATTTTCCTCACCCTTGCTGTTCTTTCTCTCTCCTCTCCTCTCCTCTCCTCTCAGACCAGTGGATGGCCTTGTCGTGTCATGGAAACGTGAAGGGCGTCGGCTGGCCGGTGGGCGTCGGCTCATTATTTCTTCTCCTCTCCTCTCCTCTCAGACCAGTGGATGGCCTTGTCGTGTCATGGAAACGTGAAGGGCGTCGGCTGGCCGGTGGGCGTCGGCTCATTATTTCTTCCCCCACCTCTTCTGACACCGGGCTATATGTTTGTGAAGCGTTGCTAAGCAACAGCACTGTCAAACCCGTGGAGGCAAGGGCACACCTCACTGTAATGGGTAAGAAAAAAGGCTGTCACTCGATCAAACACACAGAAACACACACACAGGCGGGTTTCCATCACTTCATAAGACTTTACTTATATTTAATTCATTTCCTAGCCCTAACCATGTCTACTACTTACTTTACCTTAACCAGAACCTAAATTGAACCTTAACTCAAGTTTGCATACTAAAATTGAATGATATACGTTAGAGGGACTTTTTGTCCCCAAAAGGGAAGCAGGTCCCCACACTATGACTGCGTAAACACATTAATGTCCTCACAACATGAGTAATACAATTCCTCACACACTGCCTAATATAATTTTACATGATTCTCCTGGGAAGACCTTCTAATGCCTTCAACATGTGATTAATTTCTGTTTGAATGTCTCACTTGTATTTTCTTGTACATTTTTTGCTCCAGGCAATGTTTCATTCTGTTTATTCCTCCATTTATTCTTACTTTTCTCCTGGAAGCGTGACTGTGAACACCCCGGGCAGTGACTGTCAACTACAGGACTACTTGAGCTAAATCTGCTGTCCAAGCTCACAAATAGAATGTCCATTGTAGTCATGAACAGCTGTTGCATTAATGTACACACAAATACATGCATGTGTCCTCAAGGAATACATGCATGTGTTCCACAGACACATACGTTTGCCTGTTTGCCCGCTAGCTAAATTAGTTTTGTTCCCTGGAGTCGCCAATCAATAGAACACTGAGAGCACTCAAACAACAGCTCTCTCGTCACAATCCACTCCTGTCCTCGATGTGTGTGCATAAATAGAAAACAACATACACGCAAGCAGGGAGCATGTGATCGATGAAGCGAAACTTTTCTCCCCCGGTTCGTCAGCGTCTTTTTGATCTGCTGTGATTGTCGGAGCGAGGGAGCACCTAAGCATAGAGCGCGAACTACCCACGCCTACAGAATACTCACTAGTCAGAAAAGACCTGCCTGAATATTTATACCCCACTCATTCTCTCTCTGTGCCCCCACACTATCTACCACCAATTTTTGTACTCACTGCCTGCCTCTTTCTTCCCCCCGCAATCTCACTTTCTACGTTATCTTCCTTCATTAGGCCAGCAGGACTGTTAAGGCCTGCCTAGCAGGGACAAAGTCTGCATGCATTCATATGTATCAGAGTAGAGACTGATGAATACATTGGTACTGATCCTCTTTTTCTGCTATGGGCTCAACAGACCTTGATGCAATAAAAGGGATTCCTAAACAGAATAGCGTATGTGTCTGTGTGAAAGGAGACAGCCTCAAAGGTATTCATTATTCAATTTCATTTCTTTTCTGCCCCGATCCACTAATCGGAATATGTATGACACTGCATCCTCGTCTTGTGTACAGTACAGACGACTACTGGTGCAAACAACAATATATCTGTTGTTGTTCTCCATCTTTGTTTTGCAGACAGGCAGCAGGGAATCCGCAAAAAAAGCTCAAAGCCCCAAACCCAGCCACCCAAACACACTGTGTTTTGTTGTGTTTCGTCATCCAGGTTCTTGCACTCACCTGACTGAAAAGGGATTAATGCATCTGCGTTATCAGTGTCACGCCACGCGGCTGTTATTCATCTCTTGTTTCCCCGTTCGCTCCTCACTGCGTGCCTCCCTCGCTCTCTTGTCAAAAATCACACCAAATTGCACCGTGCACAATAAAGATAGGCGATGCACGCGTGTGTGGGTTTAAAAGTTACCAGTAAAGAAACTTAGAAGTAGAGTAGTCAAGTAGAATGAATGTAGCACCAACATGGGACTTTACAGTGTAGCTGTCCATAGACACATACAGCTTGATCAAACTTGCAGTTTGTCTTCTTTTTTTTTTTTGCCTCTTCAGTTTACTCCAGCAACGCGTGAAGGAACGAAAATAACAAAACAAAAAACACTGGGGGAAGGGGATTTTTCTTTAAAGTACAACAGCCTTAAAATGACAGCACAGTGTCAAAAACTTTGTTTGTGTGTTGTTGCTGTACAAGTATGGAGCCCTAGAAAAGAGCGTAGAAGTGAAACCTCTACAAAAATTCTTTCTCTTTGTTCACTTAGAATTGCGTCTTTGCAGCAACCAAAATAAACATTCATTATTTAGTATATGCACTGAGCATTTCATTTTCCTCAAAGTCATTTTTCAGTGGACAGGTGCCACTACTGTGTGGAGCCACTTTTCCAGAGACGCCAGACCAAAAATGAATGAGACATCCTGCCTCCCTCTCGCACTTTCTAGGCCTGCTGTGTCAATATCTCTCACTAAATATGAACAAATGTTTTTGAAAGAACTGGAGCATATGCAGCAGCAGGTCATATTTTTTAATATGTCGCGTTACAATAATACACCAGAAGGCATATATTCACATTCAAATCAGGAGAGTTTTTCCTCATAGCTGCTGTCAGCATTTAGAGCAACACTGGTGAAGATGTTTAGACGGAGCTGTTATTGGCACTGAAATGGAGTAGTTTAAAAAATAGGATTGTTTCCCTTGGGATACTCAGAGTGTGTGTTTCTTTTTTTTTCTTCTGTGACTGTGTGTGGAAGTCATTTCACAGGGCATATACACAGAAATCCTGCCTCGCAATGACACTCAAGACACTCAGGGCCATGAGGGGAAACCATTTTTATTCTGCAGTGCCGGGTTCTCTACTCCAAGTCTCTTCTCTATTAAAGAATAAATACTTGGAGAGGGCAAACTCCCAAATCTTCTTTTAAAATTTTCTTTTCAGCTGTTTAAAGCCTGAGGTTTTTTTTTAAGGCGGTTTTGAGAGATTATTATTAGTAGTACTTTAAGCCCTTGCTGTTAGTATTTGTTGTTCAGTTTGAGATGTTATTTTAAGTGCTGTTTTAAATGCTTTACATTTTTTTCTCCGCAGAACCACCCATTCTGACTGCACAGCCCAAAAGGAAGATCTATGCTGATCTCGACAGGAATGTAGATATCCCCTGCCTGGTTTCAGGTACTCTATCTGTGTGTGTGTGAGAGAGCATATGCATGTATAAGGTCTCAGTATGCTTAAAGCAAACTAGGTTATATAACATGTAGCTCACCCATATTAAACAGCAAAAGTTTTACATGATTTCTGTTTGACATGACCACAGTGGAACTCGGGGCAAAATGTCTGCTGTCAGGGATTATTTTTCCCTAATGTTGGGGGGAAAGTGTCTTTATTTGCCTGAGGTGGAAAGGTAAAGCTAAATGCAACAAAGCTTAGTTTGTATATGGTGATGATACATGTGATGAGATGAGTCTGTGTCTGATTCGTGAAAAACACCATCATTTCATTGCTACTGCCAAATTTGTCTTATGAAGATTTTCTAGAAACTCAGCTAAATTCTGCTCGATATTTTGATTGAGCCTGAGCAGAGACAGATTATTATGTAGTGATTTGTACAGATCAACATCCATTAGGACACTCTCTCCTTGAAATCATATGTGGTGTTGGACTCGGTTTTGCTTAAAAAGTCACAAGAAGTTTGGAGAAAGTTTCTAACATCGCCTACATTCACACCTCCTCAAACCTGCCATACTGCTGTGTGAAGATGGTGACTGTTTATTGTCTAGTTTTTCCTTTGCTGATAATAAACCTTTGGGGGATGACTACACACGATAATAAGCATCATCAGTCCATATGCAATTAGAGATGTGGCAATCAACTTTCTTGGCCCAGATCCAATTCATTTAATATTTAATATCTGCTGATACCGAGTCCAAATTCAAAACCATTTTTCTAGATTATACACCCTTCAAATACATTAAAGTTATTACAATCAATCCAATATTTATGCTTGACAACTGAATAGCCCTGGTGCGCATTAAGAAACTGCATCCAGGCTGTATACTAGTGTTACGTAGGTGGTCATGAACCTTGTTGTAAAGAAATGTAGTGGGGAGAGGTTAGAGGTGTACCGAGGCAGCGCAAGCTCCAAAACGCGGTGGAAGCCTGTATTCTCTGCATGCATGTCAGAAAGTGTTTTTCCAATTAGCTGGAGTACCTGGTTGTACCACCAGGTGGAGCCTCCTACTGTTTAAGACTGTACTGACCCAAGGACGTGCTCTGACTATAAGCAGTTCACTGTTGGCAATCAGAGAGCATTGTCAGGGTCTAGCTAGCAACAGGCCACCATGACAAAGACTTCTGTCACACTTAATGACCTCTTGCCAGAGCACGTTTTTAAGACAAGCTTTGAAAAACTAGGACAGCGTTTTTATATCCCAGTAGCATACGTAACAGAGCCTTCGCAGCCTAAATTATGTGTGCGTTAACCAAAACAGCTACAACAGTGCAGGACAATTGCCCACTGTGCTTAATTTGTGTTGTCCTTTAATTCATTATTGATTGATAACACTTCTTGTGACTGATGCAGGAAGCTATTTAAAATATGCATCCCTAGCATCCCGCCACAAATTGTGCTCTCCCTTTACGACACCTGTCTGACAGCAGACATAAACAAAGGAACAAGCTTAGGTTTGTGCCGATACCAATCAGTTAAAAAATGCCTTGCAACCAAATTTCATCTATGCTGGAAAAAAAAAAAAACTAATTATCTGTTTCAGAAAGTAAGAAAATTGGTGAATGCGGTTCTCCAGTTCTAGTGTTGAAAAGGTGTTGAAGAAGGGTGTTTCACATGCTATTCAACAGCCACTTAGCTTCAAAGCATGCCGAGACCCACTCTCTGCTCATGTTTGCCACCAAATGGGTCATAGAGCTAATACGAGGATGCATCAGCTCCATGACCCTCGAATGCTGAGCCACTTTGTAGCAGACATTGGTCCTGCTGTTTGTCCTGTATCACTATCTGCTGTTCAGCATGTGTCAAGGTGACTGTCCAAATCACATAATGCTGGGATTTGGCATAATTAATTATATGGGTGCATTAGTTTGAAGACTTCATTAACAGTGACTCTGTACTTTTGGCAGCACGAGCACATTGATATGCTGGGTCCAAGCCTGAAAATTGCACTTGTTCGTGACTCTTGTCTTTAAATGGATTACATGAAAAACACTTATATGAGCAGGGCTGGACACAGCTCTAAAAAACTGCAACATACTCCCCTCTCTCTCTCTCTCTCCCTCTCACTCCCTCTCACACACACTGAGTGAGTTTATGTTCCTCCTCAGTAATCTGATACAGTGGCAGTGTAATTAAATAGCAGAGGCCTGAGGGTATGGAGAGAGGGATGGAGCCAAGGAGGAGGAATGAGGGAAGGAGAAAAGACAGAGTACAGAGTGACAGAGTGAGTGAGACAAGGAAAGGGTGAAAAATACTTCACGCATGTCTGTGAAAGCCTGACACGAACAGATTGAGAAAATGTGTGGAATTTGTCTCTGTTTGCCTCAACCAGCCACTCACACACACACACACACATACACAAATACACACAGGTGAAGGGTTGAGACAGAGTAATTGCATGAGCCCCCTGCCTGTCATATCTGGCATGTCCGTCAGACAGGTGGCAGCTGATACTGTAGATATTCGGTGTGCTGCTCTTGCCCACATCTTTTATTCAGAATTTTTTCTGGCCCCTTCAGCCACCCTTACCCTACCACCCACACCCTCCAATCAATATATTATTAGCAGTCATTATGCCCGCATGCATATTTATAGAGACAGATTGGATAACAGAGAAGAAAGATTGGCAAAAAGAGTGTGTGGCGGATTCAGTGGGAGTTGGAGCAGTTTGCTCAGCAGTGAGGTCAGCTGGCTTGTTATTAAGAAAACTACAATTTTTCTCCGTCTGTGTGTTCGTTTTTGTATACATGCACATATGTAGGCGTGCCCCAGCCCAGGATAGAGTGGTATAAGGATGCGGTGCCTCTTTCCAAACTGGCCAACCCTCGCTACAAGGTCACCGCAGCAACCGGGCTGACTGTGCGCAGGGTGCAGCCAGGAGATGGAGGAATATTCCAGTGCTTCGCTCGCAGCGCTGCCGGAGAGACACAAGCACACACACAACTTCTTGTCTCCAGTGAGTTTGTCTGACACGTATACACTGGAACACAAGCTTGTATATATACAACTAGATAAACTTGCTTGTGCTCTCAAATTCTGCTTCTTATGGCTGATTACTCACTCTTTCTATGCCACTGCTGTCTTTCCATTTCACATTTGTCTGACTTTACTCTCCTACTGAACTCCTTTTTCATCTTTATTTGTTTGTGTCCTGTTTTTGTGTTGGCTCATAGATGCTGTAATTATCTTTTTTAAGCTGAAGCTTACAATCGTTTGTATTACTGTTTATTGGTCTTGAGATGGCATTGTTAAACTTGTTGTTTTCCCTAACCAACACATCACATCAAATATCCACATAAATAGCAAATTGTCATTGTTAACAAGTATTGAATTATTGGATTTTTCAAACACAGTTTTCTGATTATTTCTTAGCTCAATTTCAGCTGTGTTGTTCTTACCATTCCACTTCAGCCTTTGCATTAGGCCGTACCAGACATCTGGATTGTAGCGGGCATTAAGTTTCATTTGAAAACCACATGACTTGCTAGTTCATGTTTCAAAGTGAGTTTAAGTTGTGATATTGCTGGAAAATGAAGCTGTGCCCCTAGTTTTTGTTTTTCTTCTATGATAAGCCAATCACAACCCCATCTGACAAACAGTTATACATTTATTTTTAGTTCACTTATCAGTCAGTTGAACGTTCTACCTTGACTCGATGGTTCGAAGTGCGTGTCAGCTGAGAAAGTCTGCACAAACAGTTATGTTTGATTATAATTAACTGTCTCTCTGTAGCTTCTACACCTCCACCATCTACATTTATGCACAAACACGTAGCAGCATGTGGCAGTTAAAGCTTCCACTTACCACCTTTTTAATGTTCAGATCAACAGTTGTTGTTTTTTTTCCATCTTTTTCCGTCATCTTTTTTTTCTTTGTCATTTAGCGTTTGTATTGCTCCTCTCTTTACCCACCAGCCTCCTCTCCGTAACCATCTGTCTTCTTTCCTCTCATGCTCTCTCCCTGTGTTTCAGGTATGGCCCCCACATTTACATCCCCACCCTCTGACCAAACAGTTACTGATGGCAACACAGCCCTGTTTACCTGCCAGACGAGCGGAGCTCCAAAGCCGGCCATCACCTGGAGGAAAGGTACCAATCCACGCCTGCTGAGCACGTAGACACTGACACACAGAAATAACATGTTTGTAATTAAAATGTGCTTAATGACTTAATTACTTTCCTTCACCTCAAGACTAATTTGTTATTTTCTCTCTCTCTGCGTAGGATCGCGGATCCTAGCCAGCGGCTCTGTCCAGGTTTCCAGGTTCACACTGTTGCAGTCAGGTGGTCTGCAGATTCAACCAGTCAGCTTCCAGGATTCAGGAGAATACACCTGCATCGCCTCCAACTCAGAGGGAACCATCAACGCCACCGCTACGCTCACCGTCTGGAGTAAGACACACACAGACGCACGTACTGAAGAAACAAAAACACATTAAACTGCTCAATATACAGATGCTAAAGAGACTAAAACAGACGTGGAACACTAATTTATTCATGCCTGTCCAATCACATTAGCTCAGCCTAGTGAACAGCCATGTGATTGGTTATTGATGCAGTTGGCTGATGCAGCAGTGAAATAATCATTTGACGTGCCAGGTAAGAGGATGATTGATTAGCTGATAAACTTATTGATTGGCTGATTATGTACATATATTTAAACGTCCTGGCAGCTTTAGATTAAATACTGTTCTAATAGATTTTTACGTGTGGTTAAAAACTGAGATAAATTTAAATTGCCTGTTTTATTGAAGACATGGCTGCATCACAGGCTGACTTACTTAGAGACATAACAGATGCCCTCTACTCTGCATCTGCATTTATTTCCCACCAGTGCTCCTTTTCTCTCCCTCTAAATCATATGCAACACCTGAGTGGAGCTAAGCACCAGAAATGTGATAGTCTCAGCTGTTTTCCACAACGTTTAAAGGGTGTGTGTGTGTGTGTGTGTGTGTGTGTGTGTGTGTGTGTGAAGGAGGCTTGTGTGCTGTTTATCTTCCATAATTCCTGTAGACTAATTCATTTCTCATTATTGTTGAGCAACATGCATTTAAATGTACACATTTTCAACAAGCCTCTGCCATGTAATGCAATATAGGAGAATATTAACTAAATTTTATGTCATCCTCTAAATTTGTCCCACCTGTGTCCTTGCTCCTCCTCCCTCTCTCTCTTTCCTTCTGATATTTTCTTTCTTTTTCTGATTTTTCTCTCTGTAACTTCAGGTCGCACAGTCATTTCTGTGCCTCCAACAGACCAGCGTGTTATCAAAGGAACCACTGCTGTTCTGGACTGTAACGCCACACATGACCCCAGAATCAATATCAGGTACCTGATTGTCAGTCGGAGTGTTTATTTCATGCAAACTTAACCTTCACATCTGATTATCTGCTCCATTAGAAAGGGCTTATGCTAATGTCTTAAGTCTTTAAATATACAAATGCATCCACGAATGCAGCTTCAGGTGGGATCGAGGCGGTGTGCTGGTCCTTCCAACCAGTGGGGGCCGTGTCTCCCTACGCCAGGGCTCGCTCACTATTGGTCAGACGTGGTCAGGTGACATCGGGGACTACACCTGTACTGTGACATCACAAGCTGGCAATGATTCCCGCTCTGCACGCCTCGAAGTCATGTGAGTTGAAAGAATAATTTCCCTTTGCCTTGTTTAACTCAAATATATTTATTCTGTTTTTGTAGCAAACTGCAAGGTGGCTCGGTGGGTAGCACCGTTGCCTCGCAGCAAGAAGGTCACTGGTTTGCATCCCAGTTAGGACACTTGGGATCTTTCTGTGTGGATGTTCTCCCCATGCAGCGTGGGTTCTCTCCTGGTTCTCTAGCTTCCTCCCACACAGTCCAAAAACATGTTGAGGTTAATTGGTGATTCTAAATTGTCCGTAGGTGTGAATGTGAGTGTGCTTGGTTGTCTGTCTCTAAGTGTAGCCCTGTTCAGGGTGTCCCCTGCCTTCACCTTAAGTCAGCTGGGATAGACTCCAGCTCCCCACAACCCTAGTGAGGATTAAGCAGTGTATAGATAATGGACGGATGGATGTTTTTGTAGCGGTTAAGCAAATGTTGCTGAGCTCCCCGCTACCTGCTTCAGTTAAACTCTCTCTCGACTCACATTTATCATTTAACACATTTAGAAGTTTCTTCCCATGAAAAAAAAGTCCTATCCTACCTTGAGTTGCTTAGCTGGAATTGTACGTTGCTTTCTTTAGAATGTGCAGAACAATGAAGTCCCTGCATTTTTCTTCACATCCCCACTTGCTGCAGCTCGAGAACACCAGCTCACCTACACCTACACAACAGCAAGTTGTAATATTGGAGTAATTCAGCCATATATATTCAAAACACAATCTGATTCTGTAGAAAAACAATGATACAGAAAGCCCGACCCTGCAATCAGTGTTTTTTTTAAACTGTCATCAGTACGCTGCAGTTTCAAGGTGAGAATACTTAGTCCTGGTGTTGATTACTTGTGATGTGTTTTCGAGCATATAAAAAAAACACCATATGGACATGTTAATATAGGTTTAAAACAAAACAAACAACAACTTGATTTTCACCAGAGGGGGTCTTTAAATGAGTGTTTGCTGTTGCTTCATATTTAGCACACTGACAGGAAAGGAGTATTAACCTTCTGATTTAGCTCTTGGCAAGAAAGTGAAAGTGTGTATTCCCCCCAAATTCTTCATTAATCTCTGAAACACATAGTTTTTTTTCTGCTATTCACATGTATTTTACCTTTTCTTACTCATATGATAGACTGATATACATGTGTAGGAGTGAAAAAGTTTTGGCAGCATAAATTGCTTTCTTCCTCACGATAAGACACAAGGTAACTTGATGTGCCAGTGCTTTAAAGAAGAAAAAAAAAATAGTCCATCAGTCTAGAGCTAGCAGTCTGACAGATTCAAATTGCAGATATGATTGACAGGGAAGATGCCGTACGATACAGCACTTAAATAATGACTGACTATGCTTGTTAAAATCAGGAGAAGCAGCAGATGGGTAATTGGGTATATTGCCACACATAAAGAAAGAATTATTGTCAGCTTGTTTCAGTAGTTGTCTAATAACATAATTGCTTGTTTGTAGCAATAGTCATGTTGAGTCAGAGGTCAGACCGTCTAAACCTAATACCGTGTTCGTGCTGGTGTGAGAATATGGCTCCTCAGTGGAAGTTATTATTAGCTCGTAGTAATAGTTGTGTTCTGACATATCTGCAATTACCCTTCATATGCAGTAAACGTCTTGCTCTGTGAAAACGCAACCATATTAGTCATCCACTGTAGAATCTGTATGTTCAGTATGTTTGTATGCATGCATGCTTTCATGTGGACCGGGTTAGCAGATGTGTCACAGGGCAGCACTGTAGCGCGGTGGTTTGCACTGTCGCCTCACAGCTAGGAGCTCCTGGGGTCTTTCCGTGTTGAGTTTGCATGTTCTCCCTGTGCCTGCCAGGGTTCTCACCGGGGTCCCCGGCTTCCTCCCACAGTCCAAACACATGTCAACTGGTGATTCTAAATTATTTGTAGGTGTGAATGTGAGTGTGCTTGGTTGTCTCTCCGTGTTGCCCTGCGATGGCCTGGTGACCTACTGGTAACCTGTCCAGGTGAACCCTGGCTTTACCCTGAGTCACCTGGGATAGACTTCAGCCCCCCCTCCGTGACCCTACAGAGGATAAAGCAGTGTGTAGATGATGGATGGATGTAAATGTGTCACGCTGTGTGTCTGGCGCTCAGACTAAAACATGCCACACAAGTGTGTCCCACACTCCGACTCCCACAGCCTCATTACAGCCACTGTGAGAGAACAGGTAGTCACCTTAATATATTAATAGGCACTTTTATAATATATTTATTAAAAGCACTTATGATATATTAATATAATTGCAGGGTAGCAGAGAAGCTGAACATGAGTCCACATCCTTCTGAATTATAGAGAGACAAGAGGTTTCACATGTCACACTCACAGGGAGGGAGCAGATCTGTGTTTATGGCTGTGCAAAAACATGTGGGGAACGAGGGGATTTCTGTACGACTGTGTGTGTGTGCGTGTGTGTGTGTGTGTGTGTGTGTGTATCTACGAGTGTGACTGACATTCTCGTTAGCTCAGTATCATTGGGTCATAGAGGCTAACAGACGCTGGCGGCTGAGGAGACAGACTAATTACCAGCAGGTTATTGGTTCATCTCCCGCAAGACCCATCCATGGGTCCGTGAGTGTGTGTCTGTGCTTGTGTGTGTGTTTTGTGTGGGTGGGGGAGGTGTGAAGGTAGTTGCTCTAACATTCTCTAAGCTCATCCATTAATTAATATGATCATGTCAGCTCAGAAAAGAAAACATCATTCTCATTTCCCCTTGCTCGCTCTCGGCCTCATTCGCTGCTGTCCGCGCGTCTTCTTGCGGTGCCCTACTCTTATAGCATTTTGTCTTATTCGTCATCCATCTCTCCATCTCTCTCTCCCTCTCCTTTTTTTTTTGGCCACTGGAATATTAAACTGTAAAAATTTGACGCCAGCAAAAACAGAAACAAGGCAAACATTTTTAACCCCACTTTATCTGATGCAATTAATTAGAGCTTGCAGCCTGTCAAGAGGAGAGCCCTTGGACAGCATATTCACACATCCATGATTGCTAACAAATAATTAATAAACTTATGAATATGAGATGCAGCTAGCCTAGACACAAGGGACGATCTCTGCTATCATGGATTCGGTGTAAATATATTTATTTTGTTCGTCTAAGTTGTCCGTAAATATCTCCACTTCTGTTATTCCCGTTCACATAGAAGGACACTGAGATCTGCTTTCCTTGTCCTCCAAGCCAACAGTTTTTAAAGAGAGTTATGATGCACGAAAATTGGTATAATCAAATGTCTGGACTTTCTGTTGCTTTCATGAATATATCTGTATTGCTGTCTTTGTTATTAACATGGCAGGGATGCACAAATATCCACAGGGGATGGGCAAATGTCTGGAAAATTTCTTTTTAATAGATGTGGTGAGATATATTTGTGGCGATGCAGAGCACGCGCAAATTAAAAATATGCAAACCGCAGTCATATTTAAAAGATATCGCCCACTGGAACTGATCCTGGACCAGACCCAAGAACTAACCTGGGTGTCAGAGCCAACATTATTCCGCCGCACATATTTAATGGAATAACACAACACAGGAAACAAATATCTGTCTAATGAACAGTCTCTGCACACAGTCACAGACATGTTTATGAGATGCAAATGCATAAATGTGTTATTACTTGTTCAGACGCACTCTTTTGTCTAGATGCGGATGTTAAACAAGCAGCCTGATTTTATTTTATTTATTTTTTTTGGAATAAAATGCTTTGCTTTCTTTCCAAAAGTTAAAAAAAAAAAAGTCAGAAAGAGAAGATTGATACCATTCTCATATCTTGATTGAAAATGTGAAGCCACAACAAGCGGAATAGCTTAGCAGACAGAGTGGAAACAGAAAAATTCACCTGCCAGCACATCTTAAGCTCAAAATAACCTGTTATATCTCACTGGTTTACTCTGTACAAATACCAATGTGTAAAAACTACAAGTTGTGGTGTAATGGAGTTGCTGCTTTATGTGCCGAGTATTTACTGACTGGGAGCAGTAACTTTTTGAAAACTACCTGGCTAATGCTTGCAACCAACATTCTGGCAAAACGTCTGGAGTCATGCTGGAAATGTTGTAATTCTACGGTTCTAAACATTGACGTCTTGTTATTCTTTATCTGAATGGGACCTTGGTGATACAGTAGGGCCTAAAAATCAGACAAGTACGGATGGCTCGTATCAGTGATGCCATTGATGTTAATGATGTTAATGTAGTAACAACACAACTGAGATTTAGAGGTGCTGCTGGTGTTTCCCCCAAGCTACATGTTTCCAGTCTTTGTGTTGATTGCACAAACTCGTGCTGTATATTCCTATAATGTTGAACAGTTTCTCTGAAGACTCATCAAATGACACTACAAGAGCAATTTTTAATAACATCTGACAGCTTTTTGTTTGTTTTTATTTTGTCTTTGTTGCGTCCAGAGAGCTGCCACATTCTCCTCGCTCCCTGACGGCTCGTCTCAACGACTCTGACTCCCGCTCCGTCCTGCTGTCCTGGCTACGCCCCTTCGATGGGAACTCCCCTCTCCTGTACTACCTGCTGGAGCTCTCTGAGAACAGTATGTATGAGTGTGCATGTGTGTATGTGTTTGTGTTTTTGTGTGTGTGTGTGCCCGTCCCTGGGCCACTTTACATTTCCTGAGCGGCAAACAGCTGTTCGCTCGCTGTCTGTGAGGCACTGACATGCACTCATTTACAAGAGACTGGCATATGGAGGATGGTGTTGCTGCGTAAATGTACATGCAGGTTCCCTATAAATAAACTCTTATTTTCCCTCCCTCCTTTACCCTCTCTCTCTCTCTCTCTCTCTCTTTCTCTCTGTTTCTCACCCTCTCTCCACCACAGATGTCGAAACAGCAGGCTGGCACTCTGTCAAATAAGAAAGAGAGAGGGAGAGAGAGAGAGGAAAGAGGGACTGAGGACTATAATGACAGGAGAAACAGATTGGAGGGAGATGGCTGTAGAGCCGCTCACTCCTGCTGTAAGCTAAGGGGACAGGGTGGTGAGCATGCACAGCTAAGCACTTGGCATATCGCTGCAGGAGCCGGTCCGATGAACAAATATCAAGTGTTAATCCTCATTCTGATAACTTTTAAGACAGACACCATGAATGTGACTTTAAGTTTTGCGCTGTCAACATTTAACAGCTGCTCCGTAGCGTCTACAAAAATACATCAAAATAATGATAGAAAGAAGTGTTGTCCTGGGAGAAAAGAGAGAGAATAACAAGGAGCGATAAAGAGAAAGATGAGGAATGTGGAGAGCCTAAATGTCTGGTCGATTGCAGTGAAGGATGAATGTCGACGGTAGGGAATGGATTAGTTTTGTGCGCACTGATTACCCACTCTGTGCATGTTATATATCAAATTCTTTTGGATTGTATTTTAGAGAGAATGGCCCTCTATGAATACAATGTATTTTCATGTCAGACAATGGCTCTAATACGGTGGATTCGCTTATAATGGCACATGCACGCTATCCTAGTGATGTGGCTGGTGCGATAATGGGGATAATAGTGCATCTGTCTGTGGTATCTTCGGCAGGAAGACTGAAAGATAAGCTGGCAACAATATGGCAGCATCTGCGCTTCTTTATTAATTCTCCTTTTTTTCCTCCCAACTTTCTTTCTTGTTGCATCCTATGCTTCATCTTATAATTCTCTCCAACTTTCCCCCTCTTCCCTTTACCTTGCCTCTATATCTATTCCTCCTCTCTTTCCTTGTGATTTATAGGCCCCAAGTGTCCCTGTGTCTCTGTTTGTCCTTCCTCAGCCAGATATTATCAGCCTCTACTATTTGTGTCTTGTGTCTAGACTCTCCATGGAAGGTCTACCTGTCGGAGGTTGATCCTGCAGTGACCGAGGTGTCAGTGGGCGGGCTCACACCTGCCAGGACCTACCAGTTTAGACTCTGTGCTGTCAATCAAGTGGGAAGGGGTCAGTACAGCGCTGAGACGCAGAGGTACGAGCCAATTATGCAAATTCACAAATACATGCAGGCATGTCCTCACACCTGACACACATTCACCACTGCCAGCTATACTAAATACACACTTCACATTACTTCTTGTGATGCCAAACTACTATTTTCCTGATGTTTCCAGAAAGCATGAAACCATTTTTTATTTTTTTTTGCAAAACATGCTATGATTTGTATGAAATAGATTTTTTTTCCTTGTTCCATCTCTGCGTAATAGACTTGGTCACACTGCTTTACACAAAGTGGGAATGAATAAAATGGAACCTTTCTGCAGTCAAAAGGCATAGCGTGTGCACCCCCACAGTCTACTTTGTATACCTTAATGTGAGCGTGTGTGTGCTAGTGTGTGTATTGAGAACGGGCAGGAACATGGGATTCAGAATGGCGATGAAACAAGGATGGACTTTAACAAGGCGAAGATGAAGGGAGCATCCCTTTTTTGTTTAGAATCCATTTTCTTTGCAATGAGCAATTTATATTCAACACATCCATGCTGTAGATGTCTGCGTGTCTGTGTGTATACATGCGTGTCTGTCCCTGTCAGTCTCTTTCTATTGCACAAAGTGAACTAAACAGCAAAAATGATGAAATTAACTGCTCTGCGTGTTTGTGTGTGAGGATCTGTTTAAAAGGGAGAGTGTGTGATTTCGCCTGAAAAGCAAATAGATTGCTGTGCAGATGTTTTATGTTTGTGTGTGCATGTGCATGCATGTGTGTGTCTGTTTGCATTTTCATCCCAAGAGAAAACACTAATGGGGGTAATTATGATGCCTTAGCACTGATGGAACTGCGTCGTGTGAGAGAGGGTTGGAGGAGGTGTGGCAGGCCTCCTAACAATTTTGCCCCTGAGTACTCACATACACCAAATCTCTGACACTCACGTACAATACAACAGATGTGCTGCTGCATTATAAAGCCGACACACACGTACACACACTAACGTGGTTTTGTCTGACTGTAGAGACTGACCACAGGCAGATGCCAGTGGTAGTTCTGCCAAATAGACACGGCAACAACAGTTGCTGTGAAAGCTGCCATCACACATTCACTCACCTCAGATTACAGTCACCTTTCAGTGTCCTTCTCAGCGTGCTGTTCTTCTCTTATCAGTTCTGCTTTTTTTCTGCGCTGAGTTTTTTTCTCCTCCTCTGTTTCTGTCCTTTATTCAAAAATCTTTCTCACTAATCCCCCTCTTCTGCTTGCTTGTCATTACTCCTCTCTTTCCTCTTCTCCTGCATGCACCAGTGTTTGTTTCCAGCAGCCATTCTGCCATCTCGTCCTCAGTCCAAAGTTGGTTGTTAAAGGCCCTGGAGAATAGATTGGATTGATCCTCTTTAAATGAAAGACTGGCAGACAGACAAGTCATCACTGGTCAGTGTATCAGAGCAGATGGATGCGTCTCTTCTTCAGTGTTCGCCTCATACGTAACCACACACACTTTCTTTTTCATCTGCTGGATGTTCGCCTGGATAAGACACGTACACGAGCAGGCGCAGATGCCAAGGCGCGTGCTGCACATAACACACAGGGAGAGTGAAGCAGAGCAAAATGTTCTGGAGAAGCTCTGAGAGCCAAATGAGAAGGATGACAAAATGCAGTAATGTGGACAGAGTGAGGGAACGGGACAGAAAGTGAAGAAGAAGCTTGTAATATTGATGACAAAAAGCCCTTATTAAAGTTTAAACTTCCAGCTGCTTCTGCACTTTCCCATTTTGTTCTCATCCTGATTAGTATCTTTATCCTAACAGCATCAATTCATACATTTCCTCCTGTTTCTCTTTGCCTCCCATCCTTACCCTGCCTTTCTTTTCTAACTCCCCCCTTGTTTAAGAAAGTTCACAAGTGCACTGAAGCCATGGGGAGCATTCCTCAAGATGGACATCAGCCAAAAGTATATGAGTGAAGGCGATCAAAGCTGGAAAGCATCACTGCTAAATGTAGAAACTCTCTTGAAGACTCCCAATTACACAGTCTGGAGTGTTGCACACACACACACACACATATCCTTACTCATGCATGACCTGCACTCACGCCATTACCATCTTTAAAGAGGAAGCATTAGCAGAGGAAAGACAGATTATACATAAATGCCTTGAACTCGAGGCATCATCAGCACTTTAAAACATCCATCTCAATTCTTTTTGGCTTTACGCCTGTTTTTTTTATTCCAGCTGTTCAGTCATAACCAGAAGACAGCAGACTTTAACACTGGCTATGTGATAAAACACTTCCTCTCTTTTTCTTTTAGACGCACACACAGGCACGTATCATAAAAAAATAATGCCTTAGGAGGTTCATAAAGAGATTAAGATTAAGCGGAGATTTGTGCTATGCTTTCCAACGTATTAATATTGAATTATATCTGTGTTTAACTGTAGCCGCAGTGAGTGATTTATTTACTTTATGTCATAGAACTGGAAAATTACAGACCTTCACACAACAAAAACAAGGAAAATGGATCTGAAAGCGCTACAAAAACTCAAATTATTTTATTCTGTGTCCATGTATGCTGCGTGAACGTTAGTTAAACGTGAGCAGACACTACAGATAGCAGCACTGTCAGTGGGGATGTGCTCGACACATCGATCTGACTCCGCTCATTAACGAGTGCTTTACATGAACTACATACGTGTAATGCTTTCGCTACTTCTCTCACTGTAGAGAGACAAATGATTGCAAAAGCAAGTTTAATAACTGTTGAATATTTTCAGACATAAGCTTGCGAACATGTCACAAAAAGTACAGCAAGCAAAAGCCAAGGACATGTGAGTCAAAGTACCACAAGATTAAGACAGAACTGATCATGTCTAATGTACTTTCTAGAAATCACTTGTTTTTTATAATGATGGAGTATATTCTAACGTGTGAGGTCGACCTGATAGTTTCTTGGAACACAACATCCAGATTGTTTTAGTACCCTGCTATACAAGGCATAAGGAAATTTAATAGTGCAAATCCACAACATATGTAATCTCAAAGCGCTTATCATAGTACAGTACTGATCTGACAAATATCTTACACTAGACTGAATTAATTTGGAAATACAGCTCTTTTACAGTAAAGAAATTTCTTGCACAAGAGCTCGCCCATGAACCAAACTAAACTTCAATGAACTACATTTTGTAATAATGACATTAGGTTTTTAACTGTTCATTAGTTATTCATTAGAGTTATTTAATTAACTCACAACATAACAGGTCAGCCTTTATTTCTATGGAGTTAAATAGATCATTATCTCGGCGGTGTCCTCCAAATGATCCCGGTATTGTGACGGTTAATTAGATGTTAAATACAAATGAAAGGAGCAGAAAATGCTAAAAGGAGATAAGGATCAATTATTGACAATTATAGATTGCTGTGGTTTTATGCATTCATGCGTTTCTTTACCCCAGCCAATCTTTAGCCATAATTACAAATATGTTTCCCCCCCTCTAATTTTTCTAAAGTTCCATTATTCACGTTGCACACAAATTTCAGACATTCAGTGTGACAGTTTTCAAAGTGCCGGCTTTTAACGTTTCCCTTAAACATTCGGTACGTAAGATTATCCTGGTAGATAATTATTACTTCATACGTATCAGTAAAGTAATGAGGCAAAACTTAAAAACTGCTCAGTATGATGCGCCACTTTACTTGGGATTGCACGAAAAGAGTAATTAATGATTAACTAATGAATGAGGTATTAGAAGTCTGAACCACTCAGCGGCTGGTTCAGACTCAATGACGAGGAAGTACTCAAAAATTCCTCACTCCATGTCACAGATATTTATCATCCTAAATACATTCGTTTTTTTGGTAACATATGTTGTATGTAGTCCTTCTGAATTATTGAGGATGTGCTCATTAACTTTTCATTAATTGTTAAATCGTTTGTGATTACTTGCTTAGAAGCTACTCGCATTTTCGTGTAAAACTGTTACCTTTACTTACATCCATCGATTGCTCCTTGATTCCAGGGTGTCTGAAGCCCACTGTCCCACATTTAGTTGTCTTTTTAAAAATGTTTTGTGCTGCAGTGTTTAAGTTCTGCACACCAGATGACAACACTAATACGAGAGCATCTGTCCAAAGGTTTTTTTAAAGCGACGTTATTGGTAAGCAGCTAAAAAGGTAGCTGATTGATAACATAGTATGATCACAGATAAACTATTTATTGAAAATGACAAGCAAATATGCACAAATATGTGTTTTGTACATCTTCTAACCTCCATCAAAACTGCACAACGTTTAAAGAAGAACAGAATTAAAGTGTCAAATAAGACAGAATTGAAGCTCATTTACTCAGCTGGTTGTAGCCAGTCCCACCACTTCTCTCTTCTCCCTTTCTGTTTTTCATTGTTTTTCAGTTGCCCTCTGTTTCGCTTATTTTTTACTCCTGCTGGATCTAAATTTTACTGTTGTGTTTGAATAGGGACGGACTCAGCATCCCAGTAACACCATTAAATTTAAGAGTCGGTGTATTCGTGTATTTAGCCGAGAGAGCCAGCAGGCATTAAACTGTGGAGAATGACACAGCTAGAAACTTTTCCTAATTCCCACATCACATTACCAACCCACCCACTCCCCCCACACAGACACACACACACACACACACACACCCTCGCTTTCACGCGCACACTAGAAAATTTATACATGTCCTGCAGAAAATGTCCTCTTTTCTTAACAGCAAGGGACAGAGAAAGTGTGTCGTTAAGTTCTGGGCAGCGTTTGTTTGGTTTGGTTTGCGGGACGTATATGAACGCGTGTAGGTGTGTGTGTGTGTGATGTGCGGTTTTGTATAAGTGGGTGGGTTGGGGTTTATATATTTAATCTCCTGAGTGAAGTTGATGTCCTCATGCTGAACCCACTGTTTGAAATATTTACTCGTAAATGGCTGAGAGGGAATTAAGGCAATTCACGAGGAGTTTCTGCTATCCGGTGTGAGTGTGTCAGTGTGCGTTGCTGTGTTTTATTTGCAGTCAAACGGCGAGCGACTGCATCTGTTGGGTACTGTACTGGGCGTCCGGGTGTTTGTGTAGCGTGAGGTTGCGTATGTGTATTAATGTGCATCGTCAATTTCAGTCAAAAGCAGTGGCATAGTTGAGGATTATATATACCCCATTTCCAGACAGCTACTCTAATGCCCATCTCATTCGCACAAGGCCCATTAGCCCGTGTGTGTGTGTTTGTGTGCACGAGCATGTGATTGTGTGTGTGTGTGTGTTTGTGTCTGTGTGTGTGTGTGTATATGCCTGCAGCACCTGGTGTCTGACAGTGCCTAACCTAATGGAAGTAAAGCACAGCTGTAAAACCACTGGCCTGTGCTATATATCCGCCTGCACAAGTCTCCAGCTAACTGCTTTCACACCGCTGCTTTCACACAAACACACGCACATATATAGATGTGCATACACATTTACGGACGCACACGGATTCAGACACACAAACACGGCGAGCCATACCACAGCTAATGGTTCAATAGCTTATAGAGAATCATTCAGGGAGAGATGGGCCACAGAGGGGAAGTAAGGGGGGGCTGGAGGGAGAAGGTAATGTAAATCTCCAGACATAATCCATGGAAGGGAAAAGACCATCGGATGCAGCAGTCTGTCTTAAGCTGGGAGGAATTTGTTTGGTGTGTTTGTATGTGCGTGTGTGAGCGCATATGGCTCTGATTACGTTCGCTGAGCTGCTTACAGTAAAACCAGAGGCTGACCAGCTCAGCCTGTGTGTTTTACCAGCCATGAGAAGGCCGGGAGCTTTAATCACGGGTGGAGTCGAGAGTCGAGTGGAGGGGGGGGTTCGGAGAGTAAAGGAGGAGGGAAGGAGATGAGCAAAAGATAGAGGGATGAAATAATTGAGGCCAAAGGACGTGATGGATGAAAATTGAAAGTTTGCAGATGGGGAGACCGAAAAAATGGAGGAGGAGTTCAAAATGTCAAAGGAAAGATGGGGGGGAAAGGTTTGGATAGACAGAAGAGGGCAAAAGGGGTGAGGGATCACGCTGTCTCACTGGAAGTAAAAAGACAAGCTCTTTGCTCATTCTCTACTAATAGTGATTTAACTATCTGTTGCTGTCACACTGTATAGCTGCTCTGCTGGGAGACTGAGGCAGGTCTGAGGTTGAAACAGAAACTGCCCAGACAAGAGTGCTTGAATATAAATGAAACATCGGAGGCAGAAAAGCCTCTCGGTCAAAATGAGAGAAATAAGGCAGAATGTTAGCGGTAATCTGCAACATACACATAGTAAATGGCTGTTTGTTCTTCTAAGTTGCCAGTAAATAAAGCACAATAGCAAATACGACTTGCATGGAGTTCATGAACGCTTCTACATTTGTTGTTTTAAACACCCAGTCTCGACTCGATCATTCCCAGGAGAAATCCTCTGGCGCGCTGGAAGTGATGCGTTAAACGTTTCCATCAGCAGCAGCAGTGGTTTGTTTGAAATAAATGAACAGTATAGCCAGAGATGAAAAACAAATGTATTAAATGAAATTGGAAGATACACCAGGAGACAAGCAATGAGACAGCTGAGCGCAGAATTCAATAAGAATTCATCAGAGCTGCTTAAACTGTGAGATGAGGCTCTATAATAAGTTGCGGCTCTGTCCCATGTATCTCCTCTGACAAACACGATAATTTGTTTGTAGACAATCTGACCCCCAGACTGGAAAAGATGAAGATGCTTGGGAAAGAATATTGCTATAAAATTCCTTTTTAGCCTACTTTAGCCTAATACACTGATCCTGTGCAGGCTGTGTGGTAAGTCAAAGGCTGGACACCCACTGATAACCACAAATGCTGTGCCTGCACTTCTTCAACCATACTGATATTCTCATTACAAGATGCTGAATAAATTCGATCAAAATCATTTTTCTCTCTTGCTCTCTGTGGTTCTGTGTGTGTCTGTTTGTTTCTGTGTATGTTAGATTGATGCTACGGGAGGAGGCGCCCAGTGCTCCTCCTAAAAATATCGTAGCCAGCGGGCGCACAAACCAGTCCATTATGGTCCAGTGGCAGCCTCCACCAGAACCGCAGCTTAACGGAGTCCTTCGAGGATATGTACTCAGGTAAACACACACAACACAAAACATATTTTTTTTGATTTATGCCATCATTAGATAGCATAGGATAGCAGTACCGTGCACATGGTAGGCAGGCTGTTGATTTGCAGTAACTCTTCCCTCTGAGGGGATAAGTGGACTTAAACCATGCCAGCAAAAGGCCTCCCACAGCACAACAGTTTTTTTTTTTCCTTTAATTTGTCACCTATCTATAATTACTTGGTATAACCGGGAAGATAACCACGAAGACAGGAGCCAGCCAGCCATTCAGAGCTAGTATTATATGTAAAACAAGAAATACCTTCTCAGTGAAAACCAACAAGAAACCTGTGGACAGAAATAAATGTACAATTTGTCTGGTGTTAGCTGGTAAGTGACATACTTCAGGTTGAGTACCCTACTTAAAAACCTTTTACAGAACACTTGTATTTATTTTTTTATGCACATCAGAAGATGACAGTGATCACTCCCACAGCATGTGGTCCGAAACAGCACAATTACAGCAACAGAACATAGCCTATGTTATGTGTTATAGGGTTTTTCACATCATATTCAAGGTTCCCTGGTTTGCCCTCATCAGGAGAGGACAGCTATAGTACAGAATAACATGTACCCGTCTAAGTAATAATAAGGAAATGCAATGGAGGCTTGTCTTAGTTTCACATTATTTGAAACAACCAACAGTGGAATAGTGTTTTGTGTGTTTGCTACACAACATTACAAAGATACGGCTACTATTAGCTACACAATAAAATCAACCTTTTTGTTGGGTCTGTATGCCATGCGTAGTACAGAAAGAAAGATTTAATTGAGTGTTTAAGTATATAAATGTTAAAGATATAATCCTGTTTCTAAGTGTTGGGTTTCAAAATGCCCTCATCATCTTACAGAGCTGTCGAAAGATTGACACCCACCAATACATGAAATATCAAAACAGAGTAAATCTAAGCTGGCAAAGCATATCAGAGACGTGTAGCTCTGTTTGATGTTTGTTTGTTGTTGTCGTTGATTTGTTTTTCTAAGCCAAATTTCTTTAAGCCGTTCGAAATGATCACTAGATTAAGCCAATGAGTCATTATCTTGTTGTTTTTCATTTACAAAGAATTACCATCTTCCAGGAACTCATACTGAATACTAAACTGAGTGCTACAGTTATAATTATAATAATGTATATAGTAGAGTTAAAGAAAACAAAAAATAGGTTGATTAATTTATTAATCAAACCCCAGAAAATTAATTTCCAACAAAATTTTGATACAGTTTTTGCAGTTGGGCACTTGTCGAGAAAAAGTGGTATCAACGTCTCAAATGTAAAATATGTCAGTTTTATATCACTGAATGTTAATAAATGTATGTTGGTCAGACAAAACAAACACTTTACAGTCTGGAAATTAATGCTGAAGACTGTTTTTCAGACAATCTCTGGACTAATCAATTGTAAAAAGTATCCATAAGTTGTATGTAAATGTACTGGTAATTTGTAATTAATTTAACAGCATATAGAAATATTCCTTCATTCTATACACTGCCTGTCCTGCTCTCTGTTAACTGTATGTAGCCACACATACATCCACACACACACATGTGCTCTTTACCGATGCTCCGGCTGCCCTTAGTCCTCTGTCCTTGCCTTTCATGTCTACCTGAAGTGTGACACACTGTGTGTAATCAAACTGTCATCAGCTGCTCCACACAGATTTGCATGTAATTGCGGTAGAAGTTATCAGGTCTTTATCCTCCTTCAGCGTGTTATCTGCCTCCACTTCAGAAATCAGAAGAAAATGGAATCACACACAATCGTACAGCCCCACTGCATCATTTCAGCTTTATAGGACAGAGCCTCCACCTCCTCCTGCCAGCCCTTTGGATCCTCCTTTATTCTTCTTGTATCAGCTGGCAGATCCTCACTCACTTTCTCTCCTCCTCACCCAGTGTCAGTGTGTCAGGTGGAGAGAGGGGAGAAAGGGGTTATCTGCTCTCCTCGGCAGAGATCCCCCGTCAGCCTCCGGCGCCCCCCTCACTTTGTGTATCTGTATTTGTGTGTGTATGAGTGTGTTTCTCTGTGTCCTGTATGTACGTGCGATGGAGCGCTGACTCAGCTGGTGAATCGTTGGAATATCCTGTTACGGTGAATAGGCTACATATTAAAGCGCTGACATGGGGATTATTACTCCATTCAGCTCCATCAGATATGTACAATACCACAGTGGTATTACACCTCCCTGTCTAGTCGGGTCATATATCCTTTTAAGTGGACATTTATATCACATGTACTAAAGGGAAGGCCTTGAAGGTGCACTATTCAGAGATGTCTACCAGACACTGAAGGTTTTTAATCTTTAGAGATCTTTCGAGTGACTTCACACCGACAGGAATTCCTTCTGCAGAGTCTCCCGTAGCCTTTCAAGTGATGAACAAATGATGCTGAGGGAAAGTGAAAAATGTTATTTAATTTCAAAATTTGTATTCAGACGTGCAATATTCACACTGATATGATATTTTTGCATATCAGTATATTATCAAGTATTTCTAGGCTCAGTATGTATTTCTGTGTTTTTACACATACATGCCCTTTGTCAGTATAGATTTTGACTCATGCCAGCTTACTTTCCTGACTTGTTTTGTTACAAACCCACATATTTAAGTGTTTTCTGTGTGTGTAGGTACCGTCTGGCAGGGCTGCCAGGGGACTACCAGGAGAAGAACATCAGCAGTCCAGAGACCAACTACTGTCTGCTGAAAGACCTGATCATCTGGACACAATACCAGATCCAGGTGGCTGCCTACACAGGAGCCGGCCTGGGTGTCTACAGCAGTCCTGTCACCGAGTACACACTGCAAGGAGGTGAGGCAAGATGCACAGACAGAGATTTAATAGTACATTCTGAAACATTCATATTTAAACAGATATTACTCAACATATTCCCTCATAAATGCTGTTTAGGTAGTAACCCAAACAAGCTCTTTTTTGATCCTGGAATCTTTACATAGTGGACCAGAAAGGCTTCGTTGCTGGACAGTCCTTCATTATGTGTGTATAAATATGTTCTCACTTTATATTTTAGTAGTGGTTTGTGCAGGGGGCAAAAGAAGGTTTAAAAATCTTTAGCGGAAATGTATCCTGGTAGTCAAAAAGTATCAATAGATTTATTATTAAAGAGCTCCTGACATGCTTTCAGGGCTGCAATGCCAGTGGTTAGCACTGTTGCCTCACACAGCTAGAAGATCGCCGGTTCGCGTCCTGGTGAGGACACCCAGGATCTTTCTGCGTGGAGTTTGCATGTTCTCCCCATGCAGCGTGGGTTCTCTCCGGTTTCTCCGGCTTCCTCCCACACAGTCCAAAAACATGTCGAGGTTAATTGGTGATTCTAAATTGTCCATAGTTGTGAATGTGAGTGTGCTTGGTTGTCTGTCCAGGGTGTCCCCTGCCTTCACCCTGAGTCAGCTGGGATAGACTCCAGCCCCCCCTGTGACCCTTGTGAGGATTAAGTGGTGTATAGATAATGGATGAATGGATGATATGCTTTCAGGGTTGGTGCTTTCAAACCCAGATTTTTCTTCCAGTGCTTATCCACATCACCATGTAGCACATTTCCATAACTCCTGCCTACCTGCTAGTTTGTCAAACCCTCAAACAAAGAATGAGCAGCTCGCAGTCCAACATTGTTTCTTCACTAGAGCCTCTAAGGGAAGGTTTCAGCTAGAGGGTTAGAAGAGGTGCAGCAGCAATGTAAAGTATGAGAAAAATCTTTTTTTTTTTTTTTTTTTATAACCATTAAAACATGTAAACACAACTGCAAAAAAAATCAATGTACATTGTATGGGCTCTTTAATCAATTGATTATTAACATTTCAGGAGGAGACAGTGTTATTTTCTTTTGCTCTTGTCTGATTAATAGATTGTTCCCGCCCACACCCATTAAGGGTGCATGTTAATTCTTGACATTTCTTATACAAATTAAATACAAGGCAAACACATGTAGATGTGCTGGCTGACTAGTTAATAAGTGGATTAATAAACGGAGCGTAGTTCTGTGGACTCAGTGAGGCAGAGTGGCAGACTTACGTATGGATAGGAACATATTGTCCTGCTAATTAATGAGGTGGGGGCACCATGGCATTTTGATGCAACTGTGAGGATTGTCGCATCTCTAAAACATAAACAGAGACCTTTCTGTAAAGGTGGCAGATATATAATAATGACAGTGTTTGGGTGGTGATCAGTCGACTTGAGATCACAGTTTCCGGGTCCACAATGAGGTCTTTCCGTAGCCTGGCAGACTTCACTCTCACTCAGCTTTTCGAAGAGCCAATTGATGCGGTTCAGACTTGTGTTAAAGTTGCCCCTGAGGCATCCCCTTGCAGGCATACCAGCTTCAGTCAACTGGGAGGAGACCCTAAGGGCAACCCAGGACATGCTGGAGGGACTACATCTCCCATCTGGCCAACAAGCACCTTGGGATTCTGCAGGATAAGCTGGAGGGAGTTCATGGGCACAGTTTGCCTGTACCTCTCTATAAATATATTATATGAGCTATATTAGTGTGTTTATTGTAACAAACATGGCTGCACAGAGGAACACACTTTTAACTCTCTCAAACGTAAATCAATGAAGTGGTTGTGAAACAGGGAAGAATGTAAGTGAAGATTGTAAAGGGAGATGAGAGGAAGTGGTTGTGGGAGTAAATCTTCTTTAAACACGTGCTCGTCTCTTCCTGACTTTTATTCCAGCGGTATATTATCATTATTAAAGATGGACCGAGCTGCACACACACACATGTGCACATAAAACTCACAGTCATTATTACAAGAGTTCGGGACAGGTTTATAGACTCAGGAGAGGGAGTTAGGCTCATTAATTATTCTAATGTGGTTTAATGGGAGTGGCTGCGATGGATTGGACATTTTCTCTCTTTCTCACTGTGTCTGAGAGGATGTGGCTGAACTCAGTGTTAGACTCTGATAACATTGCTCTTCTCCTGCTCTCTCCCAAGCAGCCTTATGCGCATACTAAGATTCCCCCAAAGGGCAGAGTTTAGTGTTTTATCTGGAGCTGTGAGCTGCAAGGGGTTAGAAGCCAGTCCCCAGGAGTACAGTCAGCGTGGCAGGGAGGGAGAGAGCATCTTTAACACCAATTAATCTTCCATCTCCCTCTCTGTCTTCTCATCCTTTGGCTTCCCTGCACTGTCTCTTGCCACTCATTTTCCATTGGTTTTTGTCCAGGTCTCCTTCCACCCTGCATACTCATGTGTGTGTGTGTTTTTGCATCGTTTGGCCACTTTAGTGCAAATATAAGATGTAAAGGGCATTCCCATCATGCAGCAGTGCATTATCACTCTGTGGCTTTCTAGCATCAGCATAAACCCCTTACTGTGTAATCACCATAACATGTGCCCACAGACACACACATTTCACTGCCACCCTTCTCTCCTCTCTTCTATTCCTGGCTTTAATGTTCGCTCATCATGGACCCTGTTTGTCTCACTGACCAGCTGGTCCGATAGATCTCACATAACACATAAAGATTTACATGTAGAAAAACATTCGTGCGCTGACACAGACGAAGGGGGAAAAAATAAGGAAAATAAACAGAAGAGACAGTGCTCCAGCCTTGGAATGGATGAAGGAAAATGTGTTCAGCTTGCGAGAACCAAACATGTTCAGCACTTGTTTACAATATTTACCTCCTGCCAGCCTTTATTTTTTCATATCGAACAAATAACCTACATTTCACAGGAAAACCGCTCCAACATACACAGTATATTCGACAGCTTCTCTTCATTTCTCTTCGCACTCTGTCTTCTCTGGCTCACTCTTTGGTGGATGATGAATGCCTGGGCCAAGTTCCTACACGCTTCAAACAGACTTTGCAAATTATTGCTATTCTGCTGTAGTTTGACTGTACAGTCTTGTTATTGAACTTTTCATTGTTGAGTCTTTGAACTAATATTCACATTTAAACACACACAGAAGGTCCTGGTTCATTAAATACTGTTATCCATATAGATGTGTGCATGTTATTTTCTACATTAAAGTATGAGTGATGCATACTACAAATGCTGGTGCACCGTAATTATAAAATAAATAAAGAATTAAATGCTTTTATAGTGTATAGAATACATGTAAGTGTCCTCTACGGATTTAACACATGAACATTAGTTTACCCACTTCAAGGAAATTTCCAGAGCTTCAAGAATACAACATTGTTAAAGTCTTAGTGATGTCATTGGCATTATCTTATTTTAGGCTTGACAGCTTTATCAGGAAGCCAACGTTACACAGTGGAGGTGTGGCATTAAAAGAAGTGGGTGTTTAGGAGAGAGAGAACAGTGTTTCTAATAAAAGACACTAATTCAGGTGTTGAAGTGCTTGGTATGAGGTCAAATGTCATAATTCTTGTATCAGATACTTTGTATTTTTAATCAGTAAATCTCACCAAACTGTGCAGCTACATCATGTGGGTAATAAAGGTTGGAATGGCTGCTGGGTTAGTACAGGGAGAGTTATGTGGCTCAGGACTGAGGCCACAAATCCAGTGAGCCGTCGTCGTTCAGATTCAGCCGCTGATGGATCAGTATCCTAATCTCATTCAGTCATTCCTCAGGTAGTAGTATGCAAAATACATAATTGCAAAATGCAACAGATTAGATTAGATTTTTCTTTCCTTTTTTTGAGAAATTAGGTGATTTGGCAGCAAAGGAACGGAGGGGTTGGTTTGGCATTTAGTTTTTGCAAGCTTAGCATATATTTTTAATTTAAAAAAGAACTTAATCTCCACATAAAACATTGGGCTACGGTGCAGTATGAGATATTTACAACCGCTGCTTGTTGAAAAAGGCACAAAACTGAACATTTCTGCACCTCCGGCCTTTAGGTCTGCTACTGCATTTGTCTTTTTTTCTCGTTGTATCTTAACTCACTCTTCCTCCTGGTGAACCCGTGGCAGATAAATATTGTTGTGTATGTCTGTCTGCATTTAGTTCCCACGGCACCTCCGCAGGAAGTGGAAGTTGTAGCTATTAACTCGACTACCATCCGCTTCACATGGAACCCTCCACCTCAGCAATTCATTAATGGCATCAACCAGGGATACAAGGTAAGCTGTGCAATGCGGGAGCAAGTTCTAACACTGCTTGTAACACAAACTGTACTATAAAGATCAGAAAAGAGCAGAAGAAGACTATATATATATATATATATAAAGCACTGAGGATAAATGAATTTATTTTTATTCATCAGTGTTAAACGGTTAAACAGGAATAGGTGGCTGTACGGTAAAAATGAATATATACTAGTGTAGGCATGTGAGTAAATTCTGCAAAATAAGCGTTAACCTCTCCAAGGACTTTCAGCCCAAAGTCATTTCCCAGGATGTACTGCCTTGTTTTTGTTTATTCACACACTTCACCAAGCCAAGTGTGGGGTCAGTTCCAGGAAGAAAAAATGACTGATGGAGAATAGAGATAGAAATAATAATAAAGAAGCCGGCAGAGAGCAAAGAATTGAACAGTGTGAATGATCTATATGTAGTAGTTCTGGCATGTGATTCATTCTTCACTTCGTTGTGGCAACCAACCCCCGAGGAAGTGATTAACATGACAAAGAAAACACATCACATTCTCGCCGTGCGTCACCGGGTCCGTGCATGTGACTCTGTTTCACAGTGTGAATATTAGTGTCTTTGTTGGTTGATAAATACTATATAGCTTTCCAGCTTTTTGATGTGGCTCTCTGATGTGGTCTCCCTACACCAGGCTCTGCCGCTCCGAATCCATGAAGCCTCTCAGTGCTGCTGCACATGTGGGTGTGCATCTTTGGGTGTGTTGTGCTGATAAGGGCAGTAGATAATGATATTAATTAAAAGAGGATATGAAGCAAAGCCTCATCTCATTTCATCCCCCCCTCCCCAGATCACTGACTATATACAATACCCTTAATAATATAGCTCAAAACTCATTGCCAGGAAAAGAACCAGAATCCCTTCTGACGAGTTTCACATGTTCTATTTATACGCCCTTGAAAACGTCTTCCCTCTGCTGCAGGACTGATAACGTTTCCTACCTACTCACCTATCTAGCCACCAATCTTATCAGTCAGTCTGCGTATCAATCGCGCAGTCTGTTTTGGGCACAGTGCTCTACAGTTTACTGTACGTGGTCTTCAGCAATCCAGTTTAAAGTACACACTCGACTATATCCCCAGCAGACCCAGTCGTTCCAGCACTCTTTGAAAATGCACTAACATGGGACGCTTGAGGATGCCACATCAGCACTCTTTTACTGCACCCAAACTGCACTGTGCTGATAATAAATTATAATAGAAAACCTTATTTTACCATGACGGACCGGGTGCAGTGGTGCACCCTTCAGGCGCAGGGGAAAGCAGCCACTCAACTGTCGTATGCGTATCACAAGCTTTTTCACAATTGGAGTCTTTTGAGTCGTGATCCCCTTGCAGATGTGCTGTACATACGAAACCGCGTGTGCAGCGGATGATTCACAGCGTTAATTGTAAATATTTCTGTTTATTTAATGTGTTCGGCAACACCATGCAGTGCAAATGTGTTTTTCCAACGCTTATCCCACAGCTCCATTTAAAGTGAACGATGTTGTAACAAAAGCCCACAACCCCCGAAAAACCAGCATGGTTAACTAGCATGAAACGCTTTCACAGAATGAGCAGTGCACATGAAATCCATATACAATAATAGCAGGGTGGAGAAAATTACACCGGTGTGGGTCGCACAATACATGGCATTAGGGATACTGCCTACAGAAACAAGCATATTGCCCAATTAACAGTGCTGCTGAAAGAAGAAATGCTGTAACTTGGAATAGCGTGAAGCTTTGAGACAGCAGGTCTCAGCACACACAAAGCAGCGAGAAAACGCAGCAGTAAGATCACGGGTCAGAGTTCTCGGAGTTATCGAATGCAGATACAAATGGAAGCTTTACTTTTCACCCCTGCTCTCAGTGTAGCTTTAACATATGTAAATGTCTCAATGCATGATACCATTAAAGAAGCATTTTAAATTCCATCATCATGCAACTTTTGTATAAACAAGGTCTTTTTTTATGCACCACTAAACCGTTGCTCAGTTTAATTCAGATTAAAAGTTGGCTCTGAGTTTACATTTTAGACAGTTATTTATTTATTTATTAGGATCTATAAATACGGGTACCCTATCCGAGTGCTCCCCGAGGCTTATCTCTCATTATGAATATGTAAGTGTGTGCTTTTCCCTGTGTGTTTTTGTGGCTAAAGCAATAACGCAAACGCAAACTGCTGTGGTTCTGAATATAGATGCAGTCTTGCTATAGAGTGAAATTAACCTTTCATTAGGCGTTTAGTTGGACTGATAATCAAACTTTTCTTAGATGCTGTTATGACTGACAATGGCCTGCCGACAGGGATTTATGTTAAGTGCTACGTCGATACGTAAATAAATGCTAATTTGGAATGCAAATAACTTTTCCAGGGAATAAAAACATGAATATTGTTTTGCCATTTTGACAAATTTCTAAATCGCATTTGGCAGCTTTAAACTTTAATCACAAAAACTCTTGGGTATCAGCCTAATTTGAAAAGATTAACCACATCCCATACTGTGGTACAAATAAGTTTTGCTTCATAAATGCAGTCTGGATAATAAGACTGGATCCAGTAGCCTGAAGCTGTTGAGCCAAAATAAATGATTAAACAAAAAAAAAATAGTGGAAATGTACAATAAATAAAATAACTCTGATGGTCAACAGACTTGGTGAAGATTCATTAGATATTGATATCAACAATGACCGTTTTTCTAATTGAACACAGCTGCTGGTGTGGCCGGAGCAGTCTCCAGAAGACGTGACCATAGTAACCATCACTCCAGACTACCCCGGTTCACGCCACACGGGATTAGTCAGCGGACTCAAGAAATTCACCTGGTACTTTGGCTCCACCCTCTGCTTCACCACACCTGGAGATGGCCCCCGCAGCCCACCCACCCTGCTGCAGACACATGAGGACAGTGAGTTTACACACACACACACAGACACACACAGACACACACATCAGTGTGAATAAAGCCAGCGCACAACACAAAGAACACTCTGTCAGCCTCCCCTGTGAATAATAATGAAAATGTATTGGCTCTCCCTGTGTTCAGTCCAGCTGTTTTTATCAGTGTGATACACAGCTGTGTACACAATACTCAGTGCACACAATACACAAACACCCCCTGTTTTCTCTTACTTGTATTTCACTTCTTTTTAATTTCTTTGTTCTCAGTTTCCCCGCTGCCTCCTCGCTCTCATTTTTTCTTGACTGTGTCTTTTTAAAGAGAATTGATTCATATGTTTTGAGGCTTACTGGTATTTATAGCCTACTGTTCCATGGATAAACATAATAGCTGCCACTCCCAGTTACAAGTACACGTGCACACAGTCGCACCATCAAATAAACACAATAGCCTATAGGCAGACAGACAAGCAATTATTACCAACCAGCAATTATTGAGTGGGAAAGGGATATTAGAAGGCATGTGTGTGCACACGCGAACGCACGAGCTCCCACATACATACACACAGCGGTGGACAGGTATTGATTGGTTGCTGGGCGTGTTGCAGGGTTAACGGTGGGTGTAATTCTTGCTTGATGATAGCTTTTTGCATGTGTGTGTGTGTGTGTGTGATTGTGTGTGAGTGTTATTGAATGTCTCAGATGAATAGCTTAATCGCTCTGCAGGGAGAGAGGTTAGAGAGCCATGGATGAAATGAGAAATGACAGGCTTGCGTGCACCTGTGTGTGTGTGTGTGTGTAGGTGTGTGTGTGTAGGTGTGTGTGTGTGTGTGTGTACGCTGGTCAATGCAGATATGATTAGGAGGTGATGTGTGAAGTGGATGAGCATTAGGTAATAGGCTGCACAGGCAAGAGATGTGTGTTTATGCGCAGGGGTGAGTCACTAAAATCTGATCACTGATAAAGTTAAAAAATAGGAAAAATGATCTGAAGTACCGAATGAATGTGTGTTTGTCTTTCTTTTTTTTCAGCACCTGGACCCGTTCGCCACCTGAGCTTCACTGAAATCTTGGACACATCACTAAAAGTCAGCTGGGCAGAACCTGAAGACAAGAACGGCATCATAACTGGTTAGAGCGTTACAAGTAGACAGTAAAACTACAACAGCATAACAAAACTCTAAATAGTCACTCGTCATTTGCTCCATAATCAAGAAACTTTCATTCCGCCATGTTATTTTCAGTCCCATTAACAGTTGTGATGAGACAAGCTCAAATTAAGTTTGAGTTGTGTATTCTTGCCAGAAAGCAATGCACACAATGATGAGAGATTACATGTCCATCATTTCCAATTCAAATGTATTCTCTCTAGGTCTGAAGAATGACTAATTCAAGTAAAAATGTAAAAGCATCTCCTTGAGGGAACCCTCAAACTTCTACTGTTTCTGTCTGAGTTCTCAGCTCTGTTTCTTACTGCTCTCTCTGACTTCCACAGACACCCTCCTGCCTCTGACACTGTGTTTGTGTACACTGATTCATCATCAGCTAATCCCTTCCCTCTGCAGCTTGTCTTCTCACATAATCTCGAACATGCCCTCATCCTACGCCTCCCATCACCCAGGGTCTTGTTTGTGTGGCACATCGCAGAGCTCAAGGCACTTTCTCCCCCCAATTCATTTTGCCTCAGCTGCTCTGTGGTTCTGTTAGACAATGTTGCTGGTGAACACGGCAAGATGCTGTGGATTAAGCGATTACTCTACGTTGATGCTGCTGTGCGTCTTTGTGTTGTTGTGGCTGAATCATGTCCAACATTCATCAGGCACCTATACAACGAGGCCGCAGTCTAGCAGCACAAGGCAGCAGTGACTTTACAGTCAGCTTACACACTCAGAGGAGTGGGAAAATGGGTATTCAATCAAGGTCACCTTGCACATTTACTCTTTTCTCCTCAACCTGCTTTTCATCCAGCACCTGGTGAGCAGGGAGACAGATGAGGGACCATTCACTCTCTCCAGGGCTTTACACACAAGTGGCCTTGCTCACACGTACACACATTTGAAGGTAGTGGAGTGTGATGCATGATTGCAAAGATGCAAAGGGACAGACAGGGATTTTGACTGTAGTTACCCTTCCCATACTCTTTCCTCCTTTTTGGCTCTCTGCCTCCCATTATATGTAAGTGTGTGTGCCTGTGCATGTGTGTTTGTGTGTACACATGTCGGCTCATGTCTGTATGCACCTTTATTAACCCAGCGTGTCCTCCACACCCTGCAGGCTACGTGCTGAGGTGGGAAGTGTCTACGGTAGAGTCGAGTCATGAGGAACGTTCCCTGTCTAACTCCACCCTGCAGTACCAGCTGACCGGCCTCACCTCCACCACCGTGTACACACTACAGGTTGCTGCGCTCACCGCGGCAGGACGGGGCGTGGTCACATCCTCCACTATCTCCACTGGAGTCCCACCAGGTACAATAAATAAACAGGAACACACGGTGACGGTGGATGTTAAAAACAGTTTTCCGCCTGTGTGTATGCGGCGGTGCGCGTTTGTGTGTGTGTGCAGAGTAAATATGACTGATGAGCTTTCACGATGCCATTGTCTTTCCTCGGGCTGATAAGTGGCTGTTACTGTGCATCCATGAATCATCACCCACACAGCCAACACACACATCCACATGCAGTCACACACACACACATGCGCGTTGGTCATTTACAGAATCTCAGGGAGTGTTGTAGCCTAAGTTGTATTTGTGTGTGTATATACCATGTGCACAAAACACTTTTGTGCACATGATGAGTTTGTGTGACTGGACTAAGGCCAAGTTGCAATCATTATTAGTGCTGATTAACTGCAAATGGCAAAGTGGAGGGAATGCAGCCATGGAAGAGAGAGGGCAAGAGACAATCAAAGAGCAGGACTGAAGAAGGGAGAGAAGATAGAGAGACATAATGAGGGAAGAACAGACAACACAAGAAAATGCAATCTCCAAAGAACAGAAGACCAAAGTCTTTCAGAAATGGACGGAGAGGAAACAGAGGAGAATGGAGGAAAAACCCAGCTCATACAGCACGATTTTTGTCCTAACATTTTCTGATTACTAATTTATGAATAAAAGCAGAAAAAGTGAAAGCAAGATGGATACAGACAGTTCTTAGATTCAGAGGTTTTTCATTAATTCATGAAAGCAAAAGACTGAAGGAAAGATGGAGGACTGAAGATTAGGAAAAAGAACTAAAGAATGAGCAGAGACAGAGTGAGAGAAAGAGAGAGAGAAAGAAAGAAAGAGAGAGATCCACTGAGCATAGATTCTTGTCTTGTTTATTTATTCATGTATTCATGGAGTTGAGAGAATTTTGTCATTCATCTGAGCAAGGCAGCTGATACCAACATTTCCACATTATAACCCTTACAAGTTTGCTGCATGCATTTACAGAGCAGTGGGAGCTGATAGCTCTAATTTGTCATGTGATGCACACATGTGCCTCATTCTTACTGTTACTAAGTGATGCCTTGTTTGCATAATAACTGGGCACGGTCATGTTATGTTGTCAAGTTACAATAATGCCAAATCCACTCAGGTATTCTAAAAACTCTGCCTGATGTGCTTCGGTGGACTGATGTGTTACTGCACACGCCGTTTGGTTAAACACGTCGGCTTTACAGATATGTATTCTGTCATGTTCAGCAAATATGGTACTTGTAATTCTGCGGCAGAATTGGATGGATTACAGCAGATTACACCAGAGCACTTACACCATCCAGAGATACCAAGTATATAAACCAAACACAGCAGAGAAGAGTGTTTGAAAAGTGGGTCGGAAGTGCTCGCTCTTGTTGTGATGGAGTGAGACGATTTAGAGCAAAGCGGAGTGGGATGATTTTTGATTGTGTCAATTTCATTAACAGAAACAAGCTGCCACATTTCAACCGTTAGCTCATGATTTAAAAAAAAAAAAAAAAAAACAGAACAGGATTTCAGTCTGCGTCTCCAGAGCTGTTGTCATGTGCGCTGCCTGCCAGGCCAATGCCAATTCAATTCAACAGCTGTCAGTGAAGAAGTCTGTTCAGAGCCAGCTATAAATTGTGTGTGGCATTTGAAAGGTTGAGTTGTAAAAAGCTTTCATAGGAATATTTAGTTCTGGTTGAATTGTGCATACAAAACGTATTATTATTCCCCTATGATTTATTCCAGGTTAAGGAAAAAAAAAAAAAAAGAAAAAGAAAAAAGCTCTACCGGAAAAGAAAAAAGCTCTACCGGGAGAAAATAATAGTTGTTTTCTGGTTGTTGTCGACCAAAGTCAGAGCAGAACTCAGTTTGAATGTGACAGAAGCAGCTATTCAAACTTTTAGTCGATGGTGTTTAGCCGCACATGCCAACAAACTCACTTGGGTTACATCAATGATGCTATTGTCAGAGAATTGTCTTTGTACTGTTAGCTGAATTAGTTGATTTCCAATTATTCTTTCTTCCAGTTATTGATACTGTCGCGCTTGGCTTTCAAGTGTGCACAGTTTGCCAGTTGGGGATGACAGTTATTGTCTAATTATCTTTCCTGAACAAGTTATCCTCACAAAAAAATAGCTTTTAAAGTAGGTCCTTTTACATTTTAATCATAGATTTTTTCTTTTTGGCAGGAGGAAAGAAACTGCAAGATGGAAATACTTTAGACTTTAAGTATGATAATATCCTGTGTATCAGCTACATTGTCAGCTGTGCCTAGATGAGGTCTGTCTATCGTCCACCGATTTCCTCGTTATTGTACGTGCAACAGGGATTTGGTCTAAGCGATCAGGTGGTCCCCATATGTTTCAGTTTCTCATTCCCCTCCAGCGAGGCGGGGCCATTCAGGCTGCCACAGCTGGTCAGCCACACTGCCTGTTTCCTGCCACTCATTATTGCCATGGAGATGGAACAATATCAGAATAGGAATAGGTCAAACATAATTTCACAGGTGTGCAGCCTACACAGACATTTATAGGCCCTCATTGGAATATAGTGAACTGTTCATTTAATTCAGCTCCACTGGTGTACAGATTTATCTCTGTCTGTATTGTGTTGTCGACCTTGGAAATCTGACATAAATTACTCTGACAGAGAGAAATATACAGCTGTGGCATAAGTGCTTGTGCTTAAGTTGAAATTAACTTTTCTTTTTCTCTGGCCGGTCTTTTCTTTTCTTTTATGGCTAAGCATGGACACAATGACACTTTTTTTTTTTTTTTTTTAAAGGACTGAAGGCAATTTCTTGGCTCATTCCTATTTTAAGGCTTTTTTGTACTCATGTCATTATTGGCAACATGATTCCCCTCGTTTTCTATTTCTATTATCAGCGTTATTAGAGATAAGCCACGCTGTAGCTCTGATGACATTTTTGTCAATTCTGGCACTGTACATATTTTTATCCCTTCATGGAAAAGTCTCTGTATTAAAGTGTTATTAGTGTTTGCTCGTTTCTTTTGATCAGTCGTCTTGGAATAATTTGCTGTGATGTTACTTTCCTTTTTGCGCAGAACAAAAAGCCGGTCTCTGTAAATAGCGTGTGTGTTGCATGTGGGTGTGGAAGCACAAGCAAGCAGAGGTGTTTCATTAATGTCAGAGAACTTGAAAGTACCTTTTAAAACATCAGACATGTGGTGCACCAACTGCTATTTTCATAAATAACATTATTATGAGCGCAATAATCCCGTGGGTTTTTGGTTCGTAAACATTTTATGTATCTGTGAGAATATATTAAATGTGTTGATGTGAAATGACCTGCAGGCACTAGCTGCATAATGGCTAATTCTCTTGATTTTTTGTTGCTTTGAGTAAAACGTTCTCTTTTCTCTTGGCAGAACTCCCTGGTGCTCCTTCTAACTTGGTCATCTCAAACATCAGCCCTCGAACAGCAACTCTTAGGTTCCGTCCCGGTCCTGATGGCAAGACCACCATATCGCGATGGATAGTAGAAGGACAGGTGTGTGTGTGTCTCTGTGTTGCAAGTGCACTTTTATGTTCAGCGCGAGGTAAAGTGGTTCGTAATATACTCCCTCTTAAACAGGTGGTAAAGGAGGATGGAAAGGAGGAGGTGTGGAGAGTTGTCTACCAGAAAGACAACCAGCCGGATGCAGACACACTTGAGATCCCCGACCTCACTCCGTTCACTCAGTACAGGTGAGCAGCAAAAGAAGCACAGCCTGCACAAGAACGTACTCAAGCGCTGCCAGCTGCACAAGCACACACACACACACACACACACACACACACACGCCGGCTCGCTCGCACACATCTCACCCTCCGCCAGTCTCTGCAGTATTGCAAGGCTCAGGTGAAGTTAGATAAATCACACAGACACACAGAGAGACAGTTCCATCTGAGACTTTTCTGTTTGTCAGCACCTTCACAGCTGCTGCATGCAGATCCTTATTACCCTCCCCCAACTAGCTAGAGGGAAAGAGAGGGGGAGAGGGAAGGAGAGCGATGAGGGCAGGGGAGAAGAAAGGTGATGAGAAAGCGGGAAGGACAGCAGAGAGCATTAAAGGGAAGAGGATACAAAGGGATGAGAAACAAGGAGAAGAGGGAAGAGGAGGAGAGAGGAGTGTCTGTAATCCTTCCTCAAGGGCTGTGGGGAGCTTGCATTTTGTGAGCGTGATCTATTGCCACTGTGAACAGCAGCATCTCTTCCTCCTCTCTCTCTCTCTCTCCCTCTTCTTCTCTATCTATCCGTCTGTCTATCTTCTGCATTTATCAGGTTATCTGTCTATGTCTGCTTCTTGCTCTCTGTATCTGTGCCTTCATCTGTAATGGGATTGCGGTGTGTGTATGCACACATCGAACACTCGCAGGGATTATGTTGTCACAGGCGACACCATTGGGACGTTAGATGAAGTGATGCACTTGTCTGTATTTCTTATCCCCTGCTTTAAGTCCCTCTTTACACCCTGCTCTCTATCTCCCAATACAGGGGCGACAACTCATAGATGTAGTCTCTCGCACACACTTTGCGCGCTCGCACATTTTATCACTTACAGCCATGCTGAGGCATAGTTGCATTTACAAGTCACAAAAGTAACACTCCCTCATGCCTTTGTGCGTGTCTACATGTCTGCATAGTTATATCTCTTTTACTGACTGAATCTTGGGTTCCCTGAGACAAATAAACAACCTCTGCTAGCAGTTTCACCTGAAAATGATACTGCCAAACCCATTCTATTTTTTAGTGGTGAAACAAATGGCACAAAGACATAAGCACAAATAATCGAAATAGTCTTTTTCACTCTTCAAGGCTTTGAAGTCTATTTGTCTATGGACCCATTTTACCTGTGAGGCAAGACAATATGTTTGCAGTTTTTTTCCTACAATATTTTCAAGGTTGCTAACCAACCGTGACAGCATTCAGGCCTCCGAGTACATCAGAAAATGTATGCTGATATAAGTCTTGTCACTCCATTGCTTAATTTTAAATTTAGACAGACACACTGTGTAATCAGTCGGAAATATTATATACAATATATAAAATGAAATACTGGCGTGAGGAACATCCACCGTTCCACTTGACAACTCCCCATGTCCAACTTAGGCACTTCTATAATGAACTCTCTTCTTATTTTCTTTCTGGTGGGTTTAACGGGGCACAAATCAAGTGCTATGACGAGTGCAGGCTTTATTCCCGTTAGAGAGATTTTTTGTGGCATTTTACCTTTACTGGAGAGTTGCTGTCAGTAGAGATTGACAGAAAATAGGTGAAAGAAAGCAGGAGAGTGACATGCAGCAAAGGTGCAGTTAGGAGTTCAGCGGGAGACTCAGCTGCTGAGAGCATTTTTAAGCTCCGACCACTCAGCTGTTGGGTCACCTGAGCTTTTCTGCAATTTTCCCCAAGTCTACTTTTTTTTTTTTTTTTTTTTTTGCGTCTGTTTGGTAATTTCCTGGCATCAAACTAATGTGAGGTGGGAAAGGAGGCACAGCTGAAACTGTGGGTATGCTGATTAGGCAGCACAGTTTAATTTGTGTGCACGTTTTGGCATGAAATTGCATCTGCATTAAAAATCTGCTCAGACCCAAGTCTTATTGTAGACACAGAGAAGTTTTCTTGGCTTTTTCTGGCAGAGGTGCACATTCATAACTACTCCAACATCATGTTAAGTGTGGCCTTTTTGCATTTGCCAAGCATTCATCTGCAGCTGATCAATATGTGCATCAAATTACAATTTTCAGCGTAATCGAGGAAGATTCTTACAAATATAATCCACATCAGAGCGATACAGTAACGCAGATTTCTAAAGAAATGTAAGTACTGGTGACAAAAGCTTGTTGAATGTCAGATCTTCTCCATGCAGTTGATCAAACGTCTCTAATCATCTGTAGTTTCTGTTCTGATAGGGGGCTGTGTGTAATTTGCGATGAGACAGCAGCGACTTCATTAATCTTCTGTCGCCTGACATGCAACAGGGTCGGTCAGGATCTAAATGTCTCACAGAATCCAAGTTGGATTTTTAATAAAAAGTGACGACAAGAGTTCACCGCCAAAACGCTGTCAGTTCTCACAACAGCTCGAGCTAAAGAAAGGATAAACATAAATTAAAGCATGTTGTGGCAACAGAAGCACTATTTTTGCGTTATTTTTTACGTGTTGTTCTGCACAGACCAGCTGGATGATGAAGGATAACACTGCTTCTCCAGAACCTTGCATACTTTATGCACACCTGGCACAGCATGAACATCTTCATTAATGACTGAATTCTGCAGACAATACAACAGAATTTATTCATAACTGACCCTGTAGACTTATTTTTCTCCCCTATTGGATTAATAAGGACTAATATTTTGTATTTTTATATAAATAAGTCTAAGAAATATACAGGAGTCTATTTAAATATGCAGCAACCACTGAGCCTGATGTATTAATTAGCGTTTTTATTAATTGTGTGCACAGCCATAGCCAGCAGCACCACTATTCTTGCAGCAACAGTCCGATACCTATTCATTCCATGTCGAACAACATAGTTTTGCAACATATGTTCATCTGTGGGCTGTAAGGTGGCTCGGTAGTTAGCACCGTTGCCTCGCAGCAAAATGGTCGCCAGTTCGCGTCCCGGTGAGGACACCCGGGATCTTTCTGCGGGGAGTTTGCATGTTCTCCCCGTGCAGCGTGGGTTCTCTCCGGGTTCTTCCTCCCACACAGTCCAAAAACATGTTGAGGTTAATTGGTGATTCTAAATTGTCCGTAGGTGTGGATGTGCGTGTGCTTGGTTGTCTGTCTCTAAGTGTAGCCCTGTGATAGACTGGTGACCTGTCCAGGGTGTCCCCTGCCTTCACCCTGAGTCAGTTGGGATAGACTTCTATCACTTGTGGTCACCAAAATTGCAAAATAATTTGCTGGTCATGCCAAGTTGTGTGTACTTGTTACAAACATGCTAGCAGCTCTCAGAGGCTGCGTGTCAGCTTTAAACTGAATGCCACCATCAGTTCGCTAACATTCTCACAGTGACAGTGATAAGATGCTTACGTCAAGCAGGTGTAATTTCTACTGTGCTCACATTTTAGTTGAGCGTGTTAGCGATCCATCATCTGCTAATGAGTTCTAAACACAGAGTCCAACTGAGGCTGATGGGACTGTCATTAGATTTGCAAACATTTGAACCAGTGTATTAAACCAGTGCACACCTGCAGGCTTTTTCTTATAAACTGTGAAGTCTCCAAACCCTTTCAGAACCCCTGATCGATATGGTGCTATAAGAATTATCTTTCAGATTTCGGAGCCCCAAAAGAGATTAAAATTCCTCTCTGATCATTGATTAAACCCTAAAAACTCATCTCTATGTATCAAAATTACATATTTGGGAGTTTTTTTAAACCTATTAAAACACTCTGTTCCTGCTTTCAAATGGCTTAGATGTAACTCCACACCACTGCTTCCTCCAGAGTGCACAAATCTATTAAGTCTCCACTTCCCTTTTCACCCACATCTCCACCACTCGTTCCAGCTGAGCACACCAGCTCACCTACAGCTCTGTTGAAACACTGTAAAGCTACACAATAGCAGTTTGTAATATTGGAGTAATGTGACCAAACATGTTTGTCCTGGAAACTGACTCCCTAAGAATAGTCGTACAGAAAACCCCACCCTTCAAGTTGACAGAACTGTACCCTTAAGTTTGTTACATATGAAACAATGGACGTCTGCTTTTAAGACTCAGCAGACTGTAGTTTCAAGGTGGAAATGCTTAGCCATAGTGCTGACTGCTTATTTCACCCAAGATTTGTCTTCTAGAGGATAAAAAAGCACCATAATGGCATGTTAACAGGATAAAACACTTGATTTTCATTTGATTTTTTTAAAGAGGTTCTTGGAACAGCTTTTCTTGACGAGAGTGCTCCTTTAACGTTTCTTTCTGTTGTCATCAGGTTCAGGATGCAGCAGGTGAACATTGTGGGTTCCAGCCCCATGAGCGCCCCCTCTAGGCTGATTCAAACCCTGCAGGCTGCCCCCGACACGCACCCCTCCAACCTCACCCTTCTGTCAGCCACACAGACCAGCCTGCGTTTCAACTGGAAGGTACGGAAAAAAGAAGACACACACACACACACACACAGTCTACAGTGTACTACAAATTTCAGTACACTACTGTGTGATATTGCTTAAATGTCAACTGATTTCAAATGTCATCACCCACAATTGCATTTATTCAAAGTTAAAAAGTGGAGTATTTCTCCTTATGAACAATCAAAAGCAACTTGTTTGTAAAGACGATATCAAAAATATAGATGCCAAAGTTGAATCTCAAGGCAACAAAAGCAAATACACCTGTGATCAGTGACACACAACTTTAAAAACTTGTGATCACTGAAAAGAAACTAAGCACGTCTGTCGTTTCCAGTTAGCCTAATTACATGGACACAGTAAAAAAAAGTGGCCTGTCAACACCAAAACATTCCCAGTTTTGGACCTATGGGCTGTGTCTATTTGCATGACTGCATCATGGCTCCACACTGAAAAGAATCACCAGAGGAGCTGAAAAATCTGATTGCGAGACTAATCTAAGCTGCAGTTGCCATCCCTCTGAAATGACGCCACAGACAGTGTGCTTCATTCACACTTGGCTTCTAAAAATCAAATGAGCAAGTGCTTCAGACTTGGCACAAGCATTATCAATGGAAATCAGAGTTTCTGTAACTGCTCAGACAGTGTGAGGGACAGTGTATAACATCTACCTCGAGATGGCTTCTAAACAAAATATCCTTTGCTTTCTCTTTGGCACGAAACTGCCAGATGAAACTTAGCTGGAATACACGAGAGACCAAGATCTGTATTTTAGCTCAGATGCGGTCCAACATTTTGCTACCACAGTGAATGAATGCATAGTCCCAAAAGTGACGCACAGGAGTGTGAATGTGATGAGAAGAGGCTGCATGAGTGTGAAAGGCGTTGGGAAGATGACGTTTATAGATGGCACCATGGACGCCAGAAGATCTACCAAAATACTGTCTGACATGAAGACTCCCAGTCTGCAGTGGCTTGACAGAAGAGGAATATTCCAGTATTATAGCAATTCAAACAACACTGTCAATATCACACAAATGTTTCCAAAGAGTTTCTAAAGAAGAAAAAATGAAAACTTTCCCTTGCCATGTAAACCACCTGACTTGGATCCAATAAAAGTCTGCTGAGTCCGTCATTAAAAATAAAGGTGGGCGTACAAGGAACTGAAAAAAATGAAAGATTTCAATCTCAGTAATGAAAAGTATACTGAATTTTGTTGCCTTGCGATCCTCCTGTGGGGTGTTATTTTCAATATAGTAAATCTAAATTGTCAGTTTTTAATGTTAAACAGGAGCAAATACCCAAGTGTTCAACTTAGAAATAATGCAATTAGTGAGAGCGAATACGGTTTTGAATCATTTGACATTTAAGTAATATTTAAGTCATGTTTCATATGATGTACTCGCTTCTTTTTATCCTCTTCAAACAGTGCTAATTTGACTGGGATTTCCTTTGTTTCTTTGCGCTGCCTCTGTGTGTATTTTCTCTAATATTTAATATCAGTGCTTGTGTGCATATGCATGTGCTGGTGCACTCCCCAGCAACCGGGCTAAACAGGTTGAGTGGCTGACAGCCGATAATCAGTGTCTCTCCTGGTTATCAGTGCTAACACTAATCTGTCACTTTTCCCTGAACCACTAGCAGCACAAACTACAATGTAATTTTCTCCTCACTGTCTATTCTTTTTCTTTTTTTTGTTGTTGTTGCTCTTGTTCCTGCTCTTCATCCCTCTTTTTCCCTCTGTCTCCTCTTTTACTCCCCCTTCCCCTCTTCTATTATAACATAAATGGAGAGCAGAGTATTTTCCATTTAAGAGCTGGAATGAGAAAAAGAGCCTGTCAAATCAGACACAGACACTGAGGCGCTATAGGCTACCTGTGCAGCATGCTAATGGGATTGTACCTGCGTGTTAGCACCCAGACTCAGCGATGCTAGGTTTTCTGCTGTAATGGAACCATCACAATGGTTTTAGCTAAGGCTATTATTCTAAGCTGCATATTAAGGGTAATAAAGCTAATGTGACATTCTGTATTATGGCTCCTAAATGCTAAGCTGAGCTAAATCACTAGGGTATTTAAAATGACTGGGTGTCTCACTTTCTTATCTGTTGCACAGCACAGAGCAACCACTGTACAATGCTGGTTGAAGTCCTCGGTGGAATTATATACTGTGAACAGCCTGAACTTTCTGCTAACATGATTTTAGGGTAATGAGTAATAGGTGGCTGTGGAAGTAATGCATAATCACATGGTGGGTCACGGGCAGAGTGGAGAGGATGAGATGACAGAGAAAAAGTGTGGACAAGAGAGAGGGAGAGAGGGTCACAGGAAATGAGAATGGAAGTGAGTAAGAGGCAATGACAGAGGGTGACTAAGACAGAGAAATAGAGGGAGATAGAAAGAGAAGGATCAGGAGATGGGATGTCAAAGGGGGAGAAAACAGTAAAAGGTGTTTTGACGTACTTCAGAGTTGACATAATCACAAAAATAGCCACACTCTCGAGCGCTTAAAAAAAGGTCTTTTCGCTTCTGAGTGTGCATTTGTGTCTGTCATTGTATCATATTGTGGAGACCTAAACGTGACTTATGTCAAATTAACGTCAGTTGTCAGGACTCAGCTCTCTATATATATGTGTGTTTATTTTAGGGTTTAACTTGTTACTATGAGTGATGGGGTCCTAGATGCTCACATTTTTCTTAAAGCTGTTTTGCTGAATTCACTTGACAGATTTCTTGCTTGTGTTTTTTTTTTGACCTTGCTTTTCTTATTGGTTTTAAGAAGGTGGGGATTATTTGGACAAAGTGACAGATATTTTTGTCAGGTTATAAATGTTTAATTCTATAAAATAGGATCGGTTAGAGTAATAGCTAATCTTTCTAGCTATATCTTATGATCAGATTTGCTTGTATCTTGCTATAAATGGTTCTGTGTGAGTGTATTTGTTATTGTGTTTGAGCGTTACATTATGGATTTTCCAGATGCACTTGTGTTCCTCTAAGGACCTGCTGTCATAATAAATACATTTCTCATACATAAACTGTGAACTGGCTGTTAGGAACTGTGTTCTATTGTTCTATACAGCTGCATGTTCCTGTGTGTTAACTATACTATCATTATTATTAGCTTTACCAGTGTTTCTATCTAACAATCGCCCTTTTTATTGTTCAAAATCAAAATGAATGAATTGTCCCAAGTTGTCGTGACAACCAGTGCTCAACACATACTCACACATTAGAAGATGCTTGCACCTGCTATTGTGTAAAACCTGTAAATCAAAATAACAAAAAATGAGCCTGGGAGATGGTCCTGGAAATAGCGTAGACATCTTCTGAGCAGACATAAGTTTAGTTTTAGTCATTAAAAGTAACTTTGCACTCAAATGTCATTTGGAGGAGAGCGACATGACCTTGGCAACATGAAAAGAATAATAAATGCAAAATATTTCTCTCTAATCTGCTCTTTTTTTCCCCCTCTCCTCCCATCTCACTCTTTGGTGCTTTCCAGCCTCTTCCGGAGTCCGAGTACAACAGCAGCCCGGGGACCGTGGGCTACCGGCTGCGTGTGTGGAGGACAGACGGCCAGGGGGAGGACAGGACTGAGGATGTGAAGGGAGTGGGGGGCACCAGTGAGGCCACAGCGGAGGCTCTGAATCCCTGGACCCAGTACCAGGTTCAGATACAAGCCTTCAACTCTATAGGACCAGGACCGTGGAGCCAGACTGTCGCGGCACACACCGCCGAATCTGGTATAAACACAGACCTCATTTAATCCTCTTTCCTCTTTGCAAATGTCCAACAGAGATGTCTGTGAAATATTGTATTAGCTGGGCATAAGAAAGGCAGATGGATGAGGAATAAAGTGCTCTGATTACCTCCCTGTGTCTCCTCTCATCCTGCCACCTCGCTCTGCCCTCTACACTCTCCTTCTATTTCAGTGAGGGGAAGATTGATGGAGAGAGGGGAGGGTAGGGGGGAGATGATTGAGATAAAATCGAAGATTGGTCCAGAAAGTGAAGTAGCACTGAACAGAGTGTGTGTTTCTTTGTGTGTTCTCTAGTTCCATCTGGATCGCCGGTGAATGTGAGTGCTGAGGCAGTAAGCTCCTCCAGCATCCTGCTCACATGGTCTGCTCTCCCTCGGGCGCAGAAGAATGGAGTCATTCTTGGATATAAGGTGAATAAACGCACACAGAGACGCAGAATTCCACCCTGGCATTCTCACTTGACCCCCTCAACCCATTATCACTTCCTCCAGCACCTTCACACACTCCCTGATGCACTCAGACGTGCACTCAAAAATCTGATATAAGATGAACATGATGTAATATTCTGTAACCGCTCCAGTTTGTTCTTCTTACATTACTGCTTTTAAACTCACCCAGCTTCAGTAAGTGTGTTTGGGGCAGAGTATTTAATTGCATGCATACGTAGGAGAAAGGTTTTAATTTTAAATACGCTTTCATAGAAAAGCAGTCCAGAAGCAATAGCTGGGTTGTTCATTTAGGAGAAATGGACAATAAACCATAAAGCATGTTGTTTTTGGAAGGTACTTTGTTTATTTGTAATTTGGAGCATGCACTGCAGTTTAGGCACGAAAATGGGATGTGTTGTGTCTACATTTACCGTCTAAATATGCTTCGGAGGTTCTACATTGGCATTTAAGTCCAGACATATTATACTTCCACTGAGGCGATATTTCCAGAATAAGGCAGAGAAGCCTGTTCTGTTGCAATGCCAGATGGTGACGTAGTTCACACACTCAGATGTGCAGGTTTCTCAGAAAGAACGAGATGAATGATGTTGATGGTGAAGTGCAAGGTGCACCCATTTTCTGATCACTTACTGAAAGTCACACCTCATCTTCTACGCTCAATGTGGATGCACCTGTTTCTGGTGGTTGCAGCGGTTTCTTATAATGCACTCCGCTTCCTAGGTGATTTTCAAATGAAGAGAATACGAGCACCAGTTGTCATTAATTGTGTTTTTGCAGTGTTGCTTTTCATTTTTACTGCCATATAAGTAATGCCCCTCAGCATTATCATCAGGATTTACGAAAGAGAGAATGTGCAAAATATTTTTGCTAATATAAAAGTGATACTGAGCGCACCTCTTAATCTCCACCCAAACACAAGACAGCATAACAAAGATTTAGAAGGGAGGGAGTTTATTCTCAATTGCGTGGACATGGTTGTGTTATAAATACATAAATCTGCAAAAGAAAACAGGCTGTGGCTGTGAGATATAAACCAGTACCATCCAGTCTATGTTTTTCTTTTTTTACTGTTGTATAAAATCCAGGTCATATCATCAACCATGCCCAAAGCACATCACACTCCACGTCTGTGTGTTTTCTTGTGCCCTCCTGAGGAACACTCTGAGCAGCATTTCTACCATGTTAATAGATGGGAAGTGGCTGCCAGCAGCAGCTCTTTAACACCTTCCATTCCCTAGTAGATGCTGAAGAGTTGCCCCAGCTTCCTGCCGTGCACGCCTTGTGACTATTTCTGTTTTAGACTCTCAGGTTTCAGGCAGTATTCTCTTCAAATAGTTTAACATCTTTAGTATTGATGTTCAAGTTCATGAAGACTAAAAAAAAAGGAGTGTCAGAATGTACAGTGTTTACTGATGTATATTTTTTCCTTGATGTGAAGAATAATTTTAATTTCACAATTAGCTTTAGTTTTTTCAGGTTAAGTCTGGTGATGTTCTATACTTTCATTGTTGAACAAAACAACAAAAGGACTCAAGATGTAAGGTGATGTAGCCCGTTCCTCTGTGCCACTGTCCTTCCTTGTTGTCCAAAACACTTCACTGAGTCACATCGCTGCACATCTCAAATGTCCCATCACTGACTTCATTATGATGAACATGTATTTGTTTACGTACCCTGTAAATAGTTACAAGCCCAACAAGTCAGCAAATGAAAGTCGTCGGCAACAAATGCACTTTTCATACCTGCTTCAGGGACATTCAGTAAAAACTAGAAAGGTTTTAGAAAATTTGTGCAACATTATATGACCTCTAGTAACAGATTGTTTTTATTGTTTTTTTTTTGAGCAGAAACAAGTTATACTTTATAAAGTAGTTATGGTGAGCATGTGAACAAATAATTGCCCGTTTATACATCAGCGTAACAGTCATTTTTGGAAAAACTAGTTTTTTAGTTGCTAAATGTTCCACCGTGCTCACCAGGTAATCACTAACTAGGGCTGTGTGGTGCTGAGCAGGTCAAAGCTACAAACAGCGGCCTGCTGTGGTCAGACATGATGCTATGGGAGAGACCAAAAGCCTAAATTGTTAAAATTCTCCATACAGCTGAGGAGAACCACAGCTCAGTTTCATTTCTCAGTTCATCAGTATGACTGACTCATCCATACAAATAGTAAATGATCTGCACTTATATAGCATCTTTCCATCTTAGTGGTATTCAAGGCACTTTACAGTGTGTTTCTCATTCACCCATTCACACACATTCATACACTGCTGGCGACAGGGCTGCCATACAAGGTGCTGCCTGCCACTGGGAGCAACTTCGGGTTCAGTGTCTTGCCCAAGGACACTTCAACACTAATAGTCTTGTGATCCATGGCTAACAAACCTGTGAGTTTTAGATTTGATTTGAAGATTTTCTGGCTTGTGTTTGAAGCCTTGAATGGTCATGTTCAGACCTGTAAGTATATTGATTTACCAACTCTGTATGAACCTGACCGCTGCCTCAGTCTTTCTGCAAACAGCCGCCATCAGTCAAGTCACACCAGCTCACTGCAAGTGTTTTTCCACTGCCCTGCACAGAAACGTGAAATAGCTTCCCAGAATAGCTAATGAAGCTAACTTTGTGAGAAGCACATATTACGTCCCATAACTTTGTCACAATAAACACATCCCATCTATTTGCCAGTGGAAAGCTTTTAGCTTTTAGCTTTTACATCGGCAGCGACTTAACAGCTCTGATCCAGCTGAAAACGATCAGGAGACAGTAAAGTAAGGCTGATATCTGAATGTACAAATAGGGACACCAGAGTGAAACTCAACTCCAAACCACAGAGATTCAATAAGAAGGTACTAAAGAATTGAGAGTTTCCAAAAAGAGATTTCTCTCTAGAGTCTGGCACAGTTTGGGCACTGAGGATGCAGCTCTCCCCCACTGTGATGCCTCAGTGGGAATACATGTCAGGGTTTTTCCACCAGTCAGAGTGGAAAAAACCCTGTAAAGGTGGCCAGACCTTTGCTCTAAAACTTTCTTATCTTTGTAAATTTCCAATAAAAGTCACTTTTATTTGTCGATTTTTTTTTTCCTAGCTCATTGCATTTATTGTTTTAATTCCAGCTACTTTATCTTATTTTATATTTGGGATTTTATTTGTAGTGTTTTACTGTTAAGTAAGCATTTTGTAACTAAGTTTTGCTTTTGCGATTTGCATTTAAGAAGGGGAACGAACAAGCTTTCGACTGCAGAAGTCTGGAAGAATTTAGAGAGTTGGTTTTGATCTTTTTAGTGGTGTTTGTTGAGAATCCTATAAACATAGAATATCAACAGCTTTAAAGGTACAATACCAACACTCAAGAGGGCGTAGACTGCAGGATGCATATGTTCATTGTTATACATTTTGTTGATTGTGTACGTGAATTAAATGTGCGACATGTTTGTATTTGTCACCGTGCGCAGGTGTTGTACAGCGAGAAAGGCTCTGAAGGTCCCCCCAGTGTTGAGGTGGCAGAAGGAGAGGGGAGTGTGTCAATGCTCCTCGGTGTCCTCCAGAAATACAGAGTGTACGTGCTGCAGGTGCTGGCGTACACACGGATGGGAGACGGCCCCCCCAGCAACCCCATTCTGATCAGAACCAAAGAAGATGGTAGGATCTCTGTCTGATCACTGGCCTCTGTGTCCTATAGTTTGCTCAGAACATTTGCCTTTTTCAAACGTCTGTAGCTGTTTTTCACATCCTTACACTTCTATTGTCAGAGCGCACACATATGTTGCTATTTGCGATAACGTGTGCCATGGTTACCAGATGTCTTCAGATGCACAGATCTGGTAACCATGGCAGACTCTTCAGAATGGCAGCAACCCGGTCTGGGCTTCACTCAATGATAAAACACAAGCACACAGGCGTGCACACACACACACACACACATACAAAGACTCACATTTGCTCATTAACGCACATACAAGAAGAGTCTCTCTCACACACACACACACACACACACACCTCCACTATCAAACAGTGTCACGTCTGAAAAGTTTTTCTCATTTCAGGATAAAACAAGAAGCAGGGAAGTCAATTCCCGTCAATGTATAATGAACCTCCATCCTGTCTGTCACACACACACACACTTACTGTACAGATACACACACACGTGCACACCCTCACATTGACATGTATTTGCTGGTGTGGAACATGTACTTTTATCAGGAACAAGACAGAGTCGGTGTGAGGTTGAAAGAAAATTACATTTTCTATTTTTAAGTGCCTCTTAAAAATGTGTAAGACTCTCACTCAGTATATACTGTCTGTGTGTGTGTGTAGGTGTGCGTGTGTGTGTGTGAGTGTGTGTCTATGTGTGTGGCGAGCATATGCACATACATCTGTGAGCTTTAGTGCCATCATGCTAACATATTAGAATGTAAGAGCCAGATGCTGAGGTACTCTCTTTCTCATTACAGTTCTGAAAGAGTCCTTTTGAGCAGCGCTCTCTGCTGTTTTTTTAACTGTGTATTAATATCCTTTCATTCTGCTGCCAACTCCCTTCTCTATTTTTCTCTCCAGTTCCAGGCCCCCCTGTCAGGATGGTGTTTCCAGAAGTTCGATTGTCATCCGTTAGGGTGGTTTGGCAGCCACCCGCATTCCCCAACGGCATCATATTAGGTACAAAAACAAACACACACATGTACAAAGGAGCAGATATTTGAAAGCAACGTTTAAATTGTAATCTGTCGTTTTATGCTTGTAGTGAGAATAGATTTATTTTGAATATAGCACAGAGTTCAGCTCATAGAAGAAATGATTTAGTGATTTTAAACACGTGCGCGCGCACACACACACACACACAGACACACACACACACAGCTGTGATCTTTCAAGGAAAAGAAGAAAGTACAAGCCGTAAAATGGAAAAGAGCTTATTCTGTTTCTAGCTGTCAAACAAGGGTCAGCTCTCTTTTCTCTCCACTTCACTGCTGAAGTTGGTTGCTGTTTATGCATGCTTGTGTGTGTGTGTGTGTGTTATCGAGCCTGTAACGCATATAAGCGCTGAAGACACCTTTCCAAAAGCATACAAAGCTTTATATTTAAACGCGTTTAGATTGACGCAAAGTGCTTGTTTCTGAAACTGCCAAGCACAGCATGCAGAGTGAATTACAAGGGACAGATTAATAAAGAGCAAAAGAGGAATGTGTGATCTGCTGAGCTGGAAATAGAGACCAGAAGGGGCGAGACATAGATGGAGATGTATAGAGGTGAGAGGAGGGACAGGTGTGTGTGTGTGTGTGTGTGTGTGCGCTGAACATGGGGAGAGGGGTGGTATTTGTCCTCTCGGTGGGGGAGGGAGTCGAGCAGGACACTTTGAGTGATGTGTGACTGTATTGTTAGAGGGAGGGTATTTAGTGCGACACCACTCTGTGACAGAAGGATGAGTGGGAGGGCAAATCTCTCTCACTTTCTCTCGATCGCACAGACACACAAAAACATGCAGTCCTGCTGTGTCCTTGCTGAGTGCGTTGTGTGTGTGTTTATGCAGATACAAATAACTGTAGCGTACCAGTTTCTTCAGTGCTCCTGACTGCCTCATTTCTCCTTGGGTTCTCAATCCATGGGGGACTGACACAGAAGGTGGACGGAGGTGAAACGAGACCACAGAAGGTGCACAATCTAATTTGGCACAGCGCAGTGAGGCATTTGTGTTTTCTCATGACCTTTCTATGAATATAATACAGCCACACACAGGAACTTTGCAGCGACAAATAGAAGCTGCATCCCTGTTGCATACTAATTATAATCAATAGTATAAATAATAATGGTAATCTTCATCTATAGAGCTCTTTTCAATGTCAAACTTACAAAGTGCACCACAATTAAAAATAGATAAAAATGCAATTTTGTGTACAAAAACCAACAGTGTTGGAAAAGGTGAAAACATTTCTAAAAGAAACATTTCTTCAAAGGAAATTAAAACTCAGTTATAATCAGGGAAGGCTCTCTGATAAAAGTAGTAACTTAAAAGAGATCACTGACTGAATAGACCTGATTTCCTCCAGCAGATCGTTCCCAAGCCTTGGGGCCCCGACTGCAAACGTTCTGTCTGCTTTAGTTTTTAGACAAAAGACAGCAGAAAGACCTTAATGTGCATATTGTCAGTGATATCAAGAGGTTAGAAATATAGCTGGAAGAGGCCATGAAAGACCTTCAAAGTATCAGTAAAACCTTAAAATGTGCCTTAAAACATGTGTAAAGAGGCTAAAACAGGAGTGATGACATCTCTTGGTTCTTGGCAGCTGAGCTTTCTGTGTCTTTACAAGTTAAGACATATTTTAGAAATATTTCTCAGGTGAGAAACAGCAAGAGTTAAGTATTAACTGCATTCATACACAGAGTCACAAAATAAAGTCCACAGTTTACCATTTGTGAATATTCCAAAAAATATCGATGCTTACTAAAAATATAAACAAAAAAGGCTTGATTTTTTGAGTGTACTGTTGATTTTAATTGCAGTGCTCAAAGGAAATGGAGGGGCTGCTACAATGGCTGAACAATTTGTCTCTTTGTGAAGTTTAATTGCCATTTAAGAGGCATTTAATCAAAGTTTCAGTTTGATGTCCACCACGCCATCCATCTACCCCTACCTGCTGCACAAAGCTGTCTACCGCACAGACGTTTGTATACTATCTGCAAAAATATGAATATGATTGAATATTAAACAGCGTATTAAGAAGCCAAAATGCAGCAGTGGTTTTGGCTCATCGAATATTTGGTGTGCTGCACTCATTTACACACAGAAAATCCGAAAGCCGTACAAGCTCTTTATTAGTGCGGCAGTTTAATCAGGGATGGATGGATGATTAGTTTCTCTACACGAGAAGGAAAACATTAAGAAAATATCACAAATTAGAACAGTAGCAATAAACACAGGAGTAAATTAGTAAACCAAATCAAGTCATCAATATCCCCACTAACTTTAATTAATGCGTCCATAATTTTGGCATTTAGTACATCTTTAGGGTTTACTGAACATAAAGTCTAATGTGAATGCAGTACAAAACAATCCATTAAACAATTAAAGGAAAACATGAAATATTAACCAAATTAACTAAGAACGCAAGTGTGGAAAGCGTTTTTTTTTTTTGTTGTCTGTCGTACCTTAGTATACGTCTTTGGGCAGCATTCAGCAAATGGTTGAGAGGAAAAGGACTAACAAGGCTAAAGGATGGGCTTGTATATTTCTCAGAGCCATAGTGGAAAACCATCCATGAATCTTGTCACTAAAAACGTCCTCCAAGATACACAACACGTCACATCAATGTGGCGGAAACTATAGAAAAACACCGTATACACGTGTGCTGTGTAGAAATGAATCATGGGAGATGCAAAGGGAGCAAAGAGAGATTTAGTGTCACAAAACATACTGTGGCAGCCACCTGCTAAGGCAGCCACAGTTTCACTTCGAAGCTTTCGGCTCTGAAGTACCTCGAAGGACAGCGAGTACTAAGACTTTACTGTCATTCAAACTGTTTTTCATTAACATAGACAAGGCCAGTGGAATTTATTGAAAAGCTAAAAGCAAAAAGAAAAGAAAAAAAAACTATATATGCAGTAGATTCACGTTCTCAGTGCAGTGTTCCAGGAAGAAGTGTCCTATACAGCACATGTTAAACCTTAAGGATTAAAGGTGAAGAGGACACAGTCACTTCATGCAACAGAGATTTCACCTCTTGTATCTGACAGCAGTGATGTCCTAATGATATTCAGTGCAGAACGTAATGCCACGCTCTGACCCAATTGTTGAGATGCAAGAGGATTTGTGATCTAGCTGTTATCCAATAATCTTCCACACGCGGCATTCACATTAACATACAATCAGACTATCTGATGAGATTATCACCCACACAACCAGATTAGGTGCCTCTGAGCAGATTATTATCCTGACAGTCTCACTGTGAACTAATCACATCCACACACTTGTGCTTTTCTGTCAGTTTGTGGATGCACGAGAGTGTGCGAGTGTGTGTGTGTGTGTGCGTCTGATGTATAGTACAGTCTTCATAATAAGAGCCTTTGTGAGTGACCAGTGGCCTGTGGAAGGCTCGGATGGGGATCAGTGATTTGAGTGTGCGTGTATGTGTTGAAGGATGTTAGTCTTATTACATGGCCTAGTGCACATGAGACAGAGAAGCAGGCACAAGCCGTGTGCACCGTGGGTCACAGCCAAGGGTACAGAGGAGAGGTTGGATGTTTCTATAATGTCAGTATAGGAGGATGTGACAATGTGCTGGAGTGGAATCGTCTTTGAGAAGCATCGAGAAAAGGAGCTACATGTATGGAAATGTAGTTTCAGGACCTGCAGAAAAGCAGGTTCGTTTGTGAGTTTTATTGTGGAAATGAGGCTGCGTGATGTGGCATTGTGCAACTATGTTTTCAGGGCTTTTCCTGTCTCACGTCGTGCTATCTTTGATTCCTGTGGGCTGTCTGATCCGAAGTAGACCACAAAAACACACAGAAACACGTTCGCACACAAGAATTTCACACAGATTTCAACCACCCTCCCCCTCCTTCTGTCTTCCCTTCTGTCCCTCACTAGGCTACCAGATCTCCTACCGCCTCGACAGCAGGGACCCTCAGCGCTGGACCACAGTGGAGGTGGGCTCCAACGCTCGCCAGTTCACCGTCACAGGACTTGCCGCTGAGCAGAGCTACGTGTTCCGACTCACTGCTCGCACTGCCGTGGGCTGGGGCGAGGAGCAGCAAGCTCTGGTTGTTACCACCGAACGCAGAGGTAAAGGACAGACGCGTTAGCTGTCTTCAGAATCTCATTTGTCTGTCTAATTTTAACCGCCGCTGTTTAACGTAGAAGGAACACAACCTGCATGACCACTCAAGCTGCACCTCAAACATGAGGTGCTGAGAGTAATTCGTGTTCGTCTCCGGTCATTGACTAAACCCCCAAAAACGTATCTCTGCCAAAGTTACATTATTAAAAGTTTCTCTATAAAGATAATCCCTTTAGGCTTTAAAATTGATTAAAAATACCTCTACATCGTCGCTTCTTTGTGAAGATCTAAAAGTTCCCCTTTTCTCTCCATGCAGCCCGTCACTGCTCACTGCAGCTCGACCATCTTCCATACAACTCTGCTCAGACACTGTAAACACACTCTCCACAACATAATGGCAAGTTGTAATATTGGAGAAGTCCAGCTATACATGTTCAGACTGGAAACTAATTATGAAGAAAAATAATGTTACAGAAAGCCCCCCACCTCCCCGCAGGCTGATGGGAATAAGTCCTTAAGTTTGTCATGAATGAAGCATTAGAAGTCTGAATCCGTGTTTCTGAGACTGTCTGTGGAAATACTCATCCATTGTGTTGACTGCTCAACAACTTTGCAACGTGTTAACAAAAAACAGACGGAGATCGTGGGGTTGAGAATCATCTCCACCCTGGATGTAATGACCAAATGTCAAATGCAGCTTTCACAGATGCGGTTCGACTCGAACACCAACGGGCCTTTTTAATGCTGAACGCTCAAAGCAGCAACAGGTGTCGTCAAAAACATCAATGAAGATAGCTGAGTTATCTCCATGACAACTGACCAAACAAATGAAGAGCAGAGTGTTTGTGAAATATTAAAGAGCAAAAAGCTTGTACAAAGCTTGTATCTTCTGAACACACTCAGCAGGAATGTTGAACATGAGTCAGAGGTGGAACAGATTTGAGCGCTTCATCCAGAGGAGGCGGTGGTAGATCACCGCTGCTGGTCTTCAGTTATTCTGTAATGATGGCTGCATTCCACACGTGTCAGTATCAGAGCTTCATATACAGGCTCACTAATAGGACCATCTAGGACTCCTAAATGGGACGGAGTCGTCATGAAGGCTTTTAGTTGTGCCGGTGCTTTTCTTGCCGTGCTGAGTCAAAATGTGCGCGGTGGAAACGACCTACAGGGACTTGATTTTGCTGTGTTTGCAGTGTGTAGCTGATGGTTGCTGATGCTGTTGCTTGTAGCTCGGGAAAGATTTATAAAATTTGCAGCAAGCTGTAAAGATTTCAAATGTGTGTTTTGTATGTGTAGTTATTGGAGAGGTGTAGAATAAAACCTGTTCGTCTCCTGAAGCTGAGAGAGATATAACAAGAACAGTATGATCTAATTCCAAAACAGTGCTAGTAAAGCCAGTAGAACAGGCATTGTCTTCTGTTTTCTATAAAATATTCTCTGCATTGCTGGATAATTCAACACAAATAAAGGGATGTGGGCTCGGAAGCTTTGACCAATGATCAGTAAAATTAACTTTTGTCAGGCAGCCCCACATATCACACCACAGCAAAGCAATAATCTGTAATGCAATTCACTCCGAATTACAGTAATGCACAAGGAAATAAAATGTGTTAAATAAAGCAAATTAAACATGAAGCTCTATGAAGCTTTAAGATGGAGTGACTTAATTAACCTTATAAATATTACCAAAATGTTTAGCATTGAAAAGGACTATTACTGCAGACAGCCATAATGATTTTGTAATTATTTTCCTCTGTGTTTTTCATGTTCAGTTTTAAATACAATAATCCCGCTAAAAGCATCTGGAAAGGTTAGGATTTAACATTTTAAAATGTAATGATCTCTGCAGCCTCACTGTGAGCTGTAATGTGTTGTGAAGTCGTCACACAGATAAAGTCCAGGAAAGAAAAGCAAGCAGAAGACTCAGGCAGGAAGTTATCAGCGCTGCTTCAACAAGTAGTTTGTGGTTGGACATGCAGAGCCCATTGTTACTGGGCACTAAATATTAGCACAAGATAAAAAGTATGACCTTTTCAGTATGTGGGACATTATATATACAGAACGAGATGAAATGACATTTAGAAACACCCGGCAGTAAATGTAGATATTGAAGTTAGCAGGTATTAGGCCTCCTGCAGAGGTATAATGAGAGTCAGGAGTTCAGAAGATGACCTGCAGGTCTGTGTAACAGTAGTCAATTAAAAAGGGAGGGGTGGTTCAGCCAGGTTTTGCGAAAGTATCATGAAAAATTGTAGATTATTACACCAAATCAATTTGTGCCTTTCAGTTTGTGTGTGCCTTCCACTGAACAAGCCGATATGAATAGCCTCGTTCAGCGAGACGGGTTTATTGGCTGTTCTGACCAGCTGCCTCGCAAAACTACTTGCTACGTTCTCACAGCACCACGATCTGTTGTGGGCGGATTGAAAATGTACAGTTAGTAGGTGAGAATGAAAATGACTCTTGAATTCTTTTTTTTTTTTTTTTTTCCCAATGAAGAGAGAGAACAGACCATGAAGTCAGATCTGAACGCCATAAATCTTAGATTCGAAACTCAAAGGAGCTGCTATTGAGCAGCACTCTACAATTATGGTAACTGTGTCCTTTAGAAAAATTGCTGCTAATTTCCCTTTAACATTTCATCTCATTTTAGCAGTCTGTGGCCTCATCACAAAGTATAAACTACAACAAGAGTTTTGCAGCAGACACAGAGCCAGACAGTGAGCGTGACAGTCCGTGCCTGTGGTGAGATGTATGAGGTGTATCAGCGGCTCTACCTCTCCTGCTGTTTTGCCTCTTAAAAACCTGTAACAGATGAAGTATATCCTCTGACAAAAATCTGGCCACTGACGGCCAGAAAGGAAGAACGGATTTTTTTGTGCCGTGATGTGACTTTTAAAGAGGTAAAGTGAGCGAGCGGCGCAGCTCTTTTTTCCTTCAATTCAGAAACAAATATAAAGTGAAGTTTTTGTCCTTCTCACGTTGCAAGGTTCTGATGCTTTTATCTCATCTTGCCTCCACTCTCACCTCTCCGACTTCCTGCTTCAGTCAGTCACTTCCACGTCTTCGGCTGGCGGAGGATTCAGTGTGTCTCATGCTTTCATGTCCCTCCAACGGTTTACAGTTTACATGCGTTTCAACTGATCGCGATCAGGGCGACGTGCAGACTGTGTACGTGGTGCTGGTGTGTGTTTACTCATAGGTTTGGTAATGCAGGTGTTTTTTTGGTTTTTTTTGCTTCATGAAAGATTTTTGACTGAATGATCACAAGAGAAGTTAGCATACCGCAGCAAACTGACAGAAGAAGCAGAGAAACAGATAGCTCACGCTAGGAAGGCAGGAAACAGCAGTAGACAATAATGTAAGCAAGCAGCAGGAAACTGGGTTGTGTGATGTGTTTGTTTAAAAACCAAATGAACCAGCAGTCACTAAACAACAACACGAATGTCTTTAGGAGCATAAAGAGTGTGTCAGGGTAAATATATCTATTTATTTCAATTAGGATTTAATTATTTTTTATATTTAGTGTCTCCACAAAATTTGAGGTTGCAGTTTCCCCCCCTTTTAGTTTCCCTTAAGTTGCTTTAAAGCTGCTGAAATCCTGCTGCTCCTCCCCGACCGACAGTATGAGCTTCTTCCAACTCTTCATTAATATTATATGATTATTACTTTGAGAGACTGAACACTGTTTGGATACACAGCATTAGTTTGTAATGACCGAATGACACTGCTTGTTATGGGGATGAAGTTACAGTTTTAGATTTATCATTTCTATATGCCCTCCTCTCAACTCACTGCAGCTCAGCACACCAGCTCACCAAGACTCTGCTCAGTGGCACGTTGTAATATTAGAGCCATGCATGTTTGTAGTGGAATCTGATTCCGAAGAACAAAAACAACACAGAAAAGCTTCACCCTGCAAACTGACCAGACTTGTTCCTTCAGTTTGTTGTGTATGAAACCCTGGAAGTCGTTGTTTTTTGAGACTGGTGGTGGTGACTGTATATTTAGATGTGTCTTCTAGCATCAAAGAAACATCATGCGGACATGTTGACAAGGCAAAACTTCATTTTCACCAGAGGGATTCTTTAACCCTCTGAACCTAAAAGTCGTTTCTGCATGTTCTTTTTTCTGGTTTTTTTTTTGCTCCTGTCACACTTCCTCACTGCGGGCTCCTTTTTCTGTGCAACAAAAAGTCCTGCACTTCTAAGAAAACAGTGCAACCACGACTAGATGGAGAGAGAACTGTTGTTTTTTCCTAATCTGATTCGTGTGAATAAGTAATTTCTGCGATTTTTAAATAAGCCGTGTAGAATAAAGTGATTTTGATAAAAATGTAAAATGTCAACCTTACATTTGGCCCCTTCCTTACTAGCTGTATGACACCGTTTAACTTTTGAATAAAATCTAATAATGTTTGGAAACACAGCAAAAGTTTTTAATGACCATCTCGCCAATGTGTTACTGCTTGGTATGAGGTTAAACTGTAAGGGTTAAAGGCATCGTGTAAAGCTCTCCTCACTGCTTAACTGTTTTACCTTAAGCTACAAGCCATAAAAGTCAATACTGGAAGTCTATTATACAAATACAGTACATCGATTTATGCTGTTTTCGATGTGCAATAGCTGCAAGCACAAAACTGGCATATCATCACCTTAAAAAGTTGATACAGTGAATGTGTTGGTGCTCTAATTACACATTCAGTGCATATGGAGGAACATTAGCATTTATTTGAGGTGGAGTTTCTGGCCAGCTGATTAATTTAAACCATCAGTCGTTTGAAAATGTATCCTAGAATTCATTATAAGAATCACTTGATAAAAAGACAAGAAGAGAGAAAGATTTAAGTGGCAGATGGTGTTGAAGATTGACCGCTCCTGAGTTAAGAAGAGCAAATTCACCAAAGTGAAACATCACTTTAAAAATGAAGTTACAGTGGTTCTGGTGTCTCTGTAGGCTAACGCATGAATAACTTTGGTAGCACACAGACTTTGATATATGTCATCCCTGATCTCTCTCTCTCCAGCTTTCTGTCAGCAGAGCAGCACCGTGTATGTCTAAAACACTAAAAAGCCCCTATATATATATATATATATATATATGTGTGTGTGTGTGTGTGTGTGTGTGTGTGTGTGTATACATGTGGGTGTGTATATAATAAACTATATTTTAAAATGCGAGAGTTTAATGAATTATTGTAAAAACCTGGAATCATGATGTCAGATACTCTGTTCGCAGCTATCGGATTGTGTAGTGCATTTTAATTGGATCAGATATCATAACATCCGCAGCATCATTATCAGGATTTCTCGAGAATAGAATTCAGTGGTTCTCTGTTCCACTTCAGTAGCATAATGGCCCATTCTTACTGTGAGATAGTCAGAATAGCCTAATAGAGATTTCTTTCTGATGATGCTGAGGAGACCAAGTTAAACCCCTACAAAAAGAAAATTGTCTTTTTGAGCGTGCATGTAGGGGAGTATGCGTGTGAGGCTGTGAGAGGACGCATGCATGCGGTAGAGAGGAATCTCTTACTACAGAGATTTATCTGTGCCAATGTTTGTCTCCGAGAGGAAGGAAACTTCTAAGGTAATGGACAAGACGTAATGTTTAGCTTAATATATGCCACATCTGGTAGCATCCCGGGGTTTCTCTCTTCTGCACCTCACTTCAACCGCACTCTTAGTCCTTTGTGTAACAGTAATATGTAAGAGCTGAAAGGGCAGCGCAATTACGAGTTTATTATCGAAACATGATCTTAACTGTGGGACGGAACAAAAGGAGAACAGACAGGGAGACACAGATGGTATCAGAAAAACAAAAGAGGATAGAGAATAGGCAAATTTTGAAGGCAATGAAGAATAGGGGTGTGAAGGAAGGAGACAAACACATTTGACTCAAATTACTTGTGATAAGGATGAATGAAGGAAGCCAAGCCTGTGTTGTCGTCAGTGTGTGTGTGTGTGTGTGCGTGGTTGTGTATGTTTGAGAAAATAAGTGCAGATTAATTAAACTTCAGAGAGAATCGATAGTGCTTTTATTTCTAGACCTAATCGATAACCTGATGCCCCTGAAATTAGACGGTTATGCCCCCAGCCGTGTGTTTTTGTTTGTGTACGAGCACATGTGTGTACACGCGTCGACTAATCACACAGCTGTGAACACAGTTGTACAAAGATACTGACTCCCAGAGCCATCTTTCATCTTGTAATTGAATAGCAAAAACACAGACCAATACACGCACACACGCAATCTGTTGAGAAATAGCTTCTTTGATGCTGCAGTAGTTAGATGTCTTGTTTCATTTAAGCCTGTGAATGCATTGCAAACTCTCACACTGATGCATATGTGGCATAAATGCAGCCTGCCCGTGTCCCATCTTACTTGGTATTTGCAGTGTATATTTAAGAATATCAGCCAAAGTGTTTTTAATTTCTGGCCCTGTTTTTGCTCTTCCTCTTCAATTCCCCTGTTCTCATCCTTGTCACATCATTTATTCTACTCTCTCTCCCTCCCTCTCTCATGTTTTTCCCTTGCTTCTCCCAACCTCTTTACCACTTCCACAGAGCGTCCCCAGCCACCCAGGAAGCTGTCTGTTCCACAGGATGAAGTTGAAGCCCGCCGACTCCGCCTCCACTGGGTGAACGGCGGCTCAGGCTCCTCTCCGCTGAGGTACTTCACTCTGCAGGTCAAGGAGCTGCCTAGCGGGGACTGGAGCACACACACAGCTGACGTCCCACACAACGTGACCACATGGACCGTTGACAGGTACACACACAAGCATACATGTGATATTGATGGTGTAGCGAATACATCAAGCCTCGAATGTGTGTAGGAGCGTGTGCTGAACTGTAGAAAGAGCAACACTTGCCTAATATTGTGTAATTCCCCTTCACACTACCGAAATAGTCCTGACCGATCGGAGCATGGATATTGTGTTCTTGTGGGGTTTGGCACTGGGTCATGACAATGGATTGTTCTGCATCGTTCAGATTGAGATCTGGGGAGTTTGGAGGCCGACTCTATGCCTTGGGCTCTTTAGTGTGTTCCTTAAGCTGGTCCTGAGCAGTTCTTGGCGTGTGGTAGAGGTTGGGAGTGCTGTTGGCATGTGGGGGTGTTGTTGGTCGACAACAGTGTTTAGGTGGGTGGTACATGTCAAAGTAACATCCACATAAATACCACAAATCAAGGTTTCCCAGCTGAGCATTGCAGTATTTATTCGTTTCACCTGTCATTGGTTTGGATGTTGAGGATGATTGGTTTATAGTCTTTTTTCTCTTTTAAAAAACTACAACACAAGGGCTAAAGTAAAAGGAGAGATTTGCTGTAACCTAAACTACAAATGGTCAGCATCACTGCCTACAAAAGCCACGGTGCAATGTCTCTTATCCAGTGAAAGTGAAAGTCAATGCTGGTAAAACGATGTGATTGATCTTTGCAAATAAGAGAAGAAATATAACAGCTTCTTTTTTGGAAGAAGAACCAAAATCCAGGTGACAGAACAGACCCAATCATAGGTGCCATTAAATCATTTTTCACTTTCACACATTTTCACATTCACCCAGCAATAAGGAGAGCAGCATGCTGCAACAGGCTGAGCTGGACAAACACAGCAGAATACAGAAGAAAATGGGTTCAATTTTGATCTATGAAACTATTAAAACAAGCCTGGATCCGCCTCGATACCAAGCCTGAGGATGATCTTGGGACATCCCCGTTCTCATTAAAAAATAACTGAGCTTGAAATAGTAACATTAAAACGTTAACTTGTTGCTTGTGTCTGCCTAACACCACTAAGGGAAAGGCCTCCACTGCAGACTACATATGTGACCCATCTGCACGGAATCAGTCACACTGCACCCTGGACTGTATTCGAGAATTACGTTAGCACATGATAAAATATTGATTTTGGGTTTATTACTTAGATCAGTCCATTTAGTTNAAACATAGAATATCAACAGCTTTAAAGGTACAAAACCAACACTCAAGAGGGCGTAGACTGCAGGATGCATATGTTCATTGTTATACATTTTGTTGATTGTGTACGTGAATTAAATGTGCGACATGTTTGTATTTGTCACCGTGCGCAGGTGTTGTACAGCGAGAAAGGCTCTGAAGGTCCCCCAAGTGTTGAGGTGGCAGAAGGAGAGGGGAGTGTGTCAATGCTCCTCGGTGTCCTCCAGAAATACAGAGTGTACGTGCTGCAGGTGCTGGCGTACACACGGATGGGAGACGGCCCCCCCAGCAACCCCATTCTGATCAGAACCAAAGAAGATGGTAGGATCTCTGTCTGATCACTGGCCTCTGTGTCCTATAGTTTGCTCAGAACATTTGCCTTTTTCAAACGTCTGTAGCTGTTTTTCACATCCTTACACTTCTATTGTCAGAGCGCACACATATGTTGCTATTTGCGATAACGTGTGCCATGGTTACCAGATGTCTTCAGATGCACAGATCTGGTAACCATGGCAGACTCTTCAGAATGGCAGCAACCCGGTCTGGGCTTCACTCAATGATAAAACACAAGCACACAGGCGTGCACACACACACACACACACATACAAAGACTCACATTTGCTCATTAACGCACATACAAGAAGAGTCTCTCTCACACACACACACACACACACACACCTCCACTATCAAACAGTGTCACGTCTGAAAAGTTTTTCTCATTTCAGGATAAAACAAGAAGCAGGGAAGTCAATTCCCGTCAATGTATAATGAACCTCCATCCTGTCTGTCACACACACACACACTTACTGTACAGATACACACACACGTGCACACCCTCACATTGACATGTATTTGCTGGTGTGGAACATGTACTTTTATCAGGAACAAGACAGAGTCGGTGTGAGGTTGAAAGAAAATTACATTTTCTATTTTTAAGTGCCTCTTAAAAATGTGTAAGACTCTCACTCAGTATATACTGTCTGTGTGTGTGTGTAGGTGTGCGTGTGTGTGTGTGAGTGTGTGTCTATGTGTGTGGCGAGCATATGCACATACATCTGTGAGCTTTAGTGCCATCATGCTAACATATTAGAATGTAAGAGCCAGATGCTGAGGTACTCTCTTTCTCATTACAGTTCTGAAAGAGTCCTTTTGAGCAGCGCTCTCTGCTGTTTTTTTAACTGTGTATTAATATCCTTTCATTCTGCTGCCAACTCCCTTCTCTATTTTTCTCTCCAGTTCCAGGCCCCCCTGTCAGGATGGTGTTTCCAGAAGTTCGATTGTCATCCGTTAGGGTGGTTTGGCAGCCACCCGCGTTCCCCAACGGCATCATATTAGGTACAAAAACAAACACACACATGTACAAAGGAGCAGATATTTGAAAGCAACGTTTAAATTATAATCCGTCTTTTTATGCTTGTAGTGAGAATAGATTTATTTTGAATATAGCACAGAGTTCAGCTCATAGAAGAAATGATTTAGTGATTTTAAACACGTGCGCGCGCACACACACACACACACAGACACACACACACACAGCTGTGATCTTTCAAGGAAAAGAAGAAAGTACAAGCCGTAAAATGGAAAAGAGCTGATTCTGTTTCTAGCTGTCAAACAAGGGTCAGCTCTCTTTTCTCTCCACTTCACTGCTGAAGTTGGTTGCTGTTTATGCATGCTTGTGTGTGTGTGTGTGTGTTATCGAGCCTGTAACGCATATAAGCGCTGAAGACACCTTTCCAAAAGCATACAAAGCTTTATATTTAAACGCGTTTAGATTGACGCAAAGTGCTTGTTTCTGAAACTGCCAAGCACAGCATGCAGAGTGAATTACAAGGGACAGATTAATAAAGAGCAAAAGAGGAATGTGTGATCTGCTGAGCTGGAAATAGAGACCAGAAGGGGCGAGACATAGATGGAGATGTATAGAGGTGAGAGGAGGGACAGGTGTGTGTGTGTGTGTGTGTGTGTGCGCTGAACATGGGGAGAGGGGTGGTATTTGTCCTCTCGGTGGGGGAGGGAGTCGAGCAGGACACTTTGAGTGATGTGTGACTGTATTGTTAGAGGGAGGGTATTTAGTGCGACACCACTCTGTGACAGAAGGATGAGTGGGAGGGCAAATCTCTCTCACTTTCTCTCGATCGCACAGACACACAAAAACATGCAGTCCTGCTGTGTCCTTGCTGAGTGCGTTGTGTGTGTGTTTATGCAGATACAAATAACTGTAGCGTACCAGTTTCTTCAGTGCTCCTGACTGCCTCATTTCTCCTTGGGTTCTCAATCCATGGGGGACTGACACAGAAGGTGGACGGAGGTGAAACGAGACCACAGAAGGTGCACAATCTAATTTGGCACAGCGCAGTGAGGCATTTGTGTTTTCTCATGACCTTTCTATGAATATAATACAGCCACACACAGGAACTTTGCAGCGACAAATAGAAGCTGCATCCCTGTTGCATACTAATTATAATCAATAGTATAAATAATAATGGTAATCTTCATCTATAGAGCTCTTTTCAATGTCAAACTTACAAAGTGCACCACAATTAAAAATAGATAAAAATGCAATTTTGTGTACAAAAACCAACAGTGTTGGAAAAGGTGAAAACATTTCTAAAAGAAACATTTCTTCAAAGGAAATTAAAACTCAGTTATAATCAGGGAAGGCTCTCTGATAAAAGTAGTAACTTAAAAGAGATCACTGACTGAATAGACCTGATTTCCTCCAGCAGATCGTTCCCAAGCCTTGGGGCCCCGACTGCAAACGTTCTGTCTGCTTTAGTTTTTAGACAAAAGACAGCAGAAAGACCTTAATGTGCATATTGTCAGTGATATCAAGAGGTTAGAAATATAGCTGGAAGAGGCCATGAAAGACCTTCAAAGTATCAGTAAAACCTTAAAATGTGCCTTAAAACATGTGTAAAGAGGCTAAAACAGGAGTGATGACATCTCTTGGTTCTTGGCAGCTGAGCTTTCTGTGTCTTTACAAGTTAAGACATATTTTAGAAATATTTCTCAGGTGAGAAACAGCAAGAGTTAAGTATTAACTGCATTCATACACAGAGTCACAAAATAAAGTCCACAGTTTACCATTTGTGAATATTCCAAAAAATATCGATGCTTACTAAAAATATAAACAAAAAAGGCTTGATTTTTTGAGTGTACTGTTGATTTTAATTGCAGTGCTCAAAGGAAATGGAGGGGCTGCTACAATGGCTGAACAATTTGTCTCTTTGTGAAGTTTAATTGCCATTTAAGAGGCATTTAATCAAAGTTTCAGTTTGATGTCCACCACGCCATCCATCTACCCCTACCTGCTGCACAAAGCTGTCTACCGCACAGACGTTTGTATACTATCTGCAAAAATATGAATATGATTGAATATTAAACAGCGTATTAAGAAGCCAAAATGCAGCAGTGGTTTTGGCTCATCGAATATTTGGTGTGCTGCACTCATTTACACACAGAAAATCCGAAAGCCGTACAAGCTCTTTATTAGTGCGGCAGTTTAATCAGGGATGGATGGATGATTAGTTTCTCTACACGAGAAGGAAAACATTAAGAAAATATCACAAATTAGAACAGTAGCAATAAACACAGGAGTAAATTAGTAAACCAAATCAAGTCATCAATATCCCCACTAACTTTAATTAATGCGTCCATAATTTTGGCATTTAGTACATCTTTAGGGTTTACTGAACATAAAGTCTAATGTGAATGCAGTACAAAACAATCCATTAAACAATTAAAGGAAAACATGAAATATTAACCAAATTAACTAAGAACGCAAGTGTGGAAAGCGTTTTTTTTTTTTGTTGTCTGTCGTACCTTAGTATACGTCTTTGGGCAGCATTCAGCAAATGGTTGAGAGGAAAAGGACTAACAAGGCTAAAGGATGGGCTTGTATATTTCTCAGAGCCATAGTGGAAAACCATCCATGAATCTTGTCACTAAAAACGTCCTCCAAGATACACAACACGTCACATCAATGTGGCGGAAACTATAGAAAAACACCGTATACACGTGTGCTGTGTAGAAATGAATCATGGGAGATGCAAAGGGAGCAAAGAGAGATTTAGTGTCACAAAACATACTGTGGCAGCCACCTGCTAAGGCAGCCACAGTTTCACTTCGAAGCTTTCGGCTCTGAAGTACCTCGAAGGACAGCGAGTACTAAGACTTTACTGTCATTCAAACTGTTTTTCATTAACATAGACAAGGCCAGTGGAATTTATTGAAAAGCTAAAAGCAAAAAGAAAAGAAAAAAAAACTATATATGCAGTAGATTCACGTTCTCAGTGCAGTGTTCCAGGAAGAAGTGTCCTATACAGCACATGTTAAACCTTAAGGATTAAAGGTGAAGAGGACACAGTCACTTCATGCAACAGAGATTTCACCTCTTGTATCTGACAGCAGTGATGTCCTAATGATATTCAGTGCAGAACGTAATGCCACGCTCTGACCCAATTGTTGAGATGCAAGAGGATTTGTGATCTAGCTGTTATCCAATAATCTTCCACACGCGGCATTCACATTAACATACAATCAGACTATCTGATGAGATTATCACCCACACAACCAGATTAGGTGCCTCTGAGCAGATTATTATCCTGACAGTCTCACTGTGAACTAATCACATCCACACACTTGTGCTTTTCTGTCAGTTTGTGGATGCACGAGAGTGTGCGAGTGTGTGTGTGTGTGTGCGTCTGATGTATAGTACAGTCTTCATAATAAGAGCCTTTGTGAGTGACCAGTGGCCTGTGGAAGGCTCGGATGGGGATCAGTGATTTGAGTGTGCGTGTATGTGTTGAAGGATGTTAGTCTTATTACATGGCCTAGTGCACATGAGACAGAGAAGCAGGCACAAGCCGTGTGCACCGTGGGTCACAGCCAAGGGTACAGAGGAGAGGTTGGATGTTTCTATAATGTCAGTATAGGAGGATGTGACAATGTGCTGGAGTGGAATCGTCTTTGAGAAGCATCGAGAAAAGGAGCTACATGTATGGAAATGTAGTTTCAGGACCTGCAGAAAAGCAGGTTCGTTTGTGAGTTTTATTGTGGAAATGAGGCTGCGTGATGTGGCATTGTGCAACTATGTTTTCAGGGCTTTTCCTGTCTCACGTCGTGCTATCTTTGATTCCTGTGGGCTGTCTGATCCGAAGTAGACCACAAAAACACACAGAAACACGTTCGCACACAAGAATTTCACACAGATTTCAACCACCCTCCCCCTCCTTCTGTCTTCCCTTCTGTCCCTCACTAGGCTACCAGATCTCCTACCGCCTCGACAGCAGGGACCCTCAGCGCTGGACCACAGTGGAGGTGGGCTCCAACGCTCGCCAGTTCACCGTCACAGGACTTGCCGCTGAGCAGAGCTACGTGTTCCGACTCACTGCTCGCACTGCCGTGGGCTGGGGCGAGGAGCAGCAAGCTCTGGTTGTTACCACCGAACGCAGAGGTAAAGGACAGACGCGTTAGCTGTCTTCAGAATCTCATTTGTCTGTCTAATTTTAACCGCCGCTGTTTAACGTAGAAGGAACACAACCTGCATGACCACTCAAGCTGCACCTCAAACATGAGGTGCTGAGAGTAATTCGTGTTCGTCTCCGGTCATTGACTAAACCCCCAAAAACGTATCTCTGCCAAAGTTACATTATTAAAAGTTTCTCTATAAAGATAATCCCTTTAGGCTTTAAAATTGATTAAAAATACCTCTACATCGTCGCTTCTTTGTGAAGATCTAAAAGTTCCCCTTTTCTCTCCATGCAGCCCGTCACTGCTCACTGCAGCTCGACCATCTTCCATACAACTCTGCTCAGACACTGTAAACACACTCTCCACAACATAATGGCAAGTTGTAATATTGGAGAAGTCCAGCTATACATGTTCAGACTGGAAACTAATTATGAAGAAAAATAATGTTACAGAAAGCCCCCCACCTCCCCGCAGGCTGATGGGAATAAGTCCTTAAGTTTGTCATGAATGAAGCATTAGAAGTCTGAATCCGTGTTTCTGAGACTGTCTGTGGAAATACTCATCCATTGTGTTGACTGCTCAACAACTTTGCAACGTGTTAACAAAAAACAGACGGAGATCGTGGGGTTGAGAATCATCTCCACCCTGGATGTAATGACCAAATGTCAAATGCAGCTTTCACAGATGCGGTTCGACTCGAACACCAACGGGCCTTTTTAATGCTGAACGCTCAAAGCAGCAACAGGTGTCGTCAAAAACATCAATGAAGATAGCTGAGTTATCTCCATGACAACTGACCAAACAAATGAAGAGCAGAGTGTTTGTGAAATATTAAAGAGCAAAAAGCTTGTACAAAGCTTGTATCTTCTGAACACACTCAGCAGGAATGTTGAACATGAGTCAGAGGTGGAACAGATTTGAGCGCTTCATCCAGAGGAGGCGGTGGTAGATCACCGCTGCTGGTCTTCAGTTATTCTGTAATGATGGCTGCATTCCACACGTGTCAGTATCAGAGCTTCATATACAGGCTCACTAATAGGACCATCTAGGACTCCTAAATGGGACGGAGTCGTCATGAAGGCTTTTAGTTGTGCCGGTGCTTTTCTTGCCGTGCTGAGTCAAAATGTGCGCGGTGGAAACGACCTACAGGGACTTGATTTTGCTGTGTTTGCAGTGTGTAGCTGATGGTTGCTGATGCTGTTGCTTGTAGCTCGGGAAAGATTTATAAAATTTGCAGCAAGCTGTAAAGATTTCAAATGTGTGTTTTGTATGTGTAGTTATTGGAGAGGTGTAGAATAAAACCTGTTCGTCTCCTGAAGCTGAGAGAGATATAACAAGAACAGTATGATCTAATTCCAAAACAGTGCTAGTAAAGCCAGTAGAACAGGCATTGTCTTCTGTTTTCTATAAAATATTCTCTGCATTGCTGGATAATTCAACACAAATAAAGGGATGTGGGCTCGGAAGCTTTGACCAATGATCAGTAAAATTAACTTTTGTCAGGCAGCCCCACATATCACACCACAGCAAAGCAATAATCTGTAATGCAATTCACTCCGAATTACAGTAATGCACAAGGAAATAAAATGTGTTAAATAAAGCAAATTAAACATGAAGCTCTATGAAGCTTTAAGATGGAGTGACTTAATTAACCTTATAAATATTACCAAAATGTTTAGCATTGAAAAGGACTATTACTGCAGACAGCCATAATGATTTTGTAATTATTTTCCTCTGTGTTTTTCATGTTCAGTTTTAAATACAATAATCCCGCTAAAAGCATCTGGAAAGGTTAGGATTTAACATTTTAAAATGTAATGATCTCTGCAGCCTCACTGTGAGCTGTAATGTGTTGTGAAGTCGTCACACAGATAAAGTCCAGGAAAGAAAAGCAAGCAGAAGACTCAGGCAGGAAGTTATCAGCGCTGCTTCAACAAGTAGTTTGTGGTTGGACATGCAGAGCCCATTGTTACTGGGCACTAAATATTAGCACAAGATAAAAAGTATGACCTTTTCAGTATGTGGGACATTATATATACAGAACGAGATGAAATGACATTTAGAAACACCCGGCAGTAAATGTAGATATTGAAGTTAGCAGGTATTAGGCCTCCTGCAGAGGTATAATGAGAGTCAGGAGTTCAGAAGATGACCTGCAGGTCTGTGTAACAGTAGTCAATTAAAAAGGGAGGGGTGGTTCAGCCAGGTTTTGCGAAAGTATCATGAAAAATTGTAGATTATTACACCAAATCAATTTGTGCCTTTCAGTTTGTGTGTGCCTTCCACTGAACAAGCCGATATGAATAGCCTCGTTCAGCGAGACGGGTTTATTGGCTGTTCTGACCAGCTGCCTCGCAAAACTACTTGCTACGTTCTCACAGCACCACGATCTGTTGTGGGCGGATTGAAAATGTACAGTTAGTAGGTGAGAATGAAAATGACTCTTGAATTCTTTTTTTTTTTTTTTTTTCCCAATGAAGAGAGAGAACAGACCATGAAGTCAGATCTGAACGCCATAAATCTTAGATTCGAAACTCAAAGGAGCTGCTATTGAGCAGCACTCTACAATTATGGTAACTGTGTCCTTTAGAAAAATTGCTGCTAATTTCCCTTTAACATTTCATCTCATTTTAGCAGTCTGTGGCCTCATCACAAAGTATAAACTACAACAAGAGTTTTGCAGCAGACACAGAGCCAGACAGTGAGCGTGACAGTCCGTGCCTGTGGTGAGATGTATGAGGTGTATCAGCGGCTCTACCTCTCCTGCTGTTTTGCCTCTTAAAAACCTGTAACAGATGAAGTATATCCTCTGACAAAAATCTGGCCACTGACGGCCAGAAAGGAAGAACGGATTTTTTTGTGCCGTGATGTGACTTTTAAAGAGGTAAAGTGAGCGAGCGGCGCAGCTCTTTTTTCCTTCAATTCAGAAACAAATATAAAGTGAAGTTTTTGTCCTTCTCACGTTGCAAGGTTCTGATGCTTTTATCTCATCTTGCCTCCACTCTCACCTCTCCGACTTCCTGCTTCAGTCAGTCACTTCCACGTCTTCGGCTGGCGGAGGATTCAGTGTGTCTCATGCTTTCATGTCCCTCCAACGGTTTACAGTTTACATGCGTTTCAACTGATCGCGATCAGGGCGACGTGCAGACTGTGTACGTGGTGCTGGTGTGTGTTTACTCATAGGTTTGGTAATGCAGGTGTTTTTTTGGTTTTTTTTGCTTCATGAAAGATTTTTGACTGAATGATCACAAGAGAAGTTAGCATACCGCAGCAAACTGACAGAAGAAGCAGAGAAACAGATAGCTCACGCTAGGAAGGCAGGAAACAGCAGTAGACAATAATGTAAGCAAGCAGCAGGAAACTGGGTTGTGTGATGTGTTTGTTTAAAAACCAAATGAACCAGCAGTCACTAAACAACAACACGAATGTCTTTAGGAGCATAAAGAGTGTGTCAGGGTAAATATATCTATTTATTTCAATTAGGATTTAATTATTTTTTATATTTAGTGTCTCCACAAAATTTGAGGTTGCAGTTTCCCCCCCTTTTAGTTTCCCTTAAGTTGCTTTAAAGCTGCTGAAATCCTGCTGCTCCTCCCCGACCGACAGTATGAGCTTCTTCCAACTCTTCATTAATATTATATGATTATTACTTTGAGAGACTGAACACTGTTTGGATACACAGCATTAGTTTGTAATGACCGAATGACACTGCTTGTTATGGGGATGAAGTTACAGTTTTAGATTTATCATTTCTATATGCCCTCCTCTCAACTCACTGCAGCTCAGCACACCAGCTCACCAAGACTCTGCTCAGTGGCACGTTGTAATATTAGAGCCATGCATGTTTGTAGTGGAATCTGATTCCGAAGAACAAAAACAACACAGAAAAGCTTCACCCTGCAAACTGACCAGACTTGTTCCTTCAGTTTGTTGTGTATGAAACCCTGGAAGTCGTTGTTTTTTGAGACTGGTGGTGGTGACTGTATATTTAGATGTGTCTTCTAGCATCAAAGAAACATCATGCGGACATGTTGACAAGGCAAAACTTCATTTTCACCAGAGGGATTCTTTAACCCTCTGAACCTAAAAGTCGTTTCTGCATGTTCTTTTTTCTGGTTTTTTTTTTGCTCCTGTCACACTTCCTCACTGCGGGCTCCTTTTTCTGTGCAACAAAAAGTCCTGCACTTCTAAGAAAACAGTGCAACCACGACTAGATGGAGAGAGAACTGTTGTTTTTTCCTAATCTGATTCGTGTGAATAAGTAATTTCTGCGATTTTTAAATAAGCCGTGTAGAATAAAGTGATTTTGATAAAAATGTAAAATGTCAACCTTACATTTGGCCCCTTCCTTACTAGCTGTATGACACCGTTTAACTTTTGAATAAAATCTAATAATGTTTGGAAACACAGCAAAAGTTTTTAATGACCATCTCGCCAATGTGTTACTGCTTGGTATGAGGTTAAACTGTAAGGGTTAAAGGCATCGTGTAAAGCTCTCCTCACTGCTTAACTGTTTTACCTTAAGCTACAAGCCATAAAAGTCAATACTGGAAGTCTATTATACAAATACAGTACATCGATTTATGCTGTTTTCGATGTGCAATAGCTGCAAGCACAAAACTGGCATATCATCACCTTAAAAAGTTGATACAGTGAATGTGTTGGTGCTCTAATTACACATTCAGTGCATATGGAGGAACATTAGCATTTATTTGAGGTGGAGTTTCTGGCCAGCTGATTAATTTAAACCATCAGTCGTTTGAAAATGTATCCTAGAATTCATTATAAGAATCACTTGATAAAAAGACAAGAAGAGAGAAAGATTTAAGTGGCAGATGGTGTTGAAGATTGACCGCTCCTGAGTTAAGAAGAGCAAATTCACCAAAGTGAAACATCACTTTAAAAATGAAGTTACAGTGGTTCTGGTGTCTCTGTAGGCTAACGCATGAATAACTTTGGTAGCACACAGACTTTGATATATGTCATCCCTGATCTCTCTCTCTCCAGCTTTCTGTCAGCAGAGCAGCACCGTGTATGTCTAAAACACTAAAAAGCCCCTATATATATATATATATATATATATGTGTGTGTGTGTGTGTGTGTGTGTGTGTGTGTGTATACATGTGGGTGTGTATATAATAAACTATATTTTAAAATGCGAGAGTTTAATGAATTATTGTAAAAACCTGGAATCATGATGTCAGATACTCTGTTCGCAGCTATCGGATTGTGTAGTGCATTTTAATTGGATCAGATATCATAACATCCGCAGCATCATTATCAGGATTTCTCGAGAATAGAATTCAGTGGTTCTCTGTTCCACTTCAGTAGCATAATGGCCCATTCTTACTGTGAGATAGTCAGAATAGCCTAATAGAGATTTCTTTCTGATGATGCTGAGGAGACCAAGTTAAACCCCTACAAAAAGAAAATTGTCTTTTTGAGCGTGCATGTAGGGGAGTATGCGTGTGAGGCTGTGAGAGGACGCATGCATGCGGTAGAGAGGAATCTCTTACTACAGAGATTTATCTGTGCCAATGTTTGTCTCCGAGAGGAAGGAAACTTCTAAGGTAATGGACAAGACGTAATGTTTAGCTTAATATATGCCACATCTGGTAGCATCCCGGGGTTTCTCTCTTCTGCACCTCACTTCAACCGCACTCTTAGTCCTTTGTGTAACAGTAATATGTAAGAGCTGAAAGGGCAGCGCAATTACGAGTTTATTATCGAAACATGATCTTAACTGTGGGACGGAACAAAAGGAGAACAGACAGGGAGACACAGATGGTATCAGAAAAACAAAAGAGGATAGAGAATAGGCAAATTTTGAAGGCAATGAAGAATAGGGGTGTGAAGGAAGGAGACAAACACATTTGACTCAAATTACTTGTGATAAGGATGAATGAAGGAAGCCAAGCCTGTGTTGTCGTCAGTGTGTGTGTGTGTGTGTGCGTGGTTGTGTATGTTTGAGAAAATAAGTGCAGATTAATTAAACTTCAGAGAGAATCGATAGTGCTTTTATTTCTAGACCTAATCGATAACCTGATGCCCCTGAAATTAGACGGTTATGCCCCCAGCCGTGTGTTTTTGTTTGTGTACGAGCACATGTGTGTACACGCGTCGACTAATCACACAGCTGTGAACACAGTTGTACAAAGATACTGACTCCCAGAGCCATCTTTCATCTTGTAATTGAATAGCAAAAACACAGACCAATACACGCACACACGCAATCTGTTGAGAAATAGCTTCTTTGATGCTGCAGTAGTTAGATGTCTTGTTTCATTTAAGCCTGTGAATGCATTGCAAACTCTCACACTGATGCATATGTGGCATAAATGCAGCCTGCCCGTGTCCCATCTTACTTGGTATTTGCAGTGTATATTTAAGAATATCAGCCAAAGTGTTTTTAATTTCTGGCCCTGTTTTTGCTCTTCCTCTTCAATTCCCCTGTTCTCATCCTTGTCACATCATTTATTCTACTCTCTCTCCCTCCCTCTCTCATGTTTTTCCCTTGCTTCTCCCAACCTCTTTACCACTTCCACAGAGCGTCCCCAGCCACCCAGGAAGCTGTCTGTTCCACAGGATGAAGTTGAAGCCCGCCGACTCCGCCTCCACTGGGTGAACGGCGGCTCAGGCTCCTCTCCGCTGAGGTACTTCACTCTGCAGGTCAAGGAGCTGCCTAGCGGGGACTGGAGCACACACACAGCTGACGTCCCACACAACGTGACCACATGGACCGTTGACAGGTACACACACGGGCGTACATGTGATATTGATGGTGTAGCGAATACATCAAGCCTCGAATGTGTGTAGGAGCGTGTGCTGAACTGTAGAAAGAGCAACACTTGCCTAATATTGTGTAATTCCCCTTCACACTACCGAAATAGTCCTGACCGATCGGAGCATGGATATTGTGTTCTTGTGGGGTTTGGCACTGGGTCATGACAATGGATTGTTCTGCATCGTTCAGATTGAGATCTGGGGAGTTTGGAGGCCGACTCTATGCCTTGGGCTCTTTAGTGTGTTCCTTAAGCTGGTCCTGAGCAGTTCTTGGCGTGTGGTAGAGGTTGGGAGTGCTGTTGGCATGTGGGGGTGTTGTTGGTCGACAACAGTGTTTAGGTGGGTGGTACATGTCAAAGTAACATCCACATAAATACCACAAATCAAGGTTTCCCAGCTGAGCATTGCAGTATTTATTCGTTTCACCTGTCATTGGTTTGGATGTTGAGGATGATTGGTTTATAGTCTTTTTTCTCTTTTAAAAAACTACAACACAAGGGCTAAAGTAAAAGGAGAGATTTGCTGTAACCTAAACTACAAATGGTCAGCATCACTGCCTACAAAAGCCACGGTGCAATGTCTCTTATCCAGTGAAAGTGAAAGTCAATGCTGGTAAAACGATGTGATTGATCTTTGCAAATAAGAGAAGAAATATAACAGCTTCTTTTTTGGAAGAAGAACCAAAATCCAGGTGACAGAACAGACCCAATCATAGGTGCCATTAAGTCATTTTTCACTTTCACACATTTTCACATTCACCCAGCAATAAGGAGAGCAGCATGCTGCAACAGGCTGAGCTGGACAAACACAGCAGAATACAGAAGAAAATGGGTTCAATTTTGATCTATGAAACTATTAAAACAAGCCTGGATCCGCCTCGATACCAAGCCTGAGGATGATCTTGGGACATCCCTGTTCTCATTAAAAAATAACTGAGCTTGAAATAGTAACATTAAAACGTTAACTTGTTGCTTGTGTCTGCCTAACACCACTAAGGGAAAGGCCTCCACTGCAGACTACATATGTGACCCATCTGCACGGAATCAGTCACACTGCACCCTGGACTGTATTCGAGAATTACGTTAGCACATGATAAAATATTGATTTTGGGTTTATTACTTAGATCAGTCCATTTAGTTCAAGGGTGGGCAATCCTGGTCCTCGAGGGACATGGTCCTGCATGTTTTAGATGTTTCCCTCTTCCAACACACCTGATTCAAATGATCAGCTCATCATCAAGCTCTGCAGAAGCCTGATAACGATCTTGATCATTTGAATCAGGTGTGTTGGAAGAGGGAAACATCTAAAAGGGGATTGCCCACCCCTGATTTAGTTGTTTTCTACATATAGGTAGCATATAATATTACAGAGCGTAATAATGTGATGTTCCATATCGCTGTCAAAATACTGTCAGGCACAATGCAACTGACTTCATGCAGATGGGTCACATGTGTGCTTTGTGAAAAGGGAAAGTTTGATAGGCATAGCAACAGTATCTAAGGGGGAGGCAGGGGCTACCTAAAGTCAAGACGGTCACCTCAAACCTGAAGAAAGCAAGAACAAAAACTGCAGTTGTTCACCTCCTTGCAGAACCCTAACATGGATAATTTGGTGAACATGACATGTCGGACTTGAATTAGTTAAAGCAATCTGTAACAACCTTGTGACGTTTATGCATCCCCGGGGAGCAGAGTGGACAGGAAGAGGAAGATGCTGTGAATTTAAAGCAAGCAACAGAGAATTAGAATACAGAAGAAAACGCTGTATTTATTTAAAACGTAAAGCACATAAACGGTTTGTTGCAACTAAAAACATACGCCACAAAAATGGAGAGTGGAGTAATCATAACTACTGCACAAATAGAGGGAGGGTCTTAGTCACCTAATCATACAGACATAGCACGGACTGCTCTGTCTTTCTCTTACTGCCTTTATTTTTATTTTTATCTATTTGTCTCTGCCTTTAAGCACTTGAGTTTCTGTGTGCCGTTTGTCCGTCCTCTGCCCTCACAGCAGTTTCTACCTTTTCATGCGTCATCCGTCTGCTTGTCACCGCCTCCCTTCTTCCATTCATCCATCACCAGGAAATGCTTTCAAAACCCATTAGGCATATATTTTTTACTAAAGCATCATCCGTACCAATCCTGTAGAAAAGGCTTTATTGCATGGCTTCCTTTTCCTCTTGCTTTTTCCCTCCTTCCTGTGCCTCTAGTGTTGCTGTCATCATGACAGCGGGTGATAGTGGTCAGACTGGATGGCTACTCCAGCTTCCCTGACAGCCGGAGTATGACTACGGACTATGATGGACTACGACTATGATGCTGCTTTACTAGTATACAGCGTGTGTTCCCGCCTGCTTCTCCACTGTTTGTGCGTGCTCCTTTGCGAGCCATCACAGGGCTATTTGAGATGCTGAAGAGGGTTCTCTCAGTGTGTCTGCATCAGTCTGTTTCAACCTGCCTCGGGGAGAGTCTATCTGCCATGTTGGTGGTGCTGCTGTTGTTGTTTTGATGCCGTTTTCCAGCTCATTCTATCGCTGAATGCTCTCATTACTGCGCCGGATGGAGGAATTAGCTTACATCTCCGCATGCTCACACCCATACTGACTTGTTATCTATCCTTAATTGTTGTTTTCCACCGAGACATCTTTGGAACCAAAATATCGAGGTCCCCGGGCTGATGCGCAGACACACTTATACACTACACACACACACACTTTGAAACACTGTCCTTAACATCCTCCCAGTGTTGCTGGTCCCCCACCACGTTTGAGCTTGGTGCCTTTGATGTTCTATTCCTACGATACCCACAACCCCATAGGGCCTTTTCTTGTCCCTTATTGGGCCCAGCTCATTATTATACAAAAAGACACTTGAGTAGCTCTCCTGTCACCTGCCGAATTTCTAACTGGTGCTCTGCAGTCTCCTGAGCACTCTGTAAATACAGTCTGGAGAAAGATCTCGCAGGTAGACGTTTGAGCAGACGGGGAGTGAGTCCTTGATAGAAATTATTAAAATTGCTCCTATTTGACTCTTGTTAATAATAGGTGGGATCAATTAAAAATGGAGAAGGATGTGTTTTGCACCACCTGTCGTTTTTAAATTTGAATTCGTCCCCGCAGTGCGGAGTAGAGGGTACGTTTAAGGTATTTGCATGCTATAGGGCAGAGATTTGCTCAGCTCGTCCCTGCCAATGTGTGCGTGTTCTCTGGTCTGATAGTAAGTGGCTCTGGAGTAAAGTGCTTTCAAAATGACTGATGTAAATTGTTATTCCGTGCTTATTAATGCATTCACCTTGCACAGAGGAGAAATGCAGATGTTGCGGTAGTATGGCAATAAAAACACCTTGGCGGTGAAGACAATTAGGAAAGGTGTAAGATAATTATTATTCAAGTTCCCGTCTGCCCCGCCAAGGCCACTGAAAGAGCAAAACAATGTCTGAGAGATGGGGAGAAGGTAGTTTTGGGTGAAAGTTACTCCCAAAGTGTAAAGTCGTGCTAAAGTGGAGCTTCAGACCAGCTGCGGTTCTGTAAAGCAGCGATTTTAATAGGAGGGTCTGTGTACTCTCTGGATCTTGGATAGAACAAATGCCGTTTTCGTGTGTTTTTGTGGTAGAATAAGCAAAGTTGATGTAAACAATGCCGTCAAAACCTTCAAAAGGCTTTACAAATGCTTTACGAGGAAGGAAATTACTTTGAATGGTCTTACAGATACACATAATGCTCTTTAGTGAGAAACCTTGAGTGGAAAATTACAGCAGTGCCTAAGCTACTTCAAAGCTCTGGCATTGCTGTAATTACATTCTCATAAAATAACTGCTTTGTGAACTAATTTCAGCTTTCATCAGTATACAGCTATCTCACCTTGGCTACTATACTAATCAAACCGAACTTTGTGCGTCTAGCAGATTAATACGTCTCAAAGTGACTGACAAGCTAATAGTAAGAAGGTCCAAATATAAACTGTAAAGCAATCAGAGATTAAAGCACAGGGTCGTTGCTAAGGGGAGTTATTAAGGCACAGCACTCACAAATGGCACATCTTTTAAGTAAAAAGAAAAGAATGAGACTTGGATTAACAGCGCATCCACTGCGCTTGTAAGAAGTTATTACTGGCCACGTTTGATCAATACACATGAGGCAGAGCAGGTCCTGAGGAGATTCTACACTGAGACATGCTACACTGGGCTTGGTAGCAGCATGTCCAGTCATCTGGTTACAGTTTTACATGAGAGAATTTCATAGAGGTGTTAAGTGCTTGGTGTAAAACAATCAGTGTAACTGCACTGCTGAGGTTTTATTTATTAAATGACACATACAATCTTTCAGACTGGTTAATCACATCAACCTGCCTTTTTTGTTGTTGTTGTTGTTGATTTGGCTCAAAGAAATCCTTGAAAAGAAACTGGATTTTTTTCCTGATTAACACCTTCATGAATGCTTACCTGTGTGTATTTTTGTGTTTATAGCCTAAAGCCCTTCACATCCTACAAATTTCGGATGTTGGCCACCAATGATGTGGGAGACAGTGTCCTCAGCAGAGAGACGGACGCTGCTACAACTCTGCAGGATGGTGAGAAACTGGGATGCAGACGCAACACGGGAGGGAAAGGAGGGGTTAGATAGGGGAGTATGTGGATTTCACAAACGTGATGTTGTAGAATGTCCAAGTGAGGGGGGGTAGACAATCTGTCAGTCTGTTTGTACGTCTTTTTCACTCTTCCTGTGTTTACTTTCCAGTGCCTGATGAGCCTCCAGTGATTCTCACAGTGAAGCCAACAACTACTACCTCAGTGCTGGTGCAGTGGAAGGTATTTTCAGACTTCTAACACACCAACAACAACGAGAAACCTACACACAAAAAAAAAAAACATGTAGTAGAAGTTCAGGTTAATTATTTATTTTGAGAATAAAACCCCTACGGACTTTGTGTGTATATGCGTGTATTTGTACAGCATGTGCGTCTGTCGATGTAATTATCATTATTTACAGAAGTAGGAAAGGTCAGAGGGCAGCAGAGGTCGATGGTAGTATGGTGGGGAGCAGGAAGACAGAGGTGTGTTTGGGATAAATGGTTAACTCTTAATGAGTGTGTACCAGCAGTAGAGATGTTGTAGGGCAAGACGATGCCTCAACAATCAGTAATGTCCAACAACAGAGCAGAAAAGAGAGAAAGAGAAGTAATGAAAGAGTAAATACCTTCTGGCTACTTCACTGCTTGTCACTCTTACTCTTCTGTCTGGAAATGTCTTCTCTCATCCTTGTAGCCTTACGTCAAAGGAGATGGGGCAATAAAAAAACAAATTCACCAGCATATTTCATCACCCTTTACAAGAGTGCCAGACCTACTGAAGCATCACTTTGCCTGTGCAAGTTACAGCCAGACCAATCCACCAGCCCTTTAAAGTGGACTCTGCTGATAAAATACTGCTCAAATGCTGCCCTGTCCTGCCTGTCACCTCACTACACCAAGAAAATGAAAATGAGCTCAGTGCAGAATCCTCAGAAGCTGGGAATTTCCTTTTTGAGAGACGGATCGTTTTTTTTACATGTGCGTGTGTGTGTTTGTTTCCATGTTTCCAGCGTCCCAGTGACGACAGCGTTAATGGGGTTCTGACTGGATACCGGCTATATTATAGAGAGCTCCCAATGAACATCTCCACTCTGACATCAGCAGACATCCAGACAACCAAAAACAACACCACAAGTGCCCTCATCACAAGTAAGTAGCTCTGTGACTAATGGAACCAACCACTCAGTGAGCCCCACTTCCTTAGATATGGTTGCCATGTCTGTAAAGCTCTCAGTTTGCAGAGGAAGATAGAAAGCTAAGATCCATCCATCCATTATCTATGCACCGCTTCATCCTCACTAGGGTCATGGGGGGCTGGAGCCTATCCCAGCCGAGTGTGGCGAAGGCAGACAGGCCACCAGTCTATCACAGGGCTACACTTAGAGACAGACAACCAAGTACACTCACATTCACACCTACGGACAGTTTAAAATCACCAGGTACCCTCAGCATGTTTTTGGTTTGTGGGAGGAAGCCAGAGAACCCAGAGAGAACCCACGCTGCACGGGGAGAACATTTAAACTCCACACAGAAAGATCCCGGGTGTCCTCACTGGGACATGAACCGGGATCTTCTAGCTGTGAGGCGACAGTGCTCGCCACCGAGCCACCATGCAGCTTAAAATGATGATGCAATGATTATATTTGCAGGGCTAGTCTATAAAACTATTATATTAGAATTTCTTCATGGAGACAGAGACAGAAACTGCAGGGAGAAAGAGACTACGACGTCTAACAAAGGTCCAGCTCAGGATGTGGCAACTACGTGGTTACCATGAAGTCCTTCCTGAAATTCTTGGGTTTTGTATTTCAGACAGGGATAGACAAAAGAAGGCTTTTAATTTCTGGCCAACAGTCTTGAATTTTGATGACAGATTATCAGATACAGCTCGCTAACGAATTAAGCTAACGTTAGCTCCATGAATTGGTTGAAAATGCATTCCTTAGATGACTTTTTCATGCTCCAAGGTGACACGTGTTGTAACAACAACCCTGTAAGAAGGCATTTGACTGATTCATGCTAGGGCTGCACTGTGGCAGTCACATCACAGGATGTGTGATGTGAAGTAAGACAAATGAACACAAACACATTGTGCTGCAATTTTTTGCCACTTGATACAAAAGAACAGTTGCACAGTACTCATTTTCTGTGACTAATCCATAGGAGAAGTTTCTTTTATTACACAGTTTACTCCAATTTAAGGGTTCTTGAATACACTGACTTCTTTTTTGTTTTTTGTTTTTTTACTTTATTTACAAGGCACAGTTTGTTGACGTGTAGGTTTCACAGACAGGAGAGAAACACTGAAATAAAACGGTTGGTTGCAAAAGGAAATGCAGTGTCAGCTGTATGGAAATATTTCAGCTACAGAAAGGATGATGTTGACCAAAAACAGACAGTCTGTCGGCAGCGTCTGTGACCATTTAAATCAGCACGGCAGAGCTCTGTATGATGAGCGCAAAGCCAGATCTGAATGCCATCCAAATCAAAAAAAAAAAACGTTGGGATGCCTTTGCCACTGTTACACCTCTTGAGAAATGTTACAAGGGGTTTGCACTAAAAAACTCATTTTTAGCGTCTTTTATATTTAAATTATTTTTTAGTTTCTGTACAGATGCATTTCCCTACAGATCCCCCAGTCATTCTTAGTCTTCCCACACAGAGCTATTCAGTCAGCCGGTGAGAAGTCCTGTATGTTTTTCATATGATAATGTCAGTGTTTTTTTCTAGTATCATGCTGTACATGACATATTGCTAAACATTGAGGCCTAACCTTGTGGACATAGTCATGGAACAATAAAGACGCATGCTTCTTGTGGTACAGAGTGGAACCTGTTTTTAAAAACATGATCAAAAATATGATAAAGATCTATTATTACCTAGGGTATTGTGTTGTTTTGTTTTGGGGTTTTTTTGCTTGTTTTTTTTTTTGTTTGTTTTGTTTTGTTTTTGAAAATTAAAAATTATAAGGCTTTCCAGTGAATCAGGGATCGGGATGATCGGCTAATTTAATGCTGTCTTGAGACACATTTGCTGAGGTTGCTGAAGTGTAAACTCCGCCACATCCAGCAGAGAGTAGGACAGGGCTGCTAATGTTATCCTACACTCTTTTCACACAATATTGAAACTTTGCACCTCCAAACTGTTTAAATGCTGAGTATTGATCTCACTACAGCCCGTAGACACTGGTTCAACATGCAGAGACATCCACAACTTGACAGGCGTGCTGCCGCTCGTTACGGTTGTTAAACCGTAATGGAGAAGTTTAGTGATCGATTCATTGTTGTAGAATGTTCAGTGTTTTTTTCCTCAGTCACCGAAGAACAATCCACGTATTGTCCCCTTTGCACATTGTAACAAACGCAGCAGATGACGGAGCCCTTTCATTTTCAGGCGTCACACAAGCATCAAATAGTGAATTCATAATACAGGTCACCTGCTTTTCAAGGCTGGCTGTAGGTTTTTAACTGCTTCACTAAAATCCTTGATTTAAAAAAATAGAATAAAGTGAATAATAGGGCCTGCAATTTGTGAAAACACAAAGTCAGCAATAATAGGGAGGATTAAAGAGATCTTTTTAAATTGTTAATACTGCCATGCAAGGCTGGCATTTTCCAATTCCATTTTGCAGCATTTCTGAAAAGATTATATTCAGAGGTTATAAACGTTCAAGAGAAATAAGAAGAAAGAAGAAAACGAAGAAGAAAAAATCATTTTCAGATGCGTTCTACAATCAAAGCTGGGACCAGGAATGAAATGTGTAGTCATGAGGAGACACAGACGATACGACCCTCACCAGACAGTTGTTTTCTTATGAGGCCGCCTTATTACATTGTAACTTTGCAATAATAAAATATTATTATGCACTGTACAGACTCAGGTGCTTTATAGTCAACAGAGTATCTGCTGGGCGACATTGGCAGATGGTCAGTTTTCTGTCCACCCAAAGTCCAATAAGTCTGACCGGCATATTGAAACATAAAAGTCTTTCCCTCTTAAAGACATTGATTTTATTGAATGGCATTATAATTGCACAATTTATTGCTGAACTTGAACCATTTATTGATTTACTTTCCATCTATTTTATCTCTCCCAAAGCCAAGAGCACCTTCAAGACAGTCAGCAGTGCCTCGCTCACAGAGTTTGAATTGACACGTAAGTAATTTATGACCACAGTGGAAGGTAGTTGCAACATCAACCGGCACGTTATACAGATATTTATACGTTTTATTGTGTCTTTGCAGAGCTAAAGAAGTTCCAACGCTATCAGATTGTCATGACAAGCTACAATATCATCGGAGAGAGTCCACCCTCCACTCCAGTTGAGGTGTCTGTTGGAGAGGCAGGTAGGTGAACGGAGGAACTCTTTGGTCTAGATATCCACATCTGATCTACACGTGTTGTTTCTTAATATGTGCACTTGTGGGATTTTATGCCAGAAAAGTTTGTTTAAAGAGCAACTTGCAGGTTAGCAGCCCCTGTGAATTCACCTGCAGGAGAATGAAGCAGAAGAGAAAAAAATGGAAAAACATATGTGCATATACGCTGTTATCAGACATTCTGTTTCATCACAGTACCATAAAGTTTGCATATCAGGGCATAGCTGTTGCCGGTTTAGTGCTGCAGTATTGATACTTGTTGTTAACAGAAACTGATGCGCAAAGATCATCTGATATCGTATCCCGCTTGTCTCACATAAATCGACGCTACATTTATTGGAACCACATAAGAGAGGAAGACACAGAAAGGTGGGAGAGAGCTGACTTCTTTAGAAGTTTGCAAACATAAAAGTGCACAGTTTGTGTTTTTTATCAAGCCCGATCTCGCACAGATTCTTACTCCCACCGGCACCAGAACCAGAAGCTGCTGCTGCTGCTGCTGCTGCTGCTGCTGCTGGTGGAACTGACGCTTTTGTGTACCAGCTTTCAGTCTTACACATCCTGCCTTAGACACCTCACTCAGAGCACCATCGTATCTCCAGAAACATAATCCTCCCGTCTAAAATGAGCCCGGCACTCAATCGTGTTGTTTGTTACAGATGCAGCAGTGAAGTCTCTTCACCTGCACAAAGCTGGCCCAGGCACTAAAGTAGCTCCACAGTTTGAAGAAGCGTGGACTCGATGTCCAGGCTGCGCTTTGTGAGACCTGCACACATTATTTAACCATAATGGAAACTTGTGAAATGCAAAGTAATTAGCAAAAAAAAAAGACCAGCTCTCTAAATCACAGCTGCTCAGACTCACTACCACCTACAACTGCACAGCATGCTGAAGCAGAGACAACATATTGTGACCTGTTGTGGAAAATTGTTTTTCAATTTCTGCCTTCATGTCTCATAAAATCGTGCATTAACTTTTCAAACAATAATTTCCGAGAATATCGTTATGAATTTACCCCCCAAAAAAATCAACCTGCAAGTTGCTCTTTAAATTTGGTTGTCGATCGTCTTCTTTTTTTCCTCTTCATGAAACATCTCATTAAGGGCAGTTTTGGGGCATGAGAGCACATTCTTAACTCTGGAAGTCATAGTTTAAGAAAAAAAAACAATCCCAGCTCAAAGTTTACTTCCTAGCTGTTTAAGAAGCTCACAATGCATTTATTGCAATCTTCAACAGCATCAGCACTTCAGAAATAGTTTTGCTTTTAACTCCGTAGCTGTTATGATTTCATCCAGAGCATTCCATTTGCTTTTACAGATTGTGTGGTGTGGGTAAAAGCTCTTGAAAAAACTTGTGAGTGGCTCTTGAGTTGGGCTGCTTTTGTCCAAAACTGCTTTGTGTCTCTGTTTTGTCTGCTTTCTGTCAGTCTTGTCCTGTTCTGTGCTTTGTCTCATTTGCTTGTCTTTGACTCCTGCTATTACCCCTTGAGTGACATTGTCTTTGAGGGGCTCAGTGGTGGTCTCTAATTAAAAGTGCGCACGTGTGTTTGTACCTGAATGTGTGTGTGTGTGTGTATGTGCGTGTGTGTATGTGTCCATGCCTGCACATTCATGTTCACACGTCTGAAATCCTGCACAAGGTCAACTATTTTATGGTGATGGCCCAGCCCCTGTTTAACTTTCACTGGAGAGTCAAACTCTGGATCCAGTAGACAGACAGGAGAGTAAATACACATCCCTCTCTCTCTCTTACGCTCTCACTCTCGCTCTTTCTCTCTCACACACACGTACACAAGAGTACACACAAAAGCAACAACAGCAAGAAAACACACAAACAAGAGTGCAGGTGAACAAATTCACATAGTATGATAGTAGCACCCACACATCTTTGCAATTTCTCTCACAATCTCACACTCCTTCCTTCAGACTACGGTTGCATTCATATTCAAGGGGTGTGTGTAGTGCGCGTATGTGTGTGTTTGTAGAGTTTAGCAGGCAATACATATCACATGCAGAGGAGTAAGAGGTGAGGATAAGCAAGCGGAGCAGGAGGGGGAGGCAGAAAAGGCTAGAGGGGGATGATGAAATGGGGTGATATGGCCTTTTCTCTAGCCTCAGGTGCACGCTGCTGAGTGTTCATGCATATGTGTGGTACAGTGGAGTAACAAGGTACTGCCTTAGGCCCATTCTAATTGGAAGGGTAGAACATATCTTCCCTACTTCCCACTCTAACACCCAGCTGCGCACACACACACACGCATACGCTCACGCTAACACTCACACTAACACCCTAACAAAAAAAAATATCTCCTTCTGCAGCTCCATCAGTGGCTCCTCAGTCTATCAGAGTGTCAGCTGCGTCTCCCTCCACCCTGGAAGTGACCTGGGACATACCCCCTCTGGAGACCCAGAATGGACTCATCCAAGGATACAAGGTGACTCATATAAAACAAACGCGAAATATATTTATACACACACACACAGGATATCTACGTGGCCGCTACAGCACTTTCTCTGTATTTTAAACATCTCTCCTCTCGTCTTGGAGGGGTTTTGCTCTGCTGCGTCTTCAAGTGTCCTATAGACACAAGAGAGAGAGAGAATTAAGTTAGAGGAAGAATCTGAATATCCTTTAATGGTTTCAATATCACTCCTCTGCCTGCCTCTCCCCCACAACTCCCCTGTCCCACCCCCTCACTCTTAGTACTTCAAACACAAGGTTATCTGTCCTGCTTTAGACACATTGATTTCTGCCAGAGTAGAGGGAGGAATGGAGAAGAAAGAAGGGAATGTAATATTTACAGAGTGAAGGAATGAGACGAGGAAGTGATCCCCATAGAATCCTGATTAGAGAAGATCGAGGGAATATGTTTAAACTACCAGAGATGGGTGGACACGGGGAGGGGAGCGCGAGGCAGTGGGGTTAAGGAGATTAAGATAAGAGAAAAAGAGCAAAGAAAGAATGTTTAATGAATTTATAGGTTCTGACTTCCCCTAACACTCCTACTCTGTCAGATGAATGTAGCGCAGGCAGCAGGTAGGACTGAAGGTAAACTTGATTGCAGGAGTATTTTTCAACAGCTGAAGTTTACTGAAATGCCCTGGAGGCCTTGTTAAACACACTGAACATGATGGGTGAGGGGTAACACGCAAAACCCAACTGTGCCATACCTGTCAAGAGGAATTTCCCACACACACCAGATACAAAAGGTTGCACTTTATAAAATGTTAATCTGGACAGCAACAACAAATCCTTACGTATGACTCAGATGTTCACATTTTGATTTCAACACCTTACAACTGCAGATGTCCACTGATTGTTTTCCAAAGATAATTATCAACTTGTAACATCCATCATGCTGCTCCTGCAAAAAAAAAAATAAAAATAGGTCAGTCACTTGTAATAGAAGAGCTACAGAAACCAACAAAAGCCTGAAAATGATAAAATGTCTCCTCTTGTTCCAAACAAATATCCATCCTGTGTTTCAAGACTAAATATCCTAAATCAACTCTTCAACAAAAGAAAGACAAAATCCGTTTAAGTCTCTTGATCTTATCAAAGATTATCATGATCATGTTCATCCATGACAGTTTCAAATTGTTTTTTTTTTTTTTTGAGTAATCCTGGGAGTCTCACACTCTGAATACAAACTAGATCCACTAAACAACAGTGGAGTGGATTACAAAATAACCTGGACTGCTTACTATGCCATTAGAATAAAGTATCACAAGAGATATTACCTATTTTCTGAAATACAAAATTCCAAATGAAAATACCCCCTTTATTCAGAGGCTAATACCTTTTAATTTTAAATTAAGAATATGGATGAATTATTCTGTGCCTCATTATTGTAAGAGGTTGTGGAAGGACAGACATGGGATAATGCTGCCCTCAAGTGCTACCCAGAAGCTGCTACTTCCAAGTTTGGAAGTTGTAAATATAGATTATAATGCTCTGTAGTGCTGTCTGTTAGGAATAATAACTAAATGGACCTCTTTGCGTAGCTCTTGGCTGTTGTTTTACTTTTTGAACCGAACTGCACGCAGACAGTTTATGCTGCAGGAAACACTGAATACTGCATTTTGAATTTCCAAAATTCATACACATCCACATAGTTCATCTTTGCCTTTAGTTGTTGCCACAAATTTGAATATGAGAACTCTTTCTTAAACTGCATGCTAATATTATTGTTAATCATAGTAGTAGCAACCGTTTAAAATGTTTTTGCCATCTTGTGCATCATTTATTATCATCTGTCACGATGCCATCATGCAGTCATTGCAGGAAAATTAAATGGCAGCATTGTATTACTTCATGACACTGATACATCAAATCTGTTATATCAGAACAATAACTGACACTTTCTCACTTTGTATGCATCTTAACAGTCCACCTCTGTTCACTGCAGATCGACCGACACACAGAAAACTGCCAGCAGATCAGTCCGTCTGAGCTTATAAAGGCCACAGTTTCATGATCTGATTACAGATTGAATGAACTGGGGAACCATATACTGAATGATTAGATACCCAGGTGGCTGATTGTCACTGAATGCTTGCGAGGGAAAACGTCTGTGTGCTGCACTTGCACAGGTTCATATCTACAATATACTCTGCTCCGACACATATTTGGTTTTCTGTGAGTGTTCCGTTTAACGTCGAAACATCTAAAATAAGATGTAGAAGCTGTTTGGGGTTTTTCTCACTTTAAAAGCTCTTGCATTTGAAAGATGCTTCTTTTTTGTTCATTTCTGAATCACCTATAACCTTGCTGTTAGTGTCAAAAGAATAAAAGTGTGGTCTAAAGAGTGATACGGTCGATATGCACCTGTCCGGTATCATTATGAGCAGAAGGCAAGCTGTTGTAAAGCATCAAATAGTCCTTGTTACCTGATATGCTTTTAAATAGGCCGTTTACTGGCAGGAAGATGTGAGGTTTATTGTTAATTAAAAAATATCACCTTGACTACGATACTGAAGACATTGGTTTCTTATAAAATAGTTTATTTTGCAAAGTCAGTTAAGTGACACATTTCTCAGGTCACCATGGTTGCATTAACATTTTGGCGTCATTAAGTTGTGATGTTCACACGCTGTAAGCTTCAGACTGCAAGGTCTTACGATTAATATTGATCTCATCATGCAGGCCACAATAATAAGGCAACCTTTGTTCTGCTTCGTCTTATGGGGATCAACCGAAGCAGCCCATGTGTCTTCATTACCGGCCAACGTCATAAACGTTATTGGCCGCATCAGTGGTTATTGATTCAGTCCCGCTTGAGCATGTGCAGTCAGCAACACACGTGGTGGACGTGGGGTGGAGTGTAGGCCAACATTAAGTCCCACATTAACATTTTATTCTGTATGTTTTAAAGTTTGAATACTTGCATTGGACCAGAGTTAAATACAGAGTGAGGAGAGGGATAAGGTTTTTTTGTTTTTTTTTTTTTATTTCCAGATTCCTACCTGCTGCAGCTTTAAGCTTTGTTTTCTTATAATTATGTGGAAAAGTCTTATATGTACATCTAGATCAGAGTGGTATCCACAGTAAGGAATCAATACCTCCTAGCCTTCTGTTAAACTGTCAGCTTCAACGTCAACCTCATCATAAGCAACTTGTACAACAGCTGCAAACAGCTTGTTCATCTGAGACAATTACGGGGCTTCAGGAGCCAAGAAGAGAAAGTAAATCACACATAAATCTGGCAGAAATGAAGTGAGGGCGAAGACATGAGCAGTCCAGGTCAGGAGGAACAGAGCCAGTGTTGTTGACGGCGTCTCTGTCCCGTGTTGCAGATCCACTACTGGGAGAGAGACAAGCAGAACCAGACTGAGAAGGTGAAGGTGATTTTTGTCCCGGACACCCGTGTCCATCTCACTAACCTGACCAGCTACACACCTTATCTGGTCACACTGACTGCCTTCAACACGGCAGGAGATGGACCACCCAGTGACCCCCGCGGAGCCCGAACCCTGCAGTCTGGTAGGAAGTGGCGACAGTTCAATTCCCTGAAACCAAACCAGCAAGCATCACATTAAAGTCTCTCTGATCTCCTAGATTCCTCTCACTTCTATTTCATCTTTCATCCTCTCTGTGTCTGCAGCTCCCAGCCAGCCGAGCTTCCTCTCCTTCTCTGAGGTGACGGGAGGAAGTGTCAACGTGTCCTGGGGAGCTCCGCTCACTCCTAATGGACAGCTGGAAGGCTACAGGGTCATCTACCAGCCCACCGCTCCTGTCCAAGGTAGCGCGCACACACACACACACTCACACACATGCACACACGCACACACATGTTGATTCTTACACTGACATTTCTCTTCAATTGTCTGTAGGGGTGAGTAAAGTGGTGACAGTGGACGTTAAAGGCAGCTGGCAGCGATGGCTGAAGGTTCGGGACCTGATCAAAGGAGCGACTTATGGTTTCAGCGTTCAGGCTCTTACAGTCAGCTATGGACCCCCTTTACAGGCAAACATCACTGCTCAGCCTGTGAAAGGTAAACATGGACAAATATCTGCTTATACAGTCATGTAATCAAGATTCAGCTGGCATTTAACAATCATTTGTACTATCAAATACCCTGCAGATTCTTTTCACTCTTCAGCGTTTGATTATTTAGTCTGTTAAAGCTCAAAAAACTGAAAAATCAAAGCTTTTACGAGGCGCAGTTGTCTTCAGATGTCAGCACAAAACATGAAGGTATTCAGATTGCTATAATAGAAATTAGAGAAGCGTGTTGAACACTCACATGTGAGGAGCTGCAACTACTAAATATTTGGCACTTTTGCTTGAAAAATGACGAATGAAACAACACACTGATGTTTTAAAGTAGTTGTTGATACGTTTTCTTTTGATTGACGAATTAGGTTAAGGTACAGGCTGGAGTTAAAGATCATGTGCCATCTGAATCATACTTACACACTGAAAAACGTACACTGTTGTGTCCTTAGACTTGTCATTTAAGCATAAATCATGTTGATTATCTTAGCTGATCACTTGTAGGCACACTGAGTCTTAGCTACACTACCTACCTGTCGACAAAGGTCAGAAAATGACCCTGTTAACTTGAGCGTCAAAAACAACTGTGAGTGTGTCCCTCCTGATCCACAGGGTCCCCTGGGTCGCCCATGGAAATGACCATCTCCAAGACGTCCTCGGAGCTCACTATCCACTGGACGGAGGGAGACATCGGTGCAGCTCCTGTGACTGGATATGTTATCGAGGCTCGCCCCTCAGGTGAGCTGCAACACGAAGCGCACACTCAGTTCAGCCGTAACGTACTTTGACACGCAGCTTTTCATCATATGCACTAATTCCTTTCATTAATCAAGATGGAGTTTAACTACTACCCCGCACTAAACTGTTCTGAGCGCAAGTTTCTCCGAATTCATTAAGACCTGCTGTGCAAATCAAGTCAGCCGCAATTTCCTAATAAAGATTACCAGAGGTGTAATACAGAAAGAGAACGTCTGTGGGAAATTGTTTTATCACTCTGCAGGAGAGTGAGTGTAGACTGTGGTGCAATTCTGCTACGGATAATAATGGATATGCCCCTTTTATTTATAGTAATAACAGTGATCACTGTCATCGCTGCACTATCATCATCATTATCATCTTAAATGTAATCTGACAGTTTATAATTTTCTTTAATCAAATGCTGACATTTGAAAGGGACTAATCCTCAAATGGTCCTCTTTCTTCTCCGCCCGTCCATCAATCCGTGACTCTGTCTCCCCGGCTTCCCCCTCTGATCTCTCCCCGCAGACGAAGGAATGTGGGATTCCTTCATCAGACTGCTCCCTCCGAGCAGCAGGTCTGTTTCAGTGCCGCTGGAGCGCCTGAGGTCGGGGATCAGCTACGAGTTCAGAGTCATCGCTGTTAATCGCTATGGTTATGGACAGCCGAGTACACCCTCTGCTGCTCTCGCTGGTAAGCACACACACACACACACACACTGCCAGACAAGAGGCAAATGAGCAAACTCACCATGTCTGACTGGGGTCTGACAAACGGTCCAGTCTGTCGGACACAATGTGGCGTATGTCGGCGGTACTGTGATTGTGTGCTTTTGCTGCCATCTAAAGGCAGAGTCATGCATCCACAACTGGTTGAATGCGCAAACAAGCGATAGCTCTGAACACATGCAGCTGGTTTTTGTTTCCCATCTGTGGCACAACACTAAATTCATCAGTTTTCAATAACCTGAATAATTTATGAAAAGCATTTGAATTCATGCGCTGTAAATCACTTAAGGTGCTGCCTTTTACTGCAGCCTTAAAAATGAGTGAGTTAGCTGCATTTGGGTTGATTAATTAGTTGTAGGTCATTTTATGAGCTGCGAAAATGTAAAACAGGCAGAGTTTAATTAACTGAACTTGAGAAAACGAGTTCCATAAACATCAGATATGAAGTCAAATCAGCTAGTCATTGGTATGGGACAATGGGCACAGACACAACTGGTCTCCTTTTGCATTCTATGAAGTTGAGGAGTTTCTTCTTCATTTTACACTGAGATCTGTTGAAGCCATTTCTGTTTGTGCAAAGACAACCTATGAGGCTTTTCCCATTTAGGTAGATTGTAGGTCTGCAGGTGAGGACTAAATTCAGTACTGACCTTTGTCATTGTTAGAATTGTTTTGATTGTTAGTAAAAGAAACAACCATAACTTACATGTATTAAAAGAGAAGTTGATTTAACTACATTCCTTTATGTTGTTTGATCGTTTACATTTCATACACTTCAGGTCCCCTCATCTTTCAAGAGGTTTGGACTGTTGGACCCATGAGACAAATTACTGAATCCAGCTGGACCAAAGTTGACATCTCCCTCTTATAAATGTGCTTCTCTGCCTGCAGCGCTGTCGGAGCGTCCCTTCTATGAGGAGTGGTGGTTCCTGCTGGTCATGGCTCTGGTGGGACTCATCCTCATTCTGGTGCTGGTCTTCACGCTGCTGCTGCACGGCCACAGCTCCAAGTACAAGGCCTGTGGTACAGGTATGTAGCCCTGTGGCTCCTCCCTCATGAGGTGACATTCATTCGGTCATGTGGCAACAGAGATGATAGGTTAATAGGAATCAGTGAAATGTGTCTTTCGTCACTCTTCGGTCACATTAGCATCGTTCCTCTCAGCCTCAGCAGACCCCCCCACATGTTCCCACCACAGAGTCATTACAGCGTCTTCATGTTTTTTGATCCTGACAAGTTGAGACATGACTTTCCCTCTACAACCAGCACACTTGTGCTGTTTGTAGAGGGAAAGTGCCTCAAGCAGTCTTGCTCCTGCAGGACTGCGGTCTGTATGAAGGAGCCTCGTTCCTTCAACAGGAAATAAGTTTTTGTAACTATTCGCTGCATCAAGCCAGCTACGATACTGTAATATATATAACACACACGGGTAACTCTACAGTGGAGTGTCATTTACCTGGAAATCAGGTGAATTGTAACCCTCTAAACACCAAAACACACCAGTGAGTTTGATAGGTGTGTTACTGTTTTAAAAATCAAAGAAGTAGCACCATTTATTAGAGCCATAAACTGTGAAACCAAAAAGGATTATTGGATTTCCAACCTTTAACAGTTGAAGTACTCATCTGTCACGTGCAGTTCAATTGGAAAAAAGGATCCAAAATAAGCTTGAAATCCATCCATCATCTATACACCATTTAATCCTCACTAGGGTCGGGGGCAGGACACCCTGGACAGGTCACCAGTCTATCACAGGGCTACACTTAGAGACAGACAACCAAGCACACTCACATTCACACCTACAGACAATTTAGAATCACCAATTAACCTCAACATGTTTTTGGACTGTGTGGGAGGAAGCCGGAGAACCTGGAGAGAACCCACGCTGGAGAACATGTAAACTCCACACAGAAAGATCCCGGGTGTCCTCACCGGGATCCGAACCGGCGACTTTCTTGCTGCGAGGCAACGGTGCTAACCAGTAATAACCCAAGTAATAACCACATATGAGAACATGCAAACTCCACACAAAAAGATCCCAGGTGTCCTAACAGGGACACGAACCAGGGATCTTCTTGCTGTGAGGCGACAGTGCTAACCACTGATCCACCTTGCAACTTAAAATCACAATTTTTTATCAAAATCACATTATTGCATGTGTCTTAGTGAACATTTCACAAAAATAAAACATCGGAAGTATCCAAAGTTACACCATTAGTGACTCACCTGAGTACGACAGTCACATGAAAAACTTCTGGGACTTTTCAGTTGAACTGCAGGCAGTGTTTACACCAAGCGAAGATGAGACACATGTGGAAACAACTTTTTCCATTTTTGGTAACACCTGTGGCCACTTAAAGGTCGCACATGTTATTTCCAGGTTTGTTTATTTTTTTGTGAAATTATTAATCAAATAAATTCACCTTTAATGATTTATGACATTTTACATGTGTCATGTGACACTAAAGACATTTCTAAGTTCTCCCTACTTCTGGCCATGGTTGTGTTTTCATAGAGGTGATGTAACGATGCAGTTAAAAAAACAATGGGTCCACAGTGAGGAAAAAAGTGACAGGAGCAAGAAACAGCCAAAAACTGCTCAGAGTTTATTTAGTTAAAACCGTAACTTGCTTAAGTTCATCTTCAAGATTTATTTTGAGTTTATTTATCAGCAACCTAGTATGTTAGAGTGAATGAAGCTCCTAAATTCACAAGCTGAGCGTCATTTATTTGATTTCATGAATATGAATCTGTTCAGGTATTTTGATACACACATCTGAACACCTGTGTTATATGTGAGCTGACACGTCCTCCACAGGCCAGAGAGCTCAGCAGTCCTCGAGCTGGAGGGTCCAAGTCTTCCTCAGTGAAGCTCATCGACATGAGCTGAAGAACAAATCATGATACGACTATTAGTTTGTGTGATCGTTGTCCAGTCAGTCTTCTGAGGCGCGTGGAGGCTTTTCTTCCTGTTTTCATCTGCGTGTTTGTCTCCTCTCTGGCTTCCTGTGATGTTCTCAGCAGTGGGCACAGCAGTCGATTTGTGTGTGTGTGTGTGTGTGTGTGTGTGTGTGTGTGTGTGTGTGTGTGTGGCCGGTGTAGGTTACATCAGGACTGCTGTTAGTTGCCTCAGTGGGGGGGACACACTGCAGACAATCACACAAACATTGACAAAGTGAAGAAAGAGTGAAAGTCACGGATTAATGGCAAATTACATTTTTCATTTTTGTTCAGCACCTCAGTGTGTCTCAAACAACAATCATATTTCTTCCAATTTAAAACATGATATTGTCTCCTTTTATTTCATTTCATTTAATTTTTATGGTTATCGGTGGATAAATGATTAGAGTATTCTGTCTTCTTACTGCCTGACTGCCAAATTATGCTTCCTAACTTTCATTTTCTTCTTATTCTGAGGATGAATACACAATAAATAAACAGGAGATTGCACGTAAAATGTGTGCAGTGAGAAGAAGAACTTTTCTAATAAACTCCAATATGGCTGGCTGAACTGCTTTGAATGTTTCGTATTTATCTCAACCAGTTTCATCCTTTTGTTTTTTTTTTTTCTTCCTGCAGGGAAGCACATGTCCACGGCGGAGGAGTCTGTGACGTTGGACAACGGAGGTTTCACGGCTCTGGAGCTCAACAGCAGAACGCTAAACACCAAGAACTCCTTCCTGAAAAAGAACGGGACCAGGTGAGCCTCAGTCGCTCTCATTCGGACACATTCTTGGTTTAGTTCATCTTAAGAGGTTTAATGTGGAAATGTGTGTCCAGGTCTCCTCCCAGGCCCAGTCCAGGTGGTCTTCACTACTCTGATGAAGATATCTGTAACAACTACAATGGAGCCGTGCTCACTGAGAGCACCACCCTCACAGAGAAACCCACTGAGGTCTCTGAGTCAGAGGTAGCTCTTTCTATCCGTCTGTCGCTCCCTCCCGCTCTGGAAATCAACCTGCCAACTCCTCTTGGTTCATGCTCTTCATATATGTTTACAGTCTGTCTATCATTTTCACATCCTGATCCCACTCTGTAGATGTTATGTGTTGGTCTGTTGTGTAGACGCGACATCGATCGCATGTCTGTCTGTTCTGAAAGTCTGTTGTTCTTCCTGAGGTTTTGGAAGGAGGCGGGTTTGCCTTTTCCAGATTCCTGCTTGCTGCACCTTTATGCATGAGTACATTATTTCAGTGCTCCCTTATGTATTTATTCCCTCCCTGTCATGGTTTGTAGAAAACTAAAAACTAAATCTAATACCAACCAGGTCATTTTTACCCGGCTGTGAAACCCGACAATCATGTCATGTTCTCAGAATATGAACCGATAGAAATGTTTGACAGACAGTTCCTTGAAAGTTCAGCAGAAACACAGTGTTTTGTGCCAAACTGATGTTTTGTACTTGTTGAAAAGGCAAATGTGGAGGTTAAAAAGAAAAAAACACCAAACGTGTCTGTAGTGACTGAGCTCTCTGACCTTCTCTCTCCTCCACAGTTTCAACATGCTGAATTAGCCACAGGGCTGCTAATAACAGACAGTCTTTCCCCACGTTTGCTATCAAATTTTTAAAAAACTGCAGACAATGACAACAGATATGACGTATTAGAGCCAACAGAACTTCATGTAAAAGTGAACCACATCAGTTTAACACTTTAAAGTCTGTTCACAGCTGTTATACTGAGCTGTATGTTTGAGACTTTAGGGGGAGCTGCATGAACTCTGATAGATGTCGGTGTGAAGATGAAACAATCTGAGGGTGTGACGTGAGAAAGAAGTGAGTTGTGTAGATTCTCAGTCCAAAGAGCTTCAGGAAAAAAGCAGCTGGATTCTCTTATTGGGTCTTGAAGATGTTTTACGTTTTATCCCAGAACTGAAGAAGCCTCTTGGATCAAAGAAGTCCAGTTAGTTTTTATTGAAGCCCTTCGGACAGCTACTAAGACAACACACCAAAGTCTCTAGTGATCAAACTGCTTTGTGATGAATGTAAATAGCACATTGTGACAAGGAATAAAAGTGTCTTCAAGAATCTCAGTTAGACGTCCAGTTGCTCGTCCTGACTGAGAGTCCACACAGATGCAGGATGTCTGGTTCTGCTTCTCTTGGTGCTGCTAAATGTTGTTGCTATGTGCGTGTTTGTCCCTCTAATAAACTGTGTCTTTGCGTTTGTATCCAGTTGACAGACAGCGACTACGAGGACGAGCAGCCGAAGCACTCCTTCGTCAACCACTACATGAGCGACCCCACCTACTACAACTCCTGGAAGCGGCAGCCCAAAGGCCTTAAAGGGATGGGCGCTCCATTTGGCTACGAGGAGTGTGCCACCGCCGACACGGAGCCCTACTACCAGACCGTGGTCACCCAGCACAGCACAGGCGGCGCCTACACACCCACAGGGCATCCAGCGCACACACACGTCAACCCCAACACCAACCCACCCCCGGGGTCACGCACCCCCGTCACGGGATTCTCCTCATTTGTTTGACTCTAGAGAACAAACCTGCACAAAATAATACACACAAACGTACACATAATGAAGGAGGGGGGCCGGCATGTGTTTGGACTGAAGGAGACGGAGTCGGCGGCTTCGGAGGACGAGGTGAGGAGACGTGGGACGGACTGGTGTCGAAACAGCCCTTCATGCCCCAAAGACCTAAAGTTACACTTCTCACTCGCCTTCTCCCCTCGTTCACAAAGACCCTGTGTCAACGAGTGTGTGTTGCTCTTTTACTCTTTACGCCTCTGTGTCACTGTGCTACACACACACTCACTGTTCTCGTTCCCCACACATTCACGCCGCTACACGCCACCAGATATTCCAGAGACTCTCCGACGAGAGCCGAGAGCGACGACTAGATGAGTCCGTTTGTGTTACTGTCGAGGGGAGAATTCAGCCTCGAGCTGGTGGAACCTGGAACTTCTGCACAAAGCTCATCCTCTGTTTTCTGTATTTACACTCAAGTGCACAAGTACACACACATTTCAGCAGCTCCCACTGGGAGAGAGGAACTCGAAGGTTGTGGAGAGTTATTAAAAGACAGCACAGAAGGGAGCAGCTTTTGTTGACAGACCAAAAAGCGGAGCTGTCAGCTTTCAAAGACCACCACACAGAGGAAAAGAAAAAATAACAATCGATAATCACAGTTTTTGAACTTGAAGAGGACGGAGGGGAGTGTGGGCTGGGCTTCTGCAGCACTTACGGCATTCTCAATGGGAGTGTTGAGCGATTTCTGAGAGCGATGTGTGATGTTTGAATTTTGGGTTAGAATATATGAAAACCGTGTTTTTTACCGTCTACACTCCTTATACTGCAGCCTGCCAAGCCATAATGCTTGCACTGAGCCGAAATCCCACACATTTCATCTCTATTCTGTTCAAGTTTCATTTTTTACAGGTTTGCGTGTGACGCGTGTGCAGCAGAGCATGCGTGTAAAATGGCTCTATGCTCAGTTTAGAAGCCTGTTCATCCGTCTGTGTTGTTCACTGCTAAGCAAAGTGTGCCATTGTATGTATGTTTGTATTTTTAGGATGGATTTTGTACAGGGAAACCCTTTTTACTTGTGTGCTGTTGTATGTAGTTAGGCCATGTTTGTGTAATTCAGAGCAAATAGTGAAAGAGCACTGGAGAAAGTCTACGTCCACGAACTGCTGAGAGAGCAAAGGAGGGGATGGAGAGTTTGGAAAAAGCCTTGTTCCGTTCAGACTGAGTTTGGTTGAACTTTGAATCGTCACTATCTGAAGCCCGGCTTCTCCTCCAGGAGCAGCCAGGCTGACACACACACGTACTTTGTACTTCTCTTCAAGTGCAAACAAGGATCATGTGTAAGTTTTGGCTCATGTTTAATTTAAAGGTTCTTCACCCAGCCAGCCCGCCCGCCGGCCAGCGGCCGCCCTCACTCTGTCACGCTTGTTTTGAGCCCCATGCAGTGTGTGAATAAATGGTCATTGTTTACCAGAGTGTCTGTCTCAGGGCTGACTGCGTCTCTGTGCATCATTCTCCACATTACACTGACTGACGTGTCTTAATGTGAAAGGACAGAATGAATGCTTTTAATTCGGCCTCTGAGCGTCGTTAGTGTCTGTTATTAAAGAAGTAAAAGAGAGGAAGGACCAGAGCTTCATCTGCTGTGCTTCAGTGTTCAGGTGTGAGTCGCTTCCCTCAATAATGTGCGTTCAAGGAAACTGATGGTAGCAGATCAGGAATTATTAAACATGTAGAAGATCATTTAAGTGCATTCGTTACAGTCGAGGTTTGCAAACTGCCTAATAAGTAAGAACACCAATACGATGACAAAAAATTAGAGGTTAGTCGTGCATTTAAAAATATAATGAAATGAAAAATACAAAAATATATTAAATTCTTTTTTTTTTTTTTAAAGAATTTAAATAAATACATTGATTCTGTTTGCATCAGTTCCTACAGAGGAGAGGGACCCACTCACATGGACGACATGAAATTGACTTTTTGTCGTCATTTTCACAAAAAGAAAAAAAGAAATCGGACAGTTTCATTGAAAAAGTGAGAATCGTTGGTTCCAGATCAGGTGTCAGTGATTCGAGCCTCCTCGGTGAGTGATCTCATTTAAACCTCTGACACCGATGCTCTGATGTTCTTTTTGCTTTTGATGTGTGGTGTCATCATGTCAAGATCTGAAGAGCTCTAAAGGTGTTCAGGAAAAATGTTGCCTTTGAGATTGTCAAGGGATTTAAAAAGATTTTCAAATGATTTGAAATCAATCCTTCTACTCTGAGGACAATCTTTTAGCGTGTCAGTTTGTCCTTGACTGGCCGCCGCAGCAAAGTCAGCCGAGGAGCAGAGTGTTTGATGAACAAAGAAGTCTCCAAGAACCCCTGAATTTCTGTACTGAATCTGCAGGAAACAGTTGGTGTCAAAGTGCTGGTTCTACAGCCAGACAGAGGTCACTGGGTTCGTCCAGGTATTCACGTGGTCAGAATGTGTATCACAAAGGCAGCTGGGGAGGATTCGCTCCACGTCGTCCCGGCTGTCTCTGTCACACCTTATGTCTCTCTACTGTCTCTTTTAAAACAAAGGCAAATACGCCTAAAAATACCTTCTTCCTTTTTTTTCTTTTTTTTTTTTAAACAAAGATTGAGAGAGTAATTGCATGGGCGTCATGCCAGGGAAAAGGTTTGCTGTCCAAAAAGAACATTAGAGCAAAACTACAGCTTGAACATACAGGCAGAGAGCAGGTCTGCTGAGATCATGTGTTCTGCACACACCAATCAAACATTGACTTGTTTGGCCACAGTAACAGTAGACGTGTCTGTTGAGGGCCAGAGGCAGTTTTTCTAGAGGAGAACCTCAAATCAGCTACGAAGCACAGAGGTGCAAATGTTCTGGTTTGGGGTTACTTCACTACCTCAGGGACTGGACAGCTTGCAGACACTGATTCAACTGAATTCTGCATCATATCAAAGGCTGCTTGAAGATAATGTGAGGCCATCTGTCTGGAAGCTGAAGCTGAACCACACGGGGACCCTTCAACGGGATAAAACAGCCCAGATTTGAATCCCACTGAAATGTTGTGGGGGGATTTGAAGCAAGCAGCACGTACTGACCTAAAACAGGAACGGTTTAGTCACATTTGATGTCAGATAGTAAGGGAAAAAAAAGTGATACCAGTTTTTATACAGTGTATGTAAACTTCTGGTTTCAGCTGTAGATCAAAATTGTGCTTAATCACAGCACTGCTCCACCAGATAAATTGTCTGTTTCAAAAGTTACAGGATTTGAAATATTTGTCTCTGATTTTCCTGCATCCAGCCAAATGCTTAAAGCTTTTAAAAATATGCTTCAAATATTCATCAGTAATAAGAGCAACCCTTTATAGAGTAACTTTATTTTTCTAAAACGGAACAATCGGTTGTGCAACAAAGAAGGGAAATCGCTAGAAAAACCACAAGACACATAAATACATCATACAGAAAGGAAAAGTCCAACAATTTAAAGCCAGATTAAATCATGAATGCAAATGTAGAAACAATAATTGCTGGTGCTGTTTGTATGGCATAAAAAAATAGTCGTGTCACAGACTGACTGCTGAATTCTTCCCCATGAAAATGAAAAATTACACTCCATTTAACACAAATCCTCTTGTTGTGTTAATGTAATTAGTTTCACCCCCAAATCCAGGTAATTACTTTGATAACTGACACACTAATTAGCCGAGCTCTCATTAACAGTAATGAAAATCTTCAGTGCAACAGTAAACAAATAGAATGAAATGAGATAATATTAATTAAATTTCATTATTTTCATTCTGCCTTATTAAAATCTGGTGTTCCAGCCAGTAAAAAACGTGGCAAGTTACACAGACAATGAGACGCAGTCTTCTGAAACACTGATGTCGTGATGCGATACACTGCTAGTGTTTGTGGGAGAGGACATAATTGATATTACAGTGAATATTACAGGAAATGAACCATTTCTAATAATCAGTAAGTAATTTATCAGGTAAACAAAGTGTCAAATACTCACTAATTACAGCTTTGTTTAATATTTAGTTATTCTTTTTGAGGTTTGGACTCGTGATGGTAGATGCAGCCTGACAAAAATCATTTAAAACTAATTTGACTTCAACCAACTTCAACATTTAACTGCTGCTTAAACATGAATGTAGTGCTTGACAGTTTGTGATCCTTTTCTATATTTCTGCATTAATTACCCAAAAAGAAAAAGATCAGACTTCTATAAAACTCCTAGAAGTTGATAAAGAGAACCAAGGTAGACAAATGAGATGAAAAAATATTATACTTGATCATATTTTGATCAAGGAATCTGATCCAACATTAAATATCTGTGAGCAACAAACGTATGTGAACCTCCAGCATTAGCATTTAAATTGAAAGCTAAAATTAGAGCCAAGTGTTTTCAGTCAGTGGGATGACTGTCAGATGTGAGTGGGCATCCAGTTTTGTTTGTTTAAAAACTGCGATCTGTCAAAGTCTGAGCTTCACAACATGTTTGTGTATCACGGCACAAACAGAGGAGATTTCTCAGGACCTCAGAAAAAACTTTTGATGCTCATCAGGCTGGAAAAGGTTACAAACCATCTGTAAAGAGTTTCAACTTCACCAATCTAGAGTCTGACAAACTGTGTGCAAATGGTGGAAATTTAGGACCAACGTTATTCTGCAGGAGTTTTCAACCAGTAAGATTATTCCAGGAGCAAGATCTGCAAATGTAGACGAGTCACAAAGGAGCCCAGAGCCATTTCTAAGACACTGAAGACCTCCCACACAGTGACTGATGCTGATCTTCATGAGTTCACCATCAGGAAAACACTGAAGATCAACAGTGTGCTCGTTAAAGATCAGAAAGCTTCTGGAAAAATGTGGACAGATGAGACCAAAACAGAACTTTTTAGTTGAAATGAGAAGTGTTATGTTTAGAGAAAAGAAAACTGTGTATTCCAGCATAAAAACATGATCCCATCAGTGAGACGTGGCGGTGGTAGTATCATGGTTTGGGCCTGTTTTGCTGCATCTGGGTCAGGACAGCTGACCGTCATTTATGTAACAATTATACCCACGAATTCTAAAGGAAAATATCATCTGTCCATGAGCTGAATCGAAAGAGAAAAGTGGTCATGCAGCAAATTACCAACCGTCAGCACAGAAGTAGTTCCAATAAACGATGGTCAAAGAACAACTAAGTTAATGTTTAGGAACTTCAGAGTCAAAGTCCTGCAAATAATCCAACAGAAATGTTGTGAGAGGAGCTGAAGTGAGCAGTGAGGGAATCCACCGACACTGGAGAGCTGAAGCTGCTCTGGACAAAGAAATGGGTTGAACTTCCTCCAAGATGAAAGCAGGACTGATCAACAGTTACTGGAGACATTTAGTTGCAGTTATTGCTGCAGAAAGGCAGCTACACACAAATACACACATATTACACACACAGACACTGAAAGCAAAAGCTCACACCCACTGTATGTCAGACTATAAAAAACTAAAACACAAAAAGGTTAAACACCACTTCAGAAACAGTATTTTAATTTGTGCTTTTACATTCCTAATCTGGATTTTTTTTTTTCCATGGTTTGAAGGATAACTTCAAGATGCAGTTTTGTAAGTTGTTTTTTTTTTAAACTAATAATACAATATAATAATAAATATGTCACAGGATCATTTATCTGATTTATCTGGTAACACTTTTACATAAGTAAGATTTTCAGTGCAGGACTTAAAGTTGTATTTGTTGCTTTTTTTCATATATTATTCTCAAAAGTACAAAGAAATCAAAAAACTCTTCACAATCAATTTACAATAAATAACAAAACTTACAAGGAAAGTTATGCACAGCAACACATGTGACAACTATTTCCTGAAGTCCAGAATCAAAAGCACAAAATTATACAGCATAAAAAATGACAAAAGAAAAACACACACGAACCAAAACATAAAAGCAGCCATAAAATAATACATTCAGAACAACAAGACGTCTCCTGTATTTTCACTGTACAGGTTTTCTAAATGGTTCACGTTTCTTAAAGCTCCTCCGTGAGTTTTTACCAAGCTGACAAACATTCTCCTTCTATCTGCTGTGGTGTTCTCGTTCAGTGTGTCCTTCCTGACCAGGAAACCATACGCCTGGTTCTTTGTTCTATGAGGAACCTTAATGTTCTTGCGCCGTCTCTGGGCCTCTAACTGCCTTGTGTGGTTTTTTTTAGTGAGCTGCTCCCACAGACACTGGTGGAAAAGACCTGTGTACAGTTTGTCTTTAAAACATAAAAACTATCAGCACGTGGACAGAAAGCAGTAGTTTGGGTGGTATGAACATTTAAACTTTTAAATTAGAAATTACTATTTTGGTGGAATAAACCTCTAGATCAAAGATGAAAAAAAAAAAATACTTGTACTATCAGACCACAACAATGATAACTGTAAGGACATGTGTTTGTTGGTTAATGTGAATGTTCTGTCCACTCAATAAACTCATATGAGCATCTGGAAGGTTTTACTTCTGTTTTGTCTGGTGTCCTATTTTGTGATGCTCTTTCTTTTCTCTCTCTCATTTAATTAATATTTTGTGTTTATTTAAATGGTCCTTACATGCTTCTGTGGTTGTTTAAAGTTATTATTATTACTTCTTTTTTTTTTTTGTGGTTAAATCGTACTTTGCAGAAGTCCCTCTAAGTTCTTTCCTTGTACAATAATCTTAGAACAGGATTTTTATTAGTTTTAAATATTTTATTAGAAACTACTATTTGTACATTTAAGACCATAACTCCTCAGTTTGCACATTCTGGGTGGAATTAACCTGATAAGTAGCAACTTAGACAAAAAGTAGTCCTCCAGGTAAAGGGACCCACGAAAACTAAAGTGTTTTTTTCCCTGTATTGTTGTTGTTTATTATCATTGGTACACAAACAGATGTTCCTGGTGGCATCGCAGCAAGAAGGTCACCAGTTCGTGTCTCCAGGATCCTTCTGCGTGGAGTTTGCATGTTCTCCCCGTGCAGTGTGGGTTCTCTCCAGGTTCTCCAGCTTCCTCCCACACAGTCCAAAAACATGTTGAGGTTAATTGGTGATTCTAGATTGTCGTAGGTGTGAATGTGAGTGTGCTTGGTTGTCTGTCTCTAAGTGTAGCCCTGTGATAGACTGGTGACCTGTCCAGGGTGTCCCCTGCCTTCACCCTGAGTCGGCTGGGATAGACTCCAGCCCCCCACAACCTTAGTGAGGATTAAGTGGTGTATAGATGATGGATGGGTGGATGTTCTTGGTGACCCAGCAGCTCCTGCTACTCTCCGCGGCTCCCTGTGCTGCGGCTCCCGGCCGCCAGGGGCCGCTGTGGGCCGCTGACACGGAGCCCGGGAGCTGCTGCGGTGTCCGGAAGAAGGACTGTCAGCATGGCGGATATATTTTTCACTTCATGCTTTGCTTTTCAGCGAGGGCGTTTTGTGTGAACATCGCAGCGGCAGTATTTAGTGACGGACCAGCGGGCTGCCGGCTGAAGCTGTCCGCGGCTCGGAGCTGCAGCTGCTGGTTCTCCGCTCGGTGCCTCCGCATGTCGTGACTTGTGACCCAGTTTGGTTTGGTGAGTGTCCGTCTGCTCCTCCTCGGTTGTTGCTTCACCTCAGTCCTTGTCCTCCGTAGCCGTGTCTCTTGTACCCTGCCACTGTCCACAGGACTCTGTGGAGAAGGGAGGACGTCCCCAGACCGACACAGAGTCCAGGAGACGAACAGCTGGACCCAGTTTGTAGTGGCTCAGGGACGACCATCAGGAGACACGTTCAAAACCATCAGACACATTCACATTCATCATAACATGCATTCAGAATCATCACATGTTCAAACTCACCAGACAGGTTTATTTACGATCCACAGAGGAGACAATAAATTCATTCACCAGTTTGAAATCAAAACATTTTATTGATCTAATAAGCGACAAAAAGGGACCTGCTTATCTTCTCAGTGCCTTATTATTTTCCATTCACTGTTGCCTTTAATAGCAGAGTTAAAGAATAAAATGTTCATCTGAGCTGTAAATTAGTTGAGATGAAAATGACTCAACAGGTCACGTAGAGTTTTAAATCATCTTGAATCTTGAAAGGCCAACGCGAACATAGACTCAGCAACACAGTCCACTGGTTATGATCCCACAAACCTAACTGTGCACAAAAATCTAACATTTCAAAGCTTGTGAAAATCTTGGTGTCAGAATACAATCTCCAACAATGACTTGCCTTTACTTTTTTTTTTTTTTTTAGCTTGTGTGTGTATCCACTCAGATCGTGCTGTGGGCTGGACGTTGTCCTGCCAACAACAAAAACAGTTCATCAGAAAAATGTCACATATCCCCATGGCAGATAATCTATTGTGTTGTGTTGTTTTTTTTCCCCCTTTCAATTTGATTTCCGATATAATTTCTCGACGTCATGATATGCTAATTTCATTGTTTCAAATTGCAAACTGATGTGAAATCAATGACCTGATCGGCCACTGGGTGCAGTTGGGCCCAGAACTGGTGGTGAAGTCACTTTTTTAGTGAATTAAAGAAAATTCACATTATCATCATGGAGCTTAAACTACAATGTTCAGTTACTGTTTATCTCTTGAGTAACTGTAAAAGCTCCACGTACATTTTGTATGATTCTCGTGCACTGTAGCATTAATGGCTTTGACAGATTTGGCATTAATGTCCAGATTTATTTAAGTCTCACTGTTTTCATGGTGGGCTACAGGGTGGCGCAGTTGGTAGCACTGTTGCCTCGCAGCAAGAAGGTCGCCGGTTCGCGTCCCAGTCCCACCGGAATCTTGCTGCGTGGAGTTTACTTGTTCTCCCTGTGCAGCGTGGGTTCTCTCTGGGTTCTCCGGCTTCCTCCCACACAGTCCAAAAACATGTTGAGGTTAATTGGTGATTCTAAATTGTCCGTAGGTGTGAATGTGAGTGTGCTTGGTTGTCTGTCTCTAAGTGTAGCCCTGTGATAGACTGGTGACCTGTCCAGGGTGTCCCCTGCCTTCACCCTGAGTCAGCTGGGATAGACTCCAGCCCCCCGTGACCCTAGTGAGGATTAAGCGGTGTATAGATAATGGATGGATGTTTTCATGGTCCCAGTATTCGTACCTTCGTCACAGTTCCCAATAACTTTTTAAGCAAATAATTCCAAGCAGCCTCTCTTCTGTGAAGTTTGCTTCTCTGTCTTTTGTAATAGAGAACTGACTAAAGAACCTTTTTTTGGCTGTTGTTTGACCAAAAAACTCTATTTGAAGAGATGACTTTAGTAACTACAAAAGCCTGCTGAGAGCGCAGACCTCCGCCATATTGTGATTTCCAGTCAATGTTAAAGTCCTGCATTCATTTTATCTAAAATCAAAACATAGCTTTAGCATTTGAATTAACTTTAATATCATTAATAACAAGTTGACGGAGTGATGAACGCTCGTTCTGTACTCTCTAATATTTTGTACACTTAAGTTATTTCTGCAGTTACTGACTTTGAGCTGTTAGCTAATGCTATGCTAGGTTTGCATAACTACAGCCATGTTGTTGCTAACATAAACAGACAGGGAGTAACTTAAGCTAGGTTAGCACAACTTTAGCAACGTAAATGAAAAGCATGAGCGACGCAACGAAGCACGCGTCAGTCGTCATGAAACATGGAAAAGAGAGTTAAAGTGAAACAGGAGACATTCTGAGTCATTGTTAATGTCACAGCATCGTTATGAACGTATCTGTCAGTAGCTCTGCTCAGCCCACTCCTGTGATGCCGCCTGGCTGTAGCTTCCTCCTGAACTACTGAGAAGACAGCGGTGAGGACTGAAGGACTGATTGGAGTCAGAGCTCCATCTAGTGGACAAATGACGTAACAACAGCATTCTGCGCGACTGCGACACTTCACAGCATTTACTGTTTCATGAGAAAATAACCAGATGGTAGACCAGACCATCAGCAAAATGTAATCATCTGTTCATTGTGCCATTATCAACGTTTCCTGAAAATGTCGTGAAAATCTGTTCATAACTTTTCGAGTTATCTTGCTGACAAACAAACAAACCAACAAACAGATAAACGCCGACTAAAGCGTAACCTCCTTCGCATTTATCAGAATTCCATAATATGATTCAACAACACTATAATCTAACCTTAAAAAATAATCAGACATTACAGTCAATACTCAGTTTCCACAAATATGGAGAGACTGTGTTGTTAGACTGTATTATTTTTAGCCGAGGGCATCTATAGTGTATGTTTTAGTGCAACAGAATGAAGCTGCATATATCAACACTGAGCCTGAAGTTAACTTTTTCTTTGTTTATTTCGCAGTTCTCCTGCCTGGACCTGGGTGGCATGACTCATCGGCAGCCTGAAAACAGAGCAAAGAGGGCAACTTCTTAATTCAGTGACTCTTACTTGACTTAAAGAAGAAATAAAACCCGCCTCCGTGATCACAACACACACTATTGAACTAACAATGGGCGAAGTGACGGTAGAGCTAGAGGAGGAGGTGACGAAACAGGAGACCTCGTTGGACCCATTCCCAGAACCTCTGCTCATAATCATGTCCCCACCTCCAGCTTTCTTGCCTGTCCCCGGTGAGCCGACCATGCTTTGGCCCAAATGGCTTAAAGCTTTTGAGCACTACTTGGAGGCGCTCGGTGAAAAGGAGCTGGTCGACTCCAGTAAGTGCATGCTCTTACAGAACTGCCTTGGCCCAGAGGGGCAGCGTATTTTCACGATACTGATCCCGAATGAAACCACGTACGCAGCAGCCGTCTCAGCGCTGACGGTGTACTTCGGCTCTGATCATGCCACTCAGATGCACCGCCTTAAATTCCACCAAAGGGTTCAGATGCCTGGAGAGACTGTGGATCAGTTTGTCTCAGCATTAGAAGAACTGCTGAGGCCTTGCAACTACGGGAAGTTGCAGGGCGAACTTATCCTGGATCATCTCATCGCGGAAACAAATTACCCGCAACTCAGGGAAAGGCTGCTGATGGGGAGGGAGACTTTGACCTTGGCCACAGCTTTGGTTATCGGTAAAGAGGTGGAATCCACTTTAAACGATTCTCAGTTGTTTGATATTCACGAGGTCAGTGTTGACATTGGAGATGATTTAGATCCCCCTGTTCAAAGAAAGGCCAAAAGAGGAAGACCTCGGCGCGGGGAGAAAAGGACGAAAACAAACCAGCGTTTGACTAAAACTCCAATGAAGTTGCCTCGACACAAAGATAACTACTGCTACAGAACTGATAAGCTATATTATAGTGACAGTGATGAAGAGAAATCGAAGAGTACTGGTGGGACTAAAGTGGCCGTTGATAAAGAGGATGATGGTGATAATGCAGCCTCATCATCACCACTGAGGATAAAAGAGGAAAGCTGCGACAAAGCTAAAGATCTTGCAGATGATGATGATGACGACGACGATGAGGATGATGGAGAAGTTGTTTCTTCAGCTCAACATAAAGGCCCCTACTGTTCCATCTGTACGGACAGACGCTTCAGAGACGCACACAAGCTGGCCAGGCACATGAGGACGCACACAAAGGAGAAACCGTTCACCTGCCCGATCTGTGGCACGACCTTCAGCCAGTCGTACCACATGACCCGACACCTGAGGAACCAGCACGGCGCCGGCCAACACGTCTGCAGCACCTGTGGGAAAAGTTTAGGGAGCAATGCAGAGTTGCAAAGTCACAAGAGGACGCACAAGTCGCAAGTTTTGTCATGTCCGGATTGTAACGAGAAATTCACGAACAGTGATGTGTTTTCTTCTCATGTCATGTCGCACAGCAAAAACCAGCCCGGCCAAACGGAGACACAAAGTTCTGAGCAAACCGATGGAAATGACGTGAAAAGTGAAGACGTAGCCGAGGACGACGCAGCTGCTGGTGACGGTGATTCTCAGGAAAAAGAATTTGAAGTCAGTGTTGTGACGGAAGGCAAGAGCCCTGATGAAGCTAAATCTCAAGAAGGAGGGAGACAGAAAGAAAAAGTCGCCTCTAAGGCTAAAGCAAAAGGCCATTTTTGTCCTATCTGTGTTGGCAAGCGCTTCAGGGGACCAAACAAACTCGCCAGACACATGAGGACGCACACAAAAGAGAAACCCTTCAGCTGCCCAGTTTGCGCGATGACCTTCAGCCAGTCCTACCACATGACCCGACATGTGAGGAACCAGCACGGCTTTGGCCAGTATATCTGCTCTAAATGTGGGAAAAGTTTTGGCAGCTGGCTGGAACTGAAAGCGCACAAGAAGACACATGCAATCGAAGGCCTGACGTGTCTTGCATGCGATAAACAGTTTAAAGAGAAGGCTGCACTCGCGAGCCATCTTAAGTTACATAAGAAGGTCCAGTCCAGCCCTCGTAACCTCATCTGCGGCGACTGCGGCAAAGTATTTGGCCGACTGTATCATTTGAAAAGGCACATAGTCACCCATCGAAAAGCAACAAATGGTGAGTGTTACACGTGCCCCGACTGTCAGAAGACATTTGCCTTTCCGGAGGACCTCAACAAACATCTGGAGATTCATGTCAAAGAAAACAATGGGACTTGTCCAAAATGTAATGAAACTTTCAGTAGTCCCGAAGAGCTGGAGGCACACATGGGGGTTCATCAGAAGTCTTATGCCTGCAGCACCTGTGGGAAGAAGTTTAAGGTTGAGTATGCACTGAAGAAGCATGAGCAAGGTCACCAAAATGAACAATATTACTGCTCGTTGTGCCAAAAACGCTTTCTCAAACTCTCACACTATAAGAGGCACATAATGGTCCACGACAGACGGGAATCCAGATGTCCACACTGCGACAGCGTCTTTCTACAGTTAACAGCTTTGAAGTATCACCTGCGGACGCATACTGAAGAAAGACCCTACCAGTGCACCTGCTGTATTGAAACCTTTGAGGAGAAGGAAGAGTTAGAGCAACATTGCCTCAAACACAGAAAATTCAAAAAGCAGAGGCCCTACTCGTGCACCCGCTGTGATTATGCGTTCTGCACGTTGGTGGAGCTGACGGAACACATGAGCTCACACGAGGGCGAGCCGCCGCTGACCTGTCCGGTGTGCGGCAGGACTTTCCTGAACAAGAACAAGCTGGAGAAGCACCTGACCATCCACACGGGGGAGAGGCCTCACCTCTGCTCCATCTGCGGCAACGGCTTCCCCTCTGCCGCCAGCCTGAAACTGCACATCCACATCCACACCGGAGAGAAACCCTTCCAGTGTTCACAGTGCAGCAAGAGCTTCAGGTCATCCAGCGGGCTGCGCCTGCACAGCAGACAGCACATGGAGGTGCGGCCCAGCTACGAGTGTCCTGAGTGCGGCAGGACTTACGGCCGAATGACGGAGCTGAAAATGCACCAGCGTTATCACACAGGAGATAAACCGTACGCGTGCACGTGCTGCAACAAACGCTTCATTAGCAAAGACAAGCTGAACGTTCACATGAGGATACACACAGGGGAGAGACCGTACTCCTGCCCCCACTGTGGACAGACATTTACCCAGACCGGGGACAGAAACAGACACATCAGTAAACACCACCAGCCAGTGTAGCGATAGAGCTGCAGCAAAGCTTTCCTTCTGTCTTTCCAATGATCGCACCAGTGGTTTTGCATGTTTGCAGGGGCATGTAGCATTAAGAATCACTTCAGATTCTGATTTGTGTCTTATTGTCTGAGAAAGAATAGGAAACCAAAATGTGTTGCAAGCATACTGTAACTTGAGCTGCCTTAATGCCAAATTATCATAAATGATCAGGTTATGTGATGTTTTTTGTTTTGTTTTTTTTAAACAGTAACACTAATCAATATACTGCAATGTGCTAAAGAAAATAATGATCACGAAAATAAGGATCTCAATTTAAAAGAAAGTTTTTAAATAGGACTTTTAAGGGTTCTATATTGTGCTCTTGTCAGCACATTAATCAAAGTGTCATGATAACCACAATTTGGTTATCAGCTCCAAATACTGCATAGATGGGTCATTTTACCAGGACTGTATAACCCCTAGTTTTTGGGCTGTTTTGCTCTGAAAATCAAGCTGTCAGAGCTTGAGCTGGACGACTTTTGGTTTTAGGTGTTCGATAGCACCAAATTCTTACTGGCTACTAAATATGGAAATCAAACTAGTTGTGGTAGAATATCCAAACAGTTTCATTTTATACCTCCAGGTTTATAACAACCTCAAACCACAAACAGATTTTCACCATACGAGACCTTACAGTTGAACAAACAAAGCTGTCAATAGCGAGGCATACATCTCAAGCACTTGCTGGCTGTGTTTGTGTAATTGTTCTTACTGCCAGCAGGGGGAGACAAACATTCAGCACTGGCGGTTTTTCGGGATGTGAGTATGATCATTACAAAAGCCTTTAACTAAAGGAGCCGATCTTCTCAAAGGTTAAATGTCCAAAACACAAGTAGCCTTAAGAGAGTGGTGCAAGTGACGAATAAAGTCAAAACATAAAAAATGAGTACAAATCTGCACACGCCATATTTGAAAGTTTTCAATACTTGGTGCTACAGACACATTTTGGTTTTATTTTCTTAATGGATTGTACAGGGATATGATTTTTTTCTGGTCACTGTAAATTAAGTCAGTGTTGCAGAAAAAATTCAATCTGTGTCTCAGCTAATCATAGTTTAGCTTTAATGCTAAAAAAAAAAAAAAAAAAGTTACTCATGTAAACAAACCATCAGCAGAATCATGGCTTTTAAGGGCGATCTAATATTAAAGAGGTTTTTAATGCAGCAAACCAAATTTGCAAGATCGGGATTGTCACGTTTTCTAGGTTTGATTTTCTTTATTTAATTCATGTGCAAAAACATGCAAAACCACTACACTAGTGTCCAAAAGGATTTCCCTGCACACAGTAAGCACTCACGGTTGCCGCACAGTTTTTCTCTGCTGTGCGGCTTTCTGCAGGTTTCATACCTGGACTGAAGAAGTCACTACATTTCTCAAAAAGTACAAACACAATACAGAAGCTCTGCATGACAGTCGTTGTCTTTGTAGCTCATGTCTCTCACCCCTGTGCCTGATGTGTCCTTGTCGTAACGCACTTTTGTCGAGCACCCTGGTCTTACAAACTTTCATACTCGAATGAACTGAAATGACACTAAAAGATTTCTGCAATTATGAATCGATATTTTTTATTTTTCCTTCCTATCGTATGTATGTGTTGTTATAGCATTATATCTCTTACATTTCACTTTTTGATATCTTTATTGGGGCGTCTCTCAAAGCGAGCATTTGTAACTGTGTTTAGAAAAGTGCCATAAAAATAAAACCGTTATTCACTCGACTAGTACATGTAGTCAGACTGTGTTAGTACAGCTAGGCTTAGTCACAGTATTCAACTTCAAGCCGGTGAGAGTCACTCAGGTAAAACCCCAGTTTATATATTTGAAGTATTTAGTCTGTCAGCTACTTAAATTCCCATCTGTGGTTGACACGATGTGTTCGTTTACTGATATGTGTTGTTACTCACACGGCTGCTTTATGCTGAACCAGCATTTTACCCAGTCAGATAAGCTTTATTGGCGTCAGATCTAAGTCCTGTACATGAACAGTAGGACAAAGGAGGAATCTTTCTTTCTCTTGGTTCTGGTGTGCAGATACTCTCCAATGACCGACATTGATAGCAGGATTTAGAATGTTTAATGGACTTGTCGATACTTTGACAGTAAATTAAGTTCAGATCTAAACACTGAACTGTCAAATTGACTTTATTTAAGCAACAAAACTAAAGAACTACAAGTAGAAAATACGGCAGTAACAAGTGAACTACACAGAAATAATGTACATGTACAGCTGAATATCCTGCAAGACATGTATTCAAACCCCTCGAGTGATGGGATTGCTGACTGCTGTTGGGTCTTTCTGGAAACTGAAACTAAGAAATCTTGAAGGTTTCCTGATTCTTGGCAATAAAAGCAATCATTGTTCTTGTCAGGGGACATTGCAGATCAACCCCAATGGAAATGGAAATATCAAATTGTCTCCGTAAAATGAACGTTGATGCCATAAAAATGCTTTAACAGTTATCAGACAGGATATTTTTGGTGATGATTTGTCCCTGAACTGTGGGGAGAATCATAATCAGCTGGTCTGCTGGAAGGAAAATAGTTTACTACTCAGGTACTAACTAACTGTCGTCTCAACCCTGATTAATAGATCATAAAATAATGATATTGGACATATGACTTATTTTCTATGTATGTATGCAAACCACCATGACGGTATTAAAATATGCTGCAGCAAACTGGTAATAACTGAAATTCAGAATCAGTCTGGTGTCAAAACAAACAGCCAATGTGATCGAAACAGAGCTGTCACATGTGAGATTTAGATAAAAGTAGACCTGTGTGTGGAAATGTGTACAACCGTTACCACATATCTGTGATAACGTGTCAAAGATAGGGAATTATAATCCCACACGGGATAAATGTCTGCATAAATAACAACACAAAGATGATTTTTTGTTGTCACATGTAGTAAAAAGTGGAGGTGAAAATAATACAAGCATGTCTAGATTTCATCTAGATTCTCCAGTTTCAGGATGCTGTCATAGCAAATATATTCAGTTTCATATATGTTCACTAAATGTCACAGAGAAATATTGGACTCCACTTATTTGGCAGCTATAGCTACTAGTTAGTTTGCAGTTATTTATTTCAACCAAACAGTACATTTAGTAGTTAAAGACCTCCTCGGGTATAAAGCAAGTTTGTTTTTTACCTTGTTAACATGTCTATATGGTGTTTTATTTTATGGTTGAAGACAGATCATGAGTGAAATGCTCAGCCAACACCATGGCTGAGCATTTTCAGCTTGAACACACTTTATGTGCTGCTGACAATCTCAAAAAAATCTGATTTATGAGATTTTATAGGTGACAAACCTGAGGAACCAGTCCTCAGGTCAGCTTGCAGGGTGGAGGCTTTCTGTGTCATTGTTCTTTGTAGAATCTGTTTCTTGTTTGAGCATGTATGGCTCGATTACTCCAGTATTACAAGCTGCCAGTGTGCAGCATAGAGAAGTACAGCGCTTGAGCACAGTCGTAAGTGAGCTGGTGTTCTCGAGTTGCAGTGAACGGGGAGAGACGGGTGCAGATAAAATAAGGGTGTTTTCGATCTGCATATTCTTAGACTTAGACTGACTTTATTAATCCCCAGAGGGAAATTCAGTTGTTACAGCAGCATGAACATTCAACAAAGGGGGTAAACAAAAGCAAAAAGACAACACAGAGTAGTAGGGTAGGGTATAAAATGAAGGTGAAATAAAATAAAATAAAACAATATGAAAATATTGCAAGAAAAAGTCAACAAAATTTACAAGAATATACAAGAGAGATGTGCAAATGGTAATGTGCTTAGATGAGCAAATGAAGTAAGTAGGTGCAGATAAGTTCACAGATATAATGAGTGTCTGGTTTGTAAAGTGGTTTCATCAGCAGGTAAAGTGATAGAGTCCTGATGTGATCTGCCAGATGCAGATGCATTGAAAAGTCTTATTGCTGTCTGTAGGAAAGAGCCCCTGTAATGTTCCTTGGAGCAGCGGGGTTGTATCAGTCTGTTGCTGAAGATGCTCCTCAGATTGTGCACAGTTTTATGGAGGGGGTGCGAGGTTCTTTTTTGCCATGATGACCAGCAGTTTAATCAGCATCCTCTTTCTTGTAGACAGCCTCTGTGTTGGTGGACCACTCCAGCTTGTTGTCCAGACTCACTCCCAGGTTCTTGTAAGTCAGTCCTGTTGAACATAGAACAAGAACATTAATAATTCACACAAACACGTGTCCACTCCATTAATGTGACATTTCACACCTTATGTAGATTTGCAACATGACACTCTTTTCTTGTGTTTTTATGACGTGTCTTTCCATGCAGTGTAGTTTTTGTGCATTTTGTTATTGCCAGTATTACTTAAATGAATTTAAATATTTCCTCCACAACTCCCAAAGTAGCTGCTGATACACTGTCTATATTATATTATGACAGCATGAAACGGGACACTCTGTGGAGAACTTTCTTTTCCAATTCAGAAAAAGAACATCATCTGCCTGCTGCGTTTGGGTTATTGTTTTGTATTATTAATAATTTTTCACTGCGGAAATAGTAGAAAGTGCAGCTGAACAGACGACCTCCACTCCGCCAGGGGGCAGCACTCACCGTTAGCTGTGTCCGACTGATGACAGAGTTTCACAGGAAGAAAACAGGGCAACGTTAGCTTGAACGATTTAGCTGATATTAACATCATAGATATGTACATATCTATGATATTAACTACCATAAATAGTTGCGTATCAAGGTGACATCTGTCTTCATCTCGACTGCGCTTTGAAACAACCCCGGTAATGTTACCGGACTGAATACTTGAGCTCGTGTTAAATAATCCAGCTTTAAGGTGTTTTAAAGCTAATGCTAATGCTAGCCAGTGGTCGACAGTTAGCTCACGGTTAGCTAGCTAGTCTTTTACGAAGGCTGTCGTGTTTTTTAGATAACTAGACTCGGTGTAATTTGTATTTTGTTTAAGGTGGTTTGTAAACTGGTTTGTGGACCGTTTACTACTTTTCTTTTACGAACTAGGCACAATTTGAAGCTAATAGTAAAAGAGAAACAGACTACTTGTTGGACGCTAGCTGCTATAGCAAGACAGCTCAAGCTCGCTTATTTCCTACAATAGGAGTCTATTTGCCAGCCGCACTATTGAGTAAAAGAAAAGAAAACCTGGCACCTGTGATACCTGAAGTTACAATAAGTCCCTATGGCTTCTTTCGGCTTTACTCCTGCCAGCCAGCAGGATGTTTTTAGCATTGAAACAGCACCATCCAGCTCAAAAACAGCCAGTGTGCTTGGTGGAGAAGAGGCCAGGCAGTTCTATGAAAACCTGATGAAAGATGACACAGGGCAAGATGGATCAAGGAGGGCAAATAGCAAGAAGGATCATGACAGAGAGCATCAGATGAGACAGAGGAGCAGAGAGTCCAGTCGAAGACTGAGGAGGAGAGTCAGGGCTGTAGGAGCTCTGCAGGGTCAAACCGATTCTGTAGCGCAAAGAGGAATTAGTGGTGAAAGTGAAGGTGACCAAAGAGGAGACACAAGCAGCTCAGAAAGGTCTGCGGAGCTCAAAGGACTCAGGCTGCTGCGCTGTGCCCACGAAGGGGACGTCTCAGGCATCAGAGAGCTGCTGTCGAAGGGAGTCGACATCAACTTTCAGGTACAACACTTACAACTCAGTGTCTTCTCCGTTTAGGAAATATATTATTTATATTTGCTTCATGAGCATCTGTTTTTCTCTCCAGGATACTTTCTTCTGGACGGCTGTGATGTGTGCCAGCTGGTCAGGACAAAGAGCAGCAGTGAGGCTGCTGCTGCAACATGGAGCCGCCTGGGTCGGAGTGGTTGATACGCAGGGCAGAGACGCCCAAGACCTGGCACAAGAAGGTATAACTGTGCATCTGTCAGTAATAACACTCTTCATTATGTCTGTGTTCGATTGCAGAGTGAAGTTAAACTCATCCATTTTTGTCTGTATTTCCTCAGCGGGCCACAATGATGTGTTGGAGGAGTTGTTGAACTACGGGAGAAGTACACAGAGAGAAACACAGTCTAATAGCAGGTTAGCACACACTCATTTGTGTGCAGTTTTTTTTTCTTTTAACACAAAGTTTTAATAGACTATCCAGCAGACATTGCCATTACTGTCATTTGTTAAAGCAGACATTTTGACCCTACCTACATCTGATAAATGACAGTTTCAGAAAAGTTGCTGGTATTTCTTCTAATTCCTTAATTAAACAGTGTCAGTTTTCTGGTGTCCTGACTGTGTCGTGCTACACATTTCCATATCCCAAGTCTAATCTTGCCCCAACCAATCTCATCTGGTATTTCTGTCGGCTGTATACTAGGCCAATATAAATATTTGAGTGTTTTTTTTTTTTTAAAAGCTGATAACATCTCAGCTGCTTTGGTTTTACATAAACAGTTTTAATGTTAACTTAAATCCAATGACTAAAAACCTGTAAATATGATATTTACTAAACAGGACTTTATGCTGTAAAAAATCATCAGTTTATTTATTACCGCAGTTTCTTGTTGTTGATAAGCTGATGTGTATGTACGTGACTGTGTAGGTGTGGTACATAGCTGTGTCGTGAGCTATACACATCCACTAAAGGCTGAAGTAAACATTGGGCCTCTAAAGGTTTTACTACAATAAGCAATAGTGTAATTGTAAAAAGCAGTGCTGAGTTAAATACAACAAATGAAATCATATGGGTTTAAAAAAAAATAAGGTGAGATACTATAAAAAATTAACAGACGAAAGGTATTGAGGAAAATTAATCTATAAGAGCGTAGCAGGTTTTTCAGGTAATTACTGTAACAGTTTATCAGTTAGAAACAATGAATCCCTGGTTAAAGAGAAACACGAGAGGCCTTGCAGGTAGTGATTGTGTGTATTGCTATGCGGAGCACAACATGAGAGTATTTAAGTTCACATAAGAATGATAGAGGTGATTAGCCCCACCCAGGCAATAGTCAGGTGCACACACGCAACGAAAATGATTTTGCTTGCTGTAATCGTTCACCCTGTTTGAACTGGGCCTTAGAATATCCCTTCCTTTGTTAGCGATGAGGAAAAATTTGTCGACCATTTGGCGCTGACTAGACTTCTTTCAGGTTGCCAACCGAGTTAATGTACTTATGGGCAGCAGAATATTCTGTCAAGACAGATTTTGAAAAGCTGTAACTTGTGCCTTTAACACTTCTTCTCTGACTCATGTTGTCTCCTGTTTCTCCCCAGAGCCCACCAGCCTCAGTGGTGCGAAGTGTGCTGTAGCGAGTACAGCAGCAGCTTGTCGTCACATCTCTCCTCCACTCTGCATCTGTTCAATCTGCGGCGTCCTCCGCCCACCCCCTACTACTGCCTCCCCCCCTCCAGCAACAGCTATAAGATGATGGTTCGTTGCGGCTGGAAACCAGGGACCGGACTGGGGCCCGAGGGAGAGGGGCCGAAGCAGCCGGTGGCTACTGTGTTGAAGAGGGACCAGAAAGGTCTGGGGTATGGACAGATGAGACGAGCTAAAGTTACTCACTTCAAAGCGAGGGATGGTGATGCTGTGAAACATCCGTCCAGGGAGAAAGAGGAGAAGGGATGGAAGGCACAGAGGAAAGAAGAAAGCAAAAGAAAAGAGCAAAAAGATAAAAACTGGGAAAGAGACTTTCGTGCCTCTTTTTATCTCTGACACCTGCCTACATGGACCTATCCACCTGCCCTGTCCCTCAGACTCATCGTAAAATATTTCTGCAACAGATCAGATGGGAAGAAAAGTTAAACCGGGTACATTGTCAAGGTGTTTACCTACGGAGCCTAACGTTAATGCCTTGGCTCTGCCTCAGAGCTGCTGACGTTTTGTCCATTTATGGAGTCAACTGTGCCCTACCTGCAAGTTGTATCATGGCCAAATGTGGCATGCGGGACAACTGTGGCTGATCTAACCTTTATGCTGAGTGTGTTAACTCCGTCTAACTGGCTGAAGGTTTACTGTTGATGCCCTAAGACGGTGTCATAATTAGCTTTTACATGTGTTTATCGTAAAATACATGAGACTTGCTGATTTAATCAGCATCATAAAGAAGACTAGTTATTGTTCTTGATTCAAGCGCCTTGCTGATGCTCTTTTTATACGGTATTGAAATAAAGACAGTTTGAAGATATTGGAACAGTTTATTGTATTTCTTTTAACGACCTTAGTAACAATTGTTTCTTTCTGAATGCCAGCTTATGTTATGTAACTACACAAACCAACAGCAACCTCTGCCTTAGTGGCTGCTCCAAGTACCGTCTCACCTAATTCAACACACCTGCACTTGTGACTGCTGAGTCACATGCTTGATCCTATCGGCCACATCAGCATGTCGCTTTTTATCACAGTCAAGCTGGTATTTCCTGGTTCAGTCGGGAGTGTTGACATGCTTTCAAGGGTTTATTGGGGTTAGTGCACGTCAAGCCAAATCAAGGAAATTTAACCATTCATGGCAACATGCAGCCTCAGGACAACTATTTCTCTTTAAAGTCCCAAGTTAAAAAGGAAAATGAAAAAGCCTCTACATCGTAATCCACTCCAGCAGTGCTGTGATGAATGAATAATTTGCACAATGTAATAATTGTACTGTATAGATGTTAATGTGTGCCTCCATAGATTAGAGGTAAGATTAAATGCAAAACATGCAATGCAATGTAGTGCACTGCAATACAGCACGATCACAAACATAGCCTCAAAACACACCGTATACACACGTGGACAAAATTGTTGGTACCCCTCGGTTAATGAAAGAAAAACCCAAGATGGTCACAGAAATAACTTGAATCTGACAAAAGTAACAATAAATAAAAATTCTATGAAAATTAAGCAATGAAAATCAGACACTGCTTTTGAACCGTGGTTTAACAGAATTTTTTTTTTTTTTAAAACAAAAAAAAACTCATGAAACAGGCCTGGACAAAAATGATGGTACCCGTAACTTAATATTTTCTTGCACAACATTTTGAGGCAATCAGTGCAATCAAATGATTTCTGTAACTGTCAGTGAGACTTGTGCTCCTCTCAGCAGGTGTTCTGGTCCACTCCTCATGAGCAGACTGCTCCAGGTGTCTCAAGTTTGAAGGCTGCCTTCTCCAGACGCCATGTTTCAGCTCCTTCCACAGATGTTCAATAGGATTTAGATCAGGGCTCATAGAAGGCCACTTCGGAATAGTCCAATGTTTTCCTCTGAGCTATTCTTGGGTGTTTTTAGCTGCGTGTTTTAGGTCATTATCCTGTTGCAAGACCCACGACCTGCGACTGAGACTGAGTCTTTTCTAGGGGTACCATCATTTTTGTCCAGGCCTGTTTCATGAGTTTACTTTTTAAAATAATTCTGTTGAACCACAGGTCTGATTTTCATTGCTTGATTTTCATAGAATTTGTATTTATTATTACTTTTGTCAGATTCAAGTTATTTGTGACCATTGTGGGTTTTTCTTTCATTAACCGAGGGGTATCAACAATTTTGTCCTCGTGTGTAAGTGGGAAAATGGATGACGCAAATTAGCAGTAAACCTTCCCTTATAGTTTTATAGATGAGGAATTGCATTGCAGGACACCTTGCAGTTATTTTTGTATTTGTGTGTCATTAGGAATAAAGGGCATAGCATGCCCTGTTACTTTTTAACTAGTGCTCTTTTATTTTCATGCCCCCTTTTATTCAAGTCTTGATCCTTGTTTTCACTTGGCTTCCATGTACTTGGGGGAATGTCCTGTCAGTACTCCAGTTTCAGATACTAAACATTACAAGATAAGAAATTGTGTGTGTCAAAGTGGATGTGGGTGTGATTGATTATACAACGGACTGGGTCATAGTTGGATATTTACCCTTCAAGCAACATGTAAAATGACAGGATTCACAAAGCGTTACCTGACATTATGCGAAGAATTCACCCAAAGATCTGGTTATAAATGACATAAACTGTATAAAATGCTTTGTTTTAATATCATTCAAAATTCTCAGTGCACAGTACACTTTGTTACAGATTGTAAATACATATAATCAGTTTAACAACAGGGTTATATTACAAAAAATAATCTTAGAAAACAGTGTATATGTGTCTCCTGGACATCTAATGTTTCCCACTATTTAGGATATTTTTTAAAATAGAATTCTTTCAAGGTCTTTGCTTTTTCACTGAATTTGGTAGATATTGTATTTGGACCATTGCCCATTACTAATTCATGTGTGATATTCAAAGAATTCAAAATCCTTGTGTGTAAGGTTCAATTGACACAAAATGCCATAATTCATCACCATGACACACATAACCTCCAGTTATGTTCTACAGGTGTCCAACATGGTCGACTAACTTTCTATTTTGTCTCAGATCAGATTACAAGCTTCTAATAAAAACGTAAATCTTATAGTAGCTAGCTTTATGTAGCATTTTCAGTTGTTAATATAATCAATTCAGAGGTCATCTCAGCCTTGAGCATTGTATCTGTGAGCACTTTCTAGTAGTCCACACTTTCCGATTCGGTGCCACGCATCACCAGCTTTAATTGGATGGGATGAATGGGTCCAGTCAGACCATAGGGACTCATCTGTAAAGGAATCTGGGGAGTGGATAAGTTTGCTAAATCAGAAACATGCTGCTCCTTCTTTTGTAATGATGTAAGTATGGAATTTACTTATACTCACCTCTGTCTTCTCGCAGACTGAGAAGCTGTAGTTCTGCAAAACTTCCACCAACGCCAGTTTGACCATCACCAGAGCAAATCGCATCCCCAAGCAATTCCTTGGCCCGATCCCGAATGGCAGGTAAGCGTATGGGTTGATGTTCTGCTTGTTCTTCTTACTGAATCTACAAAAACAAGCATTCGCCATCAGAAAAAACATTTTATGCTTGGGGGGGAAAAAAAACGCATCCTTAAGTAGTACACCACAACATCAGCACTACTTTTCGGTGAAGTACATAGCGTTGATCATCTTATAACAATGCAATAAAACCTTGGAATCTGGCATCATGTCGATGTTAGTGAGACATGTATCACCCACCTGAACATTACTGCAGACCAATAGTTCTTTCTGCCAGCTGTCATACTTTTAAAACATAAATACTTTAGGCAAAATGTATTAGTTTTAGTAATACGTGGAACAGTCTCTGTAACAATTAGCCAGAGACTGCATCATAAAACATTCACAGAAGTGATGAGGTCACCTTGTAATAGCTCCAGACCAAGAAATAAAACTTGTACATTGAATTGTACATTCTGTGTAACTATATATTGTGATGCAGAATTATTAATCATCTTAGATTTTACAAACAGGAAAACCCTGGCAGCTACCTGTCAGGGTTAAACTCCTCTGGCTCTGGCCACAGTTCGGCGTCACGGTGCAAAGCGTAGACAGGAATCATCACAAGCATGTCCTTTGGGATTGTGTTTCCATTGATCTTGACAGTTTCTTTAGCCACTCGTTCGAGTCGTGCAGCTGGGGGGTAGAGCCTATTGACAAAACAATATGTCTATATTAGAATACGCATTCAAAGCTTTTTGTTTCGAAGGCTGTTGAGGTCACAAGCCATCATTGCTCTTCTCAAAGTTTTAAAGAGTGTGACTATTGTGAATAAATGCACTATTCTTTATAGCTCTACAGAAGGCGGTGCTTTTAGGTCGTTGGTCAGTGTTTTACCACTTTGACCTGGACCGAAGTGTCTCAGAAAAGCCTTTTTGATGCATTTTCCTGATTCTTTTTACAGTTATTCATTGCCCCCTGAGGATGAAGCCTAAAAGCTTTGCTAACGGGTAGTTTGGTGTTGATCCACAGTGTGTTTGGTACAACAAGCGATTATTTTGAGTGCACAATAGTTTGACATTCAGTGTTAATATTCATCTTTAGAAATCCTTAATGCTGCTTTAATGTTACAAAAAACAGTGTTTTTTTTTGTCAGGCTGTCCTGATGTCAGCCAGCACCAGTAAATGCTCATTACCTGAGACTCTCATTGACAACACTGTCGAGGTACTCCATCTGAATCAGAGCTTCATACTGGACCGGATCCTATAGAGTTTATTACAACATAGTTTTATTTAAACACAACTCTGATTTTAGTTTCATCAGTGAAATATAAAATTAAGAAAATAACTCCAGAATATAAAAAAATTCAGTCCAGCCTTATTCGGGAAAGTAGCGTCTATCTCCTTTTGCAGGCGTTTCATGACTTCTGGATTTCTTGCCAGATTGTAGGCTAAGAAACTCAGAGTGGAGGCACTTGTCTCGTATCCGGCAAACATAAACATTGTCGCTTGGGATGTGATCTCATGATCAGTTAGACCTGTCAGAATGGATAAAGATAGAGGGAGACGAAAGGACGGCATCAAGGCATTTGCTGTGCATGCATTGCAGGATTATGTATGTGTACATATGAGTGATGCACATGTAATTACCGTTCTTTAATGTTTCTTTAGTGGGTTTAGTGATTGTCTGGCAGTTGATCAGATATTGAAGGATATCTGCTGGCTTCTGAAAAGAGATCACATGGTCATGTATGAAAAAAGAACTGTTGACCTTTCAAACAAACAAACACACATTTGTTTGACACAGTGCCAACAATTAAACGTGGTATACTTACACAACATGACACACAAAATTGACATTTTGCAGTCCTTAATTTAAATATCTAAATAAACAAATCAGTTACATGAAAAATGTGGGTGCATCGCAACACTTATCACACCTTCAGATCAATAAAAATTAGAATCAGTGGTTCCAGATTAATGGGCTGTAAGGTGGCGCAGTTGGTAGCACTGTTGTCTCGCAGCAAGAAGGTCGCCGGTTCGCGTCCTGGTGGGGGCACCGGGATCTTTCTGCGTGGAGTTTGTATGTTCTCCCCGTGCAGCGTGGGTTCTCTCCGGCTTCCTCCCACGGTCCAAAAACATGTTGAGGTTAATTGGTGATTCTAAATTGTCCGTAGTTGTGAATGTGAGTGTGCTTGGTTGTCTGTCTCTAAGTGTGGCCCTGTGATAGACTGGTGACCTGTCCAGGGTGTCCGCTGCCTTCACCCTGAGTCGGCTGGGATAGACTCCAGCCCCCCACGACCCTAGTGAGGATTAAGCGGTGTATAGATAATGGATGGATGGTTCCAGATTAGTTCTCAGGTAGTCTTATTTTAATCTCCCACATTGAGGTTTGGCTGTCCTTTTTGCGTTTGAAGTGCATCATCGTGCCAAAATGTGGGGTGTCAAATTTCCTATACGGAAAGAGATTGCTCAGATTTGTGCATGGAAACTTGTGTTTTTTTTAACTGAATATCTGGAAACTAAAATATGTACTTGTGAAGAAGCACCTCTCGCTAGTCCAATTCAAAACTCCACCATGAGGCCTCAGCACTGAACACTTACAGACGTAACCAATGTCCCAGAACAGTGGTTGAGTGTGTGGGTTCATTAGGGTTTGAAATGGTGTCAAGATGAGGAATGGGACACACCATAATGACAGCAAGAGAGTTTGGACCATAACATCATTTGCACTCTCCAAATTTCGCAATGAACTATGGGCAAGCTCCTTGGGAAAGTTTGCACATGTCCAGATTCACAGAAATGGCACCTTACGATTTGACAGCGGGACTGTCCTGAGCCCTCAGACACTTAAATGTTCCATGTCCCATGTCTGAAAGGGGATGCACACTGCAAAGTCCGCGAGTCTGTGAGTATGAAAACTGGGATGAAGCTTCTTTATTCATTAGTTCAGTTGATGTTTAGTTTTGCAACATGCCAACTCATGATACATTTTAGTTGATTAATACGTGGGCTTCATTTGGTTTGAATGTTTGAATTAATGAGGGTTTATTGCTCATACAGGTGTTGTTAAACTGGACTGTACCAAGTGGGACTTTGGGTTGGAGGGTGTAAGTAATCCATCCATCTATTATCTATACACTGCTCCGTCCTCTGTAGGGTCACAGGGGGCTGGAGTCTATCCCAGATGACTCAGGGTGAAGGCAGGGTTCATCCTGGACAGGTCACCAGTCTATCACAGGGCTACACTTAGAGACAGACAACCAAGCACACTCACATTCACACCTACAGACAATTTAGAATCACCAATTAACCTCAGCATGTTTTTGGACTGTGGGAGGAAGCCGGAGAACCCGCTGAGAATGTGCACCACTACACTTCTTTGTCTCGCTGTGAAGCAAAAGTGCTGACCACTGCACCACGGTGCCGCCCAGGTGTAACTAATGAATTCTCTGTTGTGTTTTACCTTCTACTAGCCTTAGTTGAAGTAAATAAATAAATAAATAATAACACTGAAGTTAATAGCTTCTTAATAGCTTTAACTGTATGTTTAGTTTTACCTTTACTACTAGCAAGGTAGTTGGACCAGGAAGTATTTAAAGGCATCGTTTGATTCATTTAGTCTTGTGTTTGTCAGCTGACTAAAGAGGGTTTGAAATCAAACTTCAGCATCACTACATTTAGAAGGAACTGAATGTAATTTGAAACTCATTCTGGACTTTGGAAACAGCTGCTGACAAAGTCATCTAACCTCATAGTCCATTTAATTTCAATTATATCATGATTTTCTTCTGCAACTGGAGTCTGGCCAGTTGACATTGTGTTATACTGTATGATGATGTTTTGTTTCATATTAAGGATTTTTTTTTATCCATCTTGGCAGAAAAAAATAGTTTCAAAATTTGATTTTCATTGATGTTCATTATCTGGTGTTGAAAATCCTGTTACATTATCAAAGACTCCAGAAACGCTACAAATGGTGAGATTTCCTTTTCAGATGCCAACAAGCATACATTTTGAAACACACATTTTTAAACCAACGTGGACGTGACGTGGACTTTTAAACATCTGTGTTTCCATAATGATGAGGCAGATGCCATTTATCAAATGAGGCCATGTGATATGACTAATATCTATCAAATTGTTGTTCAGGTAATTATTTGCAAACGATTTCTCAATTGAATTTCTGGAAATGTTCTGTCATCATGACGTACATTATCTTACCATCATGGAACAAGACTGGCTATACTGCAAGAGAAGATTTTATCCATGTAGAGAACTGCTTGTGTTTTGTCCAAACCTGCCCTGAGCTGCCATCGCGTTCTGCTCTGATCTCCTCCACAAGCTTCTTAAAGAAAGCAGTAGATGCCTTGCTGAAAATGGAGACATTTAGCAGCTCCAAGAGAGGAAGCAAGAAGGGAAAAAATCCTGAGAAGAGGAGAAAAAAAAATGCAAACAATTGCATTTTAATCACAAAATGAGGAAAACAACATGACATGGAAAAGCAGGGACGTACCTTGGAGGAAGAAAATACCCAGGGGGAAATTAAACAGTTTTGCGGCATGAGTGATGAGAGGGCTTGAAGGGCTGTTAAATAAATCGATGTCCACACCGAATGCAACGCTCACCATCACGCCCATACTGTAGGCTCCAAAGAGGCTGGAATACACAATTTATACTAAGCAGTGCTACAGATAGGCCATTTGAGTGTATTTGCTTCACAGCTTTACTAACGCTGTAAAGAAACATCAGCTGAGTTTAAAATGTTGGTGAAATCATTGAGGGACATTATAGTTAGAAAAGTGGATCTGGGGATTTTAAAGATGTCACAGAAACTGTACGTTCTCTAATTATGTGTTTTTAGTTTTGAAGGTTGCATGCTAGCTAGCTAGCGCTTGAATATATAACATGGATGAACTCTCTGCAACTGTAGTGAGTTAAAAATCATTTCAGGCTCACAACAGCGCACGACCTCGTTGGGCTTCACTCAGATCAGCCAGAACAGAAATCTGAGGCTGCATTTGGAACAAGCTCAACAAAGCTGGACAGTTAAAGACTGTCTGATAAATCTTCATTTCTGTTGAGGCTGTACAGGGCGGGCTCAGAATTACACCAACGGACCCAAACTGTCTTGTCTCAACAGTTCAGGTAACTCTGTGGGAAATGTTTTCATGTCAGACATTGGAGCCTTTAACATCAATCAATTAAAGTCTGAACGCCCCAGTCTGTCTGTATATTGTTAATGACTGTTAATCCCTCTATGCCCACATTTAACCATCTGGTATTGGTTGTGCCAAACTGGTGTCATGGATGTGACTCAGTGGACTTCAGTGGCCTCTGAAAGTCACCAGATCCAAATCCTGTAGAACACTTCCAGGATGTGGAAGAATCCAGTGACAGCTTGTGGGAGTCAATCCTATTTGGCCCTCATTGTCATGTCTGTCAAGTTTCTGTTTTGTGTGCATGTTTTATGTCTTGTCTTTCCTGTTTTATTTTGAAGTCATTTCACCGGTTGTTTCTGTTTCAGTTTTACTTCCTGCACCTGTCTTGTCACACCTGTTCCCTGATTACCTCCCCGCACCTGCTTCCCATCTCCCCTCATTACCTCGAGTATATTATTCTGTGTCTCACTGTCTCGTTGCCAGTTTGTCGGACTTTCACAGTCTTCGTACCAGCGTTCTTCCAAGTCATAGTGACAGTCTGTTTGTTACGACCTTGCTTCTGTTTTTGGACCTTGCCTTTTGCCTCTCGATTTTTGGATACCTCTACCTGGTTTGACTGACCTTCTGTGTACCGAACGCTGAACGGTAATAAACCTGTCTTTTTGCCTGAACCTCTTCTGTGTCGAGCATTTGTGTCCGCCTGTTCTGATCTGAGTGAGTTCGTGACACTCATGTTGAAATGCCAAACTTTATAGTAGCAACAGACATGTTTACCACCTGGTACAAAAAAGAGTTCCGTCCTCTATAGCTACTCTCTACCTTTGTGACAAATGTACGGGGGTGAATTTTCAGAAAAGTCAATTGTATTAAAGCTTAAATGTATGCATAATTAAAGGTGTGACACCTTTGAGTAACAGGTGGACCCACCTCACATTTTGTAATTTTATGGCGTGACTCACTCTTTTACAGTAACAGCTTCTTCATTTTGGGCCTTGGACTGCAGGCTGTCAGTCATCCTGCGGGAATGATGCTTCATGATGCTGTACATCTTAAACAGAGGAAGAGAGCCCAAATTAAACAGACTGGTGAACGGAATATATGCCTTGCTCTTTTATTCCTACATATATACCTACCTCTTTTATACGGCCAGAGGTGAAGGTGGGAGTGAGGATGCTACGAATCCGTCTCCACTGTTCGTCTTCAGCAATATTCACTGCATCATAGAGATCCCCATTCAGACGGAAGTTCTACAGAGGCACAAAGGTCATTGTGTTTCCAGTTATACATACCCATGGAACAGCTGTTAGTCATAGGATACTGGGCACAAAATTTGAGGCTGCAGTTGGTTTTAATTTTTGAAGAGACCAACGACAGGGGAAGTACCCGCTGCCGGATTGTAATTTGTTAATTCTTCTAATTAAGGTAAAAGCGTTGTTATTCTCGAAATGATAAATTCCAAAGGTTCAGGTAGCTGAAGTGACAGAGGCACTAGGAAGGACAGTGCGACTCTGTTGGACTGTTGGTCCACTAGGCCAGCCCAGAAAGTTTGCATGGTCAATGTGATACTTCACTATGGTAGATGTACTCGTGTATCAAAGAATGGCGCTGCAGCATCAGTAACATAGCACAGCTATTGACCTTCATGGCATCTTCAAGTGGGTAGTTTACTATGTTCTTTGAAAGAGTCCATTCGAACCAACTGTGGCATTCTCACTTTCATGAATGTAAGCTTTTAGAGCAGAACGTTTTAAACTTGGGATTGTGTTGCAAATAATTCACAGGGCGTCGATTGTTTATAAAAGATGGATGGCGCCATTATGACATCACCCATTGGTTTGTGGATGAGTTTGGAAAGTTTGTTTGCTAAATGCATGACGCACAAGTTAGTCATACCAAACTGTAGATCAGCTAAAAAGACTTAGATTCAGCTACGTTATTCAATACTCAGCAAGGACACTTATGATTTCGACACTTATAAACGGGGTTTGGCATGTTTGTCAAAAGCTACAGCATTTCTGGTTCCAGAAGCAAGGAACATCAGGAATATCCACTGTTTGGATATTTTTTTTAAATGTTATTTCTTTTTAATATGGAACTGTAGATAGTAGAGTGTACTGTCTTGTGTTCCATTTAATAAAATCTTGTGTGTTCTTACTCTCCGGTTGGGAAAATAGGTGAAGCACTCCTTCACCAAGATGGTTTTCAGCATGTCAGGATCTGTCACAGCCAGCATGGGTTTCCTTAACTCATACATACTGAATGTTAGCAAAAAAAAAAAACAAGAACATAACATTACATTGGGAAACTTAGTGTCAAACTTTAGCCAGTGGAGAAAAAGAAGAATTACCTACACTATCGCTGATACAGAATCAGAATCAGAAATGCTTTATTGATCCTCGAGGGGAAATTGCTTTTAGTTGCAGGAGCTCCCAGTCAAAAGTATTAAAGAAGTAGAAGTAAAGATATACAATAAAATAAAAGTGTTTATATGAAAATAAAATAAAAATATAACACAAAATAAATATACATTCTTGCTGTTATAAGTGTATATAAAATGTAATATAAGTACTACTATTTGTGTTATTGCACATAGAATGGTACATTCAGGGATATAAATAAGGGATACATACATACATACAGGGACCAAATAAGAAGGTCAAAGGTTCAAACCTGCAGAGCAGGTTAAAAATATGTGAAACAATAATGGATGTGTTGGTCTTCTGCTTTGCAGTCTCACCCCCATATTCTCCCGTACTTTTGAGCATTTTCCCAGTCTCCTATGTAATACACCTGATAATAAGAAACACACATGGGTCACTACATTATACATAATTGTTCTTTCCAACTCAGTGTAAAACAAATTTTTTAATTCAAACAATGGAAATTGTGATAATTAGTCATTTAGATTTTATAAATAGATTTTATAAAAATGTACTTACAGCATTCTGCTTGGTGACTGTCCCCATGTACATTGTGGGCTTGGGACCTGGGATCCCCAACTTCTCAAATACTCCAAAGGTCAATTGGCCATACCTGCACAGAACAGAGGAAACATGAAAGCATGTTCATCAGGTCACATGGTGTCGGATAAACTCCAGTTGCTTGCATAGCAAAGGCCTGACAATGAAGCATTCCTTTCAGTGAGCAATGTCACCGGGATTAGAACAAAACCCTTACATAACAAATAGGCAGATAAATGTGATCAGTAGAATCCATGTTTCTAAAGAAAAGACAGGAAGAAAGCCCATGATTGTCTCTTGCTCTCCCAAGTTGCGTTGATTTCAGGTTTGCACTGAACTCTGGTCTAGAAGGCGTGGTTTTTACATGCTGTTATGTAAGACATGAGTCTTCCGTCTAAGGACTCTGACCTAAAACAATACGCTGGAGGAAAACAAGGAAGCAGTCTCCACCTCCTGCACACCCAAGCACATGTCTGACTGTGTCTTTCTGTGACTTTGAGCACTGATTGGGAGTAAATATGATACAATAAATCTATATGGCCACAATCAGATTAAATCAGATTCTAAAATGTGCTGAATTACTTTGTTGTGTTTCTGTTTTTCCAACTTTCACCAGAAAATGAAGTGTGAAGATTGCTTTTGCATTAAATTTGGCAGAGCAGGTTGTCCACTAATCACAATTTTCGAATATGTGTGTGAATGGGTGAATGGGAAACATAAGTGCAGATTATTTACTTGTTGGATTACTGGAACATTAAAATTACAAATAGCAGTAGACACTAAAAGAGAATTTCCTTTTTTTTGTTTGTTTTATTTATTACAGTAAATAAATAAATGCCACTCAAAGCTGCTTTCATGATACTTGCAAATTATTTTAATTACTTAACCCAAGCAATATAACGATTTTCGCCACAAGGCAGCTGCTTTGCTGAACTAATAAAAGTGACCATTATAAATGCTCCAATTTCTCTGTCAATGATTCACCTGCTGGCAGTCTTTAGTTAAACTCTCACACACTTCGTCTACTCACGTAACAGGTCTGTCCAAACAGGCTTATAAAAGCCACAGGGTGTGATTTGGAGCCTCAGAGAAATTTGAGCTGCCACTGAAAGAAGAGAAAAAACGTGCAGAGATGGACTACTTCTTCTATTTCTCCATTCAAACATGGACCCTACTGGTCGCCTTCGTCACACTCCTCTACGTGTAAGTGTCTAACAATATGTATTCAGGTATTTGAACTATTTATACTGCTCTGCTTTTCCAAATGTTTAATGTTTTATTTTACAGGTATGCCACCTGGACCTATGGGACGTTTAAGAACTTAGGCATTCCTGGTCCCAAACCTGTCCCTCTGTTTGGCACTATGCTGGCATATAAAAAGGTGGGTGACTATATCTTTTCAGACCAACATGCACTTGCAAAAATGGGAGTAAAAATATTGGTGGTAATTAGCTATCACAGTGTGATAGTTATATTAATGTGTCTGCTTTATTTTATGTTAATATTTTAACTTGTGTTTTTTCTGTTGCATTTTGAAAAATCTGAAAGTAAAAGTTCTGGATCAATATTTTCATTTTGTGAGCTTTTATTGCATCACAACGGGATTGCCGCTGAATTTCTATTTACCAGAGTTAGAAAACGGTGCAGTCATATGTGGATTTGACAGTGTAAGCTGCGTACAGTATATCATAGGAGCAGGATAATCAGATTCATATTGTTGATGTGCGGAGGGAAATATCACAATGGAGGTTCTCATTCTGCCGTCACAGAGGGTCTGACGTGACAGTGAATTCTAAAAATGGTTATTGTTTCAAATGCTTTTTTTTTTCCATATATGAGATTTAATGTTTAGAATCCAAAAAGATCAGCTGTAGATTAAAGTCACTTTGATGACTGAATTGAGAAAAACTCCCTCTTCAGGATTTAACACCCAGATTGTTACTGATTTACGTGCAGTATTTAAGTGTATTTTTTATTTCACAAATGTCTCTATGATGTTGGACTGTGAATTTTACTTGTGTTCTTGTACCTAGGGAATCACCACCTTCGATCTGGACTGCTTTCATAAGTATGGAAAAACATGGGGGTAAGTCTATATGCTCTTACATGCATATACGATTTTATTTGTTCATTTATTTATTTGAGATTATCGTTCTACAGAAAGATACATGTCTACATAACAGTCATACAGACTTGCACGTGAAAGCATGAAAATGTCTTTATTTATTTGTTTTATTTGTCGTTTGTTCCATTGTCATAATATTCAGAATTTTCGACGGCCGTCAGCCCGTGCTGTGTACCACAGATCCCAGCATGATAAAAGCTGTTCTGATAAAGGAGTGTTACTCTCTTTTCACCAACCGCAGAGTACGCAGCCACACTACATGATTACTCTCATTATGATGGTTGGTTTTTGATTGACCTTTGGGCCCTCACCAGCGGCTGTTTTCTAACGTTACAGAATTTCCGTCTGAATGGACCTCTGTATGATGCCGTGTCTATTGCAGAGGACGATCAGTGGAGAAGGCTCCGCGGTATCCTCTCTCCATCTTTCACCTCAGGGAGACTGAAAGAGGTACATAACTTTACTGCCCTGGACCTCCTCTGGCTTTTGCTACTTACCGAACAGAACATTTTAAAGCTCGCTCTGAGCTGTGATTTAACTTCAGGGGAAACTAGATTCAGTGTAAAGCAGTTGTTCCAAGTTTGTTTGGCTTGTGACCACTGAAAATGAAGCGATATCCACTTTTTGGCCTCAAGGTGTCACTGTTTAACTGTCACCAGAGAGCATTTTGTCTGTCCTTCATCTTTTTATTCTAAGGAGATTTAGAGGACCAAACAGGTGAAAGTGTATCACAAGAGAAAATGTCAATCTCAAATCTAGTCTTGAGTCCAAGGTTGGGGGAGATTGGGAGCTACTGATCTTAAAAAAGTACAAACAGGACCAGCTGCACCCAGTATTGTCATTTCTTGTATTTCCTGTTATTTCTGTCTCTTTGTGCCTCAGATGTTCGACATAATGAAGCGTCATACTGCTAGCCTGATCGGCAGCATGAAGAAGAAGATAGACAAGGATGAGCCAGTAGACCTGAAGGAGTAAGAACACTTTGTACTCGTCAACAAAAAGCACAAGGTCAACCCTTTTAAGCCTGTATAAGGAAAAAGGTTATTTTGGATGTGATTGTGTACTCTTGCAGGTCCTTTGGATCCTTCAGCATGGATGTAGTTACCAGCACATCCTTCAGTGTAGACATTGACTCACTCAACAACCCCTCAGACCCGTTCGTCACCAACATTAAAAAGATGCTGAAGTTTGACTTGTTTAACCCTCTCCTCATCCTCGTTGGTATTTATTTACTTTTTCTAAAACACAGCAATTTAATATTTAAGATTTTGTCTTTCACCTGTCGTGTCATAAAAAGTGTTGGTGCCAGGTTACTTAGTGTGAACCTTTACAATAAATGCATTTGCTGTCTTTCCTGTGTCTTTAATAAATGTGTTACTGTCTGCTTTAATTTCAGGCTTCTTTCCCTTCTTGGGTCCCGTTTTTGAAAAAATGGAGCTTTCCTTTTTCCCCAAATCTGTGACAGACTTCTTCTATGCCTCACTGCAGAAGATCAAATTAAACCGTCTTACCAGCAAGCAAGCGGTAAGGCTGAGTCTCTGTACGCACACTGTAAAAACAATCTGTAGTTGTACAGAATATTCTATATGATTGAAATACAGAAAAATTTTACTAAAGTTACAAAAAATAACCTGTGAATTTAGAGGAGTAATGCCAATTAAGCTAAAAACACAAAACTGTAGACAACTATCAAGATTCCATTTTTCCATTTTTGAAAATACTATTAAAATACACTAGCAAATTAATTGTCATTGTTCAAATGATTCTTCATGTAATACTGTAAATAGTGTTCCTAAATATTTCTAAACTTAGACTTAATTAATCACAATTAAAAGTGCTGTAATTTCTGTAATTTATTATTACGGTTTACAATAAGCTCTTCGTAATAAAATTTTGAATGGATGTATTTTTTTGTTCATTTTCAGTCACTCAAAATACAATTTTTATTATATATCTATAAATAATTTATCATTATATATATTNTAGGTTAGATATTATTATGTTGTAGGTATTTTCATTGTTTCTACACATATTATCCTTAATTAAACATTTAAAAGCCAGAAATTAAAAAATAAAATAAACATGACGTCTTGCAAAATGAAGGATAGGAAACTTTTGTTGTTGTTTTGTTTTTTTTTTGTTTGTTTTTAAAGAGTGTACAGTGTACATTTATTGGTACGGTAGATTCAGAAATTTTATCAAGCGTGTTCTTATAAGATATGTGTCTACTTTCAGAGTCGAGTGGACTTCCTCCAGTTGATGATCGACGCTCAGAAAAACAATGGCCCCAGTGGAGATCAGGATAAAAGTAATGCACACATATGCAGCCACATGCCTACAGACACATGGAAACTTTTCCAACCTATATATCTTTGCTATTTCCCCAGGTTTGAACGATCATGAGATCCTCTCCCAAGCAATGATCTTTCTCTTTGCTGGCTATGAAACAACCAGCAGCACTCTCTCTTTCCTGGCTTACAACCTGGCAACAAACCCTCACATCATGAAAAAGCTGCAGGAGGAGATTGACACCACCTTACCTAACAAGGTATATTTTAATTGAGAAGAAGGGAACATTTGAGGTAGCAAAGGAGTTTCAAGAACGGAAATGTTTTGGACCATTTGTAGGGCAGTGGAGCTCCACAATAAGCTGACCAACACATAGACTGGATATAGTTTCACCTTTAGACACCTCTACCCTGTGAGTTTTGGGCTGTGTGAGACTCACCAAGTGTTCATCACCTCATTTAACAAGCCTTAAACTGTCAAGCGTTATCGTACAAAGGGTGACATGCAGTAAACTTATACAACCACAAGAGAGCGAAAAGGTGTGTTTTCCTTACGGTCAAGCTACGTGTGAATCACATGGCTTAGTGTAATGTGAAAGAGGAAGTGCATTTTAGTTAATGAATTAAAAACTATTGATTAGTGGAGTTCACATCAAAATGGTGTTATAAGATTAAAATGTGTGTTTGTTCATTTATACGTCAGACTTTGTAGTCTTTGCAAATGTGGTTGTTGTGTATTCTAACTTTTATAGTGTATGTCAGTAAAATCATTTCTTTTCTCTCAGTACCACGATCGTCTATTAGTGTACGTGCTGCGGCCTTAAGTTCAACAGTCATGTATGTGTGTGTCTGTGTAGGCTCCTGCTCAGTACCAGACCCTGATGCAGATGGAGTATCTAGACTGCGTTGTCAACGAATCTCTTCGTATGTACCCCATTGCTCCACGTGTGGAGCGTGTGGCCAAGGCGACTGTGGAGATCGGTGGCATTGTGATTCCAAAAGGGACGGTTTTCATGGTTCCCACCTGGGCCCTGCACCGGGACCCTGATGTGTGGCCCGAACCCGAGGAATTCAAACCAGAGAGGTAAAGAAGTTTCTACAGTCGTCCTCAGATGTATTCATACCCTTCTATTAAAGAAGGAAAAAACAGCTGTCACTGAAATAAGTTGAAATTGACAAAAGTAACAATAAATAAAAATGTACTGAACTTCATGACAGTGCTTTTGAATTGTGGTTCAACAGAAATATATAAAAAAAAAACAACAACAACAAAAAAAAACCAAAACACACAAGCAAACAAGCATGATGGGACCCGTAGACTATTATTTTGTTGAAAAACCCTTTGAGCCAATCACTGCAATCAAGTGCTTTGTGTAACTCTCAATCAGACTTCTGCTCCTGTTGACAGGTATTTTGGTCCACTGCTTATCAGCAAAATGCTCTAATTTGTCTGGGACAGTTTTTTTTTTTTTTTAATTATTCTTTTCAACCACAATTCAAAAGCAACATCTTATTTCACTAAATTACAATTTAACAAATCTTTTATTTATTATTACTTTTTTCAGTTTCTCGTTATTTGAGTGACTATTGGGATTCTGCCTTTTCTTTAATGGAAGGATATGAATGCATTTGAGAATGACTGTATGTTACCAAAACTGCCAGTAGATATTAAAAAATAAATCCACAGAAAGGACCTGAGCTCTACAGGTCATGACTCCACTTCTGTCATTAATATATATGTATAAATATATACGTGTGTGTGTGTGTGTGTGTGTGTGCTCCCAGATTCAGGAACAAGGAGTCAATTGATCCATGCACGCACCTGCCATTTGGATTAGGGCCAAGGAACTGCATTGGGATGCGGTTTGCTCTGGTGATGATTAAACTTGCTATGGTGGAGATCCTCCAGAAGTACACCTTCACTGTGTGTAAAGAAACCGAGGTGAGAGCGCAATCTTCAAGCCGCCTATTGTTGCTTTTCTTTACGGCGTTTGAGGAGGCCGGTTCAAAGTTTATTCATGGCTAGTTCAACTGTGCTATCGATGATTACATAACGTCATGAGACTCACATCTGTTGGGCCAAAGATCAGCGCCCACTCGCTGACACAGCACCTTGCCCGGGAACACAAGTTCCTTTTACATTTAATATCAAAAATGCAAAGAAAAATAAATCAAACTCAGTAAGCTGTTGGTTATTTGTGTAAGGTTTCTGGCTTCCAGTTGTTTGCAGATTTGAAATATGGTGTGATTTTGTGTATTGCTGACTTTGTTCTCGCCTCTTTTCTCTCTTCCCATCAGATTCCCTTGGAGATGGACACCTTGGGTCTCGTAGCACCAAAACGACCCATCAAATTAAAGCTGACACCACGTTCTTAACCTTCCAGCTAAAAACACAACAAGATGAAAGATTCTCATTTAAACTGCGATGTATACAGACCTATCATGTAAAAAAATTTAAAGATTTCCATACTACAGCATAGTTGTGTGTAATTCTGTATCACTTGGTCCTCATCTGAAGGACAAATGGGATTATAATGTTGTAAAACCTCAATTTCAATTAAAAAAACCCCATTTAGATTCTTCTCCTGTGTGCTGTCTCTCTTATATTTGCATTAAAAGATTAAAGTCCAGCTGTATACAAGGAGTACAACAGAAATTACTGAGAAAATGTGTTTGTTTGTTATTTAGATGTTTGTTTTCATTATCATTTGTATCCAATTAGTACATCATCTCAACATTGATCATGGGCCTAAGCTAAGGAGGGGATACAAAAATAAAAATGGAAGATTCACAAAAAGAAGAAGAGGTGAATAAACAAAAGTAAAACATATCAAAACCCATGCACACTTGTATGCAGTATTTCTAGAGTTTTAATGACTCTAATTATAAAACATGCATTTATTTTAGGTGGCCCAGATCTTTAGGAATCTGTGACTTAATATTAGACTCATCTTTTGTGATCGTGATACGTGACCAAAGCTTAGATATTCATGAACAACTCCAAAAGCAATGTAAAGGATAAATGAACTCAAGTACTCCTCTGTGCAGTATCACTTAAATGTTCAACATCTTTACAGACAATTTGTTTTGACTGTTCATAAGAAGAAATGCTCTTTTAGCTCATCAAGAGATACAAATTTGAATTTCTTGATTGGTACTAGGGCTGCAAGGTGGTGCAGTTGGTTAGCACTGTTGCCTTGCAGCAAGGAGGTCACCGGTTTGGGGGCACTGGGCTCTTTCTGCGTGGAGTTTGCATGTTCTCCCCGTGCAGCGTGGGTTCTCTCCGGGTTCTCCAGCTTCCTCCCACACAGTCCAAAAACATGTTGAGGTTAATTGGTGATTCTAAATAGTCCGTAGGTGTGAATGTGAGTGTGCTTGGTTGTCTGTCTCTAAGCGTAGCCCTGTGATAGACTGGTGACCTGTCCAGGGTGTCGCCTGCCTTCACCCTAAGTCAGCTGGGATAGACTCCAGCCCCTCGCGACCCTAGTGAGGATTAAGCGGTGTATAGATAATGGATGGATGGATAATTGGTACCAATAGACTTGCTGTGGCTTAGTTGGTAGAGCGGGTTGTCCTCCAGTCGCAAGGTTGGCAGTTCGATCCCCCACCCAGTCAAAGTGTCCTTGGGCAAGACACTGAAACCGAAGTTGCTCCCAATGGCAGGCAGGGCCTTGCATTGCAGCTCTGTCACCATTGGTGTATGAATGTGTGTGTGAATGGGTGAATGAGAAAACATTGTAAAGCGCTTTGGATAAAAGCATTATATTAGTGCAAACAATTTACAGACCATTTGGACTTACATCCCATGTCAGCTTGACACTTATGCTGATAAAGTGACACTCTTGAAGATAAAAAAAATAACCAAATATGATTTAACTCATTTCTCCACTCGTCTCTGGCGACAAAGGATTTACCTTAAGTAGAGATATTTATCACAGGTAGGCTGATTAGATGTTACAGGTGTTTGTGTTTTCTTTGCTTCTCTTTAAATAATGTGGGACTTAAATACGTTTTAAAATGATGAAGTGCATCATTACCAGTTTTATACTCAAACAGCGCACTCGTGTGGATGGTCTCCTTCCACTTTTTGTTCATGTATTGCTCTTGTGCTCCTGCTCCTTTACTGATCCAATGTCCAGGTTTTTCAGCCATCTTGTTCTTTCCATGTTTATAAACAGAGGGTAGAGATAAAAAAAAAAAAAAAAAAAAAAAAAAAAAAAAAGAAGAGAGAGAGAGAGAGAGAGAGAGAGAGAGAGAGAGAGAGAGAGAGAGAACTGAGGTGGGCAAACCAGCTCCGCTGCAGACACCACATGTTCTTGAGGTTGGGATTCATGAAAATGCGACCGTCTACAGGCTGCTGAAATGTGTGACATTGAACTAACCGTGTCTAATAAATGCACCATATTCCTTTGTCACAATTGGTAATCACAATCTGCAGCATAATATGCAACTTGATGTCACTGTAGTTTGTGCTGATGTGTTTTTAGAGGCTGTAATTTCAGTGATGCATCCACTTATTTTGAGATTAGGCTAAACATGTACTTATTTTGAGTTCCCCCCCCCCAGAAAGCCTTGCACTCATTCAAAAGTACTCAGATCCGCAATCCAGGAAAGACGTGAAGGTGCACAAGAGAAATATACAATCGTCTCTGAACAATAGCTGGATGTAAAACCTCAAGACACTACTGATCCAAAACTCCACTTTCCTGATGTGATGATGTGACGACATGAACTGCAGCCTATCGACCGAGAGGGCCAGATGTGGCGTTCAGGGAACAGAGCCTCCATCAATGCAGTGCTGATGGCAGCAGTGTTGTGAACTTTCTTCATTCTGCTGTCAACATCTGCTACTGCCTGACCTCTCAGTGACTTTCTGCAACTGCAACACAGTAAATCGGTGCTCTGTAAATCATTATGCACTCTCAAATTACTAAATTAGAGACGAAAGTAATACTCGTCTATTATTTGTATGTTTTCTCACTTTTTACAATTGAAGAGTTCATTTGCAACAACAGATAATTCCATTTTTGTAGATTTTCAGAAAACTTTTTTTGTTGTTGTCGTTGTTTGCTTGAGATAATATCAGTCAAACTGAAGTTGAGTGGATTTGACTGAGTAGAAATGACATGACAAAAATAGAGATAGCTTAAGTTTGATATTGTCTCAGGTAGACGATGGAAAAGTGGGTTTTGTGAAGGTTTGTGAAGATGGAGTTATCTGTTTTTGCAAATGAACCCTTCAATTGTAATTGCTTTTATTTTCATTCTGTGTGGTTTTAAGTGCTGTATGCGTTTTTGACTTATGTACAGCGCGCTGACTTTTGTTTATGCTTGAAAGATTCTGTATAGATAAAATATTATTAATAAACGCTATTTTAACAAACCTAATAATTAGCTTGCAATCATCTACACTAAATGTAGCCAACACCAATGATAAAATGTTCTGTATGTTGGTCCTCATACTGGAAGCTCTTTGAAAATGTTTCAGATAGAAATCTTTTTTTGATTTCTATAATTTACTTTAACTCCTATGTGATTCTGTGGCAGTGATTAAATATAATTATATTACTTAGATAATAAGTTAAGATGATATACACATTCTAGAGTACATCTGCTGCAGCTGTTCAGCTGCTGTGCGAGTATTCATGTATGGAGAGGTTCCGAGGCAGCCCTGAACGCACCACCAGTCCGGGTCCCGGTGTGCTCCGTTCCCGGTCTTTCACCGACCCGGACTCCATGTTGTTCCGTCAGCCTCGGAGTGAACAAGTGCCCTGGCCGAAAACTCTCACGTTGCAACTCTGTGTGTGCGAGAAGTAAAGTGTGTGAGTGTGTTGACCCTCCGAAAGAAGATGGCAGACTACCGGGACGACACCGGAGCTCGAGCCCTGCTTGCTTTACAGTCGGCGCCCTGCAGCCCCGTGCGCGTCGCGGTGACCTCGCACGCCTATCACCAGCCCTCGCTCGCCCTCTTGGGTCCTCCGATGATGGAAGCCCGCACCGATGCCGGGATCCTTCCCGTGCGTCTCGCTTCTCCTCTATCGCAGGCCCTGGCCAGGCTCGAGGGCCGGGACTTTGAGTTTGTCATGCGCCAGAGGACGGTCACCATAGGCCGGAACTCGTCTCACGGCTCCGTGGACATCAACATGGGCCACTCGAGCTTCATTTCACGGCGACACCTGCAGATCACCTACGACGAGGCGAATGGTTTCTCCCTCCGGTGCCTGGGCAAGAACGGCGTGTTCGTGGATGGGGTGTTCCAGCGCAGAGGGGCGCCGCCGCTGCCGCTGCCCAGAGAGTGAGTGCAGTTAGTCAGTCAGTCAGCTAGCATAGCCGCCGCCGCCGCTGCCGAGGCTCGTCATGGTAACACGTTGCATGGCTGTAATGTGCACTTTATGCACCGACAGACACGGTGACACACACACAGTGACACACAGCGCCGGAGCACATGTCACGGTGCAGTTTGTGTCCATTTTAATTGTGCCCCCCTCAGTGGACAGCTAACGGTTGAATTAAACGGTAAAACCACGTCCTCGCAGCTGTCCGTGAGATGTATTTACTTTAGTGGGACATTTGAATAGTTTTAGTTCAGATTATAGCTCGTAAACACTTTGACACTTAAACTTAAACCAGACGACCTCCACATGCAAACGGGAGACGGATTGTGACGGGGATGCAAAGTTTGTCACAACACCCCTGTCTAAGCGGCTCCGTGTCGTACAGTAACTGTGAACACGGTTTGGGCAGTGAAGCTATATCATCATAATCCAACATGTCTCCGCTTTAATTAACAACGAAACTGAAATTGTTAGCTTTCCGGGAGGCCAATGAGGAACCCTGTCTACAGGTTACCGTCACCCCACTGAAGCAGCCTCGCTAGGCTTAGCTGTTAGCAAACTTAGCTTCATTTTCATTCGGCCTACTGACAAACACTAACGCAAGCTAGTTAGCAAGAATTTTATTTTTTTTTAAATGGTGCCACTTGTTGATGTTTCATACTGAGGCGTGTTGTCATGTCGTTATAAAACTGGTTTGTTAAAGTGGTCGAACAAATTTTTACGCGACTGTCTTGTGGCTGCTGGTCAAAGTCGTGTCTCAACAGTTTACAGGGTGATTATGTTAGCTGCGGTGTTAGCTAGCTGTTAGCCAACGTGTCACCGTCTCGTAAACAATAATGTAAACAAACGCACCCCCGACAGCTCAGCTCACGAGTCTTGTAGGGAAGAGGTATGTTTGCTTTATGTCGAAACGTGAAATAGGCGTTTGTTGTGTTAGGGAAAACCATGTGGCGTGTGAACGTAGTTTTACTTTCACTGGGGTTGCTCCACCGTCACGTCTGTTATGTCTTTACTGGTGTGTTTAATACAGTAGCAGTCTTATAAACTTTAAACAGTGACTTCAAGTATGTGTGTGTGTCAATCACAGGGTGGAGGGGAGGAGGTGTATATATATATATATATATGTGTGTGTGTGTGTGTGTGGTGTCTTTATCCTCTCTGATTGGCTGTCAACACTGTTTAGGGGTGTGTCAGGCATTGAACAGGAAGTGCGGGCTTGGTATGACATCCTCATTGCTAGAGCACATGGAGTAAACACAAGACTTGAAACCAAGGCCATGTCCCCAGCAGCCATGCTCGCATGTTTTGGCCCTGGAGGTTCTCTCAGGATTACAGAGTTAGCTGAGAAACTGTGGCGAGTCATATCTGAAAGGGAACAATTGAGCAATCCTGATTCTCATTTTACAGTTTTAAGCATGCTGCTGGGCTGCACTTAAATGTCAGTGAATCTCTACAGATTCATCTAAGCACAGATATTAAAACAAAACAGTTGCCTGCATAAGCATTCATCCCCTTCAAGTTAAACTTTTTAGTGTATTTACAGCTTTGGGTAATTGTTTTATTCCATTGCTGCAACTAACCGCCATTTTCCAATGCTAATTAATCTGACATTTATTTTCTGAAACATTTTCTCAGAATAATTGAAAAACCCCATCGCAATTTCTCAGTACCCAAGGCGGTGTCTTCAAAATGCTTCTTTTGCCAAAGCAACCAACATTCCAAAGACAACAGATATTCAGTTTGTCTAAAAGTGGGCTAAAAACATCCATTGATTATCTATTAATTATTAAAAAACTGTTCAAGCTCTATTAAATTTCTCTGGTGGGACAATGAATACACTTCAAATCCTGCCTCAGATTCTGAATTGGATTGAGGCCTTCAGTGATTTTAATGTAGAACTGTCTCTGTCTTTGTTGTCATTATCTTGCTACATAGCAAATCTTTTTTCAAGCCGTAGTTCTTTTACAGCCTGCAGCAGATTTTCTTAATGGGTTTTGTAATATGCTGCATTGTTTACCTTTTCATGCCTCACCATGTTGGGCACGGTGTGTTTCACATGTCAGTATGATGGCAAGGAAGCATGCTTTCAATCCAGTCAGACCGCTGAACCGTCCTCCATGTTTTTTTCAGAGGCTCCTATGTTCCCTTTAACAAACACTACTTGAAGTGTCATGTGAGTTCTTTCAACAGTGGCTTTCTCTTTGCTACTCTGGTATTCAGCTGAGGCTGGTGAAGGAAAGAAGTGAAAGCTGTATGCCCAATCTCTTCCATTTCAGCTGTGGAACCCTGGAGCTCATGCGGAGTTGCCACAGGCCTCTTCCTTCCCTCACTGGTGCTGTTCTTGCAAGGACGCTTGGTTGTTGCGGACAGCCTGCTATAGGCAGGGACAGCTGTGAGCGGTGTGTTCATGGATCCAGTGTTGGATTGACAGCTGCAGCCTTTCAGGAAACAAATTACAGTGAATGGATAGAACATTTCTTCTATGTTTTTCTCACTGACTGGCCTCTAGAACAGCCTACAGCACACATGCGATCCTGTGTGAATATTTTCTTTTCTTTAGTTCCTCTACAGAGGGAGGTCTGAGCCTGTCGTTGGATACCGCTCAGCAGCCCAGAAATTAGTAGGGCTTCAGTGTCTTGCTGAAAGACACAATCATTATAGTTGGGTAGATAAGATGGTTGTGCTCACAAAGATTAAAAAGACTACGCTGAAAACACAACCCTGCTGTCTGTATGTGCTGGGAAAAAATGGAAACTATTTACATCAGTCTTTAAGGTTCCATTGTAAAACAAATCCCTCACACAACACATATAATTATTTTCAAGGGGTTTGTTTAGGCTTGAATTAATTTGGGCCTTTGACTGATCCTTGCTTTTATTGCGGCAGTTGTCCAGACTCGCTAAAAGCAGAGGAGAAAGTAGATGGAGACCAGTTGGGTTTGTGTTAAGTTCACACTAGTCAAATTTTTGTCCACCCCTGTATTTACGTGGGAGGTGACATTACTTTCTGATTTAATATTTCTAAATCAAAGGAGACAAATGTGAGCGTTTTGTCTTCTGTGACAGATTTGCTGCCCACCGTGTGTGACTTAAGACATATAACAATATCAAGTTTGGATGTTTATTCTTGTCCATGGAGACAGTAGTTGACAAAATAATCTCTCCACAAGACCCATTTAGCAGCTGCTCTCTCGGTTTCAGTTGTATCACACCATCTTCCTCAGCAAATGGAGTTTGCTCGGTTGTCATGGTACTATAATTGTTCGAATTTTCATTTCCCTGAGCCTTTGAAGATGAGATGTTTTAGAGACGAGTCTATATTTCTGTGACAACAACTGAGCAAACTCCAGTCTCTCAGGAAGATAATCGTGCGATGTGATTAAAAGCTCCAGAACAATTGCTATACAACGATGTGTTTCATTAGAACTTAATGGACAGTCATTGTAGATGAGAAGATGAACTAGTCTGACTTTGTTTGTGTGTTCTCTCCTGTGGTGTCCGCCATCTCTCCCTCTGGCTGTCCTGCTCTCTCTAGGTGTGTGTTTCGTTTTCCCAGCACAGTTATTAAGATCCAGTTTATGTCACTCCTGGAGATTGAGGAGCACAGAGAGAAGGAGCAGCCCTCTCCTCCCCCTCGCCAGCTTCTGCCACACATTTCCCCTCTTAAAATCAGCATTCCCACAGTGCAGCAGCATGAAGAGCACATCAGGGCGTTTGGCTCGCCGCTGCCCTCGCCCACAGGCACCCTCAGGTAACCCGCAGACACACACGACGACACAAACAGCAGCGGGATGAACACACCGTGACTTTTTTTGAGGCACTGCTAAGTTTTTCTGTATCTTTCATGTATCTTTAGATTGTGTGTCTAGTTTTAAGTTTAAGGCAGTTGTATTGTTTTTTACAATAAGATGATTATTTGATCAATTTACTGACAGAATATTATTAGCTATTCTGATTTAATTACCAGTATGCTCATTCCAGCTTCTTTAATTTGAAGATTTTCTGCTTTTCTCTGTTTTGAGTCAACTGAATCTCTTTACATTTGGGCTGTTGGTCAGACTTTATAGGACTATTTAAAATATAGACCAAATGATTGACAAAATAATCCCTGACTAATCTACAATGGAACTTTGTTGCAGCTCTAAGTATAAACTACAATCAAGCAGATTCTAAAAAAACAAGCAAACAAAGAAAACTAAGGTCAAGAAGCTAAAGAATGAAACAATCAATTCTCTTCAGTGTAATAAAATATAAATACAGCACACTTTAACAAGCATGCAGATAATAAATGTGACTAAGAAGCTCACGAGCATTCAACAAATTAGCAGACAGTAATCAAATAAGAAAAAAGAGAAGACAAAAAGGTGACTTTCAAAGGAAATTAAAACTTTGATGATGTAATGTAGAGTTAAATGTCAGCATATTATATTTCACACTTTAGTGAAAGTGTGCCCTTAATTCATTTAAATTGATATCAGTGAAGGGAGAGTAGAAAAAAGAGTGACCCTTTCAAGTAAACAAAAGTGGACATTTATCTAAACCAAACCTGTCTCTGCCTGTTATATGATGATTATACAGTAAGTGCTTAATCACTGTTGGAAAATATATGAGCTTTTTACCCTCTCAGCTTTAATGGGCTCCAGTGGAACAAAAACCTACACGCTGTATGAGCTTATTGCTCTGCTAATATCCTTTTCAGTTGAAGATGAACTTATCAGGTGCTGCAGTATTTTGGTTGAGATGTAAACCTGCAGTCTAATGAGCTGTGATAGCACATGTTTGAAAATCTCTGCTCTATAAATGTATACAACATGTGCGACTGTTTGTTGGTGTTGCTGTGCGCGCCCTCTGGTGGTCCGCGCGTGGCCTCGCATCACACATCCCCACCAATGTCGGCTTGTGTGTGCATGCCTTATATGGGATGGCTGCAGCTTTGAGGCGTGTGATTGGCTGTCGGGCAGATTGTTTTGCCTGTAGGCCGTTTTTCCGTCCATTCGTGGTTTCCTTTTCAGAGCCCCCTACCCCTCCCACTCAGCCATCAGCTCCTGTTCTCCTGCACGTGGACACATAACAGAGTAAAGACGCTTGCTCATACATCTCTGCACCACTTTCACTGTGGCCTTTTTCGGGCAGATGGTTGCGCCACCTTCCTTACCAGTACCCACATACAGTACATACAACGGGAGAGTATTGTGTGAAAGCACGTGCTCCCACTTAAAACACCTACAGTGTCTCTTTGCAGGGCGGTAAGAGTCACTTTTCCTGTTTGGCAACTTAAATGAACTGTTTAGAGTAACATTCTTCTTCCTCTGCCAGCGTGCACACTTGTGTTTGCTGGCTAATGTGCACATGCAGAGGAGATGAAATGGTTGTAAGAGTGTCGGGGAAAGCAAAGACGACCCTTGCTCCCTCATGGAGGCAACTTTAAGCAAAGTTTTAGTTTGTACAGTTACAGATGCAATTCTGTTTTTACGGTGAAGATGTTTCAGAAACACTTTTCTGCTCGTCTTTGTTAATTTTTCAACGCTGGATGTACCGAGCCTTTATCAAAACAGAGCCTGCAGCCTTGTTTCTCCAGCCAAAAACTACAAACATATTCCCTCTCTCCCCGTGTGTGTGCGCGTTACTCTCGCCGTATCCGTGGCTCTCTGTTGCCAGAGGAAAATCAAAGCTTACTGACTCTCCCAGAAAGCCGTGTTTACTTTACTAACAGAAGCAGGTGTGTGCTGTGTAATAAGTTACTGGGTTTTCCCTCTGTTTTGTCTCTCAACAGCAGCTCGATAAAATGTAGTTAATAATTTACATACTTAGAAGTATTTTTGCTCATTGTTGTGTATTTTGTGATCGTTCTGTATTTGGAGCACCACAGCTACACTTCAAACTTGCTTCTTCTATTTGTTATTGAAAATCATCAAAGTGAAAGGCATTTAGTGTAAAATCACCTAGAAATTATAATGAGTCTTTTCTTTTCAAGCCATACGTAGGATTAAACTGATGGAATATAATAGAAATAGAAAAGCTTACTGGCCCTTGGTTTGATGAACCTTCATGCTGTATATTAACTGAAGTCACCAGCCGCTATTATCAGTCACGTGATGTTTATTTGTTTTTACATCATCACAGTATTAGCTTCCCTTTCAGAAACATTCCTGCATGTTACTATAACTATTTCTCTGTTAAAGTTTTTGTCATTAATTGGACAAGAGGACTGTTGTTACACCTTTATAGACAATAGATGACATTTTTAATACACATCTGCCAGACTCGAATCGAGGATATTCTGGACTCCTCGTGTGTTGGTACATGCATTGTGAGGTTGTGTTTGTGCCCCACTGCGCCACTGTATGCCTGTCTCTGGGGCCATAAACTAACATTGTCTTGATGTTCAGCGAAAATTGAGCTGCTTAATGACATTGTGAGTTTGTTTAGTGCCTGTAGCAGCGGGTACCAGCATCACACTGATTGCTCCTTCTTCAAGATTAATTAACCCTCGTGTTTAGGTTGCTTTTACTCTGGCATCTGTTTTGCTTCCAGATGTAGCCTCAAACAATCACTTCAACTCTTTCCTCTCTATTCCAGTGTTCCTAACTCCTGTCCTGCCAGTCCACGTGGGGCAGGGTCATCAGGGTATCGCTATGGACGTAACGTGACCTCCGACCTCCAGTTAGCAGCTGAATATGCTGCCAAGGCTGTTTCTGAGCAGAGACGAAGCATTGCTGAGCAGAGAAGCGGGGGAAGTGAGCAGCGAGGGGAGTCAGCTGGTGGAGACAGCCCCAAGGTAAAGACTCAGTGGTAATGTAGTCCTAGAGGTGAATGCCGCTAAGAAATTGTGAGTCAATCATGAGCTTTAAGACCTCCCAGAAACCTGCACAGTCTTGAGGATGTGTGCTTAAATCTGCCTGTGTCTTGTTCGTCCAGGATGAGTCCAAGCCACCGTATTCCTATGCACAGCTGATAGTCCAGGCCATCTCTTCGGCTCCTGACAAACAGCTGACTCTCAGCGGCATCTACGCCCACATCACCAAACACTACCCCTACTATCGCACTGCAGACAAGGGCTGGCAGGTAGGCTCCTCTTCAACCGAAAGGAAGTGCTGCATAATAGCAGCTCTAAGTAAATTGGAAAGACAGAGTGCGTTTTAATTGTTTTCTGTCATCATTGCCATAAATCTATCAAATGAGTGTTTCTGTTTTCCACTAACAAAATGCTCTGTGATGTGTTTGTCCTTCCTCCAGAACTCAATCAGACACAATCTGTCTCTCAACCGCTACTTTCTGAAAGTGGCCCGCTCTCAGGACGAACCTGGGAAAGGAAGTTTTTGGCGCGTGGATTCTGCCTCCGAGGCCAAGCTGGTGGAGCAAGCCTTCAGGAAACGACGGCAAAGAGGGGTTGCTTGCTTTAGGACGCCGTTTGGACCTCTGTCTTCAAGGTAGGCTCTTCAGTTGGTCGCCTGTGACCTTCAGCTGCACAAACACGCACACAGTGACTCAGTTAACCCTTTTCCCTTCTCTCTGCTTCTACTCCTGGCTATCATTTGATTGGACAGAACAAAGTAAGTCTGACGATGTTGAGGTTGCGTGAATCAGCAGAGGGTACTGGCAATGAGGAGCTCCACTCCTTTCTGCTGGTTAGTTATTAGATTTCTCATCTTTCCTTTGTATTTATTTTTTTTGTTATTCAGGAGTGCCCCTGCATCCCCAACCCACCAGGGACTTCTTTCTCCTCCATCCAGCGGGCTGCAGACCCCTGAATGTCTGAGCAGGGAAGGCTCTCCTATCCCCCACGACCACCATGAACAGCTGGCTAGCAAACTTGCATCTGTACCTGAGTATAGGTATTCTCAGAGCGCCCCAGGTGAGCGTGCATGCACGTGAGTTTAGAAGACACCGACTTCAAGAGCTTCATGTCTGCTGTCAAACAGGTGTAAACGTTTGGGTCTTTTTCTGCACAGGCTCTCCTGTTAGTGCTCAGCCGGTCATCATGGCTGCTCCCCCTCACCCAACAATTCTGCCCTCAGGCCCGGGGAAAGCCCTCGCTTTAGTTCCAGGTGGCGGTGGCCAAGTCCAGCCCATTCATGTGCTCCAAACCCCCCCTCAGTCCTCTGTCACCATGGTGCGGGTGGTTACCAGCGCCCCTCCAAATGGATACAGCGCCCCCACTGTCGGAGGAGTAGAGGGCAACAGTGATCTCAGAGGTATAGCCATGGGAACTTATTTTAGAACTGCTTTTTCAGTGTGATGCAATCCATTGTAACGTGATACGTAGATAAGTTTGTCTGCTTACCCACAGTTTGAATTGTTTGTAGCTGCATTTGCTGCAGTATTGTGAAGATTAATGAAAACTTCATCTCCCACATGTTGTTGTCCGGTGTGTGTTTTGCGTCGTGACATTTGTTTTTACTAGTCATGTCTGCTAGTCATGTTTTTATGTCCAATTTTATGGCATGAATCAGTAAGTTGAGGCAATATGGTATCTTGTTGAATGTAGTTTGAGTTATATTATGGGCTGTATGTACTCATGATTTAGGTTGTCGCTGCTTAAATAGCTCATGGATTCATTTCTGACACAAACCTAAATTATGAACATGCACAAAGATCTGAGTTAAGGCCATGGTGATGGACAGGTTTACTGCTCTCCCAGATGATAGACGGCTTTGTTTGCGGTGAGATCTAAGTCCATTTGATGTTTCACTGGTCATTATGTGATTATATACGAGCTACACTTTCAGGAGAGATTTATTTCTGTTGAAGTTCTTTTGGATAAATGATTGTATGACGAGCTGTAGTCAGAGGACAAAGCTGTGTATATATAATTCTAATTATATCTTTAAGAAATTGTGTTCACAGCTGATAAGATGTTTTGTCACTGCATCACTATGTGAGCTCATGCAGCACAATAAATAGCTAATCCAACCAGAGCTTCAGATTACTAATCCGTATCATTGAATTTTGGCAACGAGATCATGGATGTTTTTTTACGGTTCTACTCAGACGCCCAGCTGAACAGAGAGCGAGTGATCCAGACTGTGGACAGTGTGGTCCAGGGTGGGGAAGGGCGTAACCTGACGCCAGGTTTACATCAACTTCCTGTTCGCCCCGTCACCCAGAATGGCAAACACACCACTAGTGCTGTTGCCACAGCGACCAGCCTTGCTAATGCATCTGGTAAGTTTATTTTTTTCAGCAATAACTGCCGTGTACACTGACCTGACAGGATGAAGGAGATAATATTCAGCCCCATCTTTACAAACAAACGCAATCCAAGTGTACATTGTATGTAGCGTACAGCTTCACTGTTAGTGGTTCTTTTGATGTGTACAGTGCAACAGATGGTGTGAAAATTTGCACCATTATTTCCATTTGTAGCCCTCTGACTCTCAAGCTGTTTCAGGGCATTTTTTTTCTGCTCTTGTGACATTTTTCCTCACTGTGGGCTGATTTACTGTGTATAAAGTCCTGCACCTCTGTGGAAATGGCTCAAAACTCAAACATGTCCTCTGTGCAGTATGATATAGTTATAATGGCAAAAAGAGAAAAAGAAATGATTTTTAAAAATTATTAATCATCCAAAAATGTAAAAAAAAAAATAAATAAATGCCTGTAATCATTATGTACAGCATATTTAGAAGTTCCCATGTGTGTTGTCAGTACTTTAGGAATAAAAATGTTAACTCCAGATGCTTTAGATATTTCACTACTTCTGTTCTTAGTTTGTTTACATCCTTGTCTGTTATCTGTTCTGTGCATGCACAGCCTGCACTTCAGCCAAAAAGTCCCTGAAGTTTTGTCACGTGACTGTTGGTCACAGATGAGTCACAAATAGCTTCAGATTTTGCGTTGAGGGTCATAGAATTTTTTGCTTTTTGCAGAATCTTTTTAGAGCAAAAGGTTTGTTTTTGAAACTTTTTGTTATTTTTCTATATGGAATAACAGAGACGTTTTAAACCTGCCCTCCCACTCGCTCATCTGTCTAAAGAACTGGTTCTTAGAGATTATAATCCAGTCCTTGATGCTAATTTCTAATTTTCTCCGTGTTTCCCTGCCAGGCCTGAGTAGTCCTCTCCAGATCTTGGCTGCCCAGGCCTCCAGCTCCCCTCCAGTGCTGGTGAGCAGACAGCCCAGTGCAGAAACTTTAGCTGGACAAGCAGGTGAGCCCCAGGCCAAGCGGCCAAAGATGGAGGACGAGGGCGGGACGGAATCTGCTCAGCATCAAGTCGCACCTGCCCAGCAGCCGGTCATTGTTGCCATGACGTCACAAACCCACGACCCTAGGCAGTAAAACCCAGGGCCTCTTACCAGGTACCCAACGGACAGCCTCTTTCTATCATCCCCTTAATGTTTCGCCTTTTATACTCATTTGATATGACTGTAGCCAACATGGCCAAAAAGTGTGCAGGCAGTCTCTCAGAAGGGAATTAAATCATCAGGAACATACATTTTGGTCAAAAGTAGATGAAAACTTTCTGAATTTAAAAGGCAAGTAAATCTCGAGGAGTTTTTCGGCTGGAGTGTCTTTATTGTAATCCACCATTCACTGACAACACAGGAAAGTAAGGACATTAAGCTTATTAAAACCGTTTCTGCACTACTTTTACTATGTGAATGTTGGATGATATCTCAGATACAACCTTTCCTCTCTTTACCTTACTCTCAGGCCAAAGAACTCACCTCTCCTGCACTTCTGATTAGAGTCACTGCCTGATTTCAAACCAGGGAACGTGTGTGGAGAGATTTGAAAAGCTTACATTCACAGAAGAAGCTGTGATAATTATGTTGTGCAGTGTCACACACTCGTGGACAGAAAGGTAGAGAAGACCTAGCTGCATAAACCCTGACCAGGTAGATGAGGACCTGGGAGACTGTTAAGAATATGATTGTACTCTTCATGAAGCTATCTTTGGAGAATAAAGTGAGACAGAAGAAATCAAACAGGTTGTCTCAGAAAAAGAAAGGACTGATGTTTAATATTAAGGCCAAGACCAGAATGTGAGACGTCTCTTCTTCTTGCCTTCTCTGTAATTACGAAAAGAAAAGGCTTCTGAAGAGCAGATGCAAGGAAATCCAGGAATGGCAAACCTGCAGTTTTTTTTTTTTTTTTTGCTTCACTTCAGCTCTGTTTGGTTTATCAGTGTGAAGCTCCTCATATTCAGGACGATCTGGGCGATCGGACAGCAGAGTTGGGGCAGAGAAGCGCAACAAAAAAAGAGGCAACTATTTGGAGTTGATTGAAGTGGAGCTAACCTAATGTAGACAAACTGATTGTTGTTTTAATTTTTGTTCTTGTTTCAGTAGTGGTAAAAGGAGAAATGGAACAGCCTGTGCGTACAGTTTTGTTTGTCTTAGCACAGAAAAGCATTATTGTAATAATCCTTAAAGCCTTAAATATTTCTACATGTTTTTTTTTTTGTTTTTGTCATTTTATTTTAACCTTTAGACAGCTTTACCATTTTAGATTAACATAGCGCTTTAACAGTACACAATCGGCAACACTACAATGGTGACAGTTATGTTGCATCAGTAGACTTGTATCAGTTTTATCAGGGGAAGGGCGGGACCAACACATGACCATACGATTTCATCTGCTCTCATCGTTTTCTTTCATTCTGTAAGGTACTTTTCACATCCTCCCTATTCTTAGCTCAGCACTCTTTTGCTTTTCACGTTTCCCCCCCCCCCAATATGCATTTACCATTTTTCCCCACCCCCCTTTTTTCTCCCAGTCTACCTCTCCCCCTCTCTCCGTCTTTGCAGTCTCCACAGAGGCATCAAGCTGTTGGCAATTCCTGTCACAGACTCTGCCTTAATTAGATATTCTTTAGCACTTTCTCCCCCGCTCGATTCTCTCACTCTGCCTTTAGCTTTTCTGAATGTCCTCACACAGGCCTCGTTTTTTTTAGCTGGCAATCGGGCACAAGATTTTCAGTGATTGTTGTTGCACATTATTAGAAAAAAAGAAAAAACAAAAGAAAGAAAAGAAACAAAAAAGATGCGTAATGATTGTATGCTGCTCTATCTGCTAAATGACAAAGCTATTTAGAAGGTATTTTTTCTTATTTTGGAATAAAAGAAAAAATATTTTGCTATATGTAAAAACAGCTGTCATCAATACGTAAACATTCTGGAAATAGAGAAGTATATGTATTTTTAAATGTTCCTGTTTTTGTGATTTGTTAAAATGTGTAGCACAAATTAAAATTCCTCATTGACTTAAATATCTCTTGGTCTTCTCTCGTGGTAAAAGGAGTCAGCCGTGTTGGGTAAGATTCCAGCCTCAGCGATCACTGTTACATGTTGTGAAAGTCTAATTAGAAAAATACAAGTATCCAACAATCTTTATTCTTAAGTTCCATCATTCTTCATCAACAGTATAAATAATGACCAGAGAAGAATAGACATGCATGAGATCATACAAATGTTGAAATGCACAAACAGAATCAGAAGTCGAGAGTCAAACAAAGTTGATCTTTTTTTTTTTTTTCCTTTTTACCATTTTGTGAATAAAGAAACATAGCCGGGAAATGCCAACAAGTGTCAAGTGCTAAAAGAATTAGTCACTTAATCAATTCAATTACAGTCATCTCAAGTAAAATTGGCAAATATTTGCTGGTTCCAGCTTCACTGATCGAAAAATGTGTTCTTTTTATCATCTTAAATGTAATGTCTTTGGGAAACTGTGTGGACATCTTTCTCAACGAATGCGTGATTGATTGGAACTGGTAGATTAATCAACAATGACAGTGTTTACTGACTGTTAAAGAAGCGACCTGTTAAGCCTGAACCTCTTTCACAGGGTCGGTGTGTAGCTGTGTAGATATTTGGTTTTAATTGCACAGGTTTTTGGAGCTCGGTGTCTATTTCAGCACCTGGAGGTGAATGTCATTTTGTTATTTTGTGCTCAGAGCATTGAAAATTTAAGTAAAAACATCACCAGTCTACTTTCCTCTGGAAACAAATGTCACGTCACAATGAAAACAGTGAGGTCTATGTTGTATTCAGAGCAACTGGGATGCTGCGTCTGACTGCTGTGGCAGTTTTTTAAATTCTTTTTTTCAATACTGTGAACACAAAAAAACAGTATTTGGTTGGAGGCAGAAATCTCGTACTAATATCTGAAAATGTGCATGACTAGAAAACTTTTTACATTTTTTTTTTTAAAATTTGGGTGAACCAACCGTTTATGCAACCTTTCGCATAAAAGCAAATAGTTCCTTCCTGCACAAACCGTATGCTCCCGCTCATAGAACTTGAAATAAATACATAATTTATGGAGAAAAAAAGTACACAACCCATAACTACATTTCTCTCCCTCCAGAAAACAGTTTCTTTTGTACCATCAGTATGTTTTAACGTTCACTGTCTGAATATAGTTCAGAAAAAACACAACGGAGTAGTTCCCAAATCAGTTTCTCTTTTGACTGTCCAAACAATGTGTGACAGAGTGGTAAATATTTACAAACAACTATTTACACTGCCGTTTAGACACAACGGGACTGTGCATCTGAAGCTCTGGAGTGATGCGTGTTGTCTTGATGATGTGGTAATTATTAAAAGATGAGCCGCAGCAGCTACACATCCCCTTATGATGCATCAACAGTTCTTTTTTCTTTTTCCAGCGGAGGTAAAATCCAGTGATGAGGTTAAATGTGATGTAGGAGAGCTGGGCTGTTTGTCTTCAGATTCTTGCTTCCTCTTGTCTTTTTTTTCATCCACTCTCCAGTACAAAAGTCAACATTCATTCAGAAAAGACGGTCGTAGTGCTTTAGGAGTCGCTATAACAAACGGCTTTATAAAACGGTCCGCTCCAGCGTTCACCGAGGCTGCGCTCGGGTGTTTCTGTCTGTAAATGCTTTTGAACTTGTGAAGTGCGTCAGTTTCAGTCCAACTGTTTCTGAGTCCCTTTGTCTGAGAGCTGTGTAGCTATTTCACCATGCTATTTACATCTGGAATTACTAACAAACGATTCTAAAATGTAGATGGGAAAAAAAGTCACACATGCTCCAAGGGTTGACTGATGAGAATCTACTGTGCTTTAAACCACATCACACTGCGTACAGGCTGGTGAGACCTTGAACAACGCAGGCGCTGATTAATTAGGCAACTTTCCGTGCTGTGGATTCCTTTGATGTCGCAGTGGGTTTCGGATTCTGTCTGTTACACAAACCCAGTAGGAGCCAGCATGAGGGAAGCAGGTCTGGCAGCTGTGGAGTGGAGTCATGGAGTGTCATCTCCAGTTTGATTGCTTGGCTTTGTGCTGTGCTGACGTTAGGTTTCACATTCATATTTCATGTGGTGTAGGTACGTATGGGTGTGTGTACCCTGTTTATCAATGCACACGTCTGTGTCCCTCGCCGTTCCCTCTCCAGTCCTGTGTTGTGTTCTTGTGTCGGGCCTGTCTCTGCTGGGCAGTGGAGGTGGTCAGCAGGACGAGGCGCTGATCTTCTCTGAGACTTCGGGGTCTGACTTGGCGACCAGGAAACGCAGGCGACCTCCTCCCAGACGAATCAGATCCACCGCGCTGCGTGGAGAGGAAGTGGAGGGAGAAACACAGAGTCCAGTTACATGAAGCTCAGCAGAGACAGAGTGAGGATAACGGGGCATCACTGTCTAGGCTTGAACCGATCAATCAAAGTAATCAATTGGCTTAAGAGCCTGACAGCAGTGGGTATGGTTAACATTGTGGGAAGACTGCTCACTATGTCATCAATGTCAATATCGCTCAGTAGTGTCATTCATCTCCAGCAGCCCATTGTGACGGACAAACACGGCACAGCTCCGTACCTCTGGTAGTCTGCTCCGATCAGACTGGTCCCGTTCACGGCCAGGATGCGGTCTCCGATCCTCAGTCTGCCGTCGGACGCAGCCGGCCCGTCTGGGATCAGGGTGCGGATGTAAATGCCTGGAGCGTTGAGAGGAGTGTGCTGCAGGAGGGAGAAGGTCAATCAATTTATACCGCAGCAATGGCAAACACTTGGCCAGTGGCAGGCATCTATTATACATCTCCCAGTTTAAAACCAAAGTGTCATGAACTGCAGGTAAACACAGCATCAGTCATTTTGCTTAAAGTCATGTTCCCAGTTTGCCAATAAAAGACAACCTAAAGGTTACAGTAACTCAGGCACCTACTTCCATTAATAAATGTTCATACATCAGCCACTCTTAACGTGAGTCCAGCACCTTTTGAAACATCTTTCTTTGTGAGTCCTGCAAACACTGCATTTTGCTGTTGTTTCTTTGACTTTTACGTGGATCCATCGTATTTGTTCACAACTATTTGTTGAGTTGTCGCCCATTTGTCTGTCATCTCAGATTATTTTTTACTTCCTATGCCATTGCCTGTGGTGTTAGATGGACATAAGAGACTAAACTAAATGAAAGGTTCAGTGAGGGTAAGTAACTGACTGAGAAAACTTGGAAATGGATCCAAAACAGAGCTGGCTATAATGTCTAATGGTAACACTTGACTTGAGTTTTAAATCTATAAAGGTTAGTTGTACTCATTGAAAACAGTGTACATTAATATGCGTTTAAAAATAGTCAGGTTTAAATTATACAATACAGGACTGAAAATGAATTGCACGTGTAGGCATGCCTACTCTTCACACACATTAAATGAATAACAAATATTTTCATATTTTGAATTGCAATACAATGCAGTAAAACAACAAAAAAAGTATAGACATGTAGCAGTAAATGAAAAAATAAAGTAAATAAAATTAACTTCTGTTTCCATTTATACTGGAAGACAGTCTCAGTGTGCATGTACACTGATCCAGTGTGACGACGTGTTAGTTATTACTGTTAATATGATTATATGAACATGCAGCTCTAGAAATGGTCACTGTAGCTTAATCATATTTTGTTTTTTTAAACACTCATTTTTACCAACAATAGTTCAAGACCAACTGTTTAAAACACATCTAAAACATGGCTCAACAAGTCAGGTAGGATGTAAACTCTGGGTTTGACTGAGCGTCTACTTACCAGGCCGTCTATGAGTCCCATTCCCAGTCCGTAGGGTCCCTTGTCCAGTTCCACTACAAACACCACACATAAGTCATCAGGAAGGGAAGGGGCGCCAGGGGAGGATACAGGGAAAGGAAACTCACACCCACTAATACACCCTGCAGAGGACACAGACATTCAAAAGCACAAAACACACACACACACACACACACAAACACACACAGGGTCTCGCTATGGGGTCGGACAAACAAAAGTGTTGCTGTGCAGAAGACGTACAGAAACAGATACAGAGACACATGGAGAGGCGCAGCTGCACAAGTAATGTAACACACATGTGCTTCTGACAAGAGCCTGCAGAGGTCAGACTCGCTACACCGTAAAGAGTGCAAAGGAGAGATACTGCTGCCATTTCAGCAAGCTCAAGCATTTACACTTCAGAAGTGCACAAGAAGACGGACACATTTAAAGCTGCATTAATTGATTTTTGGCCACTAGGGGGCAGAGGAATTCCTAAAAATGAAAGGTGGGAAAAACTTTGAAATCGTGTGATAACCTCAAAATCAGAAAATTCCAGGTCTTTAGCTAATTAGTTCAATTAATTTTGCTGCCAATTGGTGTTGAGCAGTTAGTGTACAGTAGGTTACAGGAGTTGCATAAAATAACAGAAACAAAACTGATGAGTGTACAGAGACGAAATCAAACAGAAAATATGTTCTTAAATGAAATGCTCGGGCCAAAACAGGGCTTATTGCTATTAGTGACCTCTTTTATAACACTTGTGGTTATTTATTCAATAATATAAATTTACATTTAAATAGATATCAATCAATACAAACTTGAAGTTTCACTGACCAAAATAAATAATGTTGATTAATCAAGTTTATTGTCATTTTGCTGTACATGCACAGTCGTACAGGCAAGATGAAAGAGCGCTTCTTCAGGATCTAATAACTTAAAGCAATTTAAATAAATATGTAATAAAGAATAATGCAGCTTTAAATACATTTATAACATAATTCATTTTGTGCATCTGTTGTTAACCTTAAAGTGAAGTGAAGATGTACCAGAGAGACACAGAGCAGCTGATGTCGTGGTGTCTACTAGGAAAGTGCAAATTTTATTGTAACACCACCAACTTTATCTAATAGACAGCGCGTGTTGTTAAATGTGCAGCATTGAAATTTATGCACTCTGTACATTATGTACTGATGATATATTGGGTTATATTATAGGGATGCACTGATCCAAAAGAGACTGTAGCAAAATTAATTTTTAAATGGATCGAGGATTGGCTGCAACGTGCCTGATCAATGTCAATTCCAGTTTCTTTATTAATGCCGTTATGCAGCAGGCTCAGTTTTAAGAGCCACAGCAAACCCTGGCCTCATGTTACCTTCCATAAAATGATCGCAATGGGTTTGCCACAGTGAGATATACGGATTCTACATTTGGGAAAAAGAGAGCAATGGCGCCGAGTATTGACTGATACCCTGAGCTGAGGTATCCTAACTGGTACCAGGAGAAAAAGAATGGATAAAAGTGAATCAGTGCATCCCCAGTATGTAAAATGACCTTCAACATTGAAACTTTAAACTGCACATTTGGGGTGGACAAAATAAGAAAAACACTATAAAATCATGTGATTAGAGCAAAAAAATGGTGCTTCTATAAAACTTATGCTATATTATTATTATTATTATTTTTCTACACTGCTGTGTTTTCTTATTTTAAAGGCTATTGATTGTAGTTTTCATGTACCTGATTATATTATATTGCTCCTGTGGGTTTGTTATTTTGTCCACCTTGTGAAAATGTTTCAACCTACCCTCCAGTCCATTGGTGATGAGTCCGTTGGCCTTTTTACATTCTGCCACAGTTCTGCTGGTGCAGCCGTTAGTCTGAATGTTGGTGCCGATGATGGGCCCGGGCACCCCACCTCCTTCCGGGTACAGGGGGGTGTTGGGAGGGGTGAGAAGGCAGGACGGGTCCGGATTCGCTGTCCGAGGGTGGTGAACAGTGCCGTTCCTTCTGAGGCTGTGAGTGTGTGATTGGCTTGAGGGTCTGTCCCGTCCTCTCTCCTCTCCCGTCTCTGTTGTCACTTCGTCTCCAGGACCCCCAGAGCGGGGACTGCTGTGGGCCGGAGGTAACAGCTCCCTCTGTGTTGTCAAGATAAAGACAGACTTTAGAAGACAATCTGAGCTCTGAAGTGAGGATGCAATGGGGAGCAAATGAAAGGAAAATAAATCGTTCTTTTATCGAGACACAAAGTAGACCAATAGAGACAAAGCTTTGTTCCTAGACACAATACGGCAATTAGAGATAATTCAAATTCAAATGCTACTTCTTGTCATAGACACGATTTCCATTCAGCATATTTGTGAATGTATATGTGTTTGTGTGCATATAGGGGTGCGGTAACACTAGGGATTATGGTCTAGTCAGCCGTTCCCACTAATTAGACGGCCTAAAGACTAATCAGATTAACCGTGATTTAACCATGTCTAGGTTTCTGTGAGTGTGTATGTGTATGTGTGCGGGTTGGCTGGAGTAGAGGGTTTTGTCTTTCATTTATGGGATTATGAGGAACTCCTCAACAACCACAGCTGCTGAGGCACATGGCCTGGATTACTGCTAGGTGTGTGTGTGTATGTATGTGTGTGTGTGTGTGTGAGTCTTTCTGACCTGAACATCGGGCCAGTCGGCTGTGTTGGTTCCATTGGAGTGTGTGTGCACGCTGGGAGTGTTGGTGTGCGTTTGCGTCTTGGTGCGTAGCCCCCACAGGTAGTGGCGGATGTAGAGCAGCTGTCTGTAGATGCTGTCCTCTACACACTCGCTGTCCAGGTCCACTCTGAAGCCGGCGCTGGGCAGCACAATGGGAGGGTGGTTCTCAAAGCTCTCCAGGAGGTCGACTAAACACACACAAGAGGTGACGTTAACACACACATACGCACACACACGTATACACATATACATGCTGCTGTACAGCTCCTCTGTCAGCTGTGAGATGTTTCAAGGAAACACAAACATTCCCAACATGATAAACATTTAAAACCAACTAGGAGAAATTGCAGCAGGATTGCTGCTGCCGCCGTCGTTTGTTTGCTACTTGCTGCTGTAAAGTTAAAGCTTAACTTTGTACAGAGGAGCTGCTGAATGAGTTGGAATAGTTGAAAAACTCTCTGTTAAGCCCTTATGTTTTTTGAGGTTTGACTTGCATCTGGGCACAAAGATGTCTGTTATGTTGTCTGTCTGTCTCTATATATAGTTTAGGTTATGGTTATGATTGTGATTATGGTTGGGCAGGTAGTAGTTATGGTTTGGTTTTAGTTAAGATTCCTGCAAATGATGGAAAGTCAATATAATGTCCTCTGAAGTGATATTAACATGATTGTATCTGTGCGTCTGGTTGTGTGTGTGGAACCCACCAACTGAAATGAACTGCTGAATGACTCCAGAGAAAAACTGGACTAAAACAGTGTTTCAAGAAAAAAACGTTTACAGTGTGTGTCAACCAATGTGTGCTGTATGTAATGTGTAAACAGCTTTCAGCAGCAGTATAAAAGAAATGCCCTTCCAGTGTGTGTGTAAACAGAGAGAAGCTGTTAATTACTAAACGTCCATCAGCTTTGTGTAGCCACAGAGTTAAGGTTGCCACAGTTACGACATTTGCAAAATTTCCTCCAAGTCAGTCTGAGAATTCACTAAGATTTGGCTCGGTGCGCCTCTTAAACTCCGGCAATTCAGACAAAAGCCATAACTCCTATCACCAAGGTTAGGTGAAGTAACAAGACTTTACTGCAGCCATCTGTGTTTCATTTGTGTCCCTGATGTCAAAAATATGGAAAATGGCCTAAGTCAAGATGGGTCGTTTCTGTTTTTGCCTAGAAAATCTGGGTCACAGTTTGTATTGCAGTCTGTGGGGCAGATATTTTGCTGGCTTAGACAGTTACGCTGTGAGTAGTCTCGCTTAGCAAGCCCGTTCTGTAGAACATAATGGTCTGGCTGCACATCACTATCATTCAGCAATGGGAAGAACACTCTGACTTGTTTGTAGTTCTTGACACCAGTCACATTCACATTGGGCAGAGCTAAGCAAAGCATGCAACTTTGGCAGATGGAATTATTTTTGGTGGAACATTTGCACTTAGGGAGATGATCACGGTCATTAAAGTGGATAATTTACTAAAAAAATAATATAAAATCTGGCAGGGCTGCCTTACTGCATGTTTCAAAGCAAAACTTGACATTTTCAGTGTAGTAGGTTACTGCCCAGAGGTTGTTGTTGTTGTTGGTTCCCTGTAATGAAGTGAATTTTGAAAACAGTAACACGCAGATAGCAAAAGGACAGGAAAACACCTTTTGACATGAGCAGGCTTATACCCGGAGTCTACATCCGATGAGTCCGACTGCACTGTGAAAGAGAGGGCAGATTTTCCTATGTTTTGCCGTAAAAATAATATATATGGAGAGTAAAAATTGTGGGAGTGGTTTCAGGTTGAAGAGAACTTTTTCTGAATTAATTTTTCAGCTGCTTCCAATCTGTCAGGGATGAGCTGCACTATATCTTTGAATATTCTGCCCACTTGACTGGGTACTTTTTTGTGATAAATCATTGATTTTTTCAGAAAAGTTAAAACAAATGTTTGAGAAAAGTCATAGAAGTTGTCAGGCAAACGACGAGGCCATTTTGATAATTAGGTGCTGCTTCTATATCAAATGGTGCAGGGACTGGATACACACAGAAGAATATGGAAGATTAAAACATTTGTGTGCACAATAACTGACGAGGGTGCAGCTAGTTGCAATTAACTGTAGTTACTGTATTCAAGTAAATTTTGAAAATATAATTTTAGATGCCACACAAATTTCTGCTTTGGCATGCACACTTGCATCTGTTATGGATTTAAGAGGAATCTCTCTTAAGATAAGCGCTTATCCTGGTTTCAAGTAAGGCAAGGCAAGGCAGGTTTATCTGAATAGCACAGTTCGTACCCGAGGTAAATCAAAATGCTTCACACAAAACTATAAGAAGACAGATAAAGTCAATCCACAAAACATAAACACAATCATTAATTAATTACATTAAAAGCAAAGAGGCAGATAAAATCAATCTATAAAAACATAAATACAATCATTAATTAGAAGAGTACAGATAAAATACTTTCAGCTATCATATGCACAACTAAATAGAACTGCTTTCAGCCTGGATTTGAACATTGTCAGAGTTGAGGTCTGTCTCACATCTTCTGAAATCCAGTTCCAGATTTTAGCTGCATAAAACCAGAATGCAGCCTCACTGCATTTGGTTCTGACTCTGGGCACCAGCAGGAGACCACTCCCTGAGGTTCTCAGTGCCCAAGATGGTTCATATGGCAATAACATGTCAGAGATGTGCTTTAGTGCTGGACCATGAAGAGACTTGTACACAAACAAAGCTGTTTTAAAGTCAGTTCTCTTAGCGAGAAAATTCTCTGACAGTAACCTGAAAATGCTCTCTGGAGCAGTGCACCCTCAGCTCATGTTACATAAACCATCATTAAAAAAATACAGTCATGATGGCCTAATGTTTAAGCTGTACATCAGACACAGTTAACGTGGAGGATCGATTTGATTTGTTGTTCATGCACTGATGGTCAGACACCAACAGAGCGGTAACAACAGCAAAGATACCAAAAGTAGCTCAGGTGATAATGAGGCGAGAGAAGACAGACAGTCAGAAACTGGATAAGATCAATCATGTATACAATGACATGAACAATCAGGTTCCTCTGTGTCCTGTAAATATATCCCGAGTAATGAAAAGCAGGGCGTGAACCCAAACCATGACACTGTGCATGTAAGCTGATGCAGACTGAAACTGGCTGCAGCGAAAGTCCATGAGCTCATTCATTTGTAATTTTGTTCAAGCTGCACCTTCATGCTCCTGTGCTGCCCCTGTAAACCATCACGTTGATGACTGTTTGGTCCAACAAAGATCTTAGGAGATTCAGGCCATATTCAGAACATGAATTTTGTCAATGCTTCTGACAACAACAATACATTCACACAACCTCCCTGACAGAGTCACACATGTACCTGTCCTGTATATGTACGCCTCGTCCTCGCTGCTGGGCTGCCATGCTGGGACCGAGCCTATCTCTGCTGTGATCTGGTACTGAGTCAGGATCCTGTGGAGCTGCACTGGTTTCAGAGTTGGGTGTTCACTAGACAATGCTCGCCAACCCACCTGCAGACAGAAAGGGCGAAATTAATCACAACTCCTGGGAGGTCCTTTTAAATACAGCTAACCAACCAAGGGAGGTCAGACGATTTGAGGGCAATCACAAGTTGTTATTGGCAGCCTGTGTAGGACATTATCCATCGATAGCTGATCAAAGTCACTTTGCTTCATGAACAATGTTCCCTTTGATGTGTGGAAACCAGTTGAGAAAATTGATTTCAACCAATCAAGGCTTTCCTGTGTCTCAATAAGGGTGTCAATAACAATACTGTTGGCTTCTACTGTTTAGGCTGAAGTTAAACTTGCAATCTATTATGCTAAGCTTTCGGTTTATTTGAATGATTTCCCACCTAATTAGTGCTAGCAAGCAAAGTGTAATTCATGAAATAAAAACAAAGAAGGACAAATCCTGACTGAAACTGTAGATACGAGTGTTACCTGTGTGAGCTGTTGTGGGGCGGTGGCCAATATGGACACAGTGCTGTTGAGTTTGGTGAAGAATTTGTCAGCCAGATGTCCCAGACCAGACCTGCTCGCCCACTCCATGACCATCCGCAGACACGCCTGAATCTGCAGCACCTTGGAACGCTGGAACCAACCCCGAGATGGACCTGCACACAGGCACACAGGAGGGAAGGGAGTGTTTTTGGTATTTCATCAGAAACACTGCAGCAGATTTTTATTTGAGGGTGTGTGCATGTCTAAAGGAACGGCAGACTAAAGTACAGACCGTGTGCTTCTGTGAATATGTCTGCGTGTGTGTGTGTGTGTGTGTGTTGCACGGCAATACAGACATTAATTTTTAATTAAGTTGTGATTGAAGTCAGTGAAACAATAGCAACAGCCACCAGCCGCCTGCTCCTCGCAGAATACAAATGCACTGCTGCAGAAGGGCTTAGCCGACTGTGTTTGTGTTTCACTTGCCAACAAACCAGCACACAGCTTGTGTTCCTGCTTGTGTAATCCTTTCTTTCTCTTCAACACATCAAAGAACTAAAAGGAACTTTTGTGGCAAGTTAAGCAAGCGATAACTCTAAATCTAGCATTTGTCAAGCTGGCATCCTTTAGTTTGTCAGCCTGTCGTTCCATTACCTCACTGCAGCCATAATGCTTTAATGCTTTCTGAAATACCCCCCAAAGTGAGCTCAGGCCTCAGCTGGGCTTTGGTACAAACAATGACTAACAACTGGACTCCAGCTGGGTGTCATTTAAGATTTTTTACTGCTTACAAATACTTATTTTTATATAATCAGGGACAATATACAAAACGCGTTTCTCTCATACGAAGAGAGGACATGTAGCTGCAAAATGTTTCCATCTGCACTCAACAAGTTCCAACAATAGTAAATTCAAACAGCTGTGAATATTGCAATGACGTGATTAAAAACTATATTCTGCTTTTCTTACTCAAACTCCCGTCTGATGTAATGTCATGTTACATGTGCTTCATGTAGGTTTGCAGCTGTTTTTGTTATTGATTAATCTGCATGTTATTTTCCTAAATGAATGAACATTAATTCGTTCTACAAAATGATTAGTGTCTAAACTTCCAAGTAATCGCATATCAGTTAAGCCAAAGAAAAACTGGACATCCTCATACTTTAGGGAAACAATGGAAGTATTTAGCAGTTTACTCAAAAATGCCTTAAATGATGAACTGATTAACCGTCTGATCGTTGCACCTGAAGAATAGAATGAGAATACAATAGAATGTTATATCATGCAGATGCAAACACATGTCAATATAGACACCTCTGAGTGTCAAAATTAATCCTTACAATTTAAAAAAAAAAAACATTATTGGTTTAATAAAATGAAAACATGAGCGAGGTTTTCTAAAATTAAAATCTCACAAAATGCAAGGACCAATAAAATAAACAAGCAAAAGAGTTTAAAACTGGCTAGATTTTTATTATTATTATTTTATTGGAAGAGTTTGCCGTTTAAATTCAGGGTTTTCAAAAATCGACGTCAAGTCCATGAAGCCAAACTCAACAGATGCTCCTTTGGATGCAAAAAGAATCTATTTCTTTATGTGACACACAAAATGTGACATTCGTGAGCACTGCAAAAGATTATTTTGTTTTGAAGGAAATAAATTATAATTCTGATCAAACAATGAACAGTAGCTTTAGGTACAGTTTAAAATACTTAGTGCCACTGACACGTTTCGCACAATACCAGAGAAAAGGGGGCTTTACTTCCAGCCTTAAGCTGAACATGTTTCAGCAGAATGTCTCTCTCTGCAAGTTAGACGTGACGGGAAGCTTCAGGCAGACAATGAACTGGCAGCATTATCTGCAGAGTGCACACACACATAACCCTTCAAATATTCTGCCATATGTTTTGGATGCAAGCAGCCACCCTCCCCTCTGTAATAGGCTTATGTCTAGGCATACAGTAATCTATGTGTGAGGCATCGCAAACAGACGAGACATCACTTAACCTCCTGGCAAAGGTGTCATGATGCTTCATAGCAGCTGTTTACAAACACATCTTTAAACAGAGAAAAGCCATCGTACTCCCTCGATCAAACAGTCCAAACAACTAAGAGCTATCCATTATAATCTGTTTGCAAGGTGCGTGAAGTGCACAGCGTACAAACACACAAACAAGGAGCGTCTCCACCGTATTACATCTCTTAATCTTGATTTTCTTTCCTCCCTGAGCTGTATTATGAGCCTAACGGTGTTTTTGAATGTGAGTGTGTGAGTCGCGGAGCGCCCCGATGCAAACGTCAGCGTTACCTGCTACAAACTCACTTTGCTGTTACCATGGACACCATCAGCGGAGAAATATCAATGAGCGACGAAAAGGGGGAGAGAGGGAGAGAGAGAGACGGAGAGAGAAAGCCAGACAGAGAGTGGGAGAGGGGATAGAGGGAGGTGGAGATGAGATGGGGGACATGTAGTCCCTGCATGAATATAAAGGTATTTCTCCTTCTCCCATTGCCAGACATGTGATCTCTCCTGTCTCCAGCAGCTAATGAAGACATATGGCATGTTTGTGAGTGTGTCTGTGTGTGTGTGTGGCTCCAGACATGAAGGGAGGGAGTGGAGAGGTGGCTGGACCAACAGATATAGCTGCCGGCAAACGACTATTTTCTGTATTTAGACGAGGTAATAGACTATTAGCAAGGTCGTCGCAACTACTGCACGGCTTTGCAGCCCTTTACCCTTCACTCTGCCCCTTTTTCGCCCCTCCCCTCCTCTATCTCCCCTCTCTCGCCTTCGTCCAACCCCACCTCTACTCTTCTTTGTCTCACCCCCTGATGGCCAGATGGAAAGAAGGAAGGCAAGGAGAAGAAGAAGGAGGAGGGTGGGGGGGGAAACAGAATGCAGATAGGAGAAGGGCATTGAGGACAAATCTAGGTTAGTCACTGTCAAAATGCTGACAAGGACACGAGGACACACACACTCTCGCTCACTGTCTCTCTCTCCCTCACACACGCTAACAACTATACAACCCCCGAGGGAGGTCTAATGGAAGAAAGAGTGTGAGTGTGCATGATTTTTTTTTTTTTTGCCCTACCTTTGTCCATTAGCTGGTTAAACAGCGACACGTTGGAGAAGAAGAAGAGGTAGGCAAACATCTGAGCCTGGATCTCCGGGTGAACCTGGTAACCGTGCAAAAGCTCCTGAGCACTCTGAAGCACCTGCAGACGCACACACGCGCGCACATGTCGATGAGCACACAAACACCGTCGTAATGAAAGAAACATCGCTGTATCGATTGTTGCTTTTGTTTGTCATAAATTGACAAAAAGATGTATAATATCCTATATATGGTGTTACCAGCCTCTATTCCCTGAATCAATATAATGTTTACATGGTGTAAATCATATCAAATGCATTCAAACCTCTACGGCTGCATATCCAAAATTCTGTTGCTTTTTTTGCTATCTTTGAAAACTTTAAAACCCTTCACTGAACTTTCAAATAATGCTCTCTAGGCTGAAAAAGTCAATTGGGTTAAATGAGATTTTAAAAAATCTCGTTAATAACAACATTTTAGATCTGTTTCCATCACTTGGTTAGGTACAAATAAGTAATAAATATGTGGAAAAGACAGGTGGTTTACATTATTAACACAAAATTCTCAATATTCTGAAACATAGTGAACTTATAAAAGTTGAACTTTTAAAACATAAACCCAATGTTTTCATGTCCCTAATCCACACACAGCTAAAACATGACTTTTGTTTTTTCCACTGCTTATTTATTACCGCTTACATTTTTTTCATTTCATTAAAATCCTCTGCCACACGAATATATTTTTCCTTATTTGTGTTTCTTTTGGTATGTTTGAGCTTTGCTGTGCAGAACAACTTTTTCCATTCATTTGCTGAACGTGGAAAATTTCTCTGAGCTCATCTAAAATCTCTGCTCAGTCTCTTTCCGATCATTGATTAAACCTTGATAACTCATCTCTGTTACATATTTACAAGCTTTTTTTTTGGTGAAAATAATCCCTTCTTGCTTAAAAGTGGCGTAGATATAAGTTCATTGTTGCTGCCTATAGAATGTGCAGCTCTATAAAGTCCTCACCTCTCTCTCAACCCACCCCACACCACTCACTGCAGCTCTTCAAGCACGCCAAGGCAGAAAAGCTCAGCTATGGTGCTGACTGCTTGTTTCGCTCATGATATGTTTTTTAGCATGTGAAAAAAAATTTCTGGTTCTGGGTTTTTCAATGAGGGAAAACATGTGAATGATAGAATTTTGAACAAACTGAACCTTAAATTTAATATAGACAAGCAATATTAGACATTCATGCTTATTTAAATAAATGTTTTAGTCTTAATATCTGTCTGGTGAGAAATTTTTTGAACAGTGGTTTTAAAACAAGCTATTTAACAATTCTATGTGTGAAAACATTGCCAAAAACCTCAGTTATTCACAGTCCCTGACCCTTAATGACAATTTTTGAAAAATTCGACTTTCGTGATCCAGACAACCTGAACTGCTCAGTACAATGGAGCACTCCTACTTACCTGCAGCACCCTGCGTACAGGTTCAGGAAACCCGACACCTCCTTTCCAGCACGGCTCAGAGCTGTCGACTGGGAATGGATTACAGTCTAACAAACCTGGCAACACTACATAAAGAGCCTGGACACACACACACACACACATCAAAGACAAAGATGCATGATGATGAAGGTGATCTGAAATTACACAATAACTTCACGTACTCATATTCTCATTTAATCTAGTCATTCGCTGTGTGTATGTGCATGTGTGTGTCCGTTACAACTTAATCAGGCCTCCTGTGTGAACAACGGTCTGTTATTATTCATCCAGCTCGGTTTTTAAAAACAAGATTAAAATTGTCTCGCTCATTAAGGGGATGACACCGTTACCACGGTGACTGATTACCTTGGTGATATAGTAGACACATTGCTGGAAAGTGTACATGATCACTTCTTCCAAGATAGTCATAGCCTCCTCATTGGCTGATATGGTCGCCGATAGCAACGACTCCTTTGACCCTAGACGCAGATGACGGAGACATATTTAAAAGATATACAGTGAGAGGCAACACAAGGACTGTAGCTGTGTCAGTATCTCCTGCATGTCAGTGTGAGTAATGACTCTTCAGCAGAGTTGTTTCCACACTCATCACGCAGAGTTTGTGTGTGTGTGTGTGTGTGTGTGTGTGTGTGTGTGTGTGTGTGTGAGTGCGCGTGTGCGTGCACCTTGCAGCGTCTCTATGCTGTGTGTGTACGCTGGTGCTCTTTGCTGTATAAAGTAAAGGATCTCTATGGAGTTGGACATCCAGAAGAAGATAGTCTGCAGGTCTGGAACCAAGTCTGAGATGCTGAGCAGAGACAGGGAGGCTGGATCCTGACTGCATGGACACACACACACACAGAGTGGTGGGTTAAACTCAGGTAGGCTGACACACTAACACACTGACCACACCAACATACAGACTCAAACATGGCACATTAGCACACATGCTTTCTTTCTTTAGAACACAAGATGGAAAGTGATACTCACTGCTGAGCTTGCTTCTGAGCCAGCTCCTTTGTCTTCTCCTGAAAGGCGCACACACACACACAGCAATTAAGTGCTCATTAAACTTTTAGAATGTGCGTAGGAGAAGCACACTTCATGACGCTATTGCTAACCTGCAGAAAGAAATACCGCTATCATATTTACAAAACCTAGCAAGCTGACAGTGACGCATGTTGATAATTACCTCGTGCTCTACTGGCCTGACTATAAGATGACCCTTGTAACAAAACAACCTCACGGACCAACAGCAAGAGCTTGAATAAAGATATAGAAGAAGGAAGGGCAGAACATGTTCAGGGCTTCCTGCAGTGTTTTATTGCAGGAATTGGCCACCTCACCTGAAACAACTCCAAGTAGCATATATTCTATACACTTAAAATAAAACATAAACCTTCAGGACAAAGAGCAGCGACATCATTAAAATGCAATTTTTTAATGATCAATTTTAGTCCGTCATTAACTTACTAAATTGATCACACATTAAATACATCAGGAACTGGGATAATCGCACTTCTATCTGCATCATGATATGAACATGTGCAAAAAGCACATTGCAAGAACTGGGGTCAGATGCAATTAGTAAAAAAAACAAAAAAACTAATAATAATTTTTAACTGAAGCAGTAGGAGATTAAAAAGTTTAATTTCTTATATTTATTATGTCTAATTTGAAATGAATTCACATGTAATTTGTTTAATAAAAGCATGTTTGAAATAATTTATTTCATTTCTTTACTCGCTAGGCAGAAACTCTTTGATGCTTGGGTTAGTATTGGCCCGACTAAAGCTGAGTCCATCCATCAGTCGATTCAGTTCTTTGGTGAGTTCCAGAGTTTGATATACATCTACCAGTATTATCTGTTGCTGAATATCAAACTTCAGTACTTACGCAATTTGAACGAAAATGTGCAACATCAAATATTTAAAAGTGTATATAAAACTGGAAATGAATGTGATGCTTCTGGTTGTCATCTCTTGTGTATCCAAGTAACATCTTGTTTTTTTTATGGCTTATAACCCAAACATCACTGCCTCCTCTAGAATGTGAATAACTAGAAAGTCCCCTCATCTCTCTCCACATATGTAAATTGCCCATGGGTGATCAAAAGTTTGAATAAAACCATTTACGAAATGATTATTTCTCATATAAATCCTTTGCTATGGTGGCAGACAGACAGACAGACAGTTCATTGTACAGTGAGAACAAAATGTGAGCGTGAGGGTAAAGTAGTTCAAAACATGTGATATGCCTCTGTGTTTAACTATTCACCTGACCTGACACGGCTGATTGCTTTCTCTCCACATGAGGTCATCTTAAGCAGAGACCAACGTGCCACAGAGACACTAAGACACAGAGAGAAGATTATACAGGCTGACACTGACCCATGCGATGGTCTGGATTCGTCGGACGATCTTGAGCAGCAGTTTTCCAAAACTCCCGGGAGGGAAGGTTGAGGCAGAGTGTTGTATGCACATACACAGCAGGTAGGCAGGTGTCAGCTTATGGTCATCACCTGAGAAAAAGACACAGGTTTGAGTGATCTTTATAAAACACACTTTCCTATTTACCTCTAGCAGTGTACATCTAAGCCTGCAGCTCACAGTGTCTAAGAGGTCACAGGTTTCATCCAAACAACTTTCTAGCTGTGTGGTCTGTAGAATATCAAGAGGAACACGGATGCTGAATCAGCAATGAGCTGTTGTTCTTGATTTTTTTTAAGTGTCATGTTTATGATCGATACTTTAAAGGACGAGGGTAAAAAAATGATGACATGGAACTATTACTGGCAGGGACAAGACATAAACAAATGCCCTTTTCACCATTTTTCTCATCCCTCTTTTTTACAGCACTAAGTATTAGCTGCACTGTGTCCTGAGCTGAAACTGTTTTTTAAATAATAAAAAATAAGTTTCTATTCAGTTTTAATGTATTGAGGTGAGCACAGAATTTTCAGAGGCAAATAACAGCCAAATAGCGTTGGAAGTGAGTGTATTTGGGCAACAACTAAACGTTATTTTCATTGCTAATTCATTTGTTGATTATTTTCTAGAATAAGTGATTAGGTGTTTGGTCTACAAAATTTTACAAAAAAAATGTAAAATGTTGATGAGTTCATTGAAGCAAAGGATAATATCCCCAAATGTCCCTTTGTGTCCACAACCCAAATATATTCAGTTTACGGTTAAAGAGAATTTATTTTCCTGTAAAAGGAATACTCAATCCGATTGTCAAAATGCTTGCAAATTATTTTTATAGTTGATAAATGATCAACTAATTGTTGCAGCTCTGCATTTTTCCAATGTCAAAAAACTGTCAGTTGCAATCTCAGATAAAAACACTGCATCCAGCTGTCGACTTATATTCTTTATTCTATTGTTAATCAGTGCACAAACCTCCAGGTTCTATCAGAGACACAATCCTGTTCAACAGCTGGTCTTCATGAGCCTGGTCAAACTCCAGTTGTAGCCTCCTTTTTTGACCTCCTCCTCCTCCTCCTCTTCCTCCTCCTTCACCTCCTGACAGCGTTAGCGGCCCTCCTGATGTCGTCCCCACACTGCGCGGTTTCACCAGGTGCGGTTTGAAGCTGCGTCTGACCGCTGGAGCGCTCAGCACCTGTGCTGTTCTGTCCTTCAGCACCGAGCCACACATCTTACAAGTCTGAGCTCCACCTTCTCCTTCTTCCACCCCTGAGTCGTAAAGCTGTCCCAGCGTGCGAAGGCGTGCCAAGGTTTGCGCCGGCAGAGGCTTAGCACCTGTGGGGTCCTTGTACAGAAAGATGTAATGAGCTCCGAAGGAGAGGAGGTCACCGTGTCGCAGTGTGGTGGAGCGCTCGCAGCGGGAAAAGTTCACCAGAACTGTGGCGTTGAGCACAGGCTCCACGGCGACGCAGAATCGCTGACTCTCCGGCAGCTCCTCTCCCTTGTTGTTGTTGTTGGCGGCGTGGCGACGGGGTGCAGGGACACGACGCAGGCGGCAGTGGAGAGGCAGGATGTCAGGAGAAAAGAGGCAGATGTTGGGGCGAGCTGAGGGAGTCTCCTGACCGACTGTGTGCTGCTCTCTGTTCAGCAGGTAAACCAGGCAGTCCTGTAGCAAACACGACAATGAGTGTCACATCATCAGAGGAATCTAACGCAACAAGAGAACCTCCTCACTATCCTCACCTGCCGATTGAATCCCTGTAGCAGCAGGAGATGAGGGGACTGGTACAGAGAGTGCCTCACCCCTCCTCCCCCTTGACTCCCTTCCTCTTTCCTCCGGCCGCTGCAGGCTGCCTCACGTTCTCGACCCCTGAAAGGTCCTGGCAGCGTGGAGTAATAACGCTTGGGCTCCTCTCCCACTCCAAGCTGCAAGCACACCCACAGAAAAAAACACATGCATTAAGGATTTAGGGCACTTTGAAAACAGTTCGGTGAATACAAACAATCAATCATGGCAGCTTCAGCAGGAGGCCCCACCTGGTTGAGGCTGGTCTCACTGAGGCTGCGACTGAAGGATGAGTTGCTGGAACGGGGCAGGGTCAGCGTCCCCTTCGCCCTGTTCCTCTGGAGCTTACGAGCCTGGGCATTAATATCTACGAGGAGGCCGAGAGGAATAGCAAGCAAGAGAACAAGGAGGGAGAGAGAAGGGCAAGACAGGGGACAGGAGGAGAATAATAAAGAGGAGCAAAGTGAAAAGAAGTAGTAGAAGGAAATAAGACAGTGTGCTTAAACTTGGTCTGTGCATTGTCAACATGTATGTTTGACACATGAGTGAAGTCTGGTTGAAGCAACTTCTCAGGCTGCAGTGACACAAGTGCAACAGTCATGTGTGAGCTGAGTGGAAGCTAACAATTAAAACAAATCCAGGCTGGAGTGAATCAGTCACAGTCGGATGGAGTAAATGGGGCTGGATGGAGCAGCACATGTGGCTGACGACAGTGAACCGGATGGAAGGCGAACCGAGCAGCTCCTCATGACTGGAGTTTTGACGACTTTGAGGCCATGCGATGGCTCACACAGATTGACTCACACACTCCAAATCACTGGCAATGGGGGTGGCATTGGTGAAAACGCAGGTAGAGGTGGTCTTCATGGCAATGACTGACAGCCACCCTACCTGAGGCCAGTCCCCACCTTTAGAGCTGGACTGTACCACTCGACCGCACCGCAGGGGGGAGCTCCTGTGTTTGCCCAGCCCGGACCGACCCATTAGAGCCGCCAGGAATTGGGGGGTTTTAGGCCCTACAGCAGGGTGGGAGGGGTTAGGAGGAGGCTGAGAAAACAACCCCCTGCATCCAAAACACCAAGCACAGAATTGCCCCCAACCACACACCACGAGACATTCATGCACTGTGGGGCAGAAAAGGCCTGTGATCAGCAGTTAGTAAGGTGAGATACACAGTTAAAGGCGTGAGGTACAGGATTTTCTCCTCCAACATATCACTGTCAAATTAGCTACAGTTTTAGCTACAGTATGATCTGCTTTACGCTTTATTTTTGGATCACTTTAGCTGAAATCCAATCTGCTGGTGCAGTAGACTGTCATGTGAGCAAAACCAGCAGAAATTGGACCGTAGGATAATACATCACTGAAGGATGACATACACTTAATTTGGCTGTGATGTGTTCATGTGTTCAGTGAAAATCCTACAGTACCTTTAAAATGCGATCTCATTTTCAACAGTGTATGTGAGAATTCACACATGAGCATGCACGCTCACACCAGCACCAGGGGAGAAGTGAAAGACGGAGGCAAAGAGAAAGAGACTCCAGGGTGTGTGAGTTTTGTGAACACTATAACACAATAGAGAAAAGGTTAGTGTGAAAATGAAAACGTGTATTAATATGTATTAGTTGACACAGCAGTTTTATCACTGAAAGTATTCTTTGCTGCTGTTATAATTTCAGTTACATTTTGAGGCACTATGCACTAAGAGCTTCAAGTTGCAGCTTTGCAGCTGTGACTGAAATGTCTTAAAGAACAGCAAAGAATGCTTATAAAGGATAAGGCTGGTGGTGCTCTGTATTTTACTCAAAGTAAATAAATCCAAGAAAATACCAAAGCCAACAATGATGTGATTCCTCCAAACCAAATCCAAAGAGTGATATCGTATATTTCTGTGTACCGTGGAGCTTCATTTCAGTCCAGAAACAAAACAGAGAGACATCAGTGAGCCACAGTGTTTCACTGGTTAACACGTCATTAATACAAACACAGTTTATTTTGAGTCAATTCTACATCAGGCCAATCTGACAATCCAATATAATGAACAATCTTGACTTGGCATATGATTCCCTTTTCAGAATCGAACTGACTGTGTCGGTAATTAAATGAATATTAGCGCTGTTAAAACTTTCTTACTCAACATCCACTAACCAATAGCATGACTGGATGCATGTTAGAGGTGTAGGACAGCGTGGTGGAAGACTAATGGGAACCAGTAGGTGGTGAATTAACATCCTGAAAGAAGCGTAAAGTTGCAGATACAAATCACCACTTTCTGTCAGAACTTTAAGAATTAAATCAGAGCGATAACAGGATGCAAATAATTGGGCCTTTAGTCTTGAGTTGACGTGACAGGTTTTGTAACCAGGCAACCATATGCACAAATAATCATGTGATCGCGTGACGTCAACTAACTCTGTGCAGAGAAATGTGATTCAGATCGTGGATCATGATTCTGTCAGGATTTTTTGCCCAGATCGCCTACCTCCAATCCCACATTCACTGCCCTGCTGTATATGCTAACTTGCACACCAAATGTGTATTAATCCGCAGTTGAAAATAGTTCCAACAAATCCACAATTCACTACTGAGCTTCTTAAAAATTTTCAGTGGAAAAATGTGTGCAGAAAAGTGATTCAATATACCAGTTGTGTGCAGAAATACAACCACCCTAAAGGCATGTGGAACAATATTTGAAGAGTTAATTTGCAAAAACAGATAACTCCATCTTCACAAGCCTTCAGAAAATCCACTTTTCCATCGTCTACCTGAGAAAATATCAATCAAACTTAAGTTATCTCTATTTTTGTCATGTCATTTCTACTGAGTCAAATCCACTCAGCTTCAGTTTGACTGATATTATCTCAAGCAACAAACAAAGACGTTTTCTGAAAATCTACAAAAATGGAGTTATCTGTTTTTGCAACTTAATTCTTCATTTCTAATAATAAAACTTTATATTTGTGACACAGATCGAGTTGCCAAGTCGGAAAGTGTTGTAAAGGTTTTTCTTCAAATTTCGAGAAAAATTCAACCTAATTTCAAGGAGATTAATAAAAAAAACCTCCAAAAGTGGAAAACACTGGGATGATTGTATTTATGTTTATGTCTGGTAGTAGTCTCACTTTTCCAACCAGTTCTGTTGAATATATAATGGGCTGCATCTCAGTGTCATTCTGCACAGTCGTCGTGAGGCTAAGCAAAGGATGTGACTTCAGTGTTCCTAAATAGTGATGGGTGGCATCGGGTTTGTTGGGTTGACATATGCTGTGAATTGGCGCTCTATAAATAGAAGGGAATTGAATTGAACTGAATTGAATTTGAATTGAATTGTTGTGGTGGAACATTTGCACTCAGGGAGATGAGCACTGTCACTAAAATGGATAATCCATTGAAAAGCAACTAGCAGGGCTGCTGTACTGCACGATCACAAATCCTCTGCAAAATTTGAAATTTTCAAAGTGGTAGGTTGCTGCTTGGAGGTTGTTGTTGTTGCAACAGAAAGCGGGGACGAGCAGACAGCAGAAAGGGAGAACAAAGTTGGGAAAATGAGCAGCTAATGGCAGGCAATAGGACCAGTATCAACTGAGGAACAGCACAGCCTCCCGATCTCTCTGATCAGGTGTTCTGCCACTTTAGTGTTGTCAAAGCTTTGCTGAGTCACGTGCTTTCGGAAAAGTGTGATATGTCTGTTTATATTGCTTTTCGTCACTTTTTTTTTTTTGATCAGCACTAGAGCTACCAAACATGTCTTGGTTTTATTAAAAGAGAAAAACTACACATTTCTGCCAATTTTTTTGTCCTGTTTGACTTTACAACTGACCCTGAAAACCAAACTTCACAGTGGCATCCACCCACATCTTCTTCTTCACTCTGTAATTAATTGATCTAGCATGGATGCCAACTTTTACCTGAAATGCCCCCAAGAGAAAGAAAATCTCTAAAAGTCTTTTCATGCAGTCTGTTGCACCACCAACCTTATTCTTTATAGATTGTATGCACTCTACAGGCTAATATTGTCTTCTGTAGTGTGCGAAAATGATCCAACAACAGCAAAACAAAACAGCATAAGAGATTACTGACTGACTCTCTGGCTGCCACAGAAGTTGACATAGCAACCAGTAAACCCTGGCACACTTTATGAGAAATGTTGGTGTTGCTACAAAGTGCAACGTGCTAGGCTGAAAATATTTGCTCTGTCTCTCTGAAAGCAACACTTGCTGAGTGTGTATGAATTTCTTCAACGGGATGCACGAGGGAGAGAGAGTGAGCGCGTGTAAACTTTCCATCAATCAGTAAACCAATTACACATAAAGGTCACATCATGGCTCCTAAAGAGACACACACTCACACAGACTGAGCGGAGATCAGTGTTCATGTTGCTGCATTGCAGATGTAAAGTCACAACAGTTGTTTTCCTGAGTTTCCTGACTCTGTCTCCTCGGTAGAGTGACTCTCTGAGGCTGGGAGCAGAGTCATGCAGGTACTTTAGTGGGAAATGATGTCTGTAGTAGAAATCTGTCATTCATAAAAACACCCCGGTGCTCACACCCATCCACACCTCCGGTTTTAAAGGCTTCAGATTTCACTCAATCAATCGACCAGCTGTCCATGCATTTCCACTGCACTGTCTGGAATCTGTGTGTGCACAAATGAGTGTGTGTGTCTAACAGAAACCCTGATGAAATGCTGTGTCGTCACAGCTCCTCCGTATTAAAGAAACACACTGGAACAATATCTTCTCCACAGGATAATAACTGTGACGAAAGCTCTTATTGTGCATCTCCGGACACACACACACACACACACACACACACACACACAGGCTGCAGAGGAGCTAACGAGCTGTGCTTTTCTGCTGAGTTTGACATGTTAAGAAAGGAAGCGAATTAGACCAGCTGCTGCTGTGTGTGTATGTGTGTGTACCTGTCTATCTCTACGTGTGTGTGTGACTTTGTGTGTTTCCTCACCAGCAGTGATGGTGTCCTTCTCCTTGGCGTTGAGTTCCTCCACCTCTGCCCTCCTGCGCAGCTCAAATCTGCGAGCGTGTCCTTCTCGGGGCTTCCACAGCTCCTGGAGCAACAGCGGCTTTTCGTTGTCCCCCAGCGCTCGCAGGCACTCAGTCCGCCACCCCCCTCCTCCGATCCCGCCTCCCCCCTCCAAACGCCCGATCACATCGCACAGGACGTAGCAGTGGGCAGCATCCTTGTTGAGCGAGTAACGCTCGAGTGCCTCCTTCACCAGCTCCTGGGCGCTGGAGCGCGGCGTGGCCAGGACGCTCTTGTAGTTGGCACCTGCACAGATTTCATCTCCAAAAATCTTCAGCACCCCGGGGGCCGAGCTCTGCGTGGAGAGTTCGGCAGGGTCATCCGCTGGCCTCTCTGGGGGCTCAGTGGTGGAGCGACGGTCCCCACGGGTGTTGGTTCCAGTTTCTGCTGGGACACGGTCTCTGTAGCTCAGAGTTCGGTACAGGACCTAGTCCACACACAAACATCACTAAATAAACTGCACGGTCATGATCGTATCACAGACAATATGTGCAGCATTTCTTGCAACGCAAATTAAGAAGTTTGTGCACCCAAGTCACAATAAAAACATATTTGCCAAGACTTGGTCATCACAGAGTTCATCACAGCTGAAGGGACAGTTCTTACTTTGCAGGTATTTGTCCTGATTAAGTACAAAACAAGTAAAAAGTTTTGATCTAAATGAAAAGTTAGAAGATCACTTGTCTTACATGACAAATTAAAGGAAAAACCTGAACCATTAACCCCTACACTAAGGGGATCAAATGGCACTGTTGTGCTGTTTGGGGGCATTTTGCTGACATGGTCTGGGTCCGTTTGTCCCCTCAGAAGGAAGGATTACTGTAAATCAATACAAAGTTGTTCTAAGTGATAACCTTTATCCTGTGATGGGACATTTTTATCCTGATGGGAGTGCTCTCTTCCAGGGGAACAATGCCCCACACACGCTGTTACCGAACGCTTTGATGAAATAATGTGAATGGTTCGCTATGACCTTCACAGTCACAACATCTCAATCCAATTGAGCACCTCTGGGAAATTTGTTTTAGAAGAACAGTGTTCATCCCTCCAGCATAGACTTGGAAAATCAATGGCAAGGAGCACTGAAGCTGTTCTGGCAACCTTCTAAAGACACCTTGTGTTAGTTTCTTCTTTAATGTCCGTCTGTATGGTTCTTGCAATGTATATTGAAGTACTTGTCTGCTCACCAAAATTCCCCCAAAAATGTCTATAGGGGTGTTTCATGATGCATACTGCTTTGGTTTTACCTGCCAAGATTTAGGGATCTTTGAGATGGACATCTTCACTGAAACACTGGATGTCAATGGATGGGGGTTTTGTTTGTGATGCTCACCACATAGACTTTTAACAGCAGACATTTTGAAGAGAAGCACTGTTTTTGTTACAGCTCAGTTCCATCAAGTGTCCCAGTAAGGCATGACAGTGGACCAGTACACACATACATTACTAAGTGTACCTGTGTCTTTCCTTCTAGGACAGGCCAGAATATCTACTGTGAAAAAGGTCTAATGAAAAGTTACACGTAAACAAGACTGAAGTGTATAGTCTGTAGTTAGTGGTTCTTTGTGTTGAATGAACTAAACACTTAGAGAGTAATGAGAATGCTAGCATGTACATTAGGGCTGCAATTCATGCTTATTTTCATTGTCTTGTCAATTAATTTGTCAATTGTTTGCTCAATTGGTTAATGAGGTGTTCGTTCTAAAAAAAAATGTCAGAAAATGGTAAAAAAAAAAAATGTTGATCAGTGATACCTAAAGCCCACAATGACAAAAAGTCAAAAGTCTTGTTTCATCTACCACTCAAAAACATTCAGGTTACTGTCATAGAGCAGTAAAGACACCAGAAAATATTCCATTTTAAGAAGCTCTGGGATTTTTTTTTCTCTTAAAAAAATTACCAATTAACTATTCAGATGTGATTGCATTTCAGTTTACTGTGTTAGAAAACTTGCTAATCACAAAATACACAGCTGAGAGTGATTGGGACGTTGTAAGGTTTGCATGTGTTTGTCATGTATAGAACATAAAGAATTCAAGTCAAAATATAAGTCAGAGGATGAATAAAGTTATCAGGGTTCATCCTCTGGTCGCCATCAATGCCTGACTGTCACGGCAATCCATCCAATAGAATCAAGACTCGAGCGTGACTAATATCCTGGATAACCTATTTTATTAATCGCAAAAGCAACTTCAACCCGTCAGAAAATATACTTTTGTTTGTAACGCATTAAGTGTCTACAATATTTCAAACAATCAAGCACATCAGTAAAAGCTGCATTATTACCGTGTTTTCTTTATATAGCTTGTCGTAACCATTTAGTTTGGACTTCATTTACTTGGATGGTTTCTTCTGACCCAAATGACATTGTGTTGGTGTGTCGGTGTTTGTGTGTGTGCACCTGTGTGAAGGTCCTGCTCTGGCGTTTCAGGCGGCTCTTGGATGGGAGGGACATACTGGCCCCAGAGGAAGAACCGTAGAACATGATGCTGCTGTTGGCTTCACAAACTCCACAACTGGTGAGCAAGAGAAACATTTCAAACGCTTTATTTTAACCCACGGTACGCCGTATTTAAATAACATGTAGTCACACAGGAAAAACACACAGCTACATCATATCCATTCTTGTGACACATTCGTGAAATAATCGACTCTACATCCGTCATGTGAATGTATCCGCCATAAACAAACTGTGATAAATAAGTCAAACTGTAGTGCAGTGAGTACCTTGTCACGTATTGTCACCTCAATGTGCCGCAGCAACAGGAAAAGGTTTACAGTTGAGGGTCAGACGCTCTGCATTTCACTTCACTGTCACCTTTCACACTGGAAACATCAAACAGACGACGTTAGTGTCACTTCAAAGCCGAACAATCCCAGTTGAGTTTTAAATCATTAAGGTAGCTGCTGCTGCAGATCCTCGGGGATTCAGATAATACTGACTGGCTTTTAGCTTTTTAATGATTTTTTTTTGAACGAGCTAAGCTGCTTTCACACTCCACTCAAAATTGCAAATCAACATCACACTGTTTCTGCCACTGCCAAACACAATTTTGGACTTTGGGTCTGCTCAAAACCATCTGCACAGTTTGGGGCCTCGATGCTGTGCAGCAAAGATCAGCGCAGAATCTAGAGATGAGGATTTGATTTTGGATGGAAATTCGTCTTTCGAGCTGGGTTTGTAGCCGAAGACATTATACATTCACATACTCACGGGTGCAGCTCCCACATAGATCTCATCTCTTAAAGGTTCTGCACTTATCACTACTTTTCAAATTATCATTTTCAACGTCAGAACACAAAACCAGTCACCTGTGTTCCTGCTTTAAAATCCTGTGATGATGACACCAGATCACATGACACTTTAAATATTTTTCAAAGCACTTTTAGATACACTAGTGAGATTTTTTGCTCTTCACATCAGCAACACAGCTGATCAACCTTCAATACATAATATGTGTCTACAACTAATACCCTTTTCATTAGCAAAAAACAAGTGTTTTTTGATTGATCCATTCACTGTGTAGCTACGTCTTACGTTCTACAGAATGGGCCAGTGAAGCAAAACAACCATTTAGCTAATAAAATCCCAGAAAGCAGCAGAAAAACGCCAAATCCAGGTAACCATTAGTGAACAATTAATGACTGAAATAAAATAATGAAAATAAGCAAATCAGTAAGTATGAAAAGACAAAAATAGCAACTGTTTGGCTAGTCTATGTCCTACACAAGGTGAGTCATGCTTCATTCTTGGCTTTACGATTAAATTATTGCTTTGAAACAGTCAGTTATGAAACAAAACAGAAAAAAATGCAAATAATCCCATTTTTAAAAAGCTGAAATGTGCAAATATTTGGCTTTTACTGATTCATTTTCATCTGATTTTCTGTCTTTTTATTATTACAGATTCTGCATTTGTCATTGTGATGGCTGTGTCTTGTCAAAAGTCCATGATCTTGAGCTAAAATAGAACAAAAACTGTATATCTGCTTCCAGATCCTGCGTTTTTACTAACTAAAGGTGAGTCTTGCTTCATTCTTGACTTTACTTTAACTCTTTTGACCTATCTTTGACCCTCTTTGGACCTTAAAGGTAGCTTGTATCGTCTGTCTGCAACTAAAAACTGTTTAGTTCAGAAAGTATTTTTTATCATTATTAATCTATTCATCCTTTACCTCATAAAATGCCAGGCGGAAGTAGAAAATGTCAATTACATGTTACCATTAATGTTTGTTTTAAAACAGTTAGTTATTCAAATAAATCAGCTGAAAAAAGCTGAAACCAACAAACACTAGGCCTTACTGATATATTTTCTTTTGATTCCTGTTATTTTTCTATTTTTGCATTTGTCATTGTAATGACCGTGTCTTGTAAAAATATGCGATCGTCAGCTAAAATACAGCAAAGCTTAAGTTTAAAGAGAGCATAAACTGTATGTCTGCTTCCTGATCCTGCATTTTGACCTCAGTTAACAGGTCTGTTTCCAGTCTTTGTCCCTACACAAGGTGAGTCACGCTTCATTCTTGGCTTGTGGCTGAACTCTGATGGCCTATCAAGACATTTAAAGCAGGCTATGTGAGAAACCAACAAGCAGCAGAAGAAAGCAGCAAGCGTGTTGTAGATGCAACTTGTGCACACCTAAACCATACATGACTTCTTCACAGGCTCATTTTTTTGGCAGCCGCCCCAAAAGGTGTTGTTGTAGCTGACTCTGCAAGGACTGCTGGGATAACGTGACTATTTTAAATGCCTGCTAATCCACAGTAATCTGGCTACTTGGCCGCAGTTAACTCAATCCTGGGAGCAACAAACCCCTCCAGTGTCCACACACAGAAAGAAACAGAAACACAGAGGGCCCTGAAGCTGCACTGGTGAGTTCGGCTGTGTTAGTGAGCCAGCAGGTAGTGTTTCATCTGGTAACCATGTCACACAGACTTTAGACTCGCAGCTTGTCCTTGTCTTCACCAGCAGAAGGTCACTATCAGACCCTGCGTTGAAGAAGAAGTATACACATGATATTAGTGGACACAACTTGTGTGCTCTGCCCTTTTTTTCAGTGTCAGTCCGTCTGTTTACGACTTTGGACTCACTGGTCGTCAGTAGCAACCGCCGTAGCAACAAAAGGCAGGAGAAAATCCTCAGAAATTAATCCGATGATGAGTCGTCAGACGCGGCACTAAAAGCTCAGCGGCCGGCCTCTGACGGTCAGCAGGTGTCTGCTGATGCTAGTCGAGCTCCGCACACGCAGTTAATTATCAATTAGTGTGAATACTGTTTCGACACCTGAGCAACACTCTACAACAAAAGGCAATGTGTGTGTTGGGGAGGCGCTGGGAGCTGTGGCGCGTCCGGCCGTCAATAAAATAGGTCGCCCAAAAGTTGATGAGTGATTCCAGCAGTGACGAGCCCAGTCCCCGGAGGCTCTCCTGCTGTCTGCCGCCTGTACTCACGCTGCCTGCAATGCGTGGCTCCATGGTGCTGGGGAATCCTCCTTGGCTCCTCTCTCGTTCCCCCCCTACAAGGCAGAAAATCCCCAGCAAAATGGGGGGAAAAAAACACCCCGCTGCCCTGTTCCGAGCGACACCCAGCCGTCCGGGGCTCCCGCCCACATCCCCAAAACAGCCCGTTAACTTGGACGACAGCCAGCCGCTGAGGGATCCTGCTTCCGTGCGCACATCTCCGCCGAGCGTCCAGCAATGCCCACAGCCTCCGGCAACCGCATTCCCACATCCACAGCGGTTCACTGCCGAGTGGTGACGGAAACACCCGAGCTCTGCGAGCTGCTTCACCTCGGTACACCTGCTCTGGCACCGAGGGAGCGGCTACCGCGGAGGAGACGGCGCCCCCTGGTGGACACTGGCGGGGCGAGCAGCGCTCAGCGGACAGCAGTGCACGGAGACGTAAAGACATGAATGAATATTAAATAACTAAGGACGTACGAAACTAAGAAATGAAAGGTATAATACACTGTAAATATATATATATATATATATTAAAAAGTTATTTTTCAGATTTTCTGTGTTTTGTTAAATCACAGATATTAACTAGGAAAAATTACTGAAAACTATTTTCTATTTTTTTCAAACAAACAAACAAGCAAATAAACAGGACAAAACTGTAGATAATGTCAAGAACAAAAATGTCTACTTTTTAAAATTGTATTTTGTTCTTTTACCGTGCTTAACCATAAAATTGCACTTTTTATACTGTATTTAAATCATTAATAAATAGTATTTTTTGCAGATATTTGCTGTTACTTCAAAGAAAAATTAGGTATTTTGTAGATTATCCCATTTTTTGAATTATTATTATTATTGTGTTATTATAATTGTGTTATCATTATTATTCTTTTAAATTCTT